AAGCGAGACGCCTCCTTTTGTGAGTGGAGGGAGATTTCCTGGTCGCGCCGCAGGCGCTCCCTATAGAGAAGGGAGGGTCGGAGTGCGGGAAGCGAGTGCCGAAGTGTAGGAGGTGGTACCATGGAAAAAGAAATGTATATTTCTTGTCAACCGGCGCAGGACGAAGACCCTTGCACCTTGTTTAATTTCGTGGTTTTGACCACCCATGAAGGCTCTGAAATTGAGCTGTTGGCTGGGACGTGGCAGAAGCGTATCGGAGTCGGCACTTGCTTTTGGGGGGGGTTCTGCACAACCTTGCTTATTGTCCGATGCTACACCTCGATTTCTTTTCGCGAAGAACTTTTGTACACTCCAAGACTGGATGCTAGGCGGGCGCCATCTGGGCGTCCGCTCCCCATGATACATGCTAGCAAATACTGCAGACCTCCATCACACTCCTGCTGCCCTTGATGCGCACGGCTTAAAACCCACCAAGCTCTAACCACCGCTTAACCTCCGCCCCCCTCCAGCCCCGAACCACCACGTGCCCCGTATTCTCGTTCAAGCTCACCCACTTCTTCTTCCGTCCCCGCTTGTCCTTGAAATCCTCGCTCTCGCTTGGGAACAGGGCCTGGTGGATGTGGCGCTGGAAGGTAGGGATGTCGCCGGTGATTTTGCGGATGATGGTGAGTTGGGACGTGCCGCCGCCTTTGGTTTGTTCGTAGACGGGGAGGTTGAGGGATTTGGTGCGGGTGATTAGGTAGGGGAGTTTGAAGGGGAGGGTTGTTGGGGTGGGGCCGGGGTTTGGTTGGAAGGGTGCGGTGGTTTCCGGGCTGGTGGGTGTTGGCGTCGGTGTGGGCGCGGGTGTGGATGTAGACGTGGATGAGAACAGGGCGTCTGCTGCTGGTGCGGCCGTTGGTGACTCCGGCACGGGAGCGGCAGCAGTGGACATCGGACTGCGTGCGATCGGCGTGGGCGCAAAGATCATGCCCGTGGCGCGCTGCTGGGAATCGAGGCCTGAAGTATGGTTAGCGATCGCGCCTCTGGCTCATGCAGCCCGGGACGGACATACGCTGCTGTACCCTTTGGTCGCGCTGTCTTCGATGCAGCTTGTCAAGACTGGTAATTTTGGCGTACTTCTCCCGTGGCATCCACCCAATGTGTTCGGCCTTCTTTCGTACCCGCGCCGCGGTGTTGCGTATTGTTCGGACGCATTGTGGTGATATGGATTGGGGAACGAGGAAGTCGTGTCGTAGTGCTGGAGAGAAAACTTGCAGGAGCGCAAGCGAGGGCGCTTTTGGGGGCATGCTGACCACGCCGGGTATCCCGTGGCTAAGTAGAGGCGGAACTGCTGATGGAATCGAAGGACCCCGAGGAGGAGCTGGATGATTGTCCAACAGCCTGGCCTGCGTATCTCGAGCTAACAGTCTCGTCAGGTGACTCGGAGAAGCTTCAGCGAGTGAGAGTGCTTGACAACCTGGCAACAGCCCTCACAATAGTCAAGCTGGCAACATCAGAACAATTCTGTTGGCGTTGCAGTTCACGTGAAGTTCAGTCCAGACAAGGCTGCACAAGGCTCTCCAAAAAGAATATTTAAGCTCTTTTTCAACCTTTTAGCCACAGCTCACGTGATCACTTCTGCCAAAACTCCAGCTTACCTAAGTAGCGCCGGCTAATATTCGCCTAAACTGAGTCGCACAGTATGCCTGCTGAAGAAAAGAAGTTCCCTGCTGAAGGCAAGTACTATCCGGGGAACTACAATTCTTCCGCAGACTCGGAGCCTTTCTTTCCCATCGACGATATCCCCGGCACCCAAGAAGACACTGTAGAGAACCAGGTATTGCTGATTCAGTACGCCGACGCTTTCAGAAGACCGGGAGAACCGACGCCTGCGCAATTGAGGGTCCATCCAGCCAACAGAGTCTTGCCGCCGCCAGGAGTGAAGGGATTCAAGAAGGAGAGACTTGAACACTTCTTAAGGAAGTTTCCTGACAGACCCGCTCCGGAGAGACGACACTCGATCGGTTGAGACATCGCGACACGTCACACACACTGCTCAGCATGGCTCCGTCACCAGACGACCCGACTGGAGAATATGCCTTCCTCGAGAAACTGATTCGTCCTATGGACAGACACCTCATATTCCCTCTCCTCGACCACTACTCACGCGACGACAACATCTCCCCCGAACGACGCAATGATCTCCAACTCGCCATCTTCCAATTACTCAAGAACACCAACATGGTCGACTATGTCACAGAACTTTACGATGGCCTCGAAGGCTCAAAACCCAGCGCGCCCAACTTCGAGCAGAAGCGCACCGAGGTCCTCTCAAAACTCAGCCGATACGAAAAAGACACCGACACACTCTCAAATCTCCTCTCCGACGAAGCAGTCACGTCACAACTGCGCTCAGACAAGGTTGCCAACTTAAAATATCTCGAAGAGCAACACCAAGTCACACCACAGATGATTGAAGATCTCTATTCGTTCGGTCGCTTCAGATATGAGATGGGCACATATGGCGAGGCCGCAGACCTGCTCTACAGATTCAGAGTCTTGTCCACCGACAACGACAAAGTCGCAAAGGCTACATGGGGCAAGCTGGTATGCGAGATCTTGGGTGAAGAATGGGAGTCTGCTATGGAGGAGGTCGATAAGGTCAAGGAGCACATCGAAACCCGCCTGTTCAACAACCCCCGCGCTCAACTCACTGCTCGAGAATCACTTGTCCACTACGCTCTGTTCCCCTTCTTCAATTACGAGCCAGCACGGGACAAACTCATCGAACTCTACTTCTCACCACCATACATCTCTTCCATCCAGACAGTCTGCCCGTGGATCCTACGATATCTTGCTGCCGCAGTCATCTCTAACCGCACACGGATGAACAACTCGCACAACTACCAGAAGCAGATTAAGGATCTGGTCAGAGTAGTCAAGCAGGAAGTCTATGAGTATCAAGACCCCGTCACCGAATTCGTCAAGGCTCTCTACGTCGACTTCGATTTTGAGGAGGCACAGAAGAAGTTGTTGGAAGCCGAAAATGTCCTTCGAGGCGACTTCTTCCTTGGCTCATCGACAGATGCTTTCGTCGAGGCTGCCCGTCATCTCATTTCGGAATCATACTGCAAGATTCATCAGAGAATCGATATCAAGTAAGTCTACAGTTCCCCTCATACCCTGCAAACCATTTGCTAACATCACGTCAGGGACCTCTCCACCCGACTAGGCATGTCTGATTCCGAAGGCGAGAAATGGATTGTCGACCTCATTCGTGACACCCGCCTCGACGCGAAGATCGACTACAAGGCCGGCACCGTCATCATGAACCATCCCCCACAGAGCGTCTACCAGCAGGTGATCGAGAAGACGAAGGGCGCGTTCTTTAGGACACAGGTGTTGAGTGCTGCAGTAGCGAGGTGAAAATGTCATGACGATGCGCATCTGGCGCTGGAACGAGAAATGCATCACCAGCACTCTAGGGAGGGCTCTATGGCAGAAAAGCTGATAGATGCGACGAAGCTTCCCATCCCGAGGCTGGCATACCCATGAAGGCCTCCTCGAGAGTGCATAGCTGAACGGCTTCAATTTCAAGACAGTCAAAATTTGAGACACCTCAACAAATTCTGTGATTTCCCATGAGCCACTCGTAACTAAGTTAGTCGTCGGACACCGCACTTGAGAAACTTCCAAGTTGCCAAGCGTACTGTAAGCCCATTCGGTCCACCAAGCATACCGTGACCTCCGCTCACTCTTCCTTTCACCACAATTGACCACGCAGCAGTAAGATGTGTCGACGATGGCGACTTCGGAATGTACAGAGTCGCGTATACTCACCTGCTCTTGCCTTATCCTTCGGATTCATTCATGGTTCAAGCTCTTGCCTGTTTTCGATTATATCGTACGCACTCTAAGCACAATCTTATGCGATATCTTTGAGCGTGGCTTGCTGAACATCTCGACGATCTCTCCACAGCTTGCACGCTCGGTCCTTTGTCGCGGCTATACATACCGAGACTGCTTGCAGAAATTGCCGTTATACCAAATCGATGTGTTAGGCGACTCTCGGCGTTCGCGTCGCCTCGTTCTCTAGTCCCCTCTTATTGATCCGCTCAATTCACCTTGCAGAACGCGTGCGTCCGCTAGCCTGACCGCAACGCCTGGCTATCGACGCAAGTAGCTCCGGTCACGATGGGCCTCCACATGTTCACCCATTGGATGCCCTTTCCTCAACTCTCGATGTCTTGAGCGCATGGTCAGCAATTTCCCCATGGTCGACGGCACAGGGACGAATTGAGGAACAGCCCGCCAAGACAGAGACCTCTACAAGCTATGAGCGCCGATAACAGTCCTGGCGGCGCTGGCAATGCGGTTGCATCAGATCCAGAGGCTCAAACATCGCCAGCAAGCAATTCACATGAGACTGAACCCCGGCCATGGCTAAATGGGTACACAATAGTCTTTCTCAACGAACTTCCACAGCCGGTACCAGTCAAAGACCGCTTCTTGTTTGGCCCGCGCTCACTGGTACTCCTGAGGCTGTTGTATCGCAATACTTACGCTTTTTACGTGGTGCTAGTCGCCACGTATCCGTCGTTCTTCGGCGCCATGGTGGTCGTAGCACTCATCCTGAAGTTCGCAGTTTCTTTGAGCTCGGAGCGGGAAGGTTTTGGTCTATCAGTGTTCCTCAGACACCCAACCTTGATGATGACCAAAAATTGGACTCAATTCTTATGGGTATGTTCCGCGTCGTGAACTTGCTCATGGCCGCTGTCTGATATCGCTACAGGAAATGCTTGCGTGGTTGATTCTTGTGAAACTGGGTTTGGTGAGGTTCTGGTGGACGATATATTTTGTGGTCGCAGATATGGCTGACTTCGAGCACAACCTTCTAAATGCGTGGCGAAGACACGATACTCCATCGACACCTATTGGGAGTCGAATCGGATCTGACATGCGCACTCATGTCCAGTCGCCCAAGGTTCGCGAGAGCATGTCGTTGTTTCTGGGCAATGACCACTTATCCGCTCCTATCTTCGCCGATGGTTATATGACTTTTCGAACTGCAATCGACGAGCTTCGGATGTTCTTTAACTACATGAGGATGAGAAGAGGGCTAGCAGAGGTGGCGGTACCTTACCGCCTTATTCGTCTAGACATCGTGGAAATGGTTGCTGCGCCAAAAGCGCGTGGCCCTTACCGCATCTGGCGAAGGATGGGCTCATCGTTCACTGCGCGTACACAGACGCCGTCGGTAGCAGAGCCCACAGAGAGTTCATCAGTCAGTTTCCGTACAGCAGTCACTGCACACACAGAGACGTCTGGATCCACCGGCGTGAGAGAGCGACTGAGAGGCCCTCTCATCGGTGAGATGCTGACCGGAGACGCTGTAGACTATCTCAATTGCGGTGATGATCTTAAGTACTGGCACGAGCAACCCCAGAGGTACTCGTATAGGGATGATCCCAGCTTCGACGAGTGGGAATTCGAAGGGCAGCTCCGACAGTTGGCTGGCTCGTCACCTCCACGAGCAATACGATTTGCCAGGACACTGGATCGCACTGCAGTTGGGGCAGTGGTACTAGCGCCCGGTCTGATATCTCTAGTTTTCATCATTATCTGGCTGGCTGTGTTTCTTCGGAAGATTCCGCCCGGTGAGAGTACAGGTAATGTCCAGGTCGTCGTATCGACAGCTTTCACCATCGCATCTTATTTGGTGACAGCAGGTACGTATCGGCGATGTCTCCTCTGAACATTTTTGATCGCTTTTGCTGCTAAGACTCTCTTCCTAGGAGCCCTGATCACCGCCTTGGCCGCATATCTCGAGAGTAAGCCACCACAAGAGCGTTCCGGCCCGACCACAAAAGCTGTTCAAGTGCCCACGAACCGTCGGCCGGATCACGTTCTAGACAGAACGCCAACACTCTCCAGACGAGCATCTTGGACGTAAGCTTGCCTTGGCATGCTGTGTGGCTGAAGACATTGAAATGGACCTTTGGCTGTGCAAAAAGGCACCGAGGCAGCAAGATGCTCCACAAGACGACAGCATCAATCGACATGCCAAGGATGTGCTCGACTACATTGAAAGAGCCAAAGCATCCTGGCTTGTCGCCGTGGGGAGATCCGGCACACATGCCTCGTTCAGGAGACCCAGATTCGCGAAAGTCGTATACTTCGTACCCTCTCGGAGTAAATCCCGCGGCCCGCTACTGTACCCGGTAAGCACAAACGGTTGTTCCTTCCCCGACTCGTCGATACTACTTGCCTATACAAGGAGTGCTGGATGTTTCTAGTGGCTGCGCTTGCTACATGCACCACTTACGCGAGGGGTTGTCTCCGTTCGGGGACTATAGATCGTCGGGATAGACTGACTCGGCCGTCATTGTCGACGAGTCACAGCATCGTCCTGGAACAACGGGAGGGGGGCCTTAGTGTTCCTGAAGGGCATAAAAGAACGTATGACCAACGAGACACCATCATGTTCTCGCACAAGCAGCTACGAAGCGATGTGGAGGGGACGGAGACACGACACTGGAGACACTACCAATTCTGGTTGACATCCATTTTCTGATCATATAAGTCCTGGGTTTCCGTGGCTTTGCGTTGTGTCTTTGAGTATTCATGTTGATTCAGCAGAGGTCTGTACACCGGGAAACACGGGCTCATCCAACATGCAGAACAGTGGTCGACCGGTCTCCAACGCAGGCGAAGCCGCAGAGAAGGCCATCCTCAAAACCCAACAGGACCATGGCAGTGGGGTTCCGACAAGCAGCGCCGCGCAGACATCTCTAGACCCAGCGCTTGACCCAGCTTCGTTTCCAGACGGGGGTCTTCGAGCATGGCTCACCGTGGGAGGATGCTTCTGTGCCTGGTTCGTGTCATTTGGGTGGATGCAGTCCGTCGGTAAGTCTTGCACGATCCTTGCCCTCGTCCGTCTAACCAAGTCAATCGCTGATCCAGACGACTCCAAGGTGTTTTCCAAGCATACTACGAACGCAAAGAGCTTCGCACCTACAGCCACGACGAAATCGCATGGATCACATCTCTCGTAGCCTTCTGGCAGCTAGCTGGTGGACTCATCGTTGGTCCGCTGACCGATAGACTTGGTCCACGCATCCCACTGATCATCGGCACAGTGATGCACTCGTTAGGGCTCTTTATGTTGTCACTGGCGACCAAGTACTATCAATTCATCCTCGCCCAAGGGGTCTGCTCGCCGATCGGCACGGCGTTGATCTTCTACCAGCGATCGCTTGCGTCGTGTCATGGTTTCATAAGAAGAGAGGGCTTGCTCTGGGGATTGCGGCTGCTGGCTCAGGCGCCGCGTCGGTCATCATTCCACTGGTCGTAAGGTCCATGATTTTGGACCAGGGCTTTCCTTGGACGATGAGGACGTGTGCGTTTCTCATCCTCTTCATGGGCACAATCGCTTGTCTGACGTGCACGTCTCGTCTGCCGCCGACGCCGAAAGGGTCGCCCAAGGCTATCGTGCTTGCGTCCCTGAAGGACAAGAAGTTCGTTTTCATGGCAATCTCTGGGCCGTTCAATTACCTAGGCCAGTACTTGGTGTGAGTATCTCAGATGTCTTACAGCCTACACTCTCTGAATGGACAAGACCCCTCTCGGACTAACTACCTGTCTCGTATAGCTTCACCTTCATCGTCACAACCGCCATCTACCGAAATGTTGACCCAGACTGGGCCTTCTACCTCGTCCCCATCAGCAACGCAAGCGGCATCTTCGGCCGCATCATCCTGGGCTACCTCGCCGACCGTACAGGCGCGATCACTATGTTCAACTACTCCTGTCTCCTCACATTCCTGTCTGTTGCCTGCGTGTGGATCCCAGTCTCTGGCAAAGCCGGCAGCATCGTCTTCGCATTGCTGTTTGGCTTTGGGTCTGGCGCAATGTTGGCTATGGGCGCGGCCGCGATCGCTGCGGTCAGTGATCCTAGGCAGATTGGGATTAGGACGGGGATTGCTTATGCGTTGGCTGGGGTTGTTACGTGAGTTATTGTTCCTTGAGGGTCTACGTTGGTGGGGTGGCCTGCTCGATGCTAACACGTGGATTAGGCTGTTTGGTAGTCCTGCGGGTGGCGCGATCATCAATAGTAGTGGATACAGAGCTATGCAGGCATTTACGCAGCCTGCCTTGGAGTGTGTCTGGTGTTTACGCTATATGTCAGGTATATCGCTGGTGGGTGGGATTTGAGGAAGAAGGTCTGATATGGTCTATACTTGGCTCGATAGACCGAGTAGAGACTGGTGACTAGTCGTTCAGAGCGCCGCTTTTTAGGTCGGAAAAGCTAGCATCCGCTCGGACTTCAAGACGCCATCATATGAGCAGACACGCGAGGGATGCAGAGCACTTGGCATCCATGAATAACATTAACTTATGCGAGACGTTCAAACGCAACTAGCGTCATAGATGACGTGTGACGACGCGGGCCCGGCGTCGAGTCTTCTCGTAGGTGACCGTGGTGAACTAAGCCTTCTCATCCGTCTTCGGCACCCTCTCAACAGTAGCCTCCACCTTCTCAGTCATCAAGTCCTTTACGCCCTTCAGACAAGCAACAGCCACAATCGCAACGACGACAAAAGGGATAACGCTCGTCCACGCTAGTCGGTAAGCTCTCGCATAAGCCCAATGACTCGCATTCGTAGCTGCAGCAAGCACACCTGGCGTGGCACCAGGAATATCATTGAAGCCCATACCTGTTGCGAAAGCGCCCAGAAGAGCTTCAACGGAAGATTCTGGTAGACCTGCTTCGATAGCTGCAGACGACACTTTTTGGGCGTAGGTGCTTCCGAGCTTGTTGTTGATGATAACATCAAGGACCGCTGATCCAAATGCGCCGCCGATGGCACGGGCTGAGAAGGCGAGCCCTGTGGCTGTGGCCAGATGGGAGTGTGGCGCGGTGAACTGGACGCACGCCACGAGTAGGGTGAGTGGACCGGACTGGCCAAGACCGGAGAGGACGTTGAAGCCGTATTGGGCGTTCGACATTGATGGGGTGACGAGGGCGTAGCATATGCATCTGATTCAGTCAATACATGCTCTGGTCCAGGAGGGTAGAAGACTCACACTGCGAGGAAAACGACGAAGGTGAACACCAACGGCGACTTTAGGTCCTTGTACTTGGTCGCATAGAGTGTGATTGGGATCGAGGCGAACAAGGCGACGAGGTTATAGCTCAGCTGTCGGATCGAGATATCCCAGGCATTGTTCTCGAAGCCGAGATTGAGAACGATCTGGGGCGTGACACTGTTGACTGCAGAGTAGAAGAGCCAGCCCTCGACAGCGAAAGCGAAGACGGACAGTGCGAAGTTCGGCGAGCCTTTGAAGAAGGCATGCGTCACGATGCCATCTGATCGTCCCTTCCATTCTAAATGTGGTCAGCTTGGAACTGTCTGTGCTTGGGAACGACTCACCATAGAGACAGAATGCGATGAGGAAGACAAAGCCGACGACCAGAGGTGCCACGACATGTGCGTTCGACCAATCGTAGGCCCCGCCAGCCCAGTCGAGAGCGAGGAGGAGCATCGTAGCTGCGATGATGAACATCGAGCTGCCGATAGGATCGCAAGCCCAAAGAACCTGCTTGACGGAAAGCTTGCCATAGTCGGAGCCTTGCTTGGGATGGTAGAACACAAGCAAACCAATGACAGTCGCAGCATGGAAAGCTGCCTGCATCCAGAAGATGCCTCTCCACCCGCCAGGATTGGAATTGGTGACACCACCTGCTCCAAGGCTGCCCACAAGACCTCCGACAGCTCCGCCAAGGAACGCAAAGCCGTTGGCGAGTGCACGATACTTGAGTGGGAGAACTTCGCTGGGTATAGCTTGAACGATGGCTATGCTGCTGAGGGTGACGCCGATGAGTATGCCACCTCCAATCAGCATAGTCATGCTGGTAGCCTTAGCTGAAACCACGGCGCCGATGAATGCAATGGCAGGAGGCACTGTGGCTAGCCATTTGCGGTCCAGCACATCACTTAGACGACCGACGATGGGCGATAGCACGCTTTGCATGAGCAGTGGTCCCTCTGTAAGACGTTAGTGCCGTTGACCTTGGAGGAAGCCGCCACTCACGGATAATCCAGCCAGCAATAGATGCGTCGCCAAGATCTCGAATGATGAACGCAATGACAGAACCAGCAGCCACCACCACGAAGACCTGTGCCATGACGGCGAAGCAGGTCACGAACACCACAATCCATGACCGCCAGCTCAAGTTGATGTGCTCGGCTTCATTGAGTTCTTGGACATGTTGAGCGGGAGCCTCGAACGCGTCTGGGTGTTCGTGAGTTGCGGGTATGCGCTCGACTGTGTCGGTGTGGCTCTCGTGCTTCTGCTCCATGATGTGTTGCTAGATGCCTAGACAATAGCAAAGGACTGTAGAGCTCGTGAGAGGTGAGGCCTGGCGACATGCACTCATATCTCTAGCCTTGAGTCAGGGATGTAGCCGTCTGTGCCTTTTGGCGCCGGACTTCGCCCAACTGCCCACATCGCTAGCCAGGGTCTCTGAGCAGATCAATTGGTGCGTCGAGCTTCGGAACCATACAGTCGTCGCTTTCAGTGGGGTTTCTCCAGAGGTCAGCAGCCCCAGGTTGACAGCTCATGCCTCTCGGCAGTTGATGAGATCGAGCTCAAGATTGCGGGGAAAACATGGAGATTGCCGAGGAATGCTTGACTCTGGCTAAGCTTGCAGGGTCCCTTTCTTCGCCACGTATTTTCTACCTTGGGTTGTACACATACTGTAGCTGGAAGTATATCTAGCGTCTTTCGGGAGCCCAGGAACCTTGTCGAACAGAAGGCGCGCCACATGAGAGTTCTGCAGCCTCGCTCCAAGTGTTCCTATTCGAGCTTTCCTCCCAGAGGACCCAGAAGATTCCCACAGATGCCCACGCATCTAGAATTGACTTATATCAAATTCACCAGCCTTTCTAGGTCCTGGCAGACTGCTCTTCCCCCGCTTCAAGAACTCACCGTATCCTTTCTTGCCCACCAGTCCGTCTCCATCACGATCCCACACCACCTCACCTCTCAGAATTGTGTACCTCGGCCAATTCTTTAGTTTTCTGCCCTCAAACGGCGTATAGTCTACATTGTGATGCAGCATTTCATTCGTCAATGTCAATCCCTCTGCGCCGCTCAGTTGTCCTTCTGGATACCAGATGACCAGGTCAGCATCGCTTACGCCTGGGAGAAGAGCGCCTTTTCGTGGGTATAACCCATACAGCTTTGCTGGATTTGCCGATGTCACTTCGACGAACTTCTGCATGGTGATCCTCGCCTCACTCATGACCAGGCTTAGGCGCGTTTCAATGCCTGGAATGCCGTTCGGAATGCCCTTGAAATGGCCTCTCGGATACTTCTCGGAGATGATGCTCTTCTTTCCTTTCTCAGTATCGTTGTACATGAACGGGCAATGGTCGCTACTGAGGACGGTGAAAGTGCCGTTCTGGAGACCCAGCCAGATACCGTCGTGATCCTCGGGGCCGTCTCGAGGTGGAGGAGAGCAGACGCATTTGGCGCCTTCGAAGCCATTGTCGCCTGGGTGAGCCATATCGGCTCTGGTCAGGAACAGGTACTGTGGACAGGTCTCGGCGTAGAGTGGAAGGCCGCGAGTCTGGGCTTCTCTGTAGATGTATATGGTCAGTCTGCACGTCATAGTCCAGGCTGAGTGCTCTTGGACAACTTACCTGATCACAGCTGCAGCCCTCGGACTGCTGACATGTACGATCAGCATCGGCGCATCGACTAGCTCTGCCAATGCCACTGCTCGTCCCGTCGCCTCCGTTTCCACGATTTGCGGTCTGCTCGTTGCATGATATACCGGATCGACCAAGCCTCGCTCTTCAAGCTTCCGAGTCATCCAGTTCAGCACATCACCATTCTCTGCATGTATCATCGTTGTGATCCCGTGACCTCGGCTCTCGCAAAGTACATCCAAGATCTCATCGTCGCGTAGCTGCAATGCCTCGTACGTCATGTAGATCTTCAGACTGCTGACACCCTCTTCGTTGATCAGTGGTCCGAATTCCTTCAACACAGCTGGCGATGGATTTCCGACCAGCATATGGAATCCATAGTCCGAATAGCAATTACCGCGGGCTCGGTCGTGACAGTCGCGAAGGACTTCGAGCAGGCTGGGCATAGACTTTGCCTGAGGTGCGAAGGCTACCACTGTGGTGGTGCCACCACAGATAGCCGAGCGCGTCCCTGTCTCGAATGTGTCCGACGACCGACCTCGACCACCGAAGAGGGGTGGCTCTTCGAGGTGAACATGTGTGTCGACGCCGCCAGGAGTAATGTAGGCGCCCCCAGCATCGATATGCTTGGTGGCAATGGACGGTGAAAGCAGACCGGGAGGCGCCAGAAGAGCGATCTTTCCATCTCTGATTCCAATGTCTAATGGAGCAGTGTCTGAGGCTGTGACCAGAATGCCGCCTGTCACGAGGAGATCTAGCTTGTCCATCGTGTGATCTAGGGAGCTTCTTAGTCTCTGTCAGTACTTCGACAGCTATGCTGGCGTATGTGGGCTTCGTAGTCTGAGTCCGGGTCTCAGCTTGCTGCAAGTACCTCCCCAGGAGAGCCCAGCTTCGATGAGATTTCCCCAGGTCCCAATATGTAAGTCCAAGGAGTACGTCTAGCCTAAGAGTACTCATCTTTCGTCGAGCGAGGGCCGGGACATCACCGAACTGATAAGGGCAAAGGTCGACCGGTGAACGCGCAAGTCCGCTGAGATATACATGCTTGTCTCCCATATCGAACGGACTGAAAGCTTGACAGCTTCATTATGGCTATCTGTGATTCATCAGAGAGCGTACATGTCCATTTGGAACGCAGTGCTCGCAAGACCTACTGTGCACTCTCGCTCATACGGGGACAATGGGATGATATTCTAGGTCCAGCTGTCGATGACCTCCGCGTTGGTGGAGAAGCGCGCCAAGCAATGTTTAGCAATGACGATGAGTAAGATTGTCTTTTGAGCTTCGTCCTCTGCTGCCGCACCTGATCGAGGGCGATGTTCAGTGTTGCAAACTCTTTCACGCTGTCGTTGATTGTGACCGTCGCAATCCGGGCTAGCTGGTCCGAGCCAAGCTGTGCACAGCTGCTCGTATGAGCTTGGCGTCGCGTTCCTAACGCGACCAGTAACAGGTAAGGCACACTGTTGGTCAGCACTAGATGGATAACCATAGGACTGCCACAGTCTCATGAATATAGCTCGAGGGCGTTTGGGTCGCTCATCTTATCACAGCAGAGAGCGAAACCACGTTCAAGCCGAATAGCACGGAGCAAAAGCTTTGCACAGTGCCAATCTTCGTATCTGTCAATATGCCAGATCCCAAATTCCCTCGCCATGCGCCTGTCGATAGGCCGTACTATAACTTAGGGACGTACGCTCGCACCAACACGACGCAAGGCGCTGAAGCCAAAGTATGGTTCGATCGCGGACTTCGTTGGGTGTACGCGTTCAACCATGAAGCGGCCATCGAATGCTTCGAGGCAGCTATCGCGTACGATGATGATTTTGCTTTGGCTCATTGGGGTGTGGCGTACTCGCTTGGTCCGAACTACAACAAGCCTTGGGGCTTCTTTGACGAAGATGAGCTGCAATCCACTATCGAGAGGACTCGTTCAGAGACACTGAAAGCCATGCGAGCCGTGGAGAAGTCGTCGTCACCTGTTGATAAGGCACTGGTTGATGCCCTGCAATATCGATACCAAGCAGACAAAGCTCCTTCGGATTGCTCAATTTGGAATGCAGACTTCGCAGAAGCCATGAGGAAAGCGTACGCCGCACACGGGGATGACTTAGACGTTACAGCGCTGTTTGCTGACTCACTCATGAATCTTACTCCGTGGGATCTGTGGGACTTGCGCAGTGGTCAGCCGAAAGACGGTGCAAAGACCTTCGAGGCGAAGGAAGTCCTTGAGAAGGCATTCAAGCAGCCAGGAGGACTAGAGCATCCTGGATTGCTGCATCTATATATCCATCTGATGGAACAATCGCCGAACCCGGGTGATGCGCTACCGATTGCCAACAGGCTCCGAGGCTTGCTGCCCGACGCTGGGCACCTCAACCATATGCCAACCCACCTGGACATTCTCTGTGGTGACTATGCCAAAGCTGCGCAGTGGAACACCACCGCGATTGAGGCCGACAACAAGTACTTGGCGAGTGTCGGGCCGCTCAACTTCTATTCGTTGTATCGGTGTCACGACTACCATTTCAAAATCTATGCTGCCATGTTCGCCGGTCAGTACCAGGTGGCTATCAAGACAGTCACTGAAATGGAGGAAACCATGCCTGACGACTTGATGCGTATCAAGTCACCGCCCATGGCTGATTGGATGGAGAGCGCTCTATCATTCCGCTACCATGTTTTTGTTCGGTTTGGAAAGTGGCAAGAAGTGATCGATTGGAAGTTGCCGAGTGATCCCGATTTATACTGCTTCACGACTGCGATCGCGCAGTACGCCAAGGGTATTGCGTACGCTGCAACAGGCCAGATAGATCAGGCGGCCGAGCAGCGTAAGAAATTCCGGCAAGCTGCTGCCAGTATTCCAGAATCCCGCATGCTTTTCAACAACAAGTGCAAAGACTTGTGCCACATCGCGGCAGCCATGCTTGATGGTGAAATCGAATATCGCAAAAACAATTTTGAGGAAGCTTTCAGCTATCTTCGGCAGGCTATTGAGTACGATGACACTTTACCGTATGACGAGCCTTGGGGGTGGATGCAGCCCACGAGGCACGCCTATGGCGCATTGCTTTTGGAGCAGGGCCGAGCAGAAGAGGCAGCGGCCGTGTACAAGGCTGATTTGGGCTACGATGAGACCCTACCGAGAGCGTTGCAGCATCCCAACAACGTCTGGTCGCTTCATGGCCTCTCCGAATGCCTGACTAGATTGGGCAAGGAGACCGAGTTGAAGACACTCAAGCCAAAGCTGGATGCAGCGCTGGCAGTGACGGATGTGTCGATCAAGTCGTCGTGTTTCTGTCGACTTCACGTGCCTGAGGCGGCTTATGATTGAACCACTGGGCACGAAAGGATCCGCAAAGGCAACAATTAGCCGACTGCCTGGGAGACTGGAGACTGCCTGATTTTGCCCGATGATTGCCTTGCCTGGTCTTGGCGTGTAACAATCCCTAGCAACAAACAACGTGCTGCCTATGCAACAGCTCGAGGTTTTTTGGTCATTGTCACTTGCCATCGTCTCGTCCGAGCGTGAGCGATTCACGTGTGCTGGACTACGCCGGGCATAAATTCATAAGACCAAGCACTTCTGATCTTCATTCTTCATCTTCGCAGCTCAACGCCAGTCGCAATACAACCGCAAACAGTCGGACCGATATTCAGGTCACGACCTGAACATAATTGTTCCGCCGACAACGACCTCGCGCACCTACGTGGCTACGTACACGACCATGGCTTCCTCCGACGATGACGCCGCGCTAGCGATCGAAACAAACCTCCACAAAGAAGTGATGCCCATCCTGCGGAATTGCGGAAAATGATTCTCAAAGAAGTCGCTCGCGAGCTGAACCTCAGTGAAGCGTCCTTTCATCGCAGCAACGATGACCATTTCTTCTACCACCCTGTTGAGGTCATTGCCCTTATCGAAAGTCAACCTGAGGTCGCGACTGGATCGAAATTATTGAATGGAGCCCCGCAGACGAATACTATGGTGAAGTGCCAAAGGAAGACGACTGGCTAGACGACTTTCACGGCACTGTCGAGCACCAACGTTGCCTCCAGTCGCTTCAAGTGTCTTTGTGGTCGCGCCTCCAGGATGCGGGTGTCGAGACTGCTGATCCTGGCGCATGGAAGGATGCATTCGCGATCGGGGAGCACAGTGCAGTCTTTGCAGTACTACTTACCATGCTATCAAACCTCAAGTACCTTGAACTGGAGGACGCTGCACTTACATACTGCGAATGGCTTGATCCTGTCTGGAAGCGCGCCCGCTCTAATTTGGAAGTGCTTGGGAAACTCGAATCAGTGGGCGTCTTTCATGATGACAGTGAATACGCAGAGCATCCGGAGCTCCTCAACTACCTCTGCCTCGTGCCTTCGCTCAAGCGATTCAAGAGCTGGATGTTCGGAGACTTCGATTGCAAGGCACCAGAGCGCGTGGAAGGTTGTACGTCAAATCTAGAGTTCGTCGAAATGGGCTATTGCTGCAATGGTCCCGAAGCCATGCAAACACTGCTTAAGCCAATGGTCAAACTCAAGCGTCTGGATTTGATGAACTATGATCACGAATGGATTCATTCTGGCGTCGAAACTCTGAAGGAGTACCGCGAAAAGATCCAACAGCTTTGTGGGCCAATGTGGGAGGAGAGAGGTATGAAATGGAAAGTGGGTGTCTTCAACAACGGCTTCGAAGCCTGCTGTGGCGCGTCATTTTCCGGCGAGCACGGCATGATGATCAGATCTGCAGAACTTGCGCACGAGCTCGATCAAATGGACGACAAGCGACCTGTTAAGACTCGAATGACTGAGCAGCGGGCGCCACTTTTCGCGATTGACCAAGGAACTGTCACAACGATAGTCAACTATGTCGGCGTTGCTCCGCATACCACAGGCTGAGATGCAAAACGACCGTTGAAAAAGCTGCGCCACGAACATACAACGGTTCCCACATTTGACCATAACGATGTCCAAAGGTTCTCCACCTGCCGATTGGCCGTCTGATGGCCTGGAATGGGACGATGTACCGCACATCATCGAAGACATGTCCTGTTTGCGTTGCTCCACAGAACGTAGCACGATGCAAGTCCGAGGGCGGCTCCCCTGAGCGAACCGAGAGCAAATTACATACGGGACATGTCATCGGACCGGAAGGGCATGACGGGTACGAAATTGTAGCACGTCTATCCTCCTGTCGCGGGACGATGCTATGCAGCTAGCGAACCACGAGCAATCGGTGCGTTTTGCAGAGCTATTCTCAAGTTCTAATAACGACAAATCTAACAACAACGTCAATTACAAATGTGTACTTCTTCTCTCATGCACTCATAACTCCCGCTTCTTCAACTTGTCGGCCGCAGCCGCGCCATCCTCGCCCTCGCCATTGCCCACGCGACTGATCTTGAATCCACCAGGCACCATGACCTGGAACACGCCCTCGGGATCATATTTGGCAGCGACAGCCTTCATCTTCTTGACATTCTCCTCGCCGTAGCTCGCTAACGGGACTTGTGCTTTGTACGCATAGTCCAGGTAGATGAAGGGGTTGCTGGCGTTCTTGGATTCAGCGAAGGAGTCGAGCTCGTCGATGAAGTTCATGCCCCACGTATGGAACTGCTCGTCAAGGGACTCTTCTGTCCAGGCGAGGTACGTCTGCCAGACTGTGAAGCTGTGTCAGGAACACTGTGTGGAAGACGGTGAATGAGCAGACTTACGGATCAGATTGTCGTCAAAGCGTTCGAGGCCAAGCATGTTGCCACCCTTCTCGACGCTGTGTTCGGAGAAGAACGACGGGATGGGCTGGAACATGGTCTGAATGGTCCAGTTGCCTGCGATGTCTGCGGCCTGGATTGTCTCGAGGTATTCGTGATGCATGCGAATAGCTTCCTCCATTACTTCGAGGTTGTTCTTGAAGGTGATGGTGTAGAAGTTGTCGCTGTGGTGCAGTGTTAGCAAGAGTGTATTGCGTCAGTGAAACGGCACAAGTCCACATACCGGTAGCCGGGTGTCTGCTCGAGCTCGACGGTGAGATCAGTCATATTGGTGATTCTTGTAGAATCAGACGTGTTGTCAGGGATGGCAAGAAACTCATCGAAGATTGCCGGTCGGGGAACGGGCTTCGTGTAGTCGTATGCAGAGATGATGATGTTTGCATCAGACTCCGTGTTGTACTGCCAGATGCTGATGGCGCTGGCGTAGCGATCATTCGTGACCTCTTCGCCGAAGTTGTACATGGCCTCGATCTGTGCTTGAGTTGTGTCGTTGGAATAGGTGACGACGCCACCCCAGAGGTCGATGCCATCCAGTGTAGCCATATCCAGTCTTGTGACAACGCCGAAGTTGCCTGAGCCACCTTTCAATGCTTGCCACAGGTCTGGATTGTTGTCCTTGTCTGCTTCGACGATCTCGCCGGATGCTAGCACAACCTGAACCATGTCAGTAATTATCTGTAGGAACAACAGACAGTCATACCTCAAATCGAATCACGTTATCACAGACGAAGCCTTCACGCGAGCCATAGAAAGAGTTGCCGCCGCCTGTGGCCAGTCCAGCAACACCCACGGTCGCCGCACGGCCGCCAGGGACAGCGACACCCAAGGCATCCAGTGTCTTGTATACACCGCCCCATCTTGCGCCTGGTTGGATCGAGGCGGTAGCATTCTCGGGGTTGTATGTGGTTGAGTTCATGTAAGCAAGGTCAAGTGTGACACCATCCTCGATGTTGGCGGCACCAGCCCAGGTCTGATGGCCACCTGATCGGATAGCAAACTGGCACAACTCGGTCTTGTTCGCTTCTACCAAGGTGGTGACAACTTTGGCAACCTCTCCTGCATCGTGTGGTTGTACGAAACACTTTGGGCTCAGACGAGCTTCGAGAGACCAATGCCCGTCAACAGCATCTTGGTAGAGTGCATCATCGGGGAAGAGCACCCGTTCTCCCAGGCCGGCATCGACGAGGGCTTGGCACTATCGGGATTAGTACTCCTGTCCGTTTTGGATGTTGAGGTCTTACGCAATGCGTCGAGGAGCTTGGGGCGTCGCTCGAAGTACACTCGGCATATGCTGTAAGAACTAGAAGCGCTGAGAGCGCTTGAATAGTGACGAGTCCCATCTTGGTTCAAGTGTGTCCTGTACCTGCAGCTGCTGAACGTTTCACCTTGAGGTATCGAAGAAGCTAAGAAGAAAAAGCGATCCTATAAACACCGCTCTCAACACGGCTATGCCTCTGTATCGATCCCAGTGTTGACTTACGTAGTTAGTCTATGTCGATCCTCGACTTGTACCTTGGCGGTGAAGCATAGAATTCCTCAATCTCGGCTATGACCTTTGCTCCATGTTGCGAAATCCTGATGGTATGCGCCAATATGGGCCGATGATCTCCAAGCCACCATCGCAAGACCGCAATGGACCCATCTGATGTCTTCATCGTGCAGAGTCTGTAGTCTTCATGAGGGACTACGCGACACGTTGCAAGCACCGTGTGAGCTGAGTTGACAAAAGCAGGATACCTTACATGGAGGAATCCCCGCAATCAGCAGCATCCGGTACATACCTAGGAGCTGCTTTCGCGGCCGTCCATCAGCCTCCAGGTTGATGATCGACAGAACGGGCACATCCATGGGCTTTTCCTGACAAGCGGCGAAGCTAGGTCTGGCACCGCCATTTTCAGCAATGCAAGTACCGAAACGGCGACAAGGATATGGGCCCACGAATTCAACTGCCTTCGGAGAACAAATTCCACTACACTGACGACCAAGGGAGAAGTACAACGTCCTACGAGTCAGCACCAACAACGTTGAGTTCCAAAGAGCCGGAAGCGGGTCGTAGAGTAGGAGCTTGACGATCGTTACGAGACAACAGCGAGCAGGAAAGGAAAGGGGCGGCAGTTGTAGCGGCCCCGGGGGTCTTGGCAACGTCTGACAGCGGGGCTTTGGCCGTCGGTCTTGGCTTCGTCTCCATACTTTAAAAGAACTTCTGGTTAGGACACCTCCACCAAACATCATCTGTGACCAGGACTATCCATGTATTCAAACATCGGCCCTTCACGCTACGGCCCGCGCATCTTCAGGCAATGATGCTGTGCTGCCCACGACTGCCGACGATGTGCACTGTCCTCACTCACACAAATCGGGGTCCTGAGCTTGATCAGCTTCGAACAGCTCCCGGAGAATGCGCAGGACCAGGGTTTGTCACTTCTACTTATTCCGTCATGCACGAACTGTTTGAACCGTCCAGTGGATGTTGAGGCGCCATTTCAGAGGAGTTCTTCCTGAGCCCTAAAACACCCTTTGAGTTGCGTTGGGCACGAGATTCGAGCACTGTCAACCTCTGTTCGGGCTTCGCGAAATCATGGTCGGGTCTTCGTGCAAGACACGTTTCCAAGAGTGGGACAAGCCGACTAACATCAGTAGTCAGCACATAGACTCTCGACAGTCGTCGTTTGTGCAAGCAAAGTGTGCAAATTTCGACTTCATGAGCTCCAGCAGACAAGCGTCTTGTTCGAAGAGCGGGACTCTGTCATTGATTAAACGTTTGCAACTGGAAGACCCGCTTTCTTGCCCACCTGGACCCGTAAGCTGGGTCACGGAGTATTCCTGGGCCCGCTGTGCACGGAGTTCTCCCGAAGAGGACGTATGCGTTGATCTTCCGGCTAGTTTCGAACCAGCTCAACGGCGTGCTTGCATACTAGTCTATCAAGACCCTACGCTCATTCGCTGACGGCAACGGATTGCTCGCAAGCGTGCACGGCTATGATCACCGACCTATGGGCTTGCGTCTTGCCCCACTCAGGTACAGTTCGACCCGAGTGCAGATCGCTGCATCGCCGTCGCAAAGCCTTGGAGTTCTCCAGTTGGGCCTTCGGCATGCTGAACATCGTGAGTCTCAAATACTGTCAAGGCTGGACGACTCGGGGGCACCGTGATCGTGAGCCTCCCAGCTTTTCTTCTTGGATGCTTTCAACGCTGGTCGAGGAAAAGCATCTTGCGATTCGAGCTGTCTTGAAGATTGATTTAGGCCTCGTGCAAAGCCATTTCGACTGTCAACGATGTCTATGACCAATGGTGTCCTCACGGCACTTCCAGCCCCTGAGGGCTACGTTGTCGACTTCGAGAACCCAAACCAGGTTGGCCACGTCGCTGGGTACTGGGTTACAGGAGTTGGGCTGGCAATCGCTACAACATTCTTGTGTATGAGGCTGTACACGCGTATATTCATCTCACGGAACTTCAGTATCGAAGATGGTATGATCGAGCTTGTCAATTTTCGATGCCCTTTACTAACGCTCCCTCGCAGTGGCTGTCATACTGTCATTTGTTCGTTGAAGCCCGCCTGCCACCATTTGGGGATCCTGACAAGAACATAGGCTTTCGGCACCGTCACGCAAGGCATTCTGCTAGGTAATGCTGTTTGACCATTAGAAAGGCCTCAACTAACACGCTCAGATAACTGGATCACTAAGACCGCGGGTGTCCATGCCTGGGAGATGTAAGGCTCCAAAGTCATTCAGCAAGTCTGCTGGCAGACGACACATGAAGCTCACTGAGGAACCTAGGCCGTTCGAGCGCTATCAAGACTTCACACTGGTGAGTTACCATGACGGCCAAACGGTGATTCCTTCCATGTACTGAATGCTTTATGCAGTTGATCATGGTCGCGTCCATCTGCTACGTCCCATGCCTTGGGTTTGCAAAGCTATCGATCCTGATCTTATACCACCGGCTTTCGAAGCTGAAGTGGTTCAAAATCTGCACATACATTGTGATGTCCATTGTGGCCAGCTACTCCATTGGCATTGTGCTTGCGTTGATCTTTCCCTGCCAGCCAATCGCGATGAACTGGGACCTCAGCATTACGGAGGGCAAGTGCATCGACAAAGCGGCTATTTACCTGGCTACCGCAGCAGTCAATGTCATGTAAGTCTCCCGCAGCATGATGTGACTCTATAATCTCTTGAGTGCATCCTTCGTACTCAGCCGAACGAGTCGGTGGAACATTGGGTGGCACATCAGCCTCCGTCCCAAGACCGGCCAAGCTGACCTTGTACAGCACGGACTTCATCATCCTAGCTCTACCGATCCCAGTTGTGCTTCGTCTGCAAATGAAGCGGACCAAGAAGATAGCCGTGATTGGGCTCTTCATGGTTGGATCCGCCACATTCATCACATCAATCGTACGTCCTGGTCCTGTTCCTGGCAGACCACCTGCTAATCAGCATACTACAGGTTCGCCTGGTCTATATGGTTCCTATGGTAAAGAACTTCGATCAAACCAGTACGTATGCCCGCTTCCCCCAGTCCATCCTTCCTCCTATCCAGGGACCCGCAAGCATTGCTTACACCTAGACCACAGGAGTCGTCTCAGTCCCCTGCGTCTGGATCAATGTCGAAGCCAACCTCGCCATCCTCGCCATTTCCCTACCCACCCTCCGTACCTTCCTACGCCACTTCTTCCCATCTATCTTTGACGATAGCCAAGCACCCGGCTACAGTGGCGGCTCGGGTCTCAAGAACTACTACAACAAACGTCGCGGCCCAGGTGGCTCTGTGTCCAAGCATGGCCGCAGTGGTACCTTTGACGGCTCGACTCACGTCGGTACACACAATCGCAGCATTGTTGGGCGCTATGGGCGGATGGGGTCTGGCTCGAAGACCTATGATGACGACGATGACACGAAGCAGTTCGGCTCTTCTGTGAATGAGCACCACCTCGATCATGAGCTCGAGACGAGGCATTTGAAGTCGTTGGACGGTGTGTATGACGGCAACCAGAGCCATCACGACGCCATTGCATATCCAGGCCGTCTTCAGGCTGCACGACGATACGAGAGCACAGGTGACTACAACAGCAATGTTCGTGGTGGAGGTCCGCCATCTACGGGCGTTCGACGTCACACGAGTCGCGCCAATGCCGATGTCGAGTCTGGGGAGACCGAGATTGCGGATGACGGCAGTGATAAAGCTATCTGGCAGACTAAGACTGTCACTGTCGAGCGGACTCGATGAGCAAGAGATAGGATGCGAATGGAGGGGCAATGAGTGCTAGGCACCCACAACTGTACAACACTAGGTCGCAAATGACTGTTCATATGAAAACAAATATAAATACATGGCGCACGACAGTGTCGTGCCCTGTCCATCTTCGGTCGCTTCACTCAGTCCCATCTTGACCGAGAACGCTTGTAGCATGCAGCACAGCTGAGGGAGAAGGATGGACTTCTTCAACTTAGGTGGGATGGCAGTATCATGAAGGCTTCTGTCAGGCCAGTTGACGTGGACTGTATAATCCCGACATCGGTTGACGTAAGCCCTAGCCGAGACCGGATGACTAGGTTTCTCGGATGTGAGTCGCGCATCGCCTGGAAAAGAGTCTTAGTCGAGTCCGGATGACCTATGGAAGGACCGGTCATTCTGCCAGGTGCACAGGAACATTTGAAGCCAAATGACCCGCTATATGATCGTTCCTGTATATGGTGTACGCGCTGAGAATCTGCTCACGAGCCTTAATGTGCGTTGAACCTGTACTCCTCATGCTGAGTATACACACACTCGGATCGCTGGACCCATTCCATGCCGCGCAACGAACAGTCAGTGGCCGCCTGGCAGTATCCACCGAAGCTGAAGCCCAAGCAAGTCGAGAGCGGTTCATCATAAGGAGTGAATAGGAGTCATGCTTTGGTGAATGATGGCTGGACAAAGAGACATAATAGACTCCAGCTATTGCAAAGCTGACTTGGTTGGTAGGAGTACTTTTCGGCGGTATCAGATTGGAGGAAGCAGTCCATCGTCAATGGTCTGGGTCGATCTCATGGACTTGTCGAGGGAGCATTCGGGCTGCTGCAGGTGCGGACTTGGCGTTCCACAGTCGCTAAGGTGTCGAATCACGACTTTCATTCCGCCCGGATCTCGGTTGAACACGACAAGGCTGAGCTGTGTTCGCCGCTTTTGTGATAGAGCTACCAATATGGCGAGTGCTTACCATGGAGACTTGGACCGAGATGGTATAGATGACGAGCTAGACGATAGGGCATAAGGCGCCAGACCTTGACCGGTCTGCCCGTTCGGACACTACCTGGATTGGGTTGTGCGATACCCATAGTCGTACGACCAGCGGTCAGGCATGTCGTATGCGAGCTCAGAGGAGATACCCACATCTACGGACGCGAGATGATCGAGTCAACTTGCAAGGAGCTGGCGATCGTTGTCGAACAACGAAGGATGATGACCTGAGGCAAGAGCCAACGATCCTATTGCAGTTGCCATGTATGAGAGAGCACAAATCGAGGAAGGCAGCGGCTCCCTTTGAGGATGAACTTGTCGTTCAGGGATCACTCCTGTAAGGGAAGACCGCATTTCGCATCCATCGAGCAGACCTTTGCAGTCCAAACGCCCTCATGGGATTTTTGCCGAGCACGGTAGGCTATGGATAGGTACATTGTACTTATGCCATCACCGTCCTTTTGGCCCCTCACGAAGTGTCAATGTCCATGCGCGGGTCTCCAGAGTGCACAGTTGGTAGTGAACTAGGCTATAAGCACTCATCAGCTCCGACGCGTTCTGAACCAACCTATTCTTAGGCGCCTGGTAAGTCGTCAATCAGCATCGGGTTCGCGGAACTACATCCTCCCGAGCACGTCTTGCGTGCTTGGGCAATGTCGTGTGCACTCCTATATGGCATATAGCATTCCCAGACCTCGTGCCCGTGAGCCTTCTGCTGTCGTACACTGGTGGACCGGTTGTACAGTGGTCGACATCCTTGGTACACAATATATGTGGGTCGAGTGAGGCGGAGGCCTTGGCTCCGGATCAACTTCTATTACATAAGCCAACTGGATAACATAAGCCACTGCCCAGGCGGCCCAAGTTCAATGTCCGCATCATTTTGCATCAACCAGCGACCTTACGGCATAAAATACTGTACAGACGCTCTCGCGCCCGATCGAGCGCTCGTGGGACATCCTATGGACCCGACAGCTTGTTGGAAAGTCCCAACAGCCGCATTGGCGAAGGAAGAGTGAAATTGCGACCGCTGACCAATCGGTCCAAGCTTCGCTCACCATGCCGACCACCATGATGGGACTCGTCACTGAGCGCATGCTGCAGCCAGAGCCAGAAGATCACTCAGTGGACGTTCACTCACGGTCAGAAAAGCGACAAATAACGAGAAATCGAACCAGCTACTCCTGCCAAACTTGTCGAAAACGGAAGGTGAAGTGCGACAAGGGCAGTCCAGTATGTGGCGGCTGCTTGAAGACGGGCGATGCTTGCATCTATGGCAAGCTGGATCAGTCTCCACCGCCGACTGGCCGGGCAGCCAGTTCAAAGCGACGCAACAGCGGCGTGTCGAACGACACGGGTACACCTACCCAGCCGAGGATTGGAGCAGCTCCTGGCAATGTGATCATTCACAGCCTTGAGCAGCAGCTCGCACGGTTGGCGGATGTCGTTGAGACGATGCGTCGTGAATCGTCGCGAGGAGCTGGGTTCAATGCACCGCCCAGTCCTGAGTCTTTGGAGTATCAGACGAGCAGTGACGACGGCAACAGAAGCCGCCAAGCATCGCTGGCAGCAGGTGCAGTCTCAGATGCACTGGTACAGAAGGCCGGTGAACTTAGTCAATCGCTCTCAAATCTTGACATCACATCTTCCACAGTCTCATACATCAGCAAGGGCAAGGAAAACTTCTGGAGCCACCTCGCAGCTGAGTTGCAACAGCTACAATACCTCATACGAGGACCTCCTACACTTCCAGCCGAAAAAAGCCTGACTGAGGCTATGGGCATCGAGCAGCATGAATGCAATGCACCAAGAGAGAAGCCAGATCCAGACGCAGTCATTGACGAATGTCTGGACATGCATACGTTTCAGCTACCTCCCGCCGATTCAGACAGCATTGACTGCTTGCCATGTCACGTCAAAACTGGTGACAAGTCTGCACTACTACTGCCTCGACGGATCAAGACCCTGCAAGATCACACAGATGAGGTGGATCTACTCACATCAGTACCGACTGAGGCGCAGAGCAATGTCTTGTTTCGAGCGTGGATGTCAGGAGTGTACCCAGCGCTTCCCGTCGTTCCTATGCGCATAACCTTCCTGCGCTACCAAAGATTCTGGAAGTGGAAAAGGGACCTCGAGGACGACGCAGACAATAATCATGAAAGTGCAGACATGTACATCATGCCTTTGCTATTCGCCATCTGGTATACAGGCGCACTATCGCTGTCAGCCAAAGCTTTCCAACGCCTGTTTCCAGATACCAGTCGAGCTGCATTATGCGCTGGGTACCACGACGAATGTGTACGAATGCTTACGCTGGTTTCATTCCCGGCTCACACCAACCCATACCTGCTTGCATCTCTTGTGATGCTGCAGTCGGTGCCATGCGCGGAAGAAGAGCCGCAACAAAGCAGCGCCTACGTCAATCTCATGGTCAGACTTGCACAATCAATGGGAATACATCGCGAACCAACGCTGAAAGAAGCAAATCCATTCGATGCTGAGACAAGGCGTCGTGTTTGGTGGCAGGTCGTTCAGCTAGACACATATTTGGCAGTGTCCAGTGGCTTTCCCACGCTGAGTAATGATGCAACCGCAGACGCCAGGCCTGTCAGCCAAGTCAAAGAGATGTTTATCGCATCCCGTGAAGAAGAGGCTCTCTTGAAGAACGAGAAGATCGAGCCGATCGACGATCCATTTGGTCAGTCTCTCTCCATCGGGTCAGTCGCAGCTTTGGTCATGCGCACGTACTCCTCGATTGCAATGGCGACACGGAAGATCGTGGCTATGCACATGCGAACCAAGCCAGTGGATATCAGAGACCTCAAAGAGATGAACGAGATCATTGCAGCTACCGAAGCTGAGGTGCGCGCCGTCATGAACAACATTCCCGCCAAAGGTGTGCCCGAGCTGGGCTTCATTCCTGCAGACACTTCATCACGCTTCCCAGCACAACTCGACTGCGACACAAGCCTGGAAAGCGAGCCCACCGATGCTGAGGTGACATTCTACACCGGTATCTTGACCGAGGACATGCCGCCGAACTTGGCTCGCTTCCACCGTCAACGCACCGCCGCCTTCCACAAGTGGGCACGAATTTACCTTTCAATGATGTGTGACAAGATGCACTGCATTGCATATGCACCATTCCTCAAGAACCTCAAATCGAAGCTCTGGGGTGGCGGCAGGCAATGCGCTTTGCACCACTGCAGCGCTTACTTCAGGAAGTTCCTCTCGCTTGCGAACGACCCATCCCTCGAGCCGTTTCGCTGGAACTGGCCTGGTACAGCACAGCCTATGCATGCCGCCATCATTCTACTAGTCGACCTCTATGAACGACCACGCAGCGTCGAGGCACCCCGTTCTCGCTCCCTGATAGATGAAGTGTTCTCTCTCTCTGCACCTGTCAATGGCATCGTCGGATGTTCTCTCGGCAACACCTCTCAACGACCGTTCCGTGAAGGTGGTGGGGATGCTTGGGAGATGCTCCGCAACCTTCGTGCTACTGCGTGGCGCAAAGCTGGCTTGGATCCCGATGTGCTCTGGACCGAAGAGCAACAAGTCCTGGTCGGACTAGCTCAACCGTTGACCATGGAGCAGAAGATCGCTCGAAGTATGCGTGAAGACACACTATACGACAACAGCACACCTGAAACAGGCGATTCGAGTATGATCAACAAAACACTCCAGGGGATGTTCTCAGAGATCTCGACGGGCAACCATGCTTTCCAAAATCCTGCCGATGGCGACGTGCCGCAAGGAACTTACCAAGCCTCACCCCAACATCCCATTCGCCTCCCTGGCCAGCAGCCCATGCCCTTCCCCCTGATCAAACGCAAAGCCGCCGCCGCCACCGGCAACAGCCAAAGTCTTTCAACGCAGCACGGCAACGGCGCGGCCGCACACATCGACGCTAACCGCTTCAACGACTCCTTACCCACAGAGCTACAAGACGAGAGCATGGGCTACCCGCGATGGCTAAATGAGAAAATCTCGAGTGATGGCGGTAACATCAAAATCCACCGCTCTAGCAATGGCAAACATTTGGGTTCCTCGTCCATGCCAGAGAATCAGAGCGTAGGAACGCCCGATAGCATTGATGGTCACACAGCCCCCATGATGGCGGCGTATCAACAACTTCAAGACACCACCACTGGGAACGGCTATGGCGGGCCTAACCATGTCCACGACGGTAACGGTGCGTCAGCACTACAGCCCAACGCCATATACGCCAACTACCCCGCCCCGCCCTTCCAATCCGCACCCACCGACTTTGCTGCCCCAGTCCCGGGCTGCACGAACCAGAACATCAACAACGACACCTCTCTTCACTTCTCTGCGCCGATGCAGCAGCAACAGCTCTACACCCAACAACAACCCAACAACATGCAGACTCAATTCATCCCACCGACTCTGACAACACAGCAAAGCACCGATCCAATGGACTTGTCCTTCGACTGGGAAGCCTGGGACGCGGTGTTCAACCAATACTCGGGGTATAGTGATTTCATGGATGATATTCCGAGCTGGCATCAATGATCATCGTGAACCGAAGAAAGGATGTCCCTCGAGGGCAGAATCTATAAAAAATAAAAATCTCAAGGCGCAGAATATTCATTGGACGGGGGTGCATTTGTCTGCAATGATCGGATTCTATTTATATGTGCTATGTACATGAGCTTGATTGAGCGTCCCTTGATGCATAAGACCTGGGTACGTAGGTATGGAATGCTGTTTTCGGCGTAACGCCCCAATTCAAAATTCTACGCGATCCATCACGTCTAGCCGTTTCCACCGTCCCGCTCTATGACCCTGCCTCTTCATAATGAAGTCTATCGAGACCTCGGTGCTAAGCAATCTAGGGCAACGTGATGGTGGTGATGACAGCCACTTTGTTCCGATAGTTCATGCTGATCCAACAGCGGGCGACGACAGGTGTCGTCGCGCGGTCTCCCCCGTCGTTGATTTCCGGCGACGGATAGGACGATCGTAAGTGCGGAATGCGATTGCCGTCCAGACTTCGTTACGACTCGCCAGGCCCTCTCGAGCGGTCACAGAAACGCGGCAGACGATCGCTGCACTCGCCCCAACCCCGAGACGCACACGACCACCACAAAGAAGCAAGCAGCCACGATCCTTGCAACGGCTAATAAAGCCCAGGGTATGTGGAGAACCATGATTGAGGACGACGAGTCGAAGTGTTGTGTGTCTTGGAGGAACTCGGGTGTTGGGCCTACTCTCTGCGGCCGTTGTATGGTTCAAGTTGGTGTCGTTCTCATCTGTCACAGTCACGCTGGGGGCCACTGTGTTATAGTCATGGGTGTCGTCGAAGTGACTTTGTCTCCCGTTATCGTTTGGCTCATGCAGGACGGAGCGACGGAGCGGAAAGTGCCGAGCCTGCATCTCAGCTGAAGCTGGTGATGCAAGTCATCGTCTGTTGCGTCTGATGATGACGAAACATGCTCCGCGGACCCGATAGAACTGCAAATGCCAGAGAAGGAAGCTTGCCTGCCTTTCCGGGACTCTTCTCAATTTCCATCGACTTGGGCGGAACATGGTGCCGGCAGCACTATAAATTTACCACCAGACTAGCGAACAAGGTAGCCTTTTCGTCATGGTCGGCATTCATCTAGTGGAAATATGCTCAAGGTCTTGCTCGGACAACCTCCTGGCGTAAGTAGTATGGCCATCAAAACCATTCATCGCCGGAACGCGAGGACTGTCTCTGACACTCTTCTTCGGACTGGGTTTGTTGCCGTTAGCCAGAATAGCCGTGCCGTTCAAGTTACCATGAGACTCCACTGCGTTGCTTCTGCTCATGATCTTGCCTGCCGTGTGCGCACAGCTCCCGTACGAGAAGCGAATGAGCGAATCACCCGTCAGACTGCCAATAATAAAGACGTCGGGAGCGACCTCCATATCTTCATTGGCTTTCTCGCGTAACGTCTGACCTGTTATCAAACTCAAGTCGCCGCTTTGTGAAAGCTCCGGAACCAGTTCTGATTTCAAATCTCGAGACAGATAGTCCAGACTGCCTCGTCTGCCAACAACATATGCCATGGCTGATATGTGCCGCTCGTGGACCTCGCCAGCACTATTGCGCAGTTTGAGCGTAGCTTCGGAACCACAGTCAGACACATCAACAGCAATGATCTCAGTATTTGGAAGCCCTTCGTAGGTTTGGTCCCAATTTCGGTTCAGATCGAAAGTTGTAGATCTGGTCCTGTGAGGCTTTGGCCTCCTGTCGCGTGAGGCCTTCGGCGACAGTGCCGCCAACTTCATACGCTTGTAGACCCCAGCGTATTCAGGGTAGGAATCCGCATGACAAGCGCGCAATGGTGAAGGTCTGTGTGCAGGGTCCCACTTGAAGATATGCATCAGCTTCTGAGCCGGACTCGAAGAGATGATGATGTCTGCTGCACTGAAGCCGGAACCTATGACCAGTAGCGGCAGCTTAGTCGGCGTCGGTGGCAGGGGTGGCAGGACCTTCAGAGGCTGTAAGAGAGGTCGAGGCGGGATCAACTCGGAGAAGATGCCCGTAGCTAACACCAGATGCCGGCATTTCAGTCCATGAGACTGAACAAAGAATCCGTCCTCTGTCCTGGATATGTCAGACAGCCGAACATCGTTGTAGACGCTGTCGGATATGCCTGCTTGACTCGGATATGCTGCGAAGTAGCCTGCTACTTCTCTCCTAGTCGGCCGCATGTAGAACGGCAGCGGCTCGCCATGGTGGTTCTCGTAGTGCTCTGCGAAGGTGTATCCAGGTAGTGACAGCATGCCGGCATAGCTCAGAGTCCCAATATCCCAGCTAGCCTGGACCGGATTGTCGACCCATTGGCCGCCAGCATCGTGCGTGTCGCCAACGATTGCATGACTGACGGCTCTACTCGGATCGTACTCCCACTTCACACAGGAGGCAGTGCCCTCACTCTCGCCATATGGTCTTATAAGCGCGTCAAGCAACACATTGACGGGCAGTGCCTGTGTCGAGTACGAGTACCTTGAGGCAAGGAAATGCTCCGTAAAATGGTCAACGTCGAGGTCGACGAGGTTGGACGTGTGCCTAAGCTTCTCGTGAAGTATGCTGTCCGGATGCGGATTTTCAACGTCGTATACGGGTATGTGACCGTGCAGTATGTACGACAGTATCAGCGCAGAAGGTCCGTTCCCTGCAAGGCGGTTAGATGCGTGTACTTCAGGAACATATCCGAAGACCGCGGGGTAGGGTTACGCACCAACAATGAGCGTGTCGACCTCGCGGGGCAAGGTACGAGGCGACGCCATGACAGCAGAGCGCTGTCTGTGTACAGCAACATGCCGAAGAGATCAGTCGAGGTGCAGCAGCGCATGACGCTTTTCTTGATGAAAGAAAATATTCTTCATCATTGACTCCATCGGCTTTCAAATTCGTCCAAGATCTGGATCTTGCAGCCGGCGACAAGGGGCATGCCGCACCGCGTGGAGGAGGGGCTTTTGACTTTCTTATAGGCCTGTTGACCTCATCAATCATACATGTATGTGGTACCTTATTCTATCCCCACATCAGCTGCCACATATTGGGAAGGTTCTCGTTTACCACAAGCTTTTTCGTCCGATCTTCGGTTGAACGGCCGACGGCAGTCGGTGATGGGCTGAACGACGCGCTGAAACGATACGCCGCACGCTTCTCTGGAGGAAGTGATTCCGTCGCAGGAAGCTGAGATCGTAAGCGTCACTACCCTACTGTCATTTTACGCAAGTGCAACCACTGGGCCAGCTGGCCGTGAAGTGAGAGCGAGGAAAATGCACGATCGCCGAAACAGCCCACGTCCCTCGCAAGATGAATTGCAGTGCATGATAACGCTTGCGTGGTGCTGAACTGCCCAGCGGACTCTCCGCCAGTGTTCCGCCGGGTTTGAATTGGCTCCTAGATCGACTGCTGACCAGGAGCGTCCCGTCATGTCCTTGTTAACAACATGAGCCGCGTATGCAATCTGAAATTCATGCGTCGAGGTTAAGAGTGGATGAGAGTCGTTGTGACATGTTGCAGATGAGCGTATTGAGTACACGTTGTGCACTGCACGTTTCAATTCGGGTCTTGCGTACCTGCCTTCAGGAAAGGCTGGCAAGCACAATCTGCTTGAGCTCCTGCATGCCGTCCATACACGAAGGAGACCCAACAGGAAAGAGCGAGGCCTGCCAGTAGGTGCCGCTCATCATCGCGACGTCCGTTTCGCGCGATGCTTGGTAGTGATGCCTCCGATATCTCACGAACAAGATCACCGTAGTAGATAAGACGCGTATACAGGAAAGCGCCACGACAATCTATTCACGTCTTCCACTGTGGTCTCCTCTTCTCCGCGAACGAAGCCATTCCCTCCCGCGCATCCTCTCCTCTAGCATGCAGCGCCATCACTTTCCCTGCCCAGCTGACAGCGTCCTCATATCCATCTGCCTGCCCTCCTTCCACCCCCCGTATTCCAACCTGCGTCCAGAAAGCCCATTTCCCAAACGCCTGCGGTTGCGCTGGCAAATCCACCAGTCGTTGTACTACCTGCCTCACCCTCTCCTCAAACGCCTCCTCCGTGTCGTCCTTGACCACATCCACCGCCTGCCCAGGCAGCTCATCCGCCCTCACCTGCTCCGCGAGCGCCAACATCCGATATGTGAATGCATTACTTCCCAACTTCCGACTCACTGCCGTGCTGGGACTCGTGCATGGTAAGCCTATACTCGCTCCCGGCAACTGAAACGGCGTGCTCGCCTTCGCAATGGGTAGGTCAGTAGTGAGTGCCAACTGACATCCCGCCGCCGTCGCGAGCCCATGGATCGCGCCCACAACAGGGATCGGGCTCCGACGGATCAACGATATGACTTCGGCGCAGAGCGCGAAGGTCTCCTTGACCTCATCGTGAGACAGGCCGCGGAGTTCAGAGAGGTCATGCCCGGCGCTGAACACGGGGCCTGAGCTGCGTAACACAAGGACCTTAGGCAGATCAGCACGGTGTTCGCGCCAGGCGGGCCCGTTGAGGAGGAGCCAGGCGTGCTCTCGGATAGATTCTGGTAGATCGGTGGGACTGGTGGCGCGTTCCAGCTCGTGAAGGTGGAAGGTTGGAAAGGAGGCAGTATCCGTAACTTGCCGTCCGATGGCGAAGTGTTGTATTTGTGCAGCTGGTCGCGGAGGCTGCGTAGCACGGCGAGAGAAAGGGCGTTGCGGCGGCGCGCGTTGTCAATTGTGAGGTAGGCGGCTTTAGCAGGGAGTTTGGGAAAGCTCATGTTGGGATGGCCGTCATGTGGGATGTGTACCTTCCATGGTCTGTCAACGCAATCCAGGAACAGCTCAAGCCTGCGACTGAACCGGCAGGTACCAAAGTACTGTTTTACACGAGACAGTGATAGTAGTCGATGGGACGGGATCTCTTGGCTGCCTTCCGAGGTTGAAAGTCGGAACAACAGGTCAGTCTTGGCATAGGATGGTGTCATGTTAGGTAGATGGCATTTCTTGTGGCAGCGGTAATAGTTACGCCCATCGAAAAGTCAGTGCAGGATCCAATGCTCGCTATGCTACAGGTATGCCATGCTTGCGGACGCGATGCCTGCCTTAGGCCTTCCCCTTCTTCTTCCCACCAGTTCTCCCCTTAAAACTCCCCTCAAACCCAGGCCTCTTCGGCTTGCCCTTGCCTTTCTTACCCTTTTCCTCCTGCCTCTTTGCCAGATTATCAGTCCGCTTCTTCTGTCGTGCCGCTATGCTCTTGTCGATGCCTTCCTTGCGGTCAGTCCATTCCTTCTCGCTTTTCTTCTTCTGGCCTTCCTGGCGTTTCAGTGCTTTCTTCAGCAAGGAGGTGTCGTCTTTGACCTTCTCGCCGGCCGCACGCTTTCGAGCAGCCATCCACATGTCTTGGCTGGCTATGCGGGATTTCTTCTCGTCGTCTAAGCCGGACAGGCGGGACTTCTTCTTGAGGGCTGCTGCTAGGGCTGTAGCGGCGTCGGAGGGGCCTTTCTTTTTGCGCTGATCGGAGCCTGCTTCGTTATCGGCTTGCATGTTGGGGTTGAAGGCACTCCCATCGTCGAATGCGATTCGGCCGAAAGAGAAATTGTTTGACTCATTCAGATCAGGTGTTGATATTGGTGATCGTGGAGAGTTGAGCAGAGATCCAGAACCACCAGGGGAGAATCGTGCAGCTATTTCGGCCTCCTGCTGTCGCTGAGCTTCTTCCTTCTCGTGGCGGATCCGCTCCTTCTTCTCCACACGCTTTTTCTCCTCCTGTCGGCGGCGCTGCTCGAGCAATTCAGCGCGCGATTTGGGAGCTGTTTCGACATCTGCTTTTCTTTGACTGCGGAATGCTGCTAGAGCATTAGCCAGTCGTTCTTTTGGTGGTGGAGCTGTCGGGTCTGCGGTGGGCGGCGTAGGCTTCGCTTGAACGAGGTCTTCTGCCGGTGGATTGATCGAGGACGTTGAAGAAGTACCTGATTCCTGTGGTGGCGAGAAGACTTCGGTGTCCTCAGGCTCTGAAACATCGGACATGGATTCATCGTCAAGCTGGGTAGTCAGTGTATGCGCTGGCTGCTGAATATCAATTTCTTCGGCCACACCTTCATCCCCTTCGTTATTGTCGTTGTCAGCCTCAGCTGCGTCTTCTCCTGCATTCTCACTCTTTTCGGGCGGCTGCTTGTTGTTCTTTGCTTTCTTAGGCTTGTCCTGATTTTTGGCAGCCTTCTCAGCCTGCTTTCGAGCCTTGCTTCGATCCGCCTTCTCTTTCGACTTGAGCTTCTTTTCTCTCCTTCGCTCTCGTTTAGCGGCTTTGGCGTCTCGTATCCGCTGTCTTCTTTCCTCGTCGGTCTCTGTTGGTGGCGGCGCCTCGCTCTTGTCTATTTTCTGCTTCTTGGACTTGCGTTCTGCTCCGTCGGCCTTTTTCGTTGGCTCTTCTAGCTCGATACCGTCGATTTCAAAGTCATCGCCATCTTCTTCTCTTTGCCGCTTCTTGGATGCAGCCTCCCGTTCATCCATGACATCTTTGGCACTCTTCCAGTTGTCTGGATCCAGCTTTTGCCTCTTTGCTTCTCGCTTTTGCTCGGGCGTCTGCTTCTTCCTCTTCCATTGGTCCTGCCTTCATTAGCCTGGCTCAGCATAGAACTACAGCTACTCACGCTGACATCTTCGCCATAGTACACCTTGGCCGGTATTAACGACAGCAGCCCATCGAAACTGCGGGCATGCTGTTTCAGCCGTTCCTGTACAAATCAGCATAAAAGTCCGTCAGCAATCTGGCGATGCCTACCTCAAGCTCGTCAGGCATGGCTGCTCCTGGCGAGGTTTAAGGAATGAGTGCCTTTGAGGTTATTGGTATCATCCAAAATTTTGAATCTCTCACGAGACATCGATCGCTAAACTTTCATGACTTCCCCACACGAGCCGCTCGAAATCTTGGCTACGGTGGACTGTTTTGGGCGCAGCTCGGATCATCTCAACGCCTTTTCGGCCGCCGTACACGCTCCGACTTCCGGCACGGTCTTGTGTCACCCACCTCTCCCACACTCCAGTCATTCACGTCCATTCCTTCAATCTCGCCTTATCAGCGCTTGAAAATGTCTATTGGCTGATACGCCGTGCAGGCATTACATTGCGTGCATTGCGTGGGCAGTAGCTAGGCGAGTACTCCTAAGAATACCTCCCTCCTTGTAACTTGCATACATGCAACTAGGAGAGAAGACATGACGACTTCGCTACGATCGAGCCTTTCAGTCAGCCATAAGGGCATCTCCGACACCTAGACAACTTATGGTTCGATCCTATCGAGGACGCTGCCTTTTTGATCAGTTTCTATCGAGTAAATATCGAGTAAGGAAGTCAATCCAAGCTTTGGCCTAACCCGAAATGATTGTACCGAATCCGATTCCCAACGTAAGAGGCCTCGGAGGCTTCTTATCTCTCACCAACAAACGCTCCCATGTGGCCATGATTCAGCTGCTTGAGCCAATGACAATTCCATGTGCCATATACGCTGCCTCGTCAGCTATTATCGGGTTTGGCCGGTTCCCCAGCTGCCACTCCAAACGATGTCTCTCGTCACCCCAGAGCACTCCTGGGCTGGTGGGTATGTCACTTGAATGTTCTCTATGAGACAAAACGAGGTAAGTGGCGGCAGCACATCGACTTTGATGCCCTGCCGTGCCTTTCTTAATACGTAGTCCGTGAAGGCCGCTCTTACTATTTCTTTGTTTCGACTTTGGCACGCACGTGCTGTTTTCGTCCTTCTCACATCTCCTTATCAGCACCACAGAGATAAGAGCACTTCGCTTCTTCACATGCTCTAACTCCTTCCTCATTCTTCCTGTGCTATTCAGAGTCAACATCGTCACTTGTCGTTGAAGTATACACGTTATCTGAATCGACGCTTAGCCATGAACGGCAACCCAGATACCCGACATGGCTATCCTACGCCTCCCAAATCGCCATCTAACGACTCAAGTGGGGACCCCGCCATCACAGTGATAGCCTCGTCACGGGCAGTCAGATCTGGCCGCTTATCAGCGGCCACATTCATCGTCTCTAACCAGACAGGCAAGATCATCTCAACATACGACTCAGTGGTACCCCAGGACAACTTCCCCGCAAACACCCCATACACCGACTACTCTCCACACATCCTACTACCTGGCCTAGTTGACGCCCATGTCCATCTCAACGAGCCCGGCCGGACAGAATGGGAAGGCTTCTACACCGGCACCCAAGCCGCTGCTTTCGGCGGCGTCACAACAGTAGTAGATATGCCACTAAACGCCATCCCACCCACCACCACGGTCGCCAACCTCAACGAGAAGATCGCCGCCGCCAAAGGCAAATGCTGGGTCGACGTCGGCTTCTACGGCGGCATCATCCCCGGCAACTCCGCCGACCTCAAGCCCCTCGTCGCAGCCGGCGTCCGCGGCTTCAAAGGCTTCATGATTGAGTCCGGCGTCGACGAGTTCCCAGCCGTCTCCTCCGAAGACATCCGCAAAGTCTTCGCCGAACTCGCCGACGAGCCACAACAGTCATGTTCCATGCCGAAATGATCCCCCCCATCACCGAGTCGGTCGGCGACGACGTCCAAGTCTCCCTCCCACCACTCGCACCAAAGGGCCCCCTCGACGTCTACCGCACCTTCCTCGACTCCCGCCCACCAGTCTTCGAAACATGCGCCATCGAGGAGATAATCTCGCTTGCCCCAATCGCGCCCCAGCTGCCGCTCCACGTAGTCCATCTCTCTGCAATGGAAGCAATCCCCCTGCTCCGCGCCGCACGCGCCAGCGGCGTCAACATCACGGCCGAGACCTGCCCGCACTACCTCTCCCTCGCGGCAGAGCAGATCGCAAATGGCGACACCCGCCACAAATGCTGTCCCCCCATACGCACGCAGTCGAATCAGGATACTCTCTGGGATGAACTCGTCCGCCACACCGCAGAAGGAGTAATCAAGACCGTCGTCTCAGACCACTCACCCTGCACACCAGACCTGAAACTCCTCCCCGGCACTGTCCCGGGCCACGTCGCGCCTACCAAACCCCCCTCAGGGGCCAAAGACGGCGACTTCTTCTCCGCCTGGGGCGGCATCTCCTCCGTCGGCCTCGGCCTTCCTATCCTGTGGACCGAAATGAGCCGTCGCGGCCTCACCACCACTACACAATTCGATACGGCAATAACGAACCTAGTAACATGGTGCGCAACCAACACGGCACACCAAGTCGGACTTGAACGTTCCAAAGGCGACCTCGCAGTCGGCTTCGATGCGGATTTCTGCGTGTTTGATCCCGAGCAGAAGTGGACGGTGGAGCCGAGCACGATGCTGTTCCGGAATAAATGCAGTCCCTACCAAGGAAGGGAGATGGTCGGGATGGTGAAGCAGACCATACTACGAGGAAGGACCATATACGACCGCGGCCTATCCAAGGAATCCCATGGAGGTTTCGTTGGGAAGCAATGCGAAGGACGATTACTGCTTGAGCCAAGAAAGAAGAGGAGTGGGTTTGTGCACTGAGACGTGGTTTTGGCAGATGGGATACATCACGGAGACTCGATAGAAAAGCCAGCACCTTTATTCATCTTTCCACCCCTAATGCTACAAAGCCTTCTTCTCATTCACGTTTCCATCCTCGTCTCGATCCACCTCCTTCTCCTGCTCACTCGCCAGCCGATCCTGCTCCCTCTCCCACTTCTCCCGAACCCGCCTCCTAGCCCCACCACCCTTCCCCTTCCCCCATATCTCCTCCTTCCGCTCCCACTCCCGATCCCCCTCTTGTGGTTCTGGGCCATCGTCATCCTCCCTCCTCAACGCAATCTCATCCCCCACCCCCTTATACTCCTGAGATCCCCACTTCCTCTCCTTCTTCGCCTTCTCCCGCTCCCTTCCCAGCCTGACCTTGCGCATGTAGCCTGCGTAGACCGCTGCTTCGGCCACGCCGACCACGATGGCGACCAGCATGGAAATCAATACGCGCAGAGCATCGTTGCCGTACGCCCACCATTTTGTAATCTGGAACGCCGCGAGTCCGCAGAATATGACTGATACTAAGACGTTGAGGACGACGGAGGGGGTTAGGGGGTCATCCTCGCCTTCCAGGTCTGCGGCGGAGATATAGTCGTTGGCACCTGCGGTCGCCGCAGCGCTTTTCTTAGCGACGAGCGCGTGGTAGTCTCGTGCTTCCTGCTCGGCGCGTAGGCGGTCCATTAGGGCGAGGTATTCAGGTGACTTCTCGGGTTTGGGTGGTGGAGGGGGCGTGTAGGGGCAGGTGCCGTGGAGGAGGGTGTTGAGTGTGCAGTTTGGGAGGCCATGCTGGCGGGCGAGCTTGGAGAGGGTGACAAGGGTGGTGTGTGCTATTGGCGTGGAGGCATCATTCGGGAGAGGTGCGGATAGAGTCGATCTTGCTTCTGGTGGGAGGGAGGTCAGAGCGGAGAGGATGGCCGGGGTCGCGGTGAGTAAGACCATTGCCGCGGACAACCGTGGCACCGAGATGCGGCAGCGTTGGTGGGGGAGGAAGTGTGGGCGTGTGTTGTACCTTGTTGGTGATGGCGATCGAGGCTGTCCTGCTCGCGCAGGCATGTGCCTGGAGATGATCGGAGATAGCGCCTGTACAGATACCCCGCGAATATTTCTCGCGTCGAGCCTCCAACTCCACGGCTGTTGTCAACCGGTCTCAGTCAACTCCAGCACTTTTTGGACGACGCGACAACAGGCTGTACATCACTTGTGATTCAGGTGTGAGTGGCAGAAACCATTTGGAATGGCGTAACGCGTCGCACTACCCAGCTAGAATCACCGCGCGACACCGTCATCATGGGCAACGAACAATCGCATGAGTCTGCATCGGGCTCTGGAGGGGAGGGTGAGGAAGCGGAGCGCTTCGACCTGTCGGCGATTGAGGACACACGACGCAGTCACAGGCTCAGTCCACCGCCACCACCGACGTTAGCGGGCTCTCCGCAGCAGACTGACCCTTCACGGCGCAAAAGGCGGAAAAAGCGAGATTCTCAGGCGCAAGAGGCGCAGGGGCATTCTAGCAGTGGTTTTGATGGGTTGCACCGAAGTGGCGGTGGTCAAGAGGCGGCAGAGGCTAGCGAAGCATACGAGGAACCTCGACCGCGTTCCAATCAGACAGTGGAGGTGCGAATACCTCTAACGCAACCCATTGAAGCGCGGACAGCGCTTTCAACCCCTCCAGCACGACACGAACGAGCGACAGCGGCGCGAACAGCGCACACAGAACCTCTGCCAGAACTTGAACGAGGGACAGAGCTGCCGCAGGCTCAATCGCGACCATCACCACGAACCCTACGAGCGACCGAGGTGCGCAAGGCCCAGCAGAAGCCACGAGCTAACAGCAGCAAGAAGAGAAGGGGCACACGCAGAGTTGCTCCTGACGAGTCCAGTTCCGACGCAGAACCAGTTCCATATATCGTTGGCTCGGAAAATGAACCTCCACCGGAGCCGGAAGCCGAGCTGGACGATGCTACGAGGCTTGCGGAAGAGATTCTGATCAAGGAGGCTGCACGAAGGGTGCGTGAACGAGAGCCAGAAATGTTTAGTGAATATGCCATGTCAGACGAGAGCGATGTTGAGATCGCCGAGGTACCCATCGAAGACGCGGTCGAGGAACTTGCAGAGGCAGAAGAACAAGACGAGACTGCATCGGAGACGAATGAGCCTGTTGTGCACGACTCGGAGCCTGATCATCAGCAAGAGGAGTCGTCAGAAGAAGAGCAATCAGACTCCGAAGATGCGGATGACGAGTTTACGGGTCAGGTCCAGGATGTTGCTGCAGCCGAAGAAATCCTGCAGACTGTGGCGGAGGACGTCGCAGATGCGCATGAGCCCAATATCCAAGCACTGCCCGAAGATGAGCCATCCACAGACGAAGAGGCCCAGCAGGAGGACATCGATATGAACGACGACGCTGTCGAGCTTGATCCTGGCCCAGAAGAACCAGTTGACCATACCACAACCTCAGCCTCGAATGGTGGCTTCGATACTGCTCCAGAAACAGAACTCATCAAGGAGACACCTGTCGCAAGATCCCTGAAACGAAAGCATGGCTTTAGCAGCCCAGCAAAGAAGGTATACAGTCTCAAAAAGCGCAGGAGGGAGACACCAGCATCACCCAACACACAGGTCGATAGCGACGACGATGAGACCTTCGTCAAGCCTCAAAGGCGATCGCAGCCAGCAAAGAGACAGCGACAGAGCAGCATGGACTTGTTTGCGCAGCCATATACGAAAGAGTCTGGTCTTCGTCATCCTGTCTATCATCCAGAGGCTCCAAAGCCTGCTCCTCGCATGCGAGTCGAGGTTGTCGTTCCGTTGTTTCCTCCTGAATCGCTTAGGCAGCCCCAAAACTCGATTGCGTCGTTAGAAAGCTCCAGATCAGGACTCAAGCAACGTAACAAAAGTTCGCATCAGCAAAATAGTGAAGGACAACGAGGTGATCTTTGGGATGTGACCAATCAACCGGACAGATCACGTGCACGGGGCTCGACTAAAAAGGGGATAGCGCGGACAATTGCAAAAAGGTGGCTGGGGCAGGAGCCGGATGACAGCTCAACCTCGTCTTCCGGTTCAACCACTGACTTCATCGACAGCTCTGACAACGAACAACAATTTATCTTCAACTCGCCAAAATCAAAGAAACGACAATCGAAAGGCAAAGGTTGCGCAATGTCTAACGTTGCAGATGTTCCTGTCGATGACGCGCCGCCCGAAACTAATGGACACGCGCTTGTAAGCTCAGATTTCGGTGACGCGTCAACCGGTAACATCAAGAACTCTAGCAAAAAACGTCTCTCGCGCGGTGAAGGCGAATTTCGCTGCCCGACCTGCAACGTCAGATATGCATCTCAGAAGACTCTCAACCACCACATGAAGAGCCCCGATGTCCACGCCAATCTCTTCGACTGCCAAGATTGCGACGAGAGATTCCTGACAAAAGCTGGCTTGGAGCGTCATGCCAAGGAGAAAGGCCACGAAGGAGCCAAAGCACAGGGCGTATCAGGCAAGTTCTCTGTCGAGGAACGCGCCGCCATCGCTCGCTGGAGAGATGACTTCTGCAAATACCACGGCATCAACCTGTACGAGTTCAACGACATGATGACCGCTTCATGTCGCAAAGGCAACGAAGCTTGGTCGTACAACCGGTTCACCACCAAGGAGGCTTTCCTGCAGGAGTACTACGATGTTCTGCCTGAGCGCGACCAAAGAGCCATGCGACGTTACCGCACCAACTTCCAAAATGTCGACCTCAGTAACCAGTGGAGTGCCCAGGATGACCAAGAAATGAGACGCCTCGTCGGCGAGCTTGGCCAGAAGTGGTTGGAGATTGGCGAAAAACTCACTCGCGATCCGGAAGCTTGCCGTCAGCGCTGGCGCACCAAGTTGGCACTTGGCGATAAGCAGAACAATGGTGAATGGTCTACTGAGGAGAAGCAGCGCTTCGATGATGCAATTGTCGAGATTCAGAAGCTACGAGAGGAAGACAAGGAAGTCAATGTCGAGACCTTCAATTGGGCGGCAGTCAGTCAGAGGGTCGAGACGCGTACTGGTGCTCAATGTTCTGCCACTGGCGTGCATTGCATGGCAAGATGGCGCACGGAATCTGGATCGATTCTGGCGCTGATCAACTACTGCCAGCCTCTGCAGGAAAGGCGAAGCCGAGAGTCACGCCGGGCAAGTCGAGAATGGCCAGTCGCTTATCTGGTACACCTGGAAAGGCTGGGAAGAAGCTCTCCACAGAGCGTGTCGAAGACTCTGACAACGAAGTCGGTGATGACACCAAAGAAAATGTGGACGAGCCCACACAACCCGAAGCTGAGCAGAACGAGAAGGACGACGAAGCTTTCGCGCCACGATTCGTCGCTGTCAATGCCGAATCGGAATACCCCCCACCCGAAGGCGAAGACGATCCGTCGCAACAGCCCAAGAGGCCAGCGCTCTCTCGCACCAAGACCCCAACACAACGCATGACGGCCACCCAAGCCTTCGACGCCACCCAAGCCGACACCTCCGCCCTCCGTAGCTCCGGTCGCCGCAAGCGAAATGCGACACCATCGCAAGAGCAGCCGTCGCCGGGTATACCATTGCAGCACCGCCCTAGTCCGAGCCCAGAGTTTCGTGGAAAGCTGAGTGCGATTCTGGATGACCCTTCCAACACCGCGCAGTCGGCTTATGGTCCTATCAAGAGCTCGGGCGCACCCGCGACCTCTGATGCAGTGCAATCTTCATATCCAACTCTGCCCGATACGCAGGCCGAGGTCGAGTCGAGCCTTCCTGTGCCTGTCCGCCAGTCCAAGCGTAGGAGAATCTCGGACAACTCTCCCCAACAGGTACAGCCTGCCGCCGAAATTGAGGAGGGGCAAACTGACGAAGCCGCAGCATCGTCAGACAAACTGAAGGACATCTTCGAGAAGCACTCCCGTAAAGCGAAAGCCCAAGCGCCAGCCAAGCCAAAGAACAAGCGCAGACGGATCAACTTTCTGGAGAGCGATGAGGAGGATGAGGCTGATGGTGGTGAGATTGCGCTACCTGCTTGAGGCACGGAGAACAGCTGGCGCACCTTGACTGTCGCATGGCAGTCCGTCGTTTGTCGAATATGTCTTGTCATATTTACAGATGGTTATTGAGATCATGCTGATTAGCATGGGTCGTCGGACAACTGCTGCATCCTTACAGTACTTTCGTCGGGGGCGAGAGTACCCTCATCATCACTACACTTATCAAAGTATTGATCAGAGGAGCCGAAGGGCTGGCGCAGCAAAGGAGCATCATCAGAGTCAACTATCTGTGTACACATACCTCACTTCTGCAGTCATGGATAGCATCATAATTAGTCCTTCCTGTTCATAGTGCAGCCACCTTGCCTTGCGGCAACATTGACAAGCTAAGTCAGGGATTCAATCATGTCATATTGCTCCTGCCTATTTATTTTTTTCGGATTTCATCCGGGCTCCAGCTGTTCGCAGTCGCTCAACTCTCCAAGAATTTCCTCTCTGAACTTGAAGCCGCCCCCAAGTTTAAATCTCTGCCGTCAACCACAACTGCAAATACAACATTCCTATCCAGTCTCTGTATGCATTCTATTTGACGCCTGCTATCAGATATCATGCGCCATTTGCAAGGGGTCCGCGTCTGAGGCTCTCCCGAATGTGCGATGCCGACGGCCATGTTGACTCATTCGAAAAGAACGCGACGACAAGCTACTGGGTCTGCGATGGCGACAAGAAGTGCGACTGCGGCGACAATAGCAACTACGTGTAAGCCAGCGCCTGTATCTACGATAGAGATGTGAAGAATGATGCAATCTGCTGCAAGATTTGGCCATGAGCCAGTGGCGGTAAAGGGAGTTGTACATCAGACGAAGCTAGATGGTAACGAGGGGCTGGGTTTTGATGTACCTCAATAGCTCGCCGTCGCGGGCCGTTGAGGTAAATCAGACGACGAGAATCGAGCCTGATAAGATGATGAGTCTTCTGTGGCAGACCTCTATGTGCTTTAGGATTGAATCTGATCTGATCAGCCTCGCACAACAGTTGGCTTCGGTGCAGACCGCAAAAGTGCTCGTGGCTTTGGCCACTATCTCGTCGCCGCCCGGGACGTGCCTCAAACAAGAAACCAACATTGCTCCCGACATCAGGTCTGTATCTTGTACGCTGCGCCTCGTGCGCTGTACCGTGTAGCCGTGTCTACCTTCAAGAGGTCTACTAACAATACTCAGGCTCGCCAGCACACCGAAGCCACAAGCATAGGGAAAGAAGCAGCAACACGCCAAGAACCACTTACCCCGCGCCCCGTCACTTCACACGGAATGTCTGCTACACGCATTGTCGTACCAGTCATCCTCGCCACAAACCCAGCCGATGGAGTCCTTGAGGACGTGGCAGCCGCCTCGTGGGAGGGCCCACATGTAGTGCTTACCCGCATGTCCACTCGGTATCGTCGCCATATATCCCGGCATCGGTTCATCCTTGCTGCATATCTGCTGTTCACCGCACGCCAAATAGCCATTTTTGATGTTGACCCAGCATTTGTCAGTACTGCTGTTCATACTGCTGCGGAGATGCTGACAATCATCAAGGTCTTCAATATAGATTCAATTCTTCCCAACTACCACTCCATACTACCCACCAGAGTGTCATTCAGTCAACTCGCGTTCAAAGAGTTCCTCACCTCGGTACTGCACAAGCAGCAGGGTCGTCCCCCTACTGGACCATTCATCGACAACTATATTGTCTATTGCGGCCGTAGGGCAGCTCGGTACCTCGTCGTCTCTCTCCGTTTCAGCAGCATAAAAGCCGTGCTCCTCGTCGCGTACGCAGCACTCTTGGGGACGCTCGTGGGAATTGGAGCTGGACTGGCGACACACGACGTGAGCACTGGAGCACAAGTCGCTGGCGCCATCTTCACCCTTGTGGTGGTCATAGCTCCTTCTTTGGCTGCCTTGGTGTGGCACGTTGTGTGAGGTTGGGTCTTGTTATCTGAGCCAGCGAACCGTTCGATGGGGAGAGGGCGCAAATTCAATGATGATGATACTATGATGGGACGACAGCGAGTAAATACTTTGACAGATGGATATGATGACCGACCTACTACATGGACCCATCTTCTCGTCGCCGAGCTGTGACTGTGTGAGGTGACAATGACGCATCAGTCCTCTTTAATCACCACGACAGATTCCCAGCGAACCCACCCGGATCGATTCGCTGAGGCGCAGGACCCAGGATCGAATAACGAACATCCATACTTCTTGCTGCGACCCAGCACCGCAGCAACGTCGCGCAGCGAGTAGCTTGTGGTTCCGTTTTTGTATCGCAAGATACCGATATCGAGACCTGGGTATCCATATTGTTTGAATTGACGACCCAGGCACCTTCGCTAAGCTCATGCTTTTCAGCGCTCGTCAAGGCTCGTTCTACCTCAACTGTCACCGCTGACCTCCAACTCACCCGAGAACACGTCGAACCCGCCTCAATCGCTCTCGCCGCCAAGAGCCGCAGCACATCATGATGCCTCGGTCTCTTCTGCACATCTGGCGGACTCTATGCTTCCTTTTCGCCGTCATGTCTCCACGGTCCAGTTCCTTCACAGCATACAGATTTCCTCACGCACACTTCGCTGCTATTGCTCTCGCAGTGGTTCTCATCACCGCCCACAGGACCAGGAAAATTTCCGGACCGCACCTCTATGTCAACCGGTCTCAGCTGTAACCGTCAGTCAACCGGCGGTAAATGAGTCTCGTCAAAATCTTGGTCATCCGGTCTCGTGCGAGGCTGCGGATCGACCGGCTTCGAATAGTGATATCAAGCGGTCTCAGAAAGTCGTGCTGCCCTAGCGCCTCTCACTATGCTGTCCGCCCTGACGCTCCTTTTCCATCTCCATCTGACCTGGCCCTCCGGTCGCGCCTTGCATACCACACTCCTGCCGCTAACTGACATGGCTGTGCTTAGCAGGAAAGTCCGCCCCATAACGGTCGCCCCTACCGCAGAAAGAGTTCCAAGTAGCGAGGCAGCCGCAAACGTCGTCATCCCGTCGCTCTTGCTTCCGAACGTGCTCGGTGAGGCAGGTGTGCACGCTACCGGGTAGTCGCTCCTGCTGTCTTGCGAAAAGTAGCTGAGGAGGTACTGGTCGGGATCTCTGAAGAGTTCTCCTGGATCCGACATTTCTGCCAATCCACAAATGTTGAGTTTGCGATATCCAGATGCCATGCCAGCTTGTTCTGATAGGTCAAGTTGGGATAGATGTTTGACTCTGTGTAGTGGAATGTCTGCTCACCATTCGGTACCACAGTGTTACAGGCTTCGCAAGTAAATGTACTATAAGCGAGCTCAGGTCTAACTTCCGAAGTTCTGGTGACGGTGCCAGATATCGAGACAAGTCTGCCTATCTGTTCTGTCCGCAGTTGACGCGCGCAAACGTTGTCATCCTATTGCTCTTGCCTCGGGAGGTGTTCGGTGAGACAGGCGTGACCGCTATGGGTTGGTCGCTCCTGCTTGACCTCTAGAAGTACTTGGCAAGGTAGGTGCGAATCTCGTCAACAGGTCGCGCCTGCCACAAGAAGTATCTGGATCGGGCAGGTACGGATGCCGCCGGCTGATCGCTCCTGCGTCGGGAAGTGTCTGGCCTGGGCAGGTGCGTGAGCAGTCAACCGGTCTATAAAACTCTTTGTCATCCGGTCTCAGCTGAGTCCGCCGTGCGCTGCCTGATCGGAAGGGGATCGCGACCGAGAGGTATGTTGTAGACGGTGAAGAGCATGTTCACTCGTGCACCGTGTTCTGGGGGTCATTGCATGCGGTAGATCGTGGCCTCGTACGGGATTTGAAGGTGCCGCGGCTGGCGGGTTCCTGGGTGTGGATCGCGTCGGTGGTAAGGTAGGGCGTGCTCTTGAGTCCAGCAAGCGAGCCCGACAGGTGAGTAGCGCCACCGACTGTGTTGAAGCATGGTCTATTCCCTAATTGTACCTGTATCATATGCGTGCCACACATCATTGCCCAGTTGTTCGTACACACCGTGCACTTTTGAGTCTCAAGCTATGCTCTAACATTGCACTTCTCACAGCTCGTCCTTCTTCAGCGACTTCTGTCCCTCCTCCTGCTCTAAGAAGTCCTCCAACCGCTCTTTCGCAGCCTCAGCTTTATCGCTGGGCGCCGAATCTGGTAGATCACCGCGTGCTTTCGCAATAACGCCCCGAATCTCCTCATCATACTCATTCCACTCCGGAACCTGCCTCCTCGCCCTGTCCAACTTCGGCTCCTTCGTCAGAGGATTATTGCACAAATCAATCGTCTTCGCCTGACCAAGACTTTCATCACTACACCATGTCTCGCACCACAGCCATTCCTGCGGCAAGCTGAAGATCGGGAGGTTATGCTGCATGTGGTTCGGCAGGTCCTGGTCCAGGTTGCTCAGACTCTCCGGATCGGCGGATAGGGAGTGGTATTGCTGGCGGAGTCGATCGCCTGCTGCTAGTTCGCGGAATTTCTTGAGGTCTACGACGTACAGGGCGGAGATGTGGTATGGTTTTCCTGCGAGGTAGGATTCCCAATAGCCCTTCTTCCAGAACCGGAATCCCTCCATCTCCGTTCGGGAATCGCACATGGGCGTGAACCCATAGGGTGCACCTTGCAAGTCGACCTTGTTGAGCTCCATCATGTCCGTGCGCACGATCTGGTCGGCGTCCACGAAGATGACTTTGGAGAGTTGGAGCGGGAAGAGGACGTCAAGGAACAAGATCTTGTAGCCCCAGATCTCGCGCTGCTTTTCTTTCTGGCCGCGTAGCCAGTGTGGCCATTTGTAGGTCACCATTTCGTAGTCGAAGTTGTAGTGAGCGGCTAGGGCGGGGAGGGTTGCTTTGAAAGAGGGGGAGAGGAATTGCTCGATGAACCAGAATTTTACGGTGTGTTTAGTGTGTTTCATTACCGAGACCATCATAATGTTGAGCATGCGTTCGTAGAGATGGCCGGACGCGACGGAGAAGATGTTGATTTCAGCTTGGCCACCGGAGGGTTTTAGGCCGAGGGAGGATAGAGCTGAAGAGGCCCAAGATGCGCCTTTGCTGAGATAATCTGTTGCTGATCCGAGTGTGGAGGTTTCGAGGACGTCGGCGGTCTCTTGCCCTTCTCTTCGAGATAGTCGTGGGTACAGAGTCACGCCCTGGAAGCTCATCAACGTCACGGCGCTGTTGTCGTCTCCAGGGACTGGGAGATACCCTTCAGCGCCGGCACTGTCTAGGTTATAGATCTTTGAGGAGCGGCCTGGCATCAAGGAAATGGACCAGTGACCAGGATTGGCCTTGAATTGGAAGTAGCCCAAATTCGCCATGATAATTGTATCGGTGAAGTGAGCATCTTGTTCCGTCCCCAGCAGCAGCTGGACGCCACGTGGCGGACTGCTGACATTTGAATCTCTGGCATGGCCTTCGATCAAGATATGCTCCAGTTCGTACACCGCACCAACATCGCTGTCCGATACGCCAAATTTGATGTTGTCCAAATCAGCCACAGACTGCTTGGGCGACACAAGCCAGGAAGGTGGTACAGTCAGTCCAAGGTTGAACAGGACATCCTCGGGAAGTTTGTTGAAGTTTGCTTCGGGTGCAGCAAGCGAGCCTGCATCGTCGAAAGTTGGAGCTGATTGTACGACTTGTCGATAGAAGCGTTTAGAGGGCAGCTCTGACAATTGCTCCTTGGGATTCAAGAAGATCTTGACGCTAACTCCTTCCAATTCGGACAGAGTCTTGACGATCGAAATCCACGGTTGGGACGCTTCAGCCACAGGGTCAAGCACTGCAACCACCTGGATCGTCGGATCCTTGGACGTTCCTGCTCGAACCACTGTGTGAGTGTCATCCCAAAGGTTGTATCGGTCAAGCCGCAGCATGGGAGCGGTCCCTCGCATGCCCTCCGGCAGCTCTGATTTCTGGGACCTGGCAACAGTCGCTGTGATCTTCGCGATGTCCAAAGCGTTTTGAAACTTTTCCTCGAGTTTGAGTGCAGTGATGGCAGCGGTTGCTGGCGCTATTCTGGAGGTGCGCTCGTAGTCGAGGAGAAGCTGCAGATCTTCGCCCGAGGGTGCGCCGCAATGGTCCAAGTAGTCGTCCATTCAGCCATACTGCACTGTCTCCAGGTTTCAGTCCAAGATCTGCTATCAAGGGCTCAGCAGTGGACCAGTATATGCTCGAGTCGCGTCGGAGGTCTTCAGCTGACGACCCTGTCACGCCCGTCGCTGCTAAGAACGCTCGCAACTTGGTCTTCTTTTCGGCATCCAGCGCTGGGCCCGTCTGGCTTTGCCAGCGGTACAGAAGCGAGGACACTGTTGCTGTAGACTCGCTGCCAGGGTTCTGCACCATCAATACATCGACCTCGGGCACTTGTTCCTGCAGGTCCATCGCCGCGCCGAGGAGGCTTTTTCCTTGATTCGAATCCAGATCTGCGACCACCATCAAATGAGCGCGATCCGTTATCAGAGCCGACTCCGCGCCAGGCAGACGGGGCAGACTGTCAAAGACCGCGGCATGTTCGGTCGTCATTGCAGCAACGTCGACAACGCGGATGTCTTTCTCGTCGTGAGGTATCACTAAGCCATTCCGCTTGGCGGCTGCATCGGTCAAAAAGAAGTCTCGGACGACAGACTCATCCGTAAGAGTGCCTACATAAAGCGACTGCATGACCATCTGGGTGTCCATGTAGATCTGGCTGTTAATTGTTTCGAACCAACTTTCTGTTCGGGGCGACACGGCGCCGTTCAACATGAATGGAGGCATCGGGCCATTCAATTCTAGGCGATCAGCGTAAGCGTCTCGGCTTGTCAGACGCTGTGTGAGCTCGTCATCAGCCGTGACCTCGGCGTACGTTGCAGCAGTCTTTCCTGCCCTCAACTTTCGATCTTTGATTGCTGAAGCGAATTGCTTGTCAGGCGAAGGGATGACCTTGCCAGATTTCACAATGGCCCCGTAGAAGTTGAGCAGTGTTGACAAGCCATAGGTGTCAAGCAGATGGTACATCAGCCGGCTGTAAGTATCAGAAATAGGACTCTTGCCCACAGGGACAAGGCCGACTCGCAAAGGCAGCTTCCTCTTGACAAGCATTTGCAGAGTCGTGACAACCAGCTCGATCTCGGACAGCTTTTCGACTTCGATAGGCACAACCAGGTTGTGAATATCGCGTGCAACATTTGGTAAGCCCCTCTGATATTGAGGCTGGAATAAGGTCATTAGACTCGTAGGCCACGCGGCGTATCGAGAATCCTTTTCTAGATCGTTTAGAAAGATGATGACCTCGCCACCTTCATCTGAGTCCCGCCAGTTGAAGCGCTGATCCACGGCATTGCGTGCAGAATTGGCGATGGCATCGTTAGCCAGAATACTCACAGCTTCCGTGGCCGTCAAACCGATGTCCTTTACCCGAGCAATGAGCTTTCTCTCGCGCCGCAGATGATCAAGCAAGGAATATGCATTGATCTCGCGAGGGTCGATCTGCAGACCATTGATCCAGAGTGCATTGTAGCCTGCTGGAAGCAATAATTCACGATTGTGTCGGTGCTCTGAGACGAAATCATCGCTTGCATTTTGTGCCGCCAGGAATGACGAGTAGCGAGGAAAGTCCGTAGATACCTGAAGTAGAGCCTGCATGGGGTCAGCGTGCTTGGCTATCCAGCTGGCGGCGTTGAGACCAAGATTCCATAGCTCGGTCGTGGTCAGGGATTTGATCTCCAGTTCATCGTCCAGTTCAGGCTCCTTGACGTCCGCGGCATCTCCATTGCCTTTCGTGCTTGCTTCGCGGTCATCGATGACGATGTAGTCGGTACGCTTGAGATTGAGCTCAGCGCCATATCCGCTTAGTGTCACTGGAGAGGTTGCCTGATCGGTAGCACGATAACGGACTCTGTAGGACGTCTTGCCTTCCCGAGCAGTTTGTGATACAACAGAGTGGAAGTCTGCAAACAGCGGGTGGGTGATATCGGCGTAGATTATGGAAGAAGGGGCATCAGCAGGTCCGAGGACTCTGTCGAAGGGCAGAGTATCGTCCCCATAAGCCAGATCCACCGGCTGCTGTGCTCTGTCTAGTGTTGGAGAGCAGTATTGTTGTCCATCAAAGTGCACCCAGACCGGGCATACTGCGTCTTGAGCAGCCATCATGTTGGGCTGGACCGAAGTGTTGTAGTGTTGTAGGTGTGCCTGTATCCTGGGCGCCGCCTCGTGGAGGGAGAGGGCGAACTTAAAGGAGGACAGAGCCTCCGCGTCTGGTAGCAGCCCATCTTGATCGAGTACAGACACAAACTTGTTATACAACTCCCTCTCCGTTGAGACGTCCGCAAATGTGCCTTGTGCGATTCTGTCCAGCAGAGGGAAGTAGGACGATGGATTTTCGGCGGCGGCCGTCTCTCTATGGGTTGTCAGTGCCTATATCTGGCTTGGTGTAGAATCCGGGCTTACAGTAACTCTACCAGAAACGGTGCCGAATTCCATGATGTCTGTAGGGCAACGTTGACCGAATGGCCTGCTGCAGCACCACCAGCTACGAGGAATGTCACGACAAATGCCGCGGCCACACTCAACCTCCAGGGCAGGTGTGATCGATGCATGATGAAGCAGGTCATCGAGGGCTGCTCTTTCTCAAGTTCATCGGGGCAAATGCTACGAGTTCATCATCAGACAAAGGATGGAATCGGTCCTGAGGCCTGTCGGCGGCGACTTTGCTTATCCATGTATGGCAGGCGCAAGGAGGACACATTTTCCATTTCTCAGGAGACGCGGAGTGCGGAACGCGTCGTTGGAGAAACTTTTGAAAGTCGACGAATTTCAATGATGACGAGCATCTCGACGCTCATCACCTCCTTCATCGTCCTGCCCTGTAGCCATTCTGGAATGTCAGCGGCTGTCCTCCGGCGACGTCTGCTGCGTCCGTTCCAAAATGGCGATCTGTGTGGCAACTGTGCTTCCCACCAGGTCAGGGCGAGCCTCCGCCGCCAAGACAATCGCCGCAGGACGATTCAAGCGGTGACACTATCGACATCAGGCCAGCGTCGCGATATCGAGCACGCTAAATGGCGGAAGCAAATCGTGTCGACTTTGAACGATAAAGAGGGTGAAATTCGGGTCACCCAGCACTCCGAGCCCTCTCGTAAGGATGGCGTCCTGCGCGCTGAGCTCTACTCCGACAAGCCCATCTATAGCCCCATCAACATTGATCCGCTGCCCAAGCCCGACAAGTCAGTCCCGAAGGAGAGCACGACATTAGTCTCCACGCGGCCCCCTCCATTCTTCTCCGCCAAGCGCGGTGCCTCTGAGGGCAGATTTACCTACCTCGTGCGAGTCGGGAAGACCTACTATGCATTCTACAAGGCGGGACTGAAGCAGCTATGGTCGAATCGCAAGGAGCTAAAAGAGCTTCAAGCATGGATGTTCCCGTTCACTATCGAGGGTGTCGCCAGGTACGGTGGCACCATGTACAAAAATAAGCAGGGAAACAATATTCCCATCCCACACATTTACCATCGCGAGTTCCAGCTATACCACCGCACCAAGGCAGATCTTCGAAAGATGATACCTTTCAGCCTGCTTCTGCTGATCTGTGGAGAGTTCACGCCCATAGCGCTGCTCGTACTGGGTCGAAAGGTCGTTCCAAAAGTGTGCTATCTCCCGTTTCAGCAGCGTGAGGAAATGGACGATATTCTTGGCCGCTTCAGGACCTGGAAGAGGGAGATGGGCCAATTGACTGCTAGGTCTCGCCCAGAGAAGCCCCGAAATGTGTTCGACTTTGCTCCGAAGACAGGTCTTCTGGAGCACCCATACCGCAGAGATCTTCTATTCGCTCACCTCTCCGGTCAGACCAACTTTTATCGTCTGCCCTTTCCGATCATGCGAGGGTTGTACTGGCACCTTGTGCTGAGACCGCGCCTGAACAGGTTTTGGGAAAACGTCTTCTGCGAGACGATACTCGTCGAGCGACAAGGTGGGTTCAAGAGCATGTCTCCGCAAGACATCTACGAGTACGCCCGAAACTATGGATCATTGACTCTGATGGTCATCATGGAGAAGGAAGTCGGTGTGAAGAAGAATTACCACTTCGTTGACGACAAACTCAAGGCCTTGCTCGTGCCTGTACTTGAAAAGGAAGCACAGATAATGTTAGACGACGATTTCACGAAGCTACCACCGGCACTACACTGGGCCAGGGCGTACAGAGACTCAGCGAGATGGGCAGGTAGTCCAGATGTCATGGAGGCTGCTCGGCTTAAGAAGATCTACGAGAAGGAAGGCGTTGCGACAGCTTCCCCGAATCCAACGAAGAGCCTCCCGAACACGATACCAGCGAAGCCAGCTTCGCATTCAACGAAGTCAACCTCAAAACCGACAAAGCCCACCTCAAAATTGGCCATCAAACAATGATCCTGTCCATACTGGTTCCTTGGTTTAGAAGACCCAACTACCAACGTGTGACAGGCTTGAAGACTCTGCCGTGACTCGCGCCAGCTCCGAACCCCACGAACCACGATCGAGCAGCCTCTCATGCGTCTGGATCAAAGATAGGCCTTTCGATAGGTTTGCTGCCCTTCGGGTCGCTCGTTGTTGGCTTCCCCTGGCCGCCTGCAGGTTTGTTGGCCGGATCGTTCTTCCATGTCGCACCCGGAAGCATTGTCTCCTGACCGCCGTCCGAAACTATCGAGCGAACCTGCGATAAGATGTCTGACGTCTTGAACGCGATCGACGACCTTTTGAGCTCCTTCGTTATGGCTTCAAGGTCCTTAACGACTCGGGCGAGTTGCTTGTCGACAGATTGCTTTGCCTCGGCGGCCTTTGGGTCGATTGGGAGGAGCGCCTTGCCGGCTAGGTCTCTGATTGCTGCATCCGACATATCTCTTGAGCGGTAAGAGTCCGGTATATGTTGAAGAGATGAGATTGGGATCGATAGACTCGAGGGTCTTCTACAAGCGTGCGGAAGACCAAGCTGTATTTATAATGTAGATGAGCTACTTCAGGCTTGGCCTAGAACATAGATGCACATCAGTATAAAGTTCAAATACGAAGTTCTGGAACCCCTCGCAGGGCAATGCACGCCAGCCACTTCAGCCATAACTGCATGGTTGTGAAGGCCGACAGCATGTCAAATGCATGAAGACTCAGACGAGACTTCAGACCGGATGATAAGAGGCACATCGTGTTGCAGGCAGGATCCTATAGGCATGACTTGCGTGCTAGCCAACCTGAATATATTTACAAGCCCCATCTTGGCTCAACTCAAGCCGGGTGGCAGCAATTGCCTACTAATGGGAAGGCACAAGGCAGTCGCTGCTCCCATCACCGTGGCATCCGCAGAGTGAAAGCCAGACGACCGTGACGAGAGCCTTTGGTCGTGGAAGGCACTCACTGCCTCATGAGAAGGACCTCCTGCTAAGATGGTGAAGAAGGACAGATGAGAACGCTGAGCTTATCTCACGCCGGATGACTTGATGCTGCCACGGAAGTCGCGAAGCGTCCTTTGATCTCATCAACCGATGACGCGTTAAGCATCTCTTCTAAGTTCCTTCTATCATATGCTGGCTCTCATCCCCGTCCCTGCATCGATCCTCGTGCAGCTGTCGACTTGCCAAAGTCCAGTTGTCCAAAGTTCCGGTACTTCACGCAAGGCAGCCAAAGCGAAGCTTTCGGCGGTCCGCCTTCGTACTTGTCTTGACATCGCCTTATCGTGACTTGTTGACATGATGACTCGACTGCTTCATGTTCGCACATCCTCCACAGACCACCATCCGCGATCAGAAACACCTTTTCTCAAGCAAAATCCATCAGGCTGGCCCCGAGTCACCTTGAAGGCCACTCCGCCCCCGAAACGCGCGTAAAAACACGAGCACCACGAACCCGCGATCACAACCCGTGGGGCGAATCAAGCAATAGGGCAAACCACTAAAGGCCCGAACCCTTGCCGCCACCTCCGCTATTATGCACCTACTTGACCCAGGACTTCTGATCCACCAGTGACAGCTTGAGCTCATCGTTCTTCTGCTCGGTCTACAAGCTGCTAATTCGAAACAATGCATGGTGGCGCATCGAGCTACCATGCGGCTGAGGATAGTGTCGCCGTGTGCTCGCTCGCTACCATGTGGCATTATGTCAGAATGGCGAGCAGTTGTTTTATATCATGCGATGCTCGAAGTCCAGCCTGATCTTGTCGACCGCTTCGACACGTCGCAGGGAGCTGTGTGAGCGTGAAATGGCATCCACATGAGAACATGGCGTGCTTTTGTGACATTTGACGGACACTCGTAGCACGAATTGGCCGTCATATCACTTGTGTTGTCACAGGGGAAGGAAAAGTCAAGCACCGAGGAGCGCTCTATTCCGCCAATCAAGTAGGTGGTCCGCCAAAATCTGAATGCGTATGTCAACGCATTGAACCTGACTCGGCCAAAATTCATTGCTCCACGCCATGGCTGGAGCAGGTCCAGGCATCGCCAGCTCGTTGATGGTCCAGGCTCCGCCCAGGCCGGCCACCAGCCAAAGGAACGAACCGTCGTCATCGTCAACTGAGACCAAGCAAGTCAACATAGCAGTCCACGACGAGAAGTCGAAACCTGGCCCATCAGACCGCCGGAAACAGCCCACTCCGCAGACGACTAAGCCCTCAAAACCCAAACCACGATTCTTCAGCCGAGCTGTTCGCAATTCCGCCAACCAGGGCGAGAATAAGACGTCAGGTTTTGGAAAAAACCGCCGTATTGATATCACCCAAAGCAGCTGGAACGCGCGCGCTGATGGCAAAGATCGTGAAACTGTCACCTTGAACATCAAATCCGAGAACGAGAAAGCGCAGAGTCGCCGATCCTTCCGGTGGGTTCATCACGAGCGCGAAACGACTGCGGTCTCTTTCGCCGAATTCCAAAAGCATGTTGAGGAAACAGAGGGACTGGAGCCCGAGGAGCTTGCAGTCGCTACCAAATGCCTAGAAGAAGTCAGGAGGCAGCGAAAGATATCTGTCCGTGGACGCTATTTCGAGGAAACGGTGCATAAGTCCGAGACCAAGCACACGGTAATCGAGGAGCATGTGCCAGTGAGAGCGACATTCATCAGCATACCCTTATTCGCACTTCTGGAAGGCTCAGACGACATCACGACAGCGAACACTTACCCGAGTTCGAAGGTCGTGAGGGGTTCCGACGAGCATCCCCTAAGGACTCTGCTACAACACACAAACCACCTCGCAATTGATGATGAAAGGGATCGCAGCCAGGTAATCACGAGGTTGCCGCGTGCTTCAGGTGGGAAGAAGGCATATATTCATGTACCAGAGTTTTGGGCACTCGTGGTTAACATGTACACCTGCATTACGTGTTCCGTGCTCAGTGTGCAAGAACTTTGCGGGGATAATATACTACTGAGGTCACCAACTTTGTCGCCTGGGGACTTGCTGAACAAGGGCAAAGATACCAGAACCTTCGTCAAATATACAGATCGCAGAGGTCGACTCTTTGACTTGGAATGTCGCAAGTTCCATACATTGATTGACTATGTTTCAAGCATCGAGATGCCGCAAGATGAAGTACGCAGACTCATCATGGCCGAGAAGCTTAGCCGAGACGACTCCGAGTACAAGCTTGTCGACTTGAGATTTCAGCCAGTCGATAAAAGTCGCTGGATCGATATCGTGGACTCTATGTTTACAAGTGCCGAGTTTGTCCATCTGAGGCTGACAAGACAGGTCGCAGGAGATTCTTTGAACCTCGACTTCGCCCAGAGGCAGCATCACAACTTTCGTGTCAGAACGTTCGTCTGGACCGCCTTGAAGCTGTGCCTCGAAGTAATGAAGAAAAAGCGACTGGATGCCCTCAGAGCTCGAAAACCAACGGATAAGCTTCAAGAGCGCATCGACAGTCTGGGCAGAAGAATTAGAAGGCTGCAACGTATACGTATGGCTAGCAGATTTATGCTATATGCTGCGAGATTCCATCTAACCATGCCTGAAGTGGTTACTTCGTTGGATCACGCAGTCAGTCTCGAGGAGAGATTGACGGGAAGGCAACATCGGCATCGCCGCTCGTCAGGTCAGCGTCACGGGCTCACCCAATTCCTTCACCACTCTCGGCCTTCCTCGCCCAGCGACTCTGTATCATCAATCGGGCCACGGTCGAGCAGTCCGGTAGGTTTGTCGAGACAAGCTCAGGAACCTCCTCGGATCATCATCCAGTCAGAAGACGATAGTCCAGGCCAAGTTCACAGCCCAATGGTATCTTTCAGCCAGCCCGACACGAGAGATCCCATTGCAGAGGGGTCTGGTCGGCAGTACGTGTCTACAGTCGTTGCTGAACCAGCTCAGGCCGAGAGCGCTCTTGATCTCGAATCCAACCTGTTGCCTGCAGCCATACCCAGCCCTAAACGAGCTTCAACTGCTATCTTTGGCGAGCCACTCCCTCCGCTATCAACGGCATTTCGACCATCGCTGGAGTCAACGGAGCGATTTCCAACTATGGTTCGTCGTCACTCCACGTACTCGAGCTCGGGTTCCAGTATAACATTATTTGATCCTAGTCCGCTTCGCAGGCCACTTCGAACAGATGGCGACGCTGCGTTGAGAGTTCCACCAAGATCGTCAGATGGGGGTCCACGGCCTATCCTCTGGCGTCAGCTCACTTCATCAGGCACTGTTCCACGTATTGAGCACACCGCAAGGCCTCCGCTCGTTGCGCATGACAAAAGTATAGATGACGCAGACCTCGATCAAGACATGTCTGAGCAAGCTAAGAGACGAATATCTGGACATCTACAGCTGCATCCGTTCTTCAAATGGCAACAGGACGATCAACTAGGATCCGATCAAGGTCGGACCGAGCGCTTGAAACCAACAAGGTCCGCGGACCAGGCCTCGCTAAGCAGACACGGTCCTCATGATGATGTGGAATCTGTACTTGAACGGGTCGACGCTTTGTTGAACCAGGAGGCTACCTACAAAGCTCAGCATCTGGACATGAACAAACTTGATTACCTTCAGGTACCGAGCAGCTCTTTCGACGAGGTTTGCCGAAGATTGAATGTCGAGCGGGACAATCTGGAGACCCTGAGGCAAAATCCGTCACCAGCTTCTGAGGCAGATTCCAGCTTGCACGAGAAGAAAGTCGAGCTATTTCTCAGTACGTACGGTATATTGAGCTGCTTCATAGGTCCGAGTCCGCAAGAATCGGTCGTGGTTTCGAAGCTATACGGTATTTTGTTTGAGATCTGCAATCTTTCCACCAAAGAGGTACGTTCAACGATGAGAGTTTTAGCGTGCTCCGAGTTGACAGTATCAGTCGCGTCCAACCACGATCACCCACCGACATGAGGTGAAATTCATTCATGCTGCAGCCGAGTATATGCCAAAGCTTGAGGTCCACGTTTCGGACCTTCTGAAGAGCGCTCGTCCGGACTCGGGGGACGATGAGACTGCGGTTGGATACAAGCTGTGCCCACCTATTGTCTACGCTTTTGCAAACATCATCATTCATCTCCTCTGCGTGTGGAGGGCCGTAACGACCTTCACCATTGAAGCGCCAAGCATTGAAGAGGTGAAAAGTCAGACTTACAAGCACCTTGTAGAAGCTGATCTGACATTCCTTCGACTGCGCGCACATGCTGAAGCAGAGCACGATCACTTCGCCTGGACCGAGTCCCTCAAAACAGCCGACACCCTTGTGGCACTGCTCGTCGAAAACGCCTTAGACATTGCCGACGGTGAGCCAGAGCCCGCATCCGAGCTGCAAGGCGACGCCGCGATCAGTCCACGATTCGATCTTCGCCACGTGTATAGTCTTTACACAGCAGAGTGTATCGTCAGAGCTAAGAGACATGCAAGTGCTCGCATCTATAAGGATGTCAAATACCTCATCGAGGAAATTAACGCCATCCGCAGCATCCTGATTCACCAGAGAATTGTTTTTGAAGGCCTATTTAAGAAGCGCGAGTCATCACTGCAAGCTCTGGACATTCGAGTTAGGGATCGTGCGCGTCAGCATCTTATCGAGACCGAGAAGCATTTCGAAAAGCTGCTAGAGCATGCCAATCAAACAGCAGACTGGAATCAGCACTTCATCAACGTTAGGGGCGAGGACAACAACAAAGCCATTACCGTCTTCAGTGAGTACTCAAACAGACTCTCCACCTTCCTGAGGACCCGACGCGTTCATCGTCAACCTGTCCAGGAGCTCTTTGCTGCAATATGGTACTGATTCCTGTCTAGCTGTTGTGACAGTGATATTCCTGCCTCTAAGCTTCATCGCGGGAGTTTTAGGCATGAATACCAGCGATGTGCGGAACACTGGCGACTCGCAATGGCTTTTCTGGGCCGTGGCTTTGCCGTTCACCGTGTGTGTTCTTATTATCTGTATCGCGATTGTGAATTACAGGCGGTTCCTGCGAAGAAGACTAAATGCTGTTTTCGGAAGGTGTTTTGGGACACCGCGGCGAAGGCTTCTGATAGAGCTCACCTGACGCGCAAGATCGTTCGGACTATCGAGTTGGCCATCGGACTGTGGTCCGGGTAACAGCATGTAGTGTGTGTCCGATGATCCTCGGGTACATTAATGGAAAAGCTTGCGAGCGAAGTCTTTTGGGCGCGGATGACAGTATCAGGCATTACGAGCGGCCAGATCTAACTCGTCCAGTTAGACTATCTCGGTAAGCTATTCAGTCGCGAATGACTACGGAGAGTACAAACCCCCGAATCGCTTGATCTGACCTGCCTCGCAATCATTCATAGGTGCCAAGGACGTTGTCAGGCGTCATTCGCTCTGGGCACCAAGGCTGGTGGCCTTGTGCGCTACCTGCCTAGGATTCGTATATAAAGCGAAGGGACAAGACCAGTCAGGACCCGTTGCTGGACTTAATCCTCCAGAGGTCTCCTCACGATGGCTGACGAAACAACTTTCGACTACATCATTTGCGGGTACGTCAACATGCGTCACTCGGCGACTTGACACTGATGTGGCGATTCTAGTGGTGGTACGAGTGGTTGCGTGATAGCTGGTCGCCTAGCCGAAGATCCAGACGTGAACGTCCTGGTCATCGAAGCTGGCGACCACAGCGACAATGTCCCCGCGACGAAGATGGTTGGAGGCATTATGACCATGTTCGGTGGCGAACACGACTGGTGTTTCCAGGACGAAGGCAGTCCGGGCCTGAATGGACGGAAGGTCGTGCTGGGAAGGGGAAAGTAAGTCGTCCGTGGAGGTCAGGTTGTGACGAAAAGTACTGGGCGTTTTCCCTGCAGCGCCCTCCCCGGCCAGAAAGCCCTCGACATGTCAGTCTTCGCAATGACGCTCAAGTGAGGCTCATCTCATGCTCACCAACTCGATCAGCGAGTCAGTGCCAGAGCCCCAGTGTCCTCCCTGACCGAAAGAATCCATCATGAGCAGCATTTGTGGCTCGCGAATGGATGGAGGGCCACTTGGGTAGAACGTGCAGTACCCGGAGTCTCAGCTCGCCGCCGCGAGCGGCCGCCGCGTGTATATGTGGAGTCGCCGGCTGACGTTGTCTCTGCAGAGTACTCGGCGGCAGCAGCGCCATGAACGGGAGCTACGCCGTGCGTGGACCAAAGCTCGACTATGACGACTGGGATCTGCCTGGTTGGAGTGGCGACGAGGTTTACCGATATATGAGCAAGGTATCCTTCTCCCGTCCTGTATCTCGTTCCCTCTCCTTTTCCTTCTCCTGTTCACTCTCCTGTTCCTTCTCCTGTTCCTTCCCCTGTTCCTTCCCTTCTCCTGTTCCTTCCCTTCTCCTGTTCCTTCTCCTGTTTCTTCTCCTGTCCCGTCTAGCACTGCTGACTAAACCAGGCGGAAACATTCGTTGGCGACACGAAGGACATTGCGGTTGATAGTCACGGTCATACAGGCCCGCTACTGACGGCGCGTCATCCAGACCTCGAAATCGACAAACGCGTCCTCAAGTCATTCATCTCACAGGGCCTTCCCTGGACGGAAGATCCATTCACGACTGGAGAAAATCCGCATTGTACTGGCCCGGTTATCTGTACCGTTAGCAACGGGGTCAGATCGACATCAGCTGCGTGGCTTACAGAAAAGAACCTTCGCACGAACGTCACTATCAAAACGAAAGCTGTGGTCGACAAGGTCAATTTCTCGAAGGAGAATCCCAAAGAGCCGCGTGCTGTGAGCGTCAGTGTGATCTTGGCTGATAAGACGACCGTCGAGTACAAAGCCCGCCACGAGATCATATTGAGTGCGGGATCATATTGCTCGTAAGTCCATCGGCCTTTCTTGAGCCTGAATACTGTCTCGCATCACCTTCATAGTCCGCTCCGAGGTGCTTCATGTTCCTCTCAGCCATCTCTGAGCAATCTCTGAAGTTCTCCTGGCGGCTGCTTGACAGTGAACTGGCACCGACCTCGACTGCCCCCCTGACATGACTTGCACGTCCCTCAATTGAAGCTGACCAATGCCGGCAGACCCCCTATACTGCTGCGTTCCGGTATTGGACCGAAAGCGGAACTCGAGAAGCACGGCATCCCCGTCGTGCTCGACAGTCCAGGCGTAGGAAAGAACCTACAAGATCACTTACTGGTCTACCAGAACTACGAAGTCTCGGAGCCTGGTCTAACTACCGACCACCAGATCTGGCACGAGGGAGGCATGGCCGCTTCTATGGGTCAATATGCCAAGGACCGAACTGGATTCCTGGCAAACTTCTTTTACAACCCTTTGGCGTACGCCAGGCTGGACTCCCGTCTGGAGGACTCTGAGCTCTGGAGAAATGCAGATCGCAAACCAGGCCGTGACCCAATGGGCTTAGATCCTGCCCGTCAGCCCAGCGTTGAGCTACTTGGCGTCAATTGCTTCATGGCAGGCGGCGTCGAACAAATGGCGCCGCCAGTCGATGGTAGCTTTGTGATGTCAATGATAGCCATGGTCTTCGGTCTGCAGTCGCGAGGCTCCGTCTCCATCCGATCGACTGACCCTAACGACAAGCCGTTGATCGACAACAACTACCTCGCCAATGATCTCGACGCCCTGGTGCTTGCAGAAGGCTGTCGGTTCAACAACGAGATTGTCATGCAGGGGACCGGAACAAAAGACATGATTAAGGGCTCGTGGCCAAGAGATCGAGATCATCATACCTGGACCGAAAGGGAGCCGTGGATCAAATTTGTGAGAGAACGTGCTGTGACAAGCTACCACCCGTGCTCGACTTGCAGTATGGGGAAGGACGACAACCCAGATGCTGTGCTGGATCCTGAGCTACGCGTTCGTGGTGTTAGGGGTCTGAGAGTTGCCGACGTCAGTGTCATTCCAACCAACGTGCAGGCGCATACGCAAATGATTGCGTATGGTATTGGTGAGAAGGCAGCAGATCTGATCAGGGCTGCCCGACGTAAGTAGCAGGAACATTGCCTGAGCACTTATTGGTGCCCGTGTTGCGAGTCAGCAGGAGAAATGGAGTTGTTGTACCGTGCCCGCGACCACGCCCGCATCTCGCTCCATCTCACCACAGGATGCCTAACTCTTGCATCTCGTTAGCATGCGTATGAGCGCTGCGCCATGCAGGGGTCAAGCTCTGTCTGATCAGTCGGACGGACTTCAGCAAGGTGCTGCTTGATTCTGACTCGTGTCATCTTCCCCTCTTGTCATTCCCAAAACCTTGTGCTGACCTCGGTTGACTTCGGTTATGCCAAGCCTGTATGCTTCGGTCACCGTTCCCTTTGGTTATGCAACACTTTCTTATGGCAAGAGCTCGACTGAATCGCTGCAGTGAGATCGCCAAGCAGCCAAATTGAATCAACACAATGGGTAGCACACAAGACTCACCCGTCTACTCAGTCCCGACTGAAGCGCGCCAAGTCTTTGAGCGCGGCATCCTCGACAATCCCTTGATCAAACCCTACCTGCCACCCAATTCCGCCCAGCTCGCCTCCAAAATTCGCTTCACCGGTACCGACAACCCCAGCATACCTATTCCCTGGCGCTTCGCCGAGTCCGTCTCAGCTCTGAAAGCCTATGAGGCTTTACTCATCAATGCCCTCCTGCAGCAGAAATATGGGCAAAGCGAGCCTGTGGAAGTGAATATCAGTACTGATCATGCACAGCTGTTCTTCATGTCTTGTCTAGTGTGGAAGATGGATCCGGGAGATGGGAAGGCTGGACTAGTCACTACATCAAACCTGACAGGGGACGCGAAGGAGCGATACGGGAGGCTGTTCAAGAATTGTGACTTGCATCGGGCTACGGCGAGTCTGCATAGGATTGCGGCGACGAATATCTACCGGACGAAAGAGGGGGGGTTCTTTCATGTTCACGGTAGGTTTTTGATTCTTGGCTTCCAGTCACGGGCGTCAGGGGCTCTCGGTCTGGTGTACTTTTCTGATGACAACGAATAGGCTCAATGAACCCCGACCCAACTCTCACATACCTCGGCCTCCCACTAGACGGCGATGCGAAGACACCAGAGGAGGCCTGGGGCCCGATCCAGGAAGCCGCGCTCAAGTACACTCGCGACGAGCACCAATCCCTCGCCGACAGTAATCGCCAAGCCGGCACAATCTGCCACACGATCGACGAGTTCCGCAACAGCGAGCACGGCAAAGCTAACGCGCACGTCGGCTTGTTCGAGATTCATGATCATGCATCCGCGAAAGCGAACCCGTCCTGGTGGCCTGAGTCTACCTCCGTAACCCTAAAGACATCGGCAAAGCGCCCACTGGCGGGTTTGAAAGTCGTCGATCTGACCCGCGTGATTGCGTCTCCCGCCGTATCGCGTGGTCTCGCAGAGCTGGGCGCTTCGGTGATGCGCATAACCTCGCCGAACATCACGGATATGAGCTCCCTGCATCTGGATCTCAATCATGGGAAGTGGAACGCCCACTTGGATCTCAAGACCGCTGAAGGCCGAGAGAAATTACGCGCGTTGATCCTCGATGCAGACGTAGTCGTGAACGGCTACCGCCCATTCGTGTACGATAAATATGGCTTCGGCGAGGCGGACATCCTCAAGATCGGTGCGGACCGAGAGGCGGCGGGCGGTAGAGGCATCATATACGCACGCGAGAACTGCTATGGTTGGAACGGGCCGTGGAAGCATCGAAGTGGCTGGCAGCAGATCTCGGACGCGAACACGGGAGTGAGTGTTGAGTATGGAAGGGCGATGGGGTTGGCGGGGAATGAGGCAGTGACGCCGGTGTTCCCAAATTCTGACTACTGTACGGGGATTGCGGGCACGTGTGGGATCTTGACGGCGTTGATGAGGAGGGGGGAGAGGGGTGGGAGTTATACTGTGGATGTGAGTTCTCTTTCCAGTTGCTGCGATTCGTGTCCCTCTGGCTCTTTGCTTCACACCATGAATCATCTGTCGTTGGGGGATTCGTTGCCACAGCAAAGGTCCATTGCAATTGTGGCTGACTTTCGGCCCACACAGATCGCCCTGAATTACTACTCAACCTGGCTCATCAACTCCGTCGGCACATACCCGCCCGAAGTTTTCAAACAAGTCCACGCCCTCCACGACAACCTCTCCTTCCGCCATCATCACAACATGCAGTACACCCTACCACGAATGATTGCGTCGTTACAGAAGAATTGTGGAAAGGTGTTGTTCAACCCGGCGCATTTCACGACGTATTCTCCGAAAGGTCTGAGCGCAAGGAGTGGTGGGAAGGAAGGGAAGGAGGTGAAGGTGACGATCGTGAAGCCGATTTTGCAGTTTCCGAATGGGGAGGTGGAGTTGAAGTGGAATGTGGGAACGAGGGGGAATGGGGTTGATGAAGCGAGATGGCCGGAAGATTTGGGGATGGAAGTTGTTGGTTGAAGTGATGTTAGAAGACGGCACATGCTTTAGTGTGTAGCGCAGGTTCCTGGCTCAATATGCCGTACCTGCATGGCCAGTCTACTGGGAAGCGCCATACTAGAAGTCGTGGCCCTGCCGTGTGTGGTCGCAGTGACCAATGACGGAGGAAGCGTGGTGCGATAGTTCAAGTTTCCGCCTACCGACGCAGCCATGATTTGATCAGATGCAGTTCTGACCTTTCATCAGGCAGAGGTTGTGCTCGGCCTGTCACTCGATGGTGTCTGCTGAGCCATATTGATGCTTCGAACATGCAGCAGCGTGGTAGTCACATTGTAAATGACCATGATGACTGATAAGACAATCATGTAAACAATAGCAGCGAGCGGTAGAATGATCGAGAAGACGGCGAATCCGTAAGAGGCGCGCTCGAAGCTCTTGTCGTTGGTAAGTTGTGGCGTAGCTAATCCGAGCTGCATCGCCGTCAGAACTATTGTGATGTACAAGAAGGCCACCAACAGCCAGGCGAAGTTGCGCTGTATAAAGCCTTTGTAGTTGGCATGTCCATAAAGATATCCACGAAAGAATCGGTCGGCATGGAATGGTGGCAGGAATCTGTAGAGAAGATTGACACGGTACAATCGTAGCTCGCCGTAGTGGTACCGTGGACTTCTGGCATGCCTACCTTCCAAGAGCAGGTGGGCGTGCTTTTCGACAATGTCGAGCCAATTTTTCCAGGCCAGCTCTTCGGGTATAAGGTGGAGTTCTTTGGCCAGCATAAAATCGCTTTCATACTGCAGGAGGAGGAGATAGCTGCGAAGGAAACCCTTTGCCTGTTTCAGGCAAGGAGCGTCTTTTGGTACATTGTCCTGTACGAAATTGGTGTCAAGCAACCAAGCAGGGAGCGGCTTGAGAAAAATCCTGTTCTCTGTCCATAGCAGATGCGCCTTTGAACGCTCGGTCAGCACAATTTCTCGACGAAGCAATCGCTGGTGGTGTAAAGGTCGGATGTTGTCGACTCTGCCAGCAAGCCAGAGCCAGCGTTCGAGTCCGTCTAGAATGCTGACATCCAACTCGTTCTCAATGAATGCTCGAGGATCATGTTGAGGCCTCAAGACCTTCCCGTGCTGGGTCCGAACAACGTGAGGTAGCGAAAGAACGCTTTGAGGCACTGTTGCCGAAGCAGTGGAGTGAGGTAGTTGCTGACCCGTAGTCTGGGTAGTCATTTAGGTCTCGGTCCAGTGACGTCGTACCGAAACCAAGTTCTGACTTCCAAGGTTGCTTCTCTACTTAAGCTGCAGAACCTTTCAAGCCGCTAACAAAGCGACGAAACAATCCTGACTTGAAACAAGACTCGGTCTGAAAGCACCTGAGAAGACATCATGCATTCTACGCGCCTTGGTCGCGCCTGTTGGGCGCACTTGCGTGGGTCGAACGTGGGGTGCAGCTGGATACGAGATTGTGCCAACCCCTCCACTCGACAGCTCGAACATCATGCAGGTTCATCGCGAGCCTGATGGACACGATGCGTACTCTTCCTGACCTCCAAATTTCGGTTCTCTTGGCCTCTCTGGCCGCAAACAGACTTCAAGCCGGAGAGCGCGATGTCAACCACACCTCCAACTTACCGCTTACGCCAGATCCCAGCATATGTGGAGCGGTTCAGCCTCGTACCTTTCTTGCGCCAGACCTCAGCCAGTTTCGACCTCGTCGGCGAGATCACAGTCTACTCACTTGCCCCGTCAGTCGGTGACTGGACCCGTCCGCCTTCTCAGACCGCCACAATCTCTTTCCATGCCAACCCTGAGCTTCTGTGGGGCCAAGGTAATGCGTGGTATTTTCAACTTTCTGACCAGCAACGGCCGCTGGAGATGGACAGCCACTTTCTCGACTTCACAGTCCTCAACTCTGTCTCCGAGGCCGACCATGTTGTGGACTGTATCGCTATCTCTGGACTGGCTAGTCATCCCTTTGGCTCTTGGAGGTATCGTCAGCCCAGGGCTGGCGCGCAAGGCGCATCCCTCAATTTCATGTGGTTACGTGATAGCCTGCCTTGGGACGTCAAAGGCATACGAGTACTCATTTATGGTTACGATTCAAGGCTCACCCACAGTCACTCGTTTCAGACCATTGATGATATTGCCCGAGGCTTTGTGCCGATGCTTCGGACCATAGCTCCAGCAGATCAGCTGAAGCCCATAATCATTCTAGCCCACAGCTTAGGAGGTATTGTGGTAAAGAGTGCGCTGTTGCGTCTCGCCGAAATGCCTGAAAAGGAGCATATCCTACTTCGAAACATCAGATCAATTATGTTCTTTGGCGTGCCAAGCAAAGGAATGCACGTTGGTCACTTTCTGTCCATGGTGGAAGGGCAGTACAACCAGCAGCTAGTGAAAATGTTGGCTAGGGGCTCAATGTATCTATCGGATCTTGACGCTAAGTTATCGCAAGTTCCATGTTATCGGCTCATGAGACTCGTCTCTGCGCACGAAACAGAGACTTCACCAACAACTGTGGTGGACGCGAACGGCAAGTGGACAAGGGATGGTAGTCACGAAATCCTCGTATCCCCTGAATCAGCGACACAGCCTGGATGTGAGCCTACGGATGTCTTTCCGATCAACAAAGACCACTCGAACATGGTCAAATTTGCGCCAGGAGATGCGGACTATGCACGGACACTCGCCTATCTTCGGTGGTTGGTGAACGATACAGCATCGCAAGCTCGGGATATCTACTATGGCGATCGACAAACCGCAAATGACCAAGATATATTTGACGCGAGTGGAGCTGTTTATGATTGGGACGCAGAACTCCAAGCGGTGGCCTCTGACCCATGGCCTCTTGGTTCCTGGGCTCAGCAGCCATCCCCAGTCCACGAAGCAGCGCGCCCAGACGACCAGACACGCCCACATGAAGATCACAATGCCGACCACGCCATACTCGACGCGGCCGAAGAAGTTCCCGAGCATTCAAAAGGTCGCAATGTCGACCACGCCATACTCGACACTCCTGAAGAAAGCCCCCAGCATTCGGAGGCTGTCGCGTCGTCCTTTGCTGGCAACGACAAGATGGAATGCCCATACTGTGCCATCAAGTTCACTCACCGTGATCTGAAGAGACATCTACTGACGCACAACCAAGAAAATCCATACGTGTGCTCCGTGTGTAATTCCCAGTTTCGACATTTACACGCTCTGCAGCGCCACACGAGCAGCCATTCCGGGCAGAGAGACCACATCTGTGACAGATGCGGCGCGGAGTTTGAGGCAGCCGACGCACTCACCCGCCATAAGCGACAGCCGTACAGATGTGCCATACGGAGAGCCAAATAGTATAAACAGTTTGAGTAACGACGATGTGTTGGAAGCCGGTGGTGTTCCTACGGAATGAACATGTCGTAATTATCAGCCGAAACATCACACGATCCCTACTTGGCCACACAAATCCATGCGAACACATCATCGTCAAAGGAACATTTCATTTCTTGCTGTCGTAAGCCAAGCTATCCGCTCAGATTCTATCTCATTGGCATAAGATCGCCATGCAGCGCGCTTCAATCTGGACCTTCCGCCGCCCGGGGCTTGCGCATCTGATGTGCAGCATAATGAGTAAGGGTACAAACTCCAGAACAAGACACAAGCCGGACTCAGAGTTCCGCATGTTGCCAATGACCGCCTGCGGCGTGTAGCTCGCGCCGCTCGCCTTCCCAAACTCGCTCCATGCGCTCGCCCTCGGCAGTCACCCGCGGCGCGACCAGGAAGTCGTTCGCTTCGCTCCACCTACCCTCCGCGCGGGCGGGTGCCCCGTGACATCCTACTGTGATCGCCCGGAGCTCCCTTCCCTCACCACCTACCGCATAATCTCCCTCCAAATCAACCCCTTCAACTCCTCCTTCCCCAACGTCTCCTTATTCCGATCAAAGTCAAAAAACTCCTCCGGAATCTGCTCCGCCGTCGGCTCATCCTCGGGATCATGATACGGCTCCAAATACGGGTGCTTCAGCGCCTCCTCCACCGTGATCCTCTTCACCGGATTGAACGCCAACAGCTTTTCGAGGAGATCGAGTGCGACGTCAGAGGCCTTTGTGAAGATGAGTTTGAGGGGAATTTTCTTCTTGAAGGGTAGGGAGCGGATGTATTCGCGGGCGCGGCGGGATTTGATGCCGTAGTAGTCTTCCATGGTTGGGGTGCCGAGGACGTCGAGGATTAGGGTTAGTTGGTGGTGGTCTAGAGCAGCAATTGTTAGTGAGGGGATTGGATGAAGGGGCGAGCTTGAGAGGCGACGTACAGTCCTTGCCTGGAAACAGCGGCTTTCCGTTCAGCATCTCCGCCAAGATACAGCCCACACTCCACACGTCGATAGCTTTGGTGTACTCCTTGAAAGTCAACATGATCTCCGGTGCACGATACCAGCGTGTAGCGACGTATTCGGTCATGAAGCCGGAGTTGTCGTCAGTGCTTGCGGCGGAGCGGGCCAGACCGAAGTCGCAGACCTTCAGATCGCAGTTGGCATTGAGAAGGAGGTTTGAGGGTTTCAGGTCGCGGTGGAGGACGTTGGCTGAGTGCATGGCTTTCAGGGCGCGAAGGGTTTGATAGATGAAGTACTGGCAGTGGTCGTCGGAGAGGTCTTGGGTGCGGATGACGCGGTGCATGTCGGTTTCCATGAGTTCCTGGGAGGAAATTAGTCCTGGTCGGGGCGAATCTTGTAAGGATATGCATACCTGGATGAGATAGACTTCATTGAAGGTCTCATAATTGCGAGGCTTCTGAATGTCGAGTATCGAGATGATGTTCTCGTGGTTGAAGTAGCGCAGCAACTTCATTTCTCGCAGCGTTCGTAAGCAGAACATGGAGTGGTCGAAGGGTGTGATCTTCTTGATGGCGACTTTCTGACCAGATGGTTTATGAAGCGCTGAGCTATTACTTGTCAGTATCATCCCTGGTAACTTCGTGATTCACCGCTTGCTACGCTGGCCACCTCCGGCGGCCGATGCTTCGACCCACCGGTACGCTCGCGTTGAAGTCACTTACCAAACAACACCATAAGCACCCTCCCCAATAACATCCTGAATGTCATACTGATCGCTCACGTTGAACGAGATCTTTCTTGAGCCGCCGCCGTTGCCGGCTGCGGGCTGTTGTTGAGCCATCGTGCTGGCTTATTGTGTTGCTTATGCTTGTGTTTTGACGTTATGCGGACGGTCTCTTGAAGGGCAGGGTGGGTATGAGAATGTTGGTCGTTTCTTTCTGACTTCGGTGTTGGTGTGTTGCGCTCTAGTGAAGGAGGTGTTCTAGAGGGCCGCCGATCGCACAGCGACAGTAGGTGCGTGCTTCTACCCTTCTCTGGACTGGAGGGTATCGTGACGGGAGTGCTGCGGGATGCGGTGTGGTGTGCTGCTAGCGACCACTACTGTACCAGCGGCAGAGGGTCTTCAACGGCGCAAGAGTCGTAAAAGGTCGTATCTAACAATGCCTGACGCTGTCGAATGCAGTCGTAGTTATGCTCAATGTGACAAGAGGAACAAAGGAGGTGGAGTTTATTGAGCGCTGGCTGGCTCGTGCGGACCACACACGCCGAGTGCGCTTGATCGAGAGGCTAGAATCGCGACGATCCGCTTCTAGAAGATTGCACTTCGAAGGGTGAGGGTCGTGGGTAGAACGGTCGCCGTCAGAGAGTGATCGCAATGTTGGGTATCGGTTTCAGTGGTGGATGGTCGTCAAGTGAGGATGGTGGGGTAAAGATCGTCTGCGATTGTTCTGGGCGCTACTTCAAGGGCGGCGTTTGTCTCGTTATTCATCAGCAGACAGCTCAATAGCTTCAAGGTGCTAATCTAAGAGCCTTTGGAAAGAACGATGTGCAATGCGGGTATTTTGGGATTCTGCAAAGCCAGACGCGCGACTTCAAGGTTGTCTACGGGCAAAGTATCAAGGCACTCCCACGGCTCCCCCCTCCACACTCCCGGAACTCAAAGCTCGCGATTGGTATAGGAGCTCGTGGTATGCAGGGATCACCCTGACTGGGCGCTTGTGACAGCCTCGTCGACCAGGGGTTCAAAGGGTTCAGGAAAGCATCCTGTGTAATTTCGCCCATATCACAGCCTGCTCTAAGCGCCGGTACGGCAGTTTCAGATATTTCTGCCTGACCAATGTTTCATCATCAGTCGATGTACCCATATATTTCCGAGGCAGAATCCTGCCAGGGAGGGCTCTATGGTACCGGCACTTCATGGCCGGAATGCAGATTCTGTTGCTGCTGGTTCTGATGAGCGTCATTTCGAGCTCACTGCATGACCTGCAAATTCAGAATTAGCATACCGTCGGGCGGACTCTGTCAGCCATCTCAACTCACCTTTTCGCGCATCTGGCCCATGAACTGCTGCAGGCTGACACCCTGATCCGCCCTATCTTCTACCAACATGGTCTGTGCCCACAGCCGTAGCCCAGGCTCGCCGTCTTCCTTGACGACATACAAGTGCGGTACCACGATAGAGCCCACCCCCTTGGACTTGTGGTCGCGGCTCTTGCTAATGACCGCCCGAACCCGTTCATTGAAGTCGTTATCGAGCTCAGGCAGATGCTGCTTGCCCACCTTGAGCTGGCTCTTGTCTGGTAGGCCGAAGACATCGTTGACCAGCTGTGACACCGCGTCACGACCAACCCACAGGAACTGTGTCTGACCATCGTCGATGAGGTAAAGTCCGTATGGTACCAGGCGCTCTGATGACAGATTGACTGGTGGTGGCAGGATGATCTCTCCGCTCTGTTCGTTAACTGTGCCAGCATCGTCTGGCATGTCGTGTAACGAGAACATCTTCGGGTAGATGTATTGAATCAGTAAAGGCAGCGGCAGTGTCGAAAGCAAGCACAGCGCTGCTGATCGCATATCGCTGGGAATCTGTGAAGACTTGCGAAGACCCAAATTCTTCATCAGTGCCAAGAACAAGATCGGGAGGCCTCTAAGATTTGCTGGGAACTGCAGACCGCCGCCTCCCATACTGCCGCCAGCCAGCTCCTTCTTGTATGTCTGGAGCAACTCTATCAGCTTAGCTTGTATCGAATCGCGAGCGCTCTCGAGGCCACCGTTAAGTGTTCGCTCAACAGCTTTGTGGCTGAAGTACGTCGTGATAGCTTGCTGATCGGCAGAAGCGTATACATCGGCCAGATTCTGTGTCGTTGGTAGCGCCAGTGTCAGGACGCGAATACGCCGCTCGCCATTGCAGGTCGTGTGTAACACCGCTGCTTGCATGCATGCCACCGGCTTCGTGATTGTCTCATCGATCGCCACTTCCACAACATACGCTTGATCGCGTGGAAATGCTGGGAAGGCGCACAGATCTGAACTTCGATTGAAGAAGTTGCCGTAGAACGTGCTCATTCGTAGCCCGGTGGTTGCTCGGACACGAAGCACAGCCTCGAGTCCGATCTCAGCGGAGAGGTAGTCAGAGAACTCCTTCGCAAACTTCATAGCGTCCTCCTCACGGGCTGCATTCCAGCCAGGGTAAAAGAACGTCTGACCTCCAGTGTATCTTGGTAGACAGCTTAGCGATGCCACGTCTTGGTACTGTGACGAGAAAAGGAACATGTCCACCGAGATCTGCTGTTTCGAGCACTCCACCGCAAAGCTCTTGTAGAAGCTGTTCGAAGTGCCGAGGAGACTGCTTTCTTTCGATGTGCCTAAGAGCTTCTTGTCTTCCCGCATTTCCAGTCGGCCGTGGCCAATGTTAGGGAGGGATGCGGTGATGACCGTCATCTTACCACCGACGGGCCCAATCAACTTGTGTCCAGACCTCAGAGCGGACCCCATGGCAGAAGATCCGTTCTGTGTATTTTGGAACATCTCCTGTAACTTATCCAGGAACTTCTCGATATTCTCGCGAGCTTCCGTCATCGTGACTAGCAAGTCGTTGGGCGTGGGAAGGAATGGCTCGTCCAGATCTGCGACCACGAGCATGCTGGTCTCCGCGTTCTCTTGATCGTCTCTGGGGATGTTGAAGAAGTGTAGGCTCGAGTCGACGGCGATGAAGCCGAGCCGCGTTCGTCGGTCAGCATTTGGTATCCTGTCGAGGCTCTCGCGAACACATCTCGCCGTAGTCGCCAGGAGACCGCTGGTCACAGCCGCGTAGCTGACGTCAATCAGGAACAGATACACTAGTGGCTGAGGCGGCCGGACCATGTACTCCTGCGGAGCAATGAACTCGACTACACCGTAGTTGAGGTCTGGCCGCTGCCACCTATCCAGTCCTTTCTGAGTCGTAGCATCCCAGTCGAAAGCCTGAGGCACATCATTGGTCAGACTGCACATATTGCATCTCCATCGGTGGCCGTGGTCCAGGAAAGTCACAAAAGGGTTGATGTATGACCGACATCGTCGACATCGAGAGATGACTTGGTCAGGTACGACTGGTACAGGGTCTTCGTTGTCGTGGAGCGAGGTGTATGGTTGGATTACCAGCGCGAATGGCAGCTTCGATTTCTTGAGCAGGGAGTGCGTCGTGGGAATGGCGTTGAGTGTCGACCGGACAAATTTTGGTGGACAATTGGCATTCGGTGAGGGTGTGACACTCGTCTGGAACTTGTCAGTGGGGAGGCCTTCGCGGTGCTGGATGCCAAGGAACTTACGTTAGCTGGGAGGACTGCAGGAGGTGGTGGATAGTCCAGTTCTGCCACATTGAAAGGTTGATTCGAGAGGTCTGTAGGGTACAGAACGTTGAGCTGGGGGGCCTTCAGCTGCTGCTGTTGCGGCTGCGGCGCCGCCTGCTGCTGGCTGACATTCATCTGGCCGAACTGCTGAGTCATACCAGGCACACCCGCTTGCTGGGCTTGTACTGGGTATGCTGGCTGAGGCGGCTGATAGCCTCCCACTCCGGCGTCTTGATGGCCATACATGGGTGTCGCGCCCTGCTGAACTGCAGCAGGGTTCTGAGCATATCCGCCCTGTGCATATCCCGCAGCGTCCGCCTGGGCGGAATAGCCACTGTACGGTGCTGCAGCAGCAGCACCACCAGGCTGCTGGCCTCCTAGCGCGGCATTCGCACCTGCTCCGAACTCGTATGCTTGACCAGCGTACGCCCTCTTTTTCCGTCCACCAGTCGTTGCAGGGCCTGGTGGTGGTGCTGGGGCGACTCCAGGGGGCGCCTCGGTCTCGTAGTTTTCGTAGGACTGGCCTTGAGCCGGCTGACCGTAGCCATCCTGCCCGGGAGGGTACTGTTGAGACATCGTATGGGAATGTGAAAGGAAGAGACGGTGAGTGGGAAGTCTGGAGTAACGACGATTCGTGGCAGGCAGCGGTGAAAGAGTAGGTTCAGGAGGGCTCTGTCGAAATCAGCGCCTTCATTCTCTCAATTTCTTGACCCACTGGAAGGCAATGAATCGCGATTGCCTTAGGACAGGTGTTTACTGGAATGGAAAGCACCACGCATCCCGCCGCCAAGCTATATGTGCTATGTCCGTAATCTCCGACTCCACCTCTGCTGGTCGACCGGCGTGGCTTTAACCCCTTCGACATACGTCTCGTGTCGAAATCTCCTCAGCGCCCGCCCCATAGGATACTTCTACATGATGAAGGTTCCAATGGGTGACGATTTTTTGAGAGATTCCTGAGTGGCACTCCCACTTCAATTCACATCTGCATACCGCCCAGCGCACTCCCCGAAGGATGCTCCTACAATAAAGATAGCTACGCCGACGACGATCAGTAGAGGACGCGATGGAACAATGATTGTCAACGGGCGGAGACCTAGATCATGCTCTAGAGGTCTCTGACATATCATTGTCATCACAACCTACACTTCTCGTCCAAAACGTCTGACCTTCCTCATCCTAGTCCACCACCCCCTCCGGCAGAATACTAACATAATCCACCGCGGCTGACTCCAGCCCATCCGGCACGCCCACAATCCTCAACTTCATATCCCTCCCCACCTGCACTCCGTTGAACGTCACCCTCGCCGCCGTCTGCCCATCAATATACGGACTCGGCGCCCTGCCCAAGTTATACTCTAGATCGCCCTTCCACTCACCCACTAGCGCCTCCTCTCCATTACCATCCATCAGCCACAATTCCCAGGTCGAGTTTCCCAAAGCTTGATCGTAGTAGTTCACCGCCACGTCGTACGTTCCATCACTCAACCCACTCTTCTCGAAGAAGTCATCCAAGCTTGCCTCAGCCACGCCCCTCGTGTTATTCGCGATCGTAGCAATAGCCCATCCACCACCACTCCCCGCCTCAAACGGCTTCACCTGGTACACCTTGTACCCCTCCACCAACTCCATCTCCTCCGCCTCAATTCTGTACCTATAGTTCCCCACGCGCCCCAACTCATCCGCAATCCCACTCTTATTGAAGTAGAAATTACAAATCGAGTCCCTCCACACCAGACTATGCCCCGCCTGATACCTCAACCGATACAACACATGCTCATACCTCTCCTCATCAACCAGCCCCTTCAACCCCTCCCACTGCACCGGGAACGTCTGCGCCATCGCCGCGCCCTCATAATGCGCATCATAGATATGTTGTAACACCGTTTTCCCCGAATGTAGCTTCTGCGTATAGCCCACATGATGAAACCACAACATCAACTCATCCGGCGTCGTCTCAATCCTCTCATACATCTCCGCTACCTCCGTGGGATACTGCCCCGCAAACCCCGTCCCATTGCTCACAGTCCGATCCATGCCGATACTATTCCCATCGGCGCGCGTCCACTGTCCCCAAGGATTCCCATCCTGAGAGGCCGGATTGGGGCCATAGTGGCCCAGCAGGATATCGGTGAGGGTCTGCAGGCCCAGATTGCCGGTATAGTTCTCGTAGGTGGGCCATGAGGCGAGGCTGAGGGCGTTGATGGTGGAGATGACGGTCGGGTCGTGGGAGAAAGTAAGACGCGTCCACGTATCGATTATCTCTGAAGGTGACGGGGCAGAGGCGCCATACCAAGCGGTCTTGCCGAAGGCATAGAGGTTCGACATGGCGAGGTGGCTGCCTAGCCAGGTCGTGTTGGTGCCGACGTTGACGACGCCGGCGTAGCCTCCTGCACGCTTCGTACCAAAGCGGGAGCCGTTAAGGATGGAGGTTAATGGTGTGGGTTGGGAGTCAACGCGCAGGTCGAAGTCTAGGAGTTCGCGCCACATGGGTGGAAGGTAGACTAGGTGCGCTTGTTGGCCGAGGTACTCTTGGGTGATTTGTAGCTCAATTGAGGTGGCGGTATTTTCGAGGTGGGTGAATAGTGGTGAAACGGGCTCGCGGACTTGGAAGTCGATGGGGCCATATTTGATCTGAATCACGACGTTGTCTTCGAATTTTCCGTCGAGGCCGTCGAAGAACTCGACGGCTGCATTGGCGCGGTCGGCTTTCCAGTTCGTGGTCTGGTTGAGAGTTTTGGAGTCGTAGACGAAAGCACGGAACATGACGGTGCCGCCGTGGGGTTGAAGGGCGCGGGCGAAGAGGTTGGCGCCTTCGGCGAGCGTGCGATTGTAGGTCAGGGGTCCAGGCTGGCCTTCGGAATTGGCTTTGACGAGGTAGCCTGCGAAGTCCGGGATATGGCTGTAGATTTGGGTTGTCTTGTTGTTCCACCAGGCTATGACTTCTTCGTTCAGCGGGTCGAAGGTGTCCAGGTGGGACAGATTGGCTGGCGAGGAAAAATAGAGCGAGAGCCCAATCTGGATGCCGTATGGTCGGAATGCGTCCGCGACACGAGCCACTCCCTCGATGTTGGTATCGTTGATTGTCGTCTCGTTAGCGTTTACGTTGTTGATCACAATCCCATTGATGCCGATCGAGGCGAGGAGCCTGGCGTACTGGCTGACTCGAGTCAAGTCTTCTCGAACGACCCGTCCCAGAAGAAGATCGATTTGCCTCCATAGCCTCGTTCGACCGAGCCGTGGGTGCCGCCATCTCTCATGTTGTCCCACTGATTCACCCATCGGACTGGTGCGTCGGGGTTGGAGGCATATGAGCCTGCCGAGAGATTGCCTGTGGCGAGCGTCTCCAAGAAAGCAAAGGCGCCGTAAAGAGCTCCGCGCTCGTTTTCGCCCAGGATCAAGACACCACCGGCCGAGGTGGAGATGTAGTAGCCATCAGCAATGAGCTCCTGCAGCCCGTCGATACTGCCTCCGGTGGAAGCGTAGGCTTCAACAGTACCCACAATGATCGAAGAGTCGTCGCTGCCCTCGTAGGCCACTTGACATCGCTGACCCAAGATGCTATTTATGCCTTGCTGGAGCTCTTGGCCGGCAGTGTACACTGGACTGATCTGCGAATCGTTGAGTACTACTATTGTGGATGGCACGAAATCTTTGAAGCTGTTTGCCTCAGGTATGGGGGCATAGCGAAGCCAGGCATCGATGCCATTCTCTGCGGCCGCAAGGCTTATTAGGAGAAGTAGTAGTGCGGCGCGCATGGTCACGCTCTTCACCTAGCCAGCGCAGAGTGAGAAGAGAACCGTACCTACCTGGTTCTGTATACATACCAAGAAGCATCTCACGAAGATTCGAACTTATAGCTTTCAATATAGCCGGCTTGCAGCGAGCGACACAGTCTGGTTGCATCGCCGACAGCCTGAGTCTCCAAGCTCCGCTCCGGTGCCGTCATCGTCAAGATGCTTGCCTCGACAAGACAGACAGAAATGGGTAAGCTGCCAACATCGGTTCCGGTTAAATGAAAAAGTGGAGGAAGGATCATCGGTGGGGGCTCACTGGCTCATCCCAATCTGGGGTTGCGGCGGTGGCAGTCAAAATGCGGGGCGAGGCGCCCGGGCGCCAGGGATGAATCCCCGACGGAGAGATTTGTTGTCACTGACTTCTGGCAGCCGACTGTAACTCATGGCTGAGGCGTATCGCGTTCCGCACGTTGAGGTCGGGTGAGCTCTGTCTCTCACTTCTTCGCAATACTCTGTCGCGTTACGATCCGACCAAAGCAAGATGGAGCGACGACCATACGTGGACGCGACCTCATTACAGCTGGAGGGAAAGTTCAACGCGAAGGCATTGAACAGTGTATCCGACTGGAATCGTCCGCCTGCTATTCGGACCTCGTGTCCAACACGCTGTTCGTCGACTGATCAAGATGTGCAGTTTATCGTGGTTGTTCGCTGGCGTCGTCGTGATAGTTTTGGTCTTCCGACGCGCTTGGCTTGGATCAACCTGGATGAAGTGCTGCCTCGCGGGCGACTCACCGTCAGCGAGACGAGTAATGCACCTGCTTCGCGGCTGAAGCAACTCACATGTTCCTGGCACTTCTTATCGATCATATGTCCAATTCTACTTCGAGCGGGCGTCTCCAGCTCGAACACGACAGAGCATACAGGACGTCGCAGCCGAGAGCATGAAAGGCGACAGAAGCCACTCCTTGTCTAAGCGGGTACGTCGAAGGAGAGGAGTTCGAGCCATGCGATAGACTACTTGACTTCGCAATCGGCTTCCACAAGGCCGGTTGTTGCATCAACATGTGCACTTATCTGTTCCCCCAGCGAGCAGCTGTACCAGGCAATGAAGCAGGCACTTCTTCGACCAAGACCTGACTATTGTGCGGCTCACCAGAAGCCTCAGAGCCTCTAGAAGCCACAGTTGCTGCCTTGCTCTATGGCTGCTTTGTCTCGCAAAGACATATGGCAAGTATTAAGTACCATCTGTGTGTTTTGTGCTCTTGTTCTGCTTTCCTAGCTTGCTGTCTGAGTTGACTCGATCAGGACGGTTGTCAGCTCTATCTGCATCGGCAGAGATTGATTTTCTCCGCGTGGCGATACACTTCACGGAGCAACAGCCTCGTCATCCGCTAGACCATCATCATGGACAATACTGCGGAGGATGTCCAGGCGGAAACTCAGCAGCATTTCCGGTCAGATTCCCGGGTCGAAGCTTGGCTGGATACTCTAGACAACGCTCAGACAGACAGTCCGGACGACACTCGGGGCGACGGTTTGGACGACACTCCGGGCGATACTCAAGAAATCACTCAGGACGAGGGTCACATACGACAGCATTGCCTACCGAGAGCAGAAAGACAGCTCGGACAACTCCTCAGCATCGAGGGTTGCAAGCTCTTGTCACCTGCACAGTGGGAAACCAACAACATACCTACCAGAACCAGCATAGTAGGAAAACTTCGACCTGGCGCTGTCGGTTCGGCCATCCACGTCAAGGAGACGAATCGAGACGTTGTCTTCAAAGTCATACGAATTCTGGGAGTCGGCTCAGGCTTAGATCCATCCACGTCCCCTGAAGTTATATCCCAAGAAGTCCGCAATCTACGAGCTGTCTCAAGTCTTCCAGGCTTTGTGAAGTATCGCGGAATGAGCTTGACGTACGGAAAGCCTCCATACCCTCTGGAGTCGCGACCTACATCATGCAGTGAGGAGTTTCATGCCGCTGGTGGCTGTAGCACACATTTCATGGCTATCATTGAACAGGACTTTGGCGGCGAGACCCTCAAGTCACTGTTAGCGAGGTATAAGAACGATCTGGAGCAAGATTTTGGGCCGCATTGGCTACCAGCATGCTATCGGAATCTGGCCGCCGTCTACCTGGGCACGCTCGCGGTGCTTGCGAATGCTGAAAATGCGTTAGGCTACACGCACAATGATCCCCACTCCGGCAATGTTGTCGTGGAATTCCCAACACCAAGTGCAGTCACGACACCATCGACAGAAGAGCATAGCAGCCAGAACGCCGCAACATACCAACGCGAGACCTTTGCAGACACCCATGTCCGAGTTCGACTGATTGATCAGGAGGCTGCTACGTTCGAGCCGTCCGTTGTGGGCGAAAAGCCTGGAACGGCGACTGAGCTGCGGACTAATGTGTTGCACTGGATCGCATTGCTAATTAATTGCTGGAAAGCGTTCGGAAAGACTCGTCCAGAAGAGATCTGGGAAACAAAATGGGAAGAAGCACAAGAATTCTTCGAGAATCCCGCACAGTCGCGTGCCAAACTTGCTCAGATGAACACTCAAGATCGGCGTGACAGCCAGATATGGTGCGTCCTGGTGGCGGGTCATATTCTCAAGTCCATCACGGCAACTCCGCACAATAGGATCTTCACGTCGATGGATGTTCTGCAGCGACTCATTGATATGGGCATCACCACGAAGAATGAAGCATATGGTCTCATAGGGGAGGTGAAGGAGTAAGCTGGGTACTGCGGACAGTCACGGTCTTGGACTCTGCATTTGCATTACACCATTCGCGAAGCAAGACCACCACCAACTACTAATCTAGCGCTGTACGCTATGTCTCTCGCTTTTGTTCTTGCTCTCGCTACTGTCTGCAGTGTCGCAACAAGCTGTGCAGCCCAAAATGCCACAAGGTATAACTATTGTTCCTTTCTTCCACAGAGCCTGATTGCTGTCCGTCATCATGTCTCAATGCTTCTGGATGTCACTACTACGACGGCATTGTCATGCTGATTGTCCTCTGGAAGTATGGTGCCAGTACATTTTGGTTCCTCTAAGTATATCATCAACGGGCTCCTTTCTATCTGTTGGTATTACAGCACCGTTCGTTCCAAGTTCCCTCGTGACGCTCTGAACTATTCCCACCGGCCCGATCTTTACCTGCGTGGACATGGATCAAGCTGCATTCCCACTCGCGTCAGCCACGGGATCGAGCTCAAAAGGTCAAGATGCAGTACAACAGCGGTGCTTCATAGAGGTCGAACACCGTCTGGAGGAGCTCTTGAAGATCGGAGAATGCGAATTGAAGTCGACTGAGGAGTGGGAGGCCGAGAACATCCCAGTCAATCCTGCATTGAAGGAGGGATTTGAACCTGGCGGTCGCTACAGCGAAGCAGTTCGCATCAAGGACTCCCACCAAGACGTTGTCTTCAAAGTCATGAAGATCCTCATACCCAAGTTCGGCATGACGTACAAAGCACAGGACCCAGGGGCAATTCGTGACGAAATACTTGCTCTGAAAGCTGTCTGTGGACTTCCAGGCTTCGTAGGGTATCATGGTCTGAGTCTGACGTATGGCAGAGCCCCAATCTTTCTGCACTTTCAACGCGGACGGTGCACCGACCGATGTCACCAGAACACGGATTGCGAAACGGAGTTCTTTGCGATAATTGCGACGTCGTATGGTGGGCGCACAGCACACTCGATCATTGAGGACCAAATCCTTCAGAAATCCCTTGTGTTCAATCCGACCGCGAGACTCGAAGGCGTCCGCTTGCTTGCCTCTATCCACTTAGGTGTGCTTGCTGTTCTCGCAAATGCGGAGAGAGTAGTGGGATACGAGAATCAAGACTGCCACTATAACAACGTGGTGGTCGAAGTCGATACTCAACAAGCAACGCCTCGAGCGCCAATTACGGCCACGGCACAGACTGGTCATACTTCAACCACTGCCCCAGCTTCTCGGGAGGCCTTCGACTTCAATATCCGAGTACGACTGATCGACCAGGGCATGGCTCGCACTAACGCATCTGAGGCAAATTCCGCTTCGACATCGTCCCCGGAGCCGGTAACAGAACAAGTGCTGCAGAGCAATCTCAGACGCTGGTTGGCCAAAGTAGCTGGCTATCGTGCTCTCGCTAATATGTTGGGTGATCCATGGACAAACACGAGATCCCTCTGGGCGAACCCTTTCGACGCTCGCGCAAAGCTGGACGAGATGACGGACCAGCAGCGGCAAAAGGCGCGTATCTGGTGTGTCCTGTCAGCAGCCGAGGGTGTCGAATACGAGCAAGAGGATGGCGAGTCCACACTTTTCACGGCAACGGGCATGCTGCAGCGGCTAGTTGACATGGGCGTTACGACACATGCCGAGGCGCGTCGACTTATGGGGGAGCCACGATAGTGAACTTCATGGAACAAGAGCAAATGGAGTTTTTGCGGGGTTACTGAAGCGCGAGTCGATGGTCGATGCTTCGCCAAAAACGTCGAAACGTAGGTGGAGGATACTCTCCAAATGTTCAGGGAGGTCGGAAGAAAATAAGTAGTCCGAAGCTGATGAAATAGCTCAAAGCCGTTGAAGATCTCGGGATCTGAGAGCAGAAGCCGGCTGTGAGGAAGAATGGTCTTGGTATGCTCGCAGCCGAAATTGATTGAAAATGCACAGTGAGCTCATCGCCGTCTCAGGTGTCGTTCGACTTCAGTTCGTTCGACTCTCGCCTTCGAATTCTTTCCTTCTCTGCCACTGCTAACCGACTCCTCTATAATGCAAGCAGAACCCTCCCAGCCAGCGCAAGCGCCACGACTGGAAATACACACCTCCACGCATTCAACCTCGCCCACCTCTTCAACAGCTCCGGTGTCTCTATCCCCTCTATGCTACCCTTCCCCTTCCTCGCGACCCGCTCATCCTCCCCAACCTTCGCCGCATCTGCCCTTCTATAGATCTCCGTATTCGTCCTCGCCATCACCACAATCGTAAACGGCCCGACCAGCATATTCATCACCGCCGCCGCATACAACAACTGCCTCTCCGTCTTCGCTGCACTAGGGAAATTACGCGCAGCGTAAATGTACGCCGCGGCCCCAACGGTCCCGATGGCAGGGCCAACCTTCTTGCCGACATCATAAAGATACTGCCACGAGCGGGCGGCGGAGTCGTGCAGGGACTTGGTTTGGGCTGGTGTGGTGTTGGGTGGTGCGGGGAGCAGGATGGAGGGAATGGACAGGTAGGAGAGGGTGAGGCCGCAGGAAAGGAACGCCGAGGAGGAGGCGACGCCGATTGCGGTGGCCAGGGCTGTTGCGTTGGCGGACATGGCGACGGGATCTTGAGGGACGGTCTTGGTGGTCTATTGTGGAGAAATGTATGGTCGATCCTTGGTCCAGTGGGTGAGCTTCTTGGAAATGCTTGGTAAGTGCTTGTGGTGGCTAATCGAACTGTGCTGTCGTCTGTGCCCAGCTGGTGAAGTCGGTGTCGCTTGCGTTGTCATGAGTACCTAAGCTCTGGTCGGCAGGTCAGTCGTTTCTACACGATATTGGTTGATAGTCTGCCACTGAGATCTATACGGGACTCTAATTCGAGCTTGATGGTCATCATATATACGGCGCATTAGAATTAGCTTTGGTCATTCGGACCCGAGGCTATGGTCGTTGGGCTTCTATCGCGTCCGTTAGTTTCATTGTTTCGGGATGTAAAAGCCACAAAGCAAGGTCGGACAAGGCATCCACAGCTTTCGATTGAATGTCGTCCACAATCTACGACACGAGCGCGGCGACGACCACTGGTATCATCAGCTCCTGAAGAATGTTTGTGGCAGTCGGATCGATTCTGACCCGATGCTCCGACGATGAACGACGCCAAGACATCTGAGATCGGTCCCTAAACATCCGAACGCCACTGACTAAGCAAAGATCGCTAACCATTATGATTGGTGCTTCATTCGCCAGATAAGTTGTGGTCAGCCTGAGAACACCCATCCCAGGGCTGAGCCTGCTCGAGCAACAGACTCCGGACTGGGACACGAGCATCATACATTCGGCATACATGACCTATGCCAAGTAACGCTCGTTCGGTGTGCGTTGGCTGCTCGTGACAGAACGCTTGCCCTGTTCCGACACGCATGTCGTCGCGATTCTCCTGCTGAAGGCTAGCAGGCTTGGAAGCTGAGATCGACCAATCGTGCCTTCCCGAGTTCGCTTCGACATGCTCGGCGCCACGGCAAGGCGGACGACACGTTCAAACCACGCTGGCCTGAAGTTATGATCATTGCAAGACCTGGGAGTCATGCTAACGGAGGAGAAAGCGCGGAAGCGGAAGTTCCACCACAAGTCGAGGGAAGGCTGCGACCGGTGCCGACAGCGACGGGTGCGATGCGATCTCCAAAAGCCTCAATGCCAGGCCTGTGTCCGCCTGGGATTTTCCTGCACGTGGTCGTTGTCGCAGCTGCCTGTGTCAGTCGCGTCGATTGACATGTCAATCGACGAACTTAGAGCATTTCAGCACTACCGAGAGAAGACAATGGTGCAATTGCTGTTCCGAAAAGACGATGATTTCTGGGACGGCGCATTACTTCGAATGAGTCACGAAGATCGCTTTCTAGAGTGCTTCGTTATTGCGCTGAGCAGTCTTGACGAGGCATATCGGTTGCGCACTAGCATCAATCAGCATGACCTCGCCTTGCAGAAGTATACCTTCAGCCTCGACCGGTACCAGAAGGGAATTGAAGGCCTCCGAGATCTTATGAAGGAAGGACAGGAGACCGAGCTCATCCTATCTGCTTGTCTCGTTTGTATCTGTGTGGAGCTCTGGCATGGCGATAACATGAACGCCGTCGCACACGCGATGAATGGCTACCAGTTGGCTATTTCGGCAACTGCCAAAAAGCCGAAGGGTACCGGAGGTGCTCTTCTCACGTTGCTCACATCTATGCTGCATCGCCTCTGCATAACGCTTGGCATTGAAGGATTTGGAACCAGTGCTATCGAGGCATCGAAAGACCGGTTCGAAGACCGCAGCTTCGCCTTATTCAAACCAGAGAACTTTCTTGATTGTCAGCGACAGTTTCATATGCTGCTAGAGCGGTATGTCGCCATGACGGCCGGAGAGACGTGCGACACTCCTGGAGCAGTAGCGCTAAGAGCGTGGCTAGAATGCTGGTACGAAAACAGTGTGCAAGTATTCGGTGAGCAGCTAAAGACAGACATGCATGCTCGCATGTTAGCTATGCAATATCATCTGGTAGGTCATAATCATTCGACATAGTATCAACCGAAACTTCGTCCCGTTGGTAGAGCTGTTTAAGATGCGTTCTGACCTAATTACTAGGTATACGCCATGGCAGAAGCTGTCTCCGCTCGCGACGAAACCCTCTACGACAAGTATTGTGACAACTTCGAGCAGTGCGTCAATTTCCTCGAACCATACGTACAAGCCAGATGGACAAGCCGAAGCACAGTCAAGTCAACCAGAACCTTGGAGCCCTCGATCATGATAGTTCTCACCTTCGTCACATTCAAATGCAGAGAGCGGCAACTTCGGCGAAAGGCCCTGCGACTACTCTACCGGACCCGGCGTCTGGAAGGTCTAGCCCACAGCGCCATCATGGCAGCATTCATTGAGCAAGTTGTGGCATTCGAAGAAGGCAGCGACACTGTCACGGGCTATGCAGCTGCAGGATTTCCACAAAACCTAAGGCGGATTCGGCTGACGCAGTTCAGCTACGATCCCGGATGCCTCAGAATTGGGTCACAGGGCGACACAGATGACTACTGGCAGCATGACCCGCCAACGATCACGTACAACTACGAAGAGGTTTCCAGCCCAGGCGTCCTGCATGCTGTGACGTTCCGGTTACGCCCACACTTCAGCGTGAGTGGGTTCGGAATGAAGAGCTGCTTCTGGTACCCCATGTCCCGTCCCGGCCACCTTCCTACCATCATGGACGAGGAGATCCCCTTCGAGACCCGGGCCCTCGAGGGCCCACATATGGGCTACAACCCCTTCGGTGGGGTCTTCAACAATGATGTCGAGAACATGTTATACTTCCGCTTCTTTTCGCTGAGGCCGACCGGCTTGGTGATACCGCGGTCTGCGGGGAGTTGGGCGTTTTGGTGACGGTCGACGACTTGTCATAAGACATGGATTGCTCGAGTTCCCTGAAAGGACGGATCGACTCGCAGGCTTGATGCCTGGAGCTATCTACTTGGCTATTAAGCTTCGAGAGCCGTTATAATTCGACCAGTAGACGATGGCCCCGTGGTGCCATGAGGAAGAAATGCACTTGCTCCATGTCTTTCTCGCTCATACCGTCCTGCCGAGACAGCCTGGTGGCTGGAAATCTCGTGAAGAATCGAGCAGTCGCAAGGCGAAGCTCCATCTTAGCCAAATGAATTCCTAGACAGACTTCATGGCAACCGTGTCAGCATTTGGGGTCGGATAAACTCCAATTCATCGACACGTGACTTACTGCGCGCGCCACCTCCGAAGGGCATCATGGAGTCTTTCATCTCGGCAGAAGGTGTCCTCCAACGATCGGGATTAAATCTGCTCCATCAAGTCAGCAAGGGACACGCGGTGCTGACGGCCTGTGTATCTGACTTGTGAGGATCCTCGAAGATCTTCTTCGAGCGGTGCAAGGTGTACGCCTGAGTCGACACAATGACGCCACCTGGGATGTCGTATCCTGCGAGCCTCGCACCCTCCGGTGGTGCTGTACGTTCAAGGCTTGCTGCCACTGGCGCATTGAGCCGCAGAGTCTCGGTCACGACCTGGTCTAAGTAAGGCAGATTTCTTACATCTGCATCCCGGAAGTCGGTCGGAAGCGAGGCAAGCTCTTCGAGCAACCGTTGGCGTACGCGCTCGTCTTGGCAAACATTGTAGACCAGGTACGTCAGTGTGACGGCCGTCGTGTCACTGCCTGCGACGATATAGCCTTGAGCTTCGCTTCGAATATCGTCCGGCGTCAGCTCTTTGTCTGCCCAGATCTTGGAGAAGAGGGTTTGGGGAGCCTTCTCGTCCGTCCTCTGCAGCAGCGCCCTGTACCGGTCGATGGAGGCCTGAGAGTACTGGCCAATCCGACGCCCGGCGGCGGCAATCTTGCCAAAGAAAGGCAGCGACAAATGACTGGCCAACTTGACCAACGTGGGGAAAGTGGTGCGAAACGGTTGGAAACTGGCCAGCTGCTCAAGGTCTGAGCTATACTGGTTCTTCTGTAAGAGTATCAGAACATCATATGTTGCAGCATTTGATCCCGATCAGGCCTACCTCGCCATGCTCCAACATCTTGAAGGACTCGCCAAAGCTCAACTCTCCGATGATATCGGTCGCCATGAATAACCACCATTTGAACATGTCGGCCACGCCTCTTTGTCTCATCTCCCCTGCCGCCTGGTCAAGCGCAAACACGACTCGTGCGTTGACTACGTCTTCAAAGGTTCTCAAACTGGAATCTGAGATCGGCGACGCGAGAAGCCGCCGGCGACTGGCATGTAGTCTTGGATCGGTCTGCGCGAAGACATTGGTGCCGAATGGGACCAGTCTACGATAGAAATCCGATTTGACGAAGCGACCACCCACTCTATGGATCTCTTTCAGCGCTGAGAGATCCGCGAAGTCGGCATGGTCCGGAGTCACGCGAACAACTGGTCCTGTGCCCTCGTTATGCTTTGAATCTCACTGACATCGTGTGGGTTCCTACCATACTTGTCGTGTAAATGTGCAACGTAGTCCACGCCCTGGCCGGTTAGCCAGTGGTAAATCATAACAGCACCAGTCCATTTCGAAATCTCTGGCCCCGGAAGTCTTGCAAGCGGGCCTCTTTGCGCGCGATATATGAAACGCTGCAAGGCTGTTAGCGCCAAGACACTCCAATTTCTGGACTTCGCATACCAAAACGCTTGCAGCCAGCAGAATCCACGCCGCCCGGACAAGTGAGTGAAGTATGCCGGGGTCCGTTCGTATGCTTGTCATTGACAGCATGGCTGAATTTTAAAAAGCTGGAGAAGATGCTTGGAAGAAACCAGACAACTGTGTGCAGCCATGCGGTCGCCTCTATCAAAGCTGTGCAGCAATGTCGCAGTTCGGGCTTCGGTGCACGCTCGCGACCTGTGCAAAGGCCGAACCAGCCTCCATGAGTTCGCGCCACTCACAACGTCAAGCACGGCCAGTTTTTTTTTTGGCGTTCAGCGGCAGAGCCGCGATCACAGTCTGCCAAGCCGGGAGTGTCCCCGACGGCTCGTACGCAAAGTTCAGAGGAGAGTTTCAGCAAAGTTACTGATCTCCGGAGCGTGTACTTTCGTAGGTGTCATATTCGGCGATTGTTAATCGACCGACCGACCGAAGTACGGCTCAGCACGCGTCTCTCACCAGTGAGGACTGGGTCAACCGAAGTGGTGATCGCTCTATCTTCGGATCAATAACGACTCAACAGCGAACGACGTCCGGTACACCATAGTCTGGAAGACATCAACCGAAACTGGCCTTGCCGTGAGACACTTCTAGGCCGTCCCCATACCCCAGATTGGCCCCCGCCAATGGCTGGCATAGGGTTGTCCGCGCTCATAGGACGTCGTCCGGAGACCATACAGCGGCTCTACGCCCCAAGCTAAACAACTTATAGCAAGCCGTCCCCATGCGTCGCTATGGCAGTGCAAGTCAGCTTTCATTGCCATGGAGAAAATAGATGCCCAGGACAGCATACAGGCGGACGACGTTGAGGTCCAGCATGTCGAATCTTACGAGTCCTTCTATAGTCATTCTACCTTTGCTCGACTCAAAACATACCTCGTGATCGCTGTACGTTGTGCAACATTCAGCTTATCTGTGCAGATGTACTGACAATGATTGGCAGGCCGCAGGTCTGACCTTCGCCGCCCAAGGCTTCGCCATTGGAGGAGCAGGACTCCTTGCTCGCGACATCACCGCTGTGACAGGCGACCCCAGCAATGCCAACTGGTTCACTATCATCATCGGACTCGGAGCTGTAGCTCTGATAGCACCCGTCAGTCAAGCCGCCGACTACTGGGGTAGGAAGGTGTTCATGGTCTTCTTCTCGCTCATGGGAGTTGTGGGTTGCATCATTGTTTCCCGGGCTCAATCCCCAGCAGCGACACTTGCAGGCTTCGCCGTCCTTAGTTTGGGCTTCGGCACCCAGGCTCTAGGAGGCACGATTTGCTCAGAAGTGCTGCCTCGAGAAATCCGATCCTATGGCTCTGCGGCATATCAGTCTTCTGCTTCTCTAGGGGTCCTGGTAGGTGTCGTGTCTGCCGGTGCCTTGGTCAGACACAACAATCCTGCCGGCTTCCGGACTTATTTCTACATAACAGCAGGCATGTACGCTCTCGCGACTCTACTCGTCTTGCTCTGCTACAATCCACCACGAAGAGAGCTCCAGAAGTCCCTCGGATTCTCACAGAAACTCCAAAGGCTCGACTGGGTCGCATACTTCTAGTAGTCTCCGGACTGCTACTTGTGTGTCTTGGACTCTCCTGGTCGTTGAATCCCTACAAATGGTCCAATGCACACGTCTCCGCCCCGTTCGCAGTTGGCCTCGCACTCCTGATAGCTCTGGTGATCTACTCCTGGCGGATAAAGCCAGATGGGTTAATCAACCACGGCCTTTTCCAACACCGAAACTTCGCCCTTGTACTCGTCGTCATCTTCGCCGAGGGCATGGCATTTTTCTGCGCCAATAACTTCCAGCCACTGACCACCCTTGTGTTTTTCACAACAGACCCGCTTTACATCGCATTACACAATGCCGTCGCGATGGGGACCTCCATCGTCTTCGCGTGCCTAGCGGGCTTGTATTCAAAGAAGACCAAGACGGTGCGCTCGTTACTCACTGTCTCATTTATCTTCTTCACGATCTACGGTATAGTCATGGCAACAGTTACGCCACGGACTCCTGGCGCCGCTTTCTGGGCCTACCAAATCTTCCAAGGCGCCGGCCTGGGTATCTGCCTGATGGCCAGTGTCGTCGCCGCCCAGTTCGCCACACCCTTAGACCTCATCTCCACGGCCACCGGTCTGCTGCTCACTGTCAGAAATTTTGGCGGCACCGTCGGCATCGCTGTCTTCAGTGCGCTTCTGAACTCCGGCATGAGCAGTCTGGGCACCAACATCGCAGCCAAGACTCTCGCGATGGGTTTGCCGCCGACGTCGCTCGCCGCGTTGATCGGCAATCTTGTGGCTGGGAACTATACTGCTCTGGCTCAAGTTCCTGGTGTGACACCGGAGATCATTGGTGCTGCCTCGGAGATACTGCTCGAAAGCTACAAATTCGGCCTGCGCAATGGGTGGGCTTTCACTGCTGCCGCTTCCGCGATCGCCGTTGTCTGTGAGTACTCCCCTCTTTGTTACGCGTGCGGGACTCGATGGAGCTCCGGAAAGGAGCGCTCATACTGACGACGCCAGGCTGTCTTTTCTTGGTCGACCCTAAGGCAGAGTTCAATGCTCATATCGATGCTCCGGTATTTGATCGTGCTGCTGCGGCTAGTGATGAGCAGACACACGGGAAGCCCTAGGCTGCGGTTTTATGGCTATAAGGTAGCGACAGATAGGATTGTCGCTGCCTGGGTTCTACCCTTCCTCTGGCCAGGTTAATGCTATATGGGGATGTAATCAGTCGTTTTCGTGAGGCCCTCAGCCGAGAGAGCCATGACCGACGGCTGCAGTATGAGTATCCGACATGTACCGACGTGCCTTCTTTCTCGGTCGTCATAATAGCTACTCAGATGTTGTCCATAGACCACGGACTCCCTATGTGATCCGCACGAGTTCCTATTTGGTGCTGGAGCCGCAGCAAGCCCCTCAGGCACCTTCGCAAACCAATCCAATTTTTGCATGATCTCATGGCACCCGATACCATGCCCATGTCTTGTCAGAAGCTAGATCACCTGAGGCAGTACACCAGTTGCTGCAAGCACGCGCAAGCCCTGCCGATGTACCTGAGAGTCGTCAATTTGGGGCCAGAACAAGAAGTTAGAAGAATTGGAAGCCAGACCCACAACACATCTACGACGGGTTTCACTCGTTATCACCTCGTAAGATGCTGGGCCGCTTAGACCCCTTTCTCCTTGGCAGGCGCGACTGTTTCGCCGGCTCGAGGCTCTTGCCTACAGATTTGTTAGGTGAGGAAGGCGCGAATGCCAACCTCGGTCGCTCTTACAGCGCTACATATTCCCCAGGGAGGCAGGAGCGAGTGCTGTCGGTCGGAAGCTCCTGCAGTGGTGCACAAGGTGTGTGGTGAGGCAGGAGCGAATGCTGTTGCTCCTGCCGCAGAAAGTGGATAGAAAGGAAGACGCGAATGGCGTCATCACACCGCACCTGACGCACGAAGTGTACGGAAAGGCAGGTGCGAACGCCGCCAGTCAATCGCTCCTGCAGTGTTGTAGAGTCTGTCTGACGTGGCAGGTGCGTTGGTAGTCAACCGGTCTGCTAAAAGCTGACAGCAGACCGGTTGACACGAACGAAGTCTTGTCGGCCGGTCTCAGTTGAGTCCGGCGTGCCACCTGGCAACAATTACGTTGAAAGCCCCTAGGCGCTGTCTATATCAGTGCCTGGTAGGCTTGTCCCGATCCAACTCAGTTGGTCACAGCTTCTTCAGCAGAGGCACAGTGATATAACTACCTTCCTCACCACCATCCCTGCTCCCACCAACAGACAGAATATGCTTCCCCACATTCCTCGCCTTGAACTCCCCACGCAGCGTCGGAAACTCAGCCAGATACATCGGGTGACCACTGACCTTGAAGACAAGCGACTCGCCCGCCTCAAAAATAATCCCTCCAGGCCACAGACTAGTCTCAACCTTGACCACCTCTCCCCTCGGCGTTTCCTCCTCCCGCAAATGCTCATGCTGTATGTAATGCGGCCTCGACAGCTCGCGATGAATAGCGCGATGGCTGGCGCGGATCTGCCCCGTGGGCCCGAGATAGACGTAGGTGTTCAGGAGCGGGACTTTGTCCTGCGGGACGCCACAGGCATCGAGATCGGACTGGGGGATGTTGTAGTTGAGGAGGTGGTTACCATGGGCATCTGCTTTGCGGATCTGAAGGAAGATGTCCATGTCGTCGGCATCGGGACAGGAGATGAAGAGCGTGGCTTTGGTGCTGCCTAGGAGGTAGGTGCGTTGGGAGAAGGTGTAGGTGAAGGTTGCTTCCTCGGGATCATTGCCCATTTGTTTGCAGTCGACATCGGATTGGTAGCTTACGGTTGCTGGGGTAGTGGGAAAGTCTGGGGACAGAGTGCCGTCTTTGTGGAGGTATAGTCGCTGGTATCGGGTTTCGGGAACTGGCCAAGTCGGAAAGGGTTTGTTGATGATGTTCGGCTGCAGATACTGGTAAGTGCGGCTCACCAGGAACAATGTGTCTGGTAAATGGTTGGGAAATCTTCTTACTTGGTTGAAACCCAGCAGTGACACGCGAACTTTGGGTGTACTCTCCCAGTCATTGGAGACTCCCTTGAGATACCTGTCGAAGAAGCTTTGCAGCTCGTCGTTGGTCGAGGGCTGGTACAAGTCGTGCCATTCTTGGGTACTGTGGATGCGCAACCTGGAGGATTATCTGTCAGCTGTCTGGAAGGATTGTCAGACGCTCCAAAGGGGCTTCGCACCATTTCTTGTCGTGCGGCATGTCCTCAAAGCCACGAAGGCTACCTGGTAGATGCAAGAATGTCGAGTAGCTTGCAAGGATGTAGGCTGGGACTTTGATACGCGAGATATCGGCCCGCTTGTCCCTCCAGTAGTCGTTCATGAGTGGGTATTTCTTCAGCATCGCAACGGGATCTTCCATTGGATTGCGACCTGTGACTGCATCAGCAACTGTGATACTTTACCAGAGCCGACCACGCCTCCTGGTTTGGTATGTATCTCTTACAACGCAGGAAGAAGCTTACCTCGAAGGTTTCCCATCATCCACTCCAGAAACGGAGTGCAGGCTATACCACCCCGGACGTGAATCTCCCGGTATAGATCGCTAGCTCCCTCCAGAGGTGCAATACATTTGAGAGAAGGCGGCTGCTCTGCAGCGATGTACCACTGAGCACGGCCAAGCCACGAGTTTCCCACGGTAGCCACGTTCCCATTGCACCAGGGCAGCTTAGCTACGTATTCAATTACATCGTAGCCGTCGCGCCCCTCTTGACTACCGGGCCAGCTGCAGACTCCTTGTCAGTCAATCATAAGCCAAGTCATAAGGTCCATCGTCCTACCATAGATAGCCTTGGGAGTCCCAGGCGCCCCGTGAATCGATGTGGACAAGGGCGTAGCCTCTCGCTGTCCACTCTGCTGGGTCAGGGCTTTCGAACTTCTCGAACCCGGACAGCCAATCTTCCGGTACTCCCATTCGACCAGGCAGCATTCCCAAGGTCATTCCTATCCAAGATCAGCAACTCCGACGCCATTCGCGAGCGACGCCATACCTCTCCCTGACTTGCCGTAAGGACTCCACGGCAGCAGAACAGGCACTCTGCCTCTGCTGCCATTGTCTGGTCTGAAGATATCTGCTTTTAGGATCGTGCCATCCCGCAAAGGTATATCGATGTTCTTCTCGAAGATGGTGTCAACTGAAAACGGTCGCGCGTTTTCAGTCTTGCGATAGCCTGTCTGGAGCAAGGATGTAGACGTCTCAGAGCCGTCGTATCCAGATTGACCTTCTATGGGTGACTGAATCTTCCGGAGCAGGACTGGCGTATCGCCTACCTTCACATCGAGAGAAGGCTCCATCTTCCTGGACAGGGGAGATACGGACTACCTCCGTGTGACACTCAGATTGCTGGCGTGAGTTGCCAGGGAGTTGAGTATGTGGTCCCTCGTTCTGATCTCGGATTATGGCTCGAGATGCCCGGCTCGTCGGTCTGATGAGAACTCCTTTTCGTTGGTCAGCCATGGACTCAGTCCGGGTTCCGGTCAGACCACGCGAGGCACTCGGCCTCCAGTGATCGCATGTTCGGCGAAGCTGTCTTGCCGAATGAAACACAAAGCTCCCTCTAGACGCCTAGGTCCAGACTTCGCCTTCTCGGGGAAGAGCCGTCGGGTAGCGTCTCTTCGCACTGACCAGCCGTGACCGTCGATCGTGGTTCTCCACTTCTTCTGAAGATGCCAGGCCGCCCGTACTGCTGTTCGAGGCCTAGGAGAAGAAACAAGAGACCGAAATTATGGCGAGGATCACCAAGGGGACAAAAAAGTCCGAGTGGCAAGACCAGGCATCTTCTCCGCTGAGCACCTTTGCCGTGCCTACAGCATGTGGCCGAAAACAAGCATGACGCCCATTTGAGGATGGCAGGCCCGTGATGCATTGGCGCCCAGAGTCCAGCTTCGAAGCTGGCTGTCACGGAGCTAAAGTGATCTATGTTTCAGTTCATTCCGCTGTGTAGCTATTCCACAGCTCCACTCAGGGAGCATGGGAGTCTAGGAGCACGTAGACCATTCGAGCCCATTCGGTACCACTGGCATTAGCCACGCATGATTCGTCCCCCTCTGCACCAGCACATCTCCCCTGGACATGGTCCGTTCCTGACCATCATCAAGAATCGCAATGATGGTTCCCTCAATCACTATTGCGTAGTCGAGGCTTTTGGTAGCGTGCATCGGTGATTTAGACCCAGGAGGGAAGTCGAGATAGCGAAGTACCGAGCCATTAGGAACGAACACCCCAGGTGGTTTTGCTTGAAATTCGCTGAAGACATTGATGTCGGTCTGGTCCTTCAATGTGGTGGGGAAACTATTTGTTGCGTAGGCCACAGCAACGCGTGCAGATTCCTTGCCGCCAAATGGAATCAGGGTGAGCTCCTTCAGCTCTAGATTCTCATCGATGATGTTCGAGAAGACCGCTTTGCCGTTGCTGTCGATGTCGGTTATCAGACGCTTGATGTTTGGCAACCCGGTGATGGGGGAAATCGTGGGCTGTTCACTCATCGTGAAATTCTTGCCTGACGTTGTGGTGAAATTGAGTACTCCTCTTCATCATGAAGGCAAATTTATTCTGCATTCTAGAGATTATGATACGCTGCTCTGAGTCAACGTATGGACTTGCAAGGCTGACGAAATTCCCCCGGTCCCTTCCCAAGTCAAGCGAGAATGCTTGGCGGGATCGCGGTCGGTCAACAGCCATAACGCGATAGGCTTTTCGGACAAGGCTGGCTTGGCCATCCCTTGTCACACTCGAGCCTTCGGGTAGTCACCCGTCGGATGTGAATTGCGCGAGGCCGAAACCTTGCACGGGCAAGACGCCGCTGCGACCGAAGCTTCTGGGGCCCAGCTGCCCAACCTTGCTCTGCGGGGTGTACAGGGCCCACGAAACTCACCCCAGATGGAACAGACCTACAGCTCGGTCTGTTGAAGTCGGTCAATGATGCTGAGACGCCTGCTGGTTGGTGGCATCTGCCTTCCCTCAGCTATGTATGTGGAAGCTGTGAGCACCGCCCTTGCGATAGAAGGGTTACAGTGACTTGGCCGACACCTTTATTATCTCCTGGATATTGAGGTGTCTCTACCAACGCGATACAATTCACGATGCTCATAAATACTAGCACAGCGCGTCTTGCTGGCACTGCAGGAATATTCCTACTAGCCGCGTTCCTCTTGCGCGTAAGTGTCACAATTCCCATCGCAGACTCGGCCCGCATTCGGATTCTCTAGCTAACCTCGCCCGTGTAGAAAATATGGCTTCTACTCACAGACCCACTCATGAGTCTTCCAGGTCCATGGCACGCCAAACTCACAGGCGTGGTCCTCAAGATCCAAACCATGATGGGCAACCGCTGCTTCTACATCCACGACCTGCACCAAAAATACGGTTCCGTTGTACTGATAGCTCCGGGCGAAGTCGACATCAGCGATCTGGAAGGCTTCCGCGAAATCCACCGCATTGCCAGTGGCTTTCAGAAGACAGACTGGTACACGAAATTCACGCCAGGGCTTGAAAGCAACGTCTTTGGCTTGGTCGACTTGCAGGAGCATGCCGCTCGCAGGAAGCTGCTGGCCCGAGGTTTCAGCAACTCTTCCCTTCAGGCAAACTTCCAGTCTGTTGTGAGAGACAGGGCCAAGCTGGCTGTAAGTCGTATCAAGGAGGAAGCTGCTACTGGCAACGACTGCGATATCCTCAAGTGGTGGACTCTGATGGCCTTGGATGTGACGGCTCAAGTTGCCTTCGGAAAGCGGTCTACCATGCTCGAGGCTGGAAAGGTGAGTGACGAGTCACGCCTCTTTGGTTGCTATCAACATTTACTGACAGGAAACAGAAAACGGAATACACCGAAAATGTCTCACTGATGGTTGAGGCCACGGGCATTCGCGCCGAAGGGCATTTCTTCTATAACCTCATCAAGCTCTTTTCACCCTCGACGCACGCACGATACGAGACTTCGGTGAAGAGCGTCCCATCCTACGGCCTGCAAGCCGTCCGCGAAACACTTTCTACCAAGCTTGAGACGTACAATCTCATCAGCGGCATGGTCAAAGAGAGCGCAGAGGCAGACAGCAAAGTCAGCGAGTTTGACCTCGCTTCGCAGGCAACAGCCATCATCATCGCAGGGTCAGACACGACAGCCACCACGCTGACCTACGCAGTGTGGGCTGTCCTCTCGCGGCCCGAAGTTCGCCGCGAACTAGTCAGGGAGGTTTCGCAGCTCCCAGAAGATTACAGTCAGGGCGACCTCGAGGCACTGAGCTATCTGAATGCCGTCCTGACGGAGACGCTGCGCCTTTATGGAGCTGGACCTGGATCGTTACCACGTGTGCATCGGTCCAAAGCGCTCACTGTTGGGCGCTACGTTATCCCGCCCGGTGTGACATTGACAACCCAAGCATGGACTATTCACCGCGACCCGACTATTTTCCCTGAGCCTGAGAAGTAAGTTTTCAAGAACAACCTGCCCCATTTGTTCCTCCTAAGGTGCTGACAACGCTGGTAACAGGTTCGATCCTGGTCGCTTTGTCAAACACGGCCTGCAGGGTCAACAGAAGGTCGCCTTCCATCCCTTCGGAGCGGGCACCAGAATATGCCTGGGCCTACATCTAGCGTACATGGAGCTGCGGTACGGTCTAGCTGAATTCTTCCGCGAGTGTCCTGGGATAGAGCTTGCGGCTTCCACGACACCGGAGTCAATGGCCATGGTGAACTATTTTCTGGTCAGCCCGAAATCGAAACAATGTATGGTCACCAGTACCTGCAGATAGCCAACCTTGTTTTTGTTGCGACCATGTAGATGGCACCCTCTTCAACCGTGACTTGGCTGCATTTCCAACTGATCCCCACAGTTCCGTCTATGGTGCGGCTTCATAAGACCTCGTTGCCTCGCTTCCCGAGAGGACGCACGACGCCTGTCCTCTTCACCCGCTAGTTGAAGCCACCAAGTCAGGATCAAAGCCGCCCAGTTCCGCAAACAGATCCAGGTTACTATCCGCGAAACACGACAGTGGGAATTGCATCGAATATCCAAAGTCTTCAGGGTAGCTAGGTTGCTCCTGTGAGGCACAGGTATGCCCGCTCATGTGTGACGCCTCCATGTTGCCGGCGTGAAGTACGGAACGGTTTTCTATGGCCGACAACGGATACGCCTGCGCGGGGCCTTGTACTTGGGTCGCACGTTGTTCGAAGCTGCGCTGCTGTGTTCCTGATCGCAGCGATGTCAGTAGAGGACTTGCTTACCTGGGGCCGTAGGATCGGGAGTAGCATACTTATCTCAGACTGTATCTCGATGAGCTTGTTCAGAGTCTTCTCGGCTCGTTGAGCGCCAGTATTGTTACCATAAGCGCGGAAGATCTCGACAGCCATTTGTAGACCACGGTGGGGATCAATCGTTGTCTCTTTGAGCGAAGCCTCCTGCCACAATCTTTTGCATCGAGTGCGGAGCAAGAGGCACGAAAAGACCGTCAAGGCTGCGGTAAAGCCTAGACGAGAGTCAGCTTCGGCATGAGTGTGAGTACGGAGGGTCTTCGACTTACAATAGTAAGCGGAAAACCACCAGCTAGTACGCAAGGAAGGGTAGGGATTGGTGCTAGAGATAATCTGAAGCACCTCAAAGGCATCACTTTCGCAGATTGTGATTTCGTTGATAACAACTTTGTCGAAGTACGACCTTTCCTCGTGAGTAAACGTCCCGTCGGGCAGCAGATGCTCGCCTCCCTTCAGACAGAGCATTAGCAGGGTCCGACGGAGCAACAGCCGAGCGTTGAGGTAGCGTAGGGCCATGACCACGCTCAGGCGGTCAAAATTTGAGGTCTTGGAAGTATTGGCGTGATCGGAATGGCGTTGATAGAGCCATGGCGTCTTTTGCAGCCGAGCTGGCAAGTTCCGTTTCCAGGCTATGAGCTTTCGTTCGAAGTTCATCACATGCGTGAGGCTTTCGCTGGCCTGTATGTCTGGGTCGTCCTCTAGATTATTGCCATAAAGGTGCTCGATGATCTCGCCTTGGAGCAAGTACAATTCACTACCTGGTATCAGTATGGTCACACATCAAGACACTCATATGACCTACGAAGTAGCAGTGAAGAGATAGACAGAACCAAAATCGCCGTCGGACGCAGTTGAATCCACAGCCTCTCCCTTCGAAAGTGCGTCAAGAGTCATATTCTCAGGTAGCGGCAATCGAACGAAACTGTTCGGGATCGCTGGTGGTCTGCCGAAGGTCGTGCTCAATGTGCTTCGCTGTCAGTCAGCAAGCTAGAACACTCTTATGTAGGCCCGACTGACCGATCGAGTATAATGCAGCCAAACCAAATTCTTTTGCGAACCTCGGCTTCAATGGGAGACAATGAGCGGAGTCTCGACGCAGAGTGCAGTCCCAGCTGTATCGCAACCCTGATTGTTGCAGCATGCGAAGTCCAGATTTGGGCAGAGCGTTGGGTCGCCATGCAATACTGATGCATAAGTAAGAGCGCTTGCACTATAGAGAAGTCAGATTGCTCGACATACAACAAGTGTGTGTAGGGAGCAGAGATTCCACATACCTGTCTGAGTATCTGTGTGTTCCAGGTCCAATTTCGATGCAAGTAGCTTAGCCCGCGAATAAAAGACGTCGGACTCGAGAAGTGCGTCATGGTGATCGAGCTCGTCTCGGCTACTATGATAAGTTGCCATGGCGAAGATGGTGTTGAGGAGGCACATGAACGTTCCTGGGATACTAGGTGGTTTTTGCCTGAATAAGGCTTGATATGAAGCAAGCAGACCCTCTCGGTGAATGTAGGGGAAAAGCGTGCCTGAGTCGGCGAAGAAAAGCTCGAGGAGCCGCAGACCGTAGTCGGCGGGCGGCAACAGGTACATGTCAACAGGATTGCTGCCAGCAGTAGAGATCACGCGAGTGTTTTGCCGCGGTGATGCTGGGACTGAGAGCAGTGGTCTGCTCAATGTGGAGGAATGTTGCCGATCGACCATTTGAGGCGAGAGCAAGGGCGACGATAATGCATTGGATATCTGGCGTAGAAAATAGATGTTTGAAGACGGACCTGTTCACAGGTCAGCTGGAGTCTCATGCACAGGAGCATGAGGACAGCTTGCCAAGGAATGTTGTTCCAGGCTGCTGCAGAGAATTCGTGATTACGGTCATGCCATCAAGGCTCAGGTCCACGGGGTCAGGGATTCTTAAGCCATGATCTCGTCCAGATCCTGGGTCGCCTCCCAAGTCGCTCGGACGACCCGAGGTGTTCGGCGTCACGCCAGCTGGGGTTGCGGCTGGTGCTCTCGGTGCTAGAGACATGTCATTGTCCCTCGCCGATCTCCTCCATTCCATGAGTTCCTTGACCATATCTTCCATCTCGGAGAATCTCTGGTCCAGGCCGGCATGGCTGCTGCACTGCTGGTCAAGACTAGCGGCGAGGAAGCAGGACGGTTTCTTACATCTCCGTACCTTGGCGGTCATAAGTGCAGTTCTGACCCAGATCTATGCAGGACCGGCAGGCTGGCCGCGAACCGTCACACTGAGCGTATGTAAGTATTGCAGCTCCTGCAAATGGAAGCCAACCCACACGTGATTTTCGATTTCTGCATGTCTTGCAGGCGAGCGCTACACGACGGCGCTTGACGGCCGACTCTCTTTCGTGATCATCCATAGTAGAGGCTTGTCATGTATGGGTGGTAGGTTGTACGAAGCTATGTCGATGGCTAGGGCTAGAATGCTAGAAATAGGCCGAATTCACTCCTTCCTCATGGGGGTGCTATAACGTCATGGCAAACTTTATTGCTCTCATACATGCCAGTGCAGTGAGGGACCTCAGGAACGAGCTGCGACAGCATGAGCGTCCTGGTTTCTGGCACTCGTCTGCGAATTGGTCTTTGATTCTACATTTCGGCTCAATATGGTACCACAGCGAGGACGTGTATTGATAATGCAACAGCCCCAATGATGAATCAACCCATCATCGTAAAGCCCTGACACTTCAACCGAGCAAACGTCCTCCGCGCCGTGAATGAGCACTCATCTGTAATCTCACACTCCAAAATCCGACCGCAGCCGCGGTATCAATGCCATCAGCTCCGCGCGATCACGACTTGCAGCGTACACAAAGCGATCGGGCCGAACCAGTATGAACATACGACCCTTGGTCTCCCGTCCCATCCGCTCGGCCTCGTAATAACGTGGTGCTGGCCTGCCTTCGCACAGTACTGGATCGCTCGCAAATTCCTCTCCTGACGCAAGACGGTAGAGCTCAGTGTTGAGTCCCGCTCCAACTTCAACAGGCAGGATAGATGCCGCGTGTGGATGCACGCTGTGCACGATGACTGTCGGTTTTGCGTGCACGATCCCAGGGCAGATAGATTCCAGGGTGGCGGTGAACTCTTTCAGAACACTCAGAAGATGATGTATATCTGTGCTTGGTTGTGCGAGGACAACCAGACGAAGAAGGTCGGAGCTGGTCGGAGCAAAGATGATGTCGTCGCTGAAGGCTACGCTTCGACCCGTGGGACCGACTTCGGCGTCAAGCTTGGCAAGATAGACCTGGGGAAGCAATAACCCACCAACTCCGTCATCTAAAAACGGCAGCCCTGTCTCGTAGCGATATCTGGTCATGCCAAATAGCCGCGGTCCCTTCTCAATATCCCTCCGCCAGGCGGGAACCAATTGAGTCAGGTAGAGGCTCCATTCGCGTAACCACAGCTTGACAGGGTTGCTTTCTGTCACATACTCGCCGTTGCGAATAGTAGCTGCCAAAGACGCATCCAGCTGTTGTTTGCGTTCCACATACCAGCCTCTCAGGAGTCTTGTGTGGTCATGTCTTGGTTGACGATACAGTAGAGCCAGTCTCCACGCGAGACCAAGGGAGTCGCGAAACCCGGAGGTGATGCCTTGCCCGCCGAATGGAGGAAACACATGGGCGGCATCTCCAGCGACGATCACGCGACCGGAAGCCCAGACGTTGCAGCTTCGCGCTGAGAAACCAAACGCCCGTGATCGAAGCGTCGTGATGCAGTCTTCAGGGTAGCTGACCGGCCCTGCTAACCCATAGCGACTGCCTGAATGCGTTATGTAAGGCTTGATAATCCTCGAGGTCTGTTGGTAGGAAGCCATCTTGGTAGGGTCTTCGCCTTCGTGGACTGCAAACTCGAAGCGCCACAGTCGATCTTCTGGGGGCCCGAACCGTCCACAGACAGCTGCCCTGTTTGGGTTGCACAGAAACCGGAATTGAGTCGGAAAGAAAAGGTCGTAAACATCCTCTGGTGAATATCCAAGAGCCCAGAGAGGGAAGTCCGGGTGTGTATCCCGGGTCGGCAGGACTATCTTCCAATTCAACGCGACCCAGGTCTCTTCATAATAGGTCCTGGAGAAGCCTTTGTTAGAGAACACTGCCGCTAGGCCACTGACCGCACATAGTCATGGAAAGACTTACCCCTCGCACCTGTCCATTCGCACTCTTCTCTGTTCGAGATATTTCTTCCTAACATACCCTGTCTTACCATCTGCACCCACCAAGAACCGTGCTTTGATGGATCTCTGGACCGAAGCCAGGTCTTCATATGTAACCAGAACGTGCGACGATTCTTCTGAAGTTTCATCGACGATCTCCTCAACGTTCACCACTGTAGCCCTTGTCCGGAAGTCTGAATAAGAACTGCCCCTTAAGACGTCTCGAATGGCTTTCTCAAGAGCCGGCTGCTTGTGGCAGATGAATCCTACATGGCCGGTACCCCCTTCTGTCGTGCTATAATCTATCTTTAGCATCGGCCTCTTGTGTAATGTTGACTGTCGTCCTGTAATGAAGTGGAACTCGCCCATGCCTGAGGCCAGAACACATTATCAGCTTCGAACCTCGCTGGCTGAATGATGGCTTACTGACATGTTCCAATGTCAGTATAGATCTTGTCATATACACCGACAGCTTGTAGAACACGTATTCCATCCTCGTCCAGTGCGATCCCACGGGGATCGGTGGTGATATCTGTCTCACGCTCCAGGACTATGTTTGGCACGCCCTGTTGATGCAACAACGCTGACAGAACGACGCCTGTCGGGCCGCCGCCACATATCACAACGTGAGTTTTGTCCACCGTCTCGACGACCTTTTCGTCTGCCATTGGCATCACAAGGAGCTGAAACGTCCACTCAAAGCATTACCAGTACGTGACACCGTCCCGTAGCTGCCGGCGGCTCATTGAGGGTTATCTTTGGTGACCGTTGTGAAGTCAGGTGCTTTCGTCTTCGCATATCCAGCAGCACGCGAAATGCCATGGCTTGACAGCGCCAACAGAAGTCGGATTTCATAGACCGAGACATAGCCATCGGTTCCGCTTCGGCACATGGTACGGTGGCATCTAGAACGTCTATCTGACCTGGCTCGGGCCATTCGCTCTCACTATCGCAACCGGTGCAGTACAATCTGGGCAGCTCAAAACGTCCCGCATCGCACGGGGCACGTCCCGCGGGCCACGTCCCACATGCCCCGAGAATTGACTCCACAATTGCGCGAATCGCGATTGCCTGGATGCCGATTCGGGAAGAGCGACATTCTGACTCATGGGGGCGACGGGTTGCAATGCTTTGAGATGTAATTGTGTAAGGTGGTGGAGGCTGTAGGCCTGTCAGGTGTGGGTGGGATGCGCCTGCCAGCCCAACAGCGCCAAGATAAATCTGACTTCCCCCAGCGTCCGAAAGCTATAGACACTGTTCTATAGCTCTCTATCTCCACTACGACCACCACTAGCACCAGTTCCCGCACCACTCCCACCACCACCCGCAAGATTACTCGCCCGCTGAACGCAACCAAACCGCTTATTCCCCTGATCAAACACAGCATACACACTCCTCAAAAACACATCCCCCAAAATATCAAACGTAAGACTCCCTCTAGACTGAATCCCACCATAGTACGTCCCATCCCCCAGATCCTGAAACGGCAGCTCCTCCGGGTTGATCGTAAAGAAGTTCTCCCCAACCGCGACTTGGATGCTCGGAATACTGCTTAGATCTGTGCTGGTGGGAAATACCCAGCCCTGCTGCTGCGTGTTCTGCTGCGCTCCAGGGATGGCACCGTAGACGGCCTGGCAGAGAGCATCGTCGACGAGAGCGAGGGTAGTGCCTGTGTCGGCGATGGCGGTGTTGTTGGAGCGATTGACCGTTTTGCTGCCGATCTTGGCGGACGTTGATTGGAATTGCCAGAAGCCTTGGGAATTGTTGACTGGGGTATAGAGGGGCGTTTGGCCGTTGGTCGCGGTTTGGTCGATGTAGCCGAAGGTGTAGAAGCTGTCGGCGGTTGGTGTGGAGGTGCTGGAGGTGGAGGAGGCGCTTGCTGGTGGAACACTGCCGAGGAAGGCGGTAAAGAGCTCTGCGTTTTGTGGGATGTCTTGCTGGGTGATCATGTTCTCGACTGGTGTTGCGACCGGTTTTGGTTGGACGGTGTTGATGCTGCCCTGAAAGATCGTCAGGATTGGCTGGCGGGAGAACCGGTGAGGGTCGAAGGGGGAAGGGAAGGGGAGGGTGGGCGGTGACCAGGTACTCACAAAAGCAAGGCCGAGAAGACCATCGCCGGGACCTTGGGCGAAAGAGGTGCTCAGGGTCTTGGCCAACTCAATAGCTTGGTTCTCAACGACTAGACCGCCAACGGTCAGGTTATCTGTGCCGACGTTGCCAGAGGCGGTCGAACCGTCGCCGTACTGGATCTGCCATGTCGATCCAGTAGACGCTTTCCAGGTTGAGCTCTTGGATGGATCGAAGACTGTGTGGGAACTGCCCCCAGCTCGGATGGTTGCGGCTGGCAGCTCAGTAGACCATACCCTAGATTGAAAAGGTCAGCAGTGAATCTGCTATGTAGGAAGGCAAGATGAGTGTGTACCAAAGATCAGCTGAACCAGTGTCGAAATCAAGGTTGACGTTCTGCACCGGAGTGCCGATTCCGACGACGGCCAGATACTCTGCGTTACTCTCGACGTCTGTAGCCTTGGTCGATGTCGTCAGAAAGTGCCTTTCCCAGTACTCGGACGGTAACATACTGGAACCTCTCCCGAGCCCGTGCCACTGGCAGCTTTCTTTGCGAGGACTTGTCCACCCACGTGTGCGCGACCTCCGAGTTTGGCGCCTATCTTCTTGAGGATCGAACTTGAGCCTTGCTGTTGAACATGCTTGACACCGCAGTATGGTCCATCAATAGTCGGGACGCCGTTCCCTTGGTGGCTGGTCAGTAGCGCCTTTGTCCTGATGTCTGGAGTTGCACCACCTACATTTCTTCAGGGCGTGGACGTATGCTTTCAAGCCATTACGCTGATAATTCGTGTTGTGGATGAGCTGAGCTCGTTGGAATTGAGTAGCCATCTTTCTCATCTAGGAACAGGAAAGGGTGAGTGAGGGATGGACTGAAAGATAAGAAGCCGGGAGCAAGATCACTATTGCAGTAGCGCTGGTATATCAATGTTGGCAGAGCAGTGACGACAGCATCAAGTTTCCAGACAAGCACAAGGTTCGGCAATTGGGTTTGCAGATCTACACCGTAGCGTTCTCTCGGTTCGGATGTCGGTACATGCCGCAGGTGATTGTACGTACATCATCGACCAGGTTGACAGCGCGTGTGATTTGGCACGGCGGCAACAGATCTTCCCATGACACAGGCCAACCGCAAGGACAGCGCGTAGGATGAGCTGGATGCGTGGGTTCTGGAGACAACGAAGAGATGGAAGTCCCGAGCCACTGATCAATGAAACTGTTCTTGCGAGCTTGAAGACGTGACTTGTCCGGGTGATGATGCGCTTCGTCACAAGCTCAGACGTATGATCATGCTCGCTGTTGTCTTGTGGGTCAGACAGAGGACTTGTCAATGTGTGGAAGCATGCTGTAATGCCTGTGCGCTGACTAGGCGAGTCAGGTCTATGGTTAGATCGTCACGCTTTGCAATCGACAAAAGCAAGGACGAGCAGATGATACGGTCTCGGAGGTTTAGCACAATCAAGCTAAACGAAGCTTTGACAAGCAGCAAGGTCATGGGCGTTGGCCAGTCGCATGATAGCCTAGCACGAAGCTTATCAACGACTACTTGGCGGCGGTGAAGCGGGAAGAAAGGGTCCGCACGAGGCATACTTCTGATCTTGCATTGAGGGAAATGCGTGCTTGGACACGGTCAGTTGGGTATCGAGTGCATTCCCATGATTTGTGACTGTACAGAGGAGGCACATGGACACTCGGCTGAAGTACCTACCCAGCACGGTAGAGGTGTCGTGTCCATAGCTCACATTACTTGCCCAGTGGATCGACTTGGGAAGCAGCCCTCCAACTGGGAATCAAGCGACCGAGACTTCATCCTGTGAGTCCCAGCAGTGTCTGACGAGCCTGCTGAAAAATGTCAAGGCATGAAGACCACGTCTATGTGGCGATTTGAACAAGGAAGGCAACCTTCCAGATCAGGACATTTCCAACTTCCATCTAAAAATTGCAATCTTGTCTCGCGAACTTGCAGAAAATTGTGGGAAGCTGCATGCTTTTTGTTTGCTACGAACAGAAAAATCTAGACGACATGAAGTGTCTTCACTTGGACGGTCGCCGACAGTTGCGCACCTGCTTAAGACTATTCTAGGTCTTGGATCTCAGGTCTCTGTGCAAGACCTTCAAGTTGTGTTCTCGACTCCCTGCCTGTCTGAGCCCAATCATGTCCTTGCACCATCTGCAGTCTTCGCGGCCAATTTCCATAACATACCCCTCGGCAGTGTTCAAGGTCTAAGAGCCACGAGCAGGCATATCGCTCAACGCAACATCCCCATCACCAGATGTTTCGCTCGCGCGGCCTGTCTGATCCCACTTGACCGCCCTAACACTAGCCTCCTGCGCCCTCAGCCGCTCTCGCTGGTTGCGAAGCCGCCAGATGAAGAAGGCTGCGCCTGCCAGTAAAGCGACGCCGGCGACAACACCAATGACGATGCCTGCGATTGCGCCTCCCGAGAGACCTCCGCCGCCGGAGGAGGAGCTGGACGAGGGTGTGGCTTGTGCTGAGTCCGAGTCCGTGTCGCTGCTGTTCGAAGGTAGGTCGAACTCGGGGACTGTGGCGTTGAAGCAGGGGACTTGGTAGGTGAAGTCTTGTGTTTCGACGAATGTGATATCTAGTTGCTGTGTCAGCATCACGTGGAGCCATCAAGCGATTTGATTTCGGTATCACATACCTGAGCAAGCATAAAAGGTTTCGTTGTTGCCAGTCTGCTCCCCGTCATCGTCGAAGTCAGACGTGTAGACCAGCTGCAGTGTCGCATTCGACCCAGCTTGAATACCAGCTGAGTTGTTGCGCGGCAGCGGATAGCATTCGTGGCCCGGGTCGACGTCTGGTATGTAGTGTGCGTCGATCAGCAGTTCGAAGTCGTCGTTAGAAGTCGGATCTGATTACTGGTCAGCCGAAAAGCGTCTATAAATCTGCTTAGCTCGACTCACTATCTGTGTGCGCAATCGAGACCTGTACATGCCATGCCTCCTCCTGCATCACCAGCGCGACCTGGCCGTTGACGAGAGGGAAGTCGGTTCTATTTCGCACGCCTGACGATGAGCCGCATGGCGATCTGTTGTCCTGCGCGGCTCCCCACTCGCGGTCGGGTGGCCACATGAAGGCGACTGGACCCATGGATTTTGCTGCATCTTCACCATGTTCTTGTGCATGTGTGAAGGCACGCAAAGCCGCGATATGGGCTAGGAAAATGACGAAAAGCATGACCGGCGTGAAACTGTGACCGAAATTGATTTCGAAGTTGTTGAAGTTGCCGATAATGATCCAGCAGGTAAGAGGCAGGAGGGGCAGGTGGTTTGTGGTATCCTATCGAAGTTGGCTGGGCGGATCGGAGGTATCGCGCTTGCCAGAGTTACCGACTGCCCATTCACTTACTGAGAAGGATTTAATGAGGTCTTCATCATCTGCGTTGAAGGCATCCCGGCCGTTCTGCCAGGTTGCCATCTCGCCGACCTCGGTCTTGCTTCGTGCAGGGTCAGAATGCCCTCACGAATACGACGGCTGGTGCACCGGACGCCCACTTTGCCATGCACACTGGGCTCCAGTGGCACACATTCCATTGGTCGAGGTTAGAAGGTCAAGACGACGGTTTAGCGAGAATTATTCGTATCTTATCAATCAATCTTATCAGATCCGAAATTTTCACGGCCAAGGCGCTAGGGTGTTCTGAACACCGTCCAGAGGTTCCGTGTTGCTCTGTGATGCCTCGTACACAATTGAGCTAGGTGAATTGCCATGCGACGGTGAAAGAATGGGCGCATGATGGTTTGTATGATTGCGGCGAATATCGGAGGACGCAGGAGCGGAGTTCTTGGTCGCTGTTGCCATGGAAGTGGCACGGTACTAGCTCGCCCAGCGTGCATGCTCTCGTTCCTGCTTTCGTTCCTGCATCTGCATCTGCAACTTCCTCCTTCTCTGATTCTTCACAATCAGTATCTGCAAGACCGCTCGACCTTCAAATCAGTCTTTGTAAGATGTTCACACACCTAGCCGTGCTCTGCGCACTGTCGCAGCTAACTGCTGCCTTCGATTTCCCGAGCATTGTGCCGCTCGACAAGCGCCAGCAGCCAGGCACGCCTCAGTATGAATGCCACGAAGATTGCGGTATATCAATCTTTACTCTCGAAGTCTCAAAGCTGACAGCTGACTCTTTCAAGGCGGTGTGATCACCCAAGCTCGCACCCCAAACTTCTGCGAGTCCGCCAACTTCACCTCGTCCCTTGACGCATGCCTGGAGTGCGCAGAGGAGTTCAACATCTGGCAATATTACGGCGAGAGCGTTGGTGCTGCAGCACAGAGCTGTGGACTTGACGCCACTCCAGTGGCTGCCAATGCCACTACTGCGTCTTCGTCGGCCACGAGTGCAGCGACGGACGTCGCAACATCGTCTGTTCAGACCAGCTCTGCAGCAACGTCGGCAGCATCGGCAACGTCCAGCATTGCAGAGAGTGCGAGCGAGCAGGTACGTGTGACTCATGCTTCACGCTGAGCAAGTGCTGATGAATGCCTCTCAGGCTGCCTCTGCGACATCCAGTGCGGCTGTGGCTACCCCGTCTGGCAATGCTTCACCAGAAATGCAGATTTCTCTTTGGCTTCTGTTGGTCACAGCCGGGCTGGTCGGGCTCCAGATCTAATCATAGTAATGGTCGATAGCAGGCCGGATGGATCTTAAGTCTTTGGACGGTAGTGGTGGTCCTCATTTCGTGTCGAAGTCGAGAAGGTTCGCTCAAGTCTTCAGCGCACCAGGACAGCCTGGATGGCAGCCAGTCGGACGGCACGGGTCGTAGTAATCCTCCTCGTCTGTCACATCGCTGTCGTACTCCTCTTCAACCTTGATCTTGACTTCCTCCACCTTCACATCTTTCTCTACCTCGACGCCCTCTCCTGCATCTCCCACAGGCGCGAAAGCATTCATCTTTTTGAAGCCACCCTTCTTGAACCCTCCACCACTTCCCTCCTTATCCTTCGTACCACCCAACTTGATACTCATCAATGGTCCACGCTCCTCCTTCCGCGGCAAACTGTCCTTGACCTGTCTCTGCATCACCTTCATATCCTGGAGCCGCTTCTTATGCTGGTGATCATAGGATGATTGATGTGCCTCAAACTCATTCATGCGGGAGTAGCCTTTCTGGCAGAGCTCGCAGAAGAATGCGGCGCGAGCTGCGCGGGCTGAGGCCGTGGCAGCAGGTGGAAGGGTTGGTGGTCGAGGCATGATGCATGGAATGGTGGTGGTGTGGGTTCTTGCTAGAAGGACGTGCAACGACCCGGCTTTCGCTGTAGAGTCGTGGAACTTTTGACCATGGCGTGACTGGCAGCAAACGCGCTACGTACTCGCCGACTGGTTTCGCTTAATGTGGGCGAATGCTAAGGTGTGTGTGCTATGTTAACGCGAAGATAGAAGCCAGGAAAGATGTGGTACTGTGACCAACCGTACGGTGAGCGCAGCGAGCAATATGCGCAACGGACTCCAGCGAGACCGGTAGACATTTCTACCTTCGCTGTCGTTCACTGTGGCGCTCTTGCTTTATGTTACAGCCATCGAGATTTCTTCACTCCAGCCCAATCAGTTGTATCACCATCGTCGACTTGGGCGTACTTCCCCGGACTTTCAGGAGCTCCTGCTGCGTATGGGGATGACATCTCCCAATGCTGCTTCTCATTTCATTCATCGTATCAAGCTAGTACATATGTACATCCGCAACTGCGTCCTCTTCTCCCTCTGCTGCGATGCACTTGAGAGATCATTCATGGTGTAAGACCTTGGCCAGAGGGCGATTTTCCTTGCTGGCCAAGACTGCGAAGTGTTGCGCCAATCGACTTACTGGCGAGCTCGTGTCCGTCAAATCCAGACCTCGCTTGCAGTTTAGCATCACCAACATTCGTCTAATTCGTACAGCTCCGAGCTGAAAAGGCCATCCCTTCCCAAAACAGTCAGCAGTCCTCAATTGAGGGCTTCCTGCTGCACGTGGCGATCCTCAGTCACAGGTCGTGTCTGATCTCCATTCGCCTGTCACTATGGCGTCGTTCTTGGCGGAGTGCGGTGAGTCTGCTGCTACCTATTCGGGTCTCGACGGCGTGGCTCGACACGAGGTCGGCTCCCCAAGCTCAACATATGAGCTATCATCGGAGAATGTGCCTGATCACAAAGCACCTGTGGCGTAGCTGAAAGAGGGAAATCAATGAAGCCGTCAATCGAGCCCTAAGGTGGAAGGCTGAGGTACAGTACATTGGGTGGTGCAGCTGGTATACAAGCAGGTGAGTTCCGCCTCGCACGGTCGATCGAGACATTCTCAGCTTCACTAAGCTTGTCTTGCGCTGCCTTGATCAGCCATGATGATGACTATACTGCTGACACTGGCATTCATGCCGACAACGCTTTTGGCCAGCCCGAGGCTACTCCCGCTCAAGCTTCAAAACGTTCTCGATTTGGCACCGGCAAACAATACGACCACTGCCTACAAGTCCGTGCCACTTAAGGTCTCAGTCTCCAACTACAACGAGCTCGATACCCGCGTCACGCTCTACCACTGGCTAGCAACCGATGCTTCAACCAAGGAGACTCTTCGATGGGACTATATCTCTGACGGAAGAACAACCACAGAGCAGACTGTCAAGTTCGATCCCGGTACGAATCGCGCCAAATGTGAGTACCTGATGCTGATATACAAGCAGAAAAACAAGAACATCACCGCTGGCAAGCAGCCATCCAGTTCCGCCAGCCATCTTGGTCCATGTGGACAAACGATTTCGAAGTCACACCCGATGACCGGCACGTGGGAAAGTCGCTGGAGTTCAGCATCAAGTCGGATATCTTTCGTGCCCAACTTGGGGATAAGACTGTGCGCTTTCCTTGCCTCGAGCCATACCTGAACCAGGGCTGTCACTGACACGTCACGGAACAGAACGACGTACGCGTTCTCAAGCCCGGTGGTGAATTCCCCAAAGAAACCAGGAGCACCAACATCAACTCCTTCTTCTTCATGACTGTGAGTACCAGCTTCACCTGCCTATCTCGACCCTGACTGTTGAAACCAACTGACACCTCTCCTCTCCTCATCCAGCTCAAGAACTCTTTCAGAGTGGGAGCCAATGTCGACGTCACGCTGCAGACTACCTCCCAAAAGTGGCTTCAAACACAAGAGTTCTCCGAACAACCTGGCAAGGAATCCCAACAAGCGTCCCCTTTCTTTTATGAGAGGAAGGACGCCAAAGACTACGTCGAGCAATTCTGCCTGAAGGTCACACGCCAGGGAACAGGAACTCCGCCGCTGTATGGGTACACGAGCAACTGTGTCGTTAGTGCCGATGACGCGGGAATGGTGCGGCAACTGGAGGTTCGTACGGATGGGTTCACGTTGCTTGGTGCGAAGAAGCCGTGTACAGGGAAGTGGGAGACACAGAGGATCGGTGTTTGCTGACGTGAGACTCAAGGGGGTGGTGAAACGAGGTCCTGATGTCGAAGTTGGCGAGTGCAGGTCGACCAGAGGTAATGACAATGGAAGCAGCAAGGGAGTCAACGATGTCGGCCCAGGAAGGAGCATCTCGATCTCAAAGGATGAATCTACATACACAAACTCATTCGTGATTAGCTAGACTCTCTCCTGAGAGCATTACAGCATCGTTCGCTAGCCTTTGATGCGTATTTAGGTATACCCTCCACTCAGAACATTACATTACACCATCCGCCCCCCACTGCCCCCATCTCCCTCCTCACTTCTGCCCGTAACCCAACTGCCCCCTTAAAACACTCAGGCGATGGGCCCATCTCAAAGCCGTCGACGCATCGCACCCGATCAAGACGGGATCCTACTCAGCACCCAAGCCCCGTGATGCGACCTCACAAAACCAACACGTGCGGACTGCTGCCCCCGACTCTCCTCGAACATGTCGTCCACCTTCTGAACGGGTGCGCGGATCCTCGCTTCTTCGAAAAGGGTCGCCACCAGTGCAGGAATGCCAAGCCGTGCCTGGACCTCATTTGCGTCGTGGCTGCAGGATATTGCCACGATGGCGAGGATAATTCCCAGCACTACCAGCGACACGTTGGCAACGAGCAGACATGTCAGTGGGGCCTTAGGGACGCGCGCTACCAGCATGTTTTCTCTCGACTGAGCCTCAAGCGCCAGGCGTGGCTCGAAGGCCCCTGAGGCGACGGCGAGCGCAGTCTGGCTGTAGGAGAGGGCGAACTGGTCGGAGATTGCTTGGGCTGAATCTCCTAGACCGGCAACACTTGCAGCTTGAACAAGATTTGCATCTCCGGCTTCGGTGAGTCTTTGTGTCCCTTGAAGAATGTTTGCCATGGAAGTGTTGCTTGGGCTCGTGACGAAGCGGGTGATGCTGCCGTTGACAGATGTATACTCGAGGTCGTAGACGGTGGACGTACAGAACAAAGCGATGATGGTAGAACCGCCGTGGACGCCCTTGACGATCTGTGGATCGCTGACCAGGGCTGAACTCGGCCCATTACGCATGTTGACCACAGCAACAGTGGCGTGGTAGTAAGGATTGCCTACGGAGACAAGGGAAGTGTCGTTGTTGTTGCCAGAGGAATCGGTGAAGTACGCCATTTTGACCGAATTTGCCGAGCCAACGCTTGTATCTGCGATGCCCTGGAATTGGAAAGGACAGTGGAAGGGTACGCCCAGGCCGTATGCACCTTCAGCGTCCATGCAACTGCTGGTCACAGGTGTGCATTGAGTCTGCACAGCGTACGAACTGGCGCTGTAATCGACGGATGCCATTTGCGGTAGCTTTGCGCTCACCACGTACGCGTACTGATCGTCTCCAGTAGAATGCGTCCGCACCAACATGCTATCGGAAACATTGGACAGCACTTCGACGGGACCATTACCCATGAGGGTTGCACCAGAGGCGGGATTGTTCATATTGCAGATCATGGAGTATGTCCGGTCGACATCCGTGCAGTTGTCGTAGACACCAAAGCCGAGCTCGGGAGTGTCTGAAGTTGTTTGGACCTGAGTAAAGGGGACTGTCTTAGTGGTGAAGTGTAGCCAAGTATCAGCGGCCAATACGAAGGTGCTGTAGAAATACATGTCAGAAGAAGTAAGCTTGCCTCCAGTGGCAGGAAGGCACATACCTGAGAAGAACCGCCAGAGTCAGTATGCAAGTCAGAGTCTTGATCGCGCTCCCCTGACGAGCTCGTCGACCTCTCCAACTGAACGAGTATTCCACCCAGTTCCACAAGGCTGAAGGGGATCCACTAGATAGCATCTTCAATAGTAGCGAGAACTCAAACGGGGTGGGCAGCTGGCGCTGATCTTGTTTCACAGACGCCGAGAGTATCCGACTCGCGATGGGATACGAGACTAGAGTCACAGCGAAGCCGACCAGGATCGGCGCCGCCGTACTCGACCACGACGCAACCGTGATGAGCGTGGTCGCGCTGATGTCGACAAAGAAGACGCTTGCATCGCGCTGTGGGTCGAAAGCAAGATCCTCAGACACGAAAGCATTTTGGGTGACTCGGAAGTAGAAGACCAGGCCGACCAGAGCTGCAGAGAAGGCTAGCATGGGCACAGTCATGACCGCAAAGGCGATAGAGATTTCCTTGACGCGTCCATGGATGCGTGTTGTTCGTTGTGCTTGACCTGGCTCTGGCTCCACAGCCGAGTATACAATAGTATTTTCTCCCATGTTAGTGAGTCGCACCTCTCCGAAGATGAAGGCTGAAGATCAAGGTCTGAGCCTCCTGGAAGGGAACCATAGATACTGTGCTTCTGCAGAAGCCTGATTAAAGTAGGGCTGTCCAGGCAGCAGGTGATGTTCCGAGCCTCGTATCAGGAAGGCTCGTGGCGAGATGCCTGTGCAAGACCATGGCCTTCGGTGCGGTGCGAGCGCATGCTTGTTTCGGTCATCTTCTGGATCATTGGCTGAACAGGCCTTTCGATTGAGCCTTGCCAGCTCTCTGGAGCCTCAAAGACCGCGATCTGGGTCGAAATTTTCCCAAAGTAGTTGACCCTTGTGCCTTTTCGGCGAAGAGGCAGCCAGGAAAATGGACTCGGTTTTTAGCCTCACCAAGGCCGTGAACATGGTCAATCATGTGTGATAACTCAACAGCCACCCTCGCCGCCACTAACCCCAGTCCAACAGGAAGGAGAGAAGCAGCTCGTACAGTTTACAAGGTCGAGGCTTTGATAGCTAAGGTCGCGGGGTTATACGCCAATCATCTTTGCGGCTGAGGGAGCGACCTCGTGTTCGCCAAGTCTAGGCTCTGCATCTCAGTCTTCAGGCTGAGACTATCATCTGTTCCCAGCACGTCGACATAACCTTTCCATCCGCAAATCTCGAGATCCTTCACAGATCGTGTCTGATATCCCATTCGCTGATCTCAATGCGCATTGTCTTTTGCGGGATGCGCTACGTCTAGCGCTTCCTGATCAGGCCTCGACTGCGTGCTTGAACAGCCTGCTCTGCAAGGGTCCATCAGGCTATCCGCTGTGGCAGCAGGAGCGCCTGTGGCGTATTTGAAATGAGGGGAATCTGTGGTCTGCGAAGTCGTCGGTCTCGCCATGCGATCGAAGCTTGAGATTTCTGTCAGGCAGCTGATGGCGTCTTCCAGCTTAAGTCGCGCCTGCCCTCGGTTGCGGAGCCCGATGAGCCTTCTCAAGCTTGATCAAGCCTCTCTTGGCCGTGCTTAATCGTTCATCATGGTGGTGACATTTCTGGCCCTGGCGCTTCTGCCTGCAACACTTCTGGCGGTCCCGACCCTGCTCCCGCTCATGCTGCAGGATGTTGCTGAGTCCGTGCCGTCCGCCCATGCCAGCGAAGACCTCCTTCCCATCAACGTTTCAATTCACAACGCCAATCACCTCCCTGTCTCTATCTGGCTCTTGCATCGACAAGGCGACAACCAGGATCCCGTAGGCCACTTCGACTATGGCTACATTGGCGCTGGTGAAAGATCCACAGAGTCAACATTTTGGTATAGCCGATGTACTGAGAGCCAAGCCGTCCCCTCGTGAGGCTATTGTGCTGATTTCGGATAGTGAGAGTGAGGAAAGACTACGACCATTGGCTGGCGCGCATCCGCTTCACCAATCCAGACTGGTCTATGTGGACCGACGATTTTCAGCTCTCGCCTGATGTTGAGGACTCTGACGGATTGCTGGAATTCAGTGTCGTCGGGAATCGCTTTCAGGCTCAGCTGGGGACCAGAGAGGTGTGCCTCGGCCCTCACGTCCTTATGAGGCCGAGCTCATTGCTAATTACTGTGAAATCAGATCGAAGTGCCATTTCACGATCGCGGCGAGTTCCCCATGCAGGCGAAGCGCATCAATTCGTTCTTCTTCATGACGGTCGAGAACCTCATGTCCGCCCCAATAGCTGCCACAGTCACCCTTGAGACCTCTGCCTGCACCACTTGGACGCAGAATCAAACGTTCATCGAAGCCGGAGGCGAACCGTCCGGGGAGGTGCTCCCTTTCTTCTATGAAAACAGCAATTCCAAAGAGGACGGGGAGCGATTCAGCCTACAAGTCACCCGCACGGGACTCAAGCCGCTTTATGCGAACTCTGGACGAAATTGTTATCTTGAAGTCGAGGATGCGGGAACATTGGTAACTCTGCAGGTTTCTGAGAGGGCGTGGTCTATCAATGGAACGAAGGTCTATTGTTCAGGCTGGTGGGATGGGAACGGGAGTGGTGTTGACAGGAAAGAAATAGAGTTGTGAAGGTCATTGATGCTAGTTGCCTTCTGCGAGTGTCAATTGAAGGCATTGACACCAGAAGCAGCGACTGAACTTCAACGTTGCTTCAATGGAGACGTCCGCTATGACTTGGCAAGTCTGTGCACAAACATTGATTACATGAGCGGCTGTGCCCTGAGAGCATTGCGACAAAATTCGTTACCATTTGAACCCTATCTGATTCTCCTGTGACCGCAGAGTATTAAGTTACCTCAAACACCACCCGCCATCATCCTCTCCCTCCTCGCCCATCTAAGCCAATTGTCCCCTAACCACACCAGCTGGATAGCTAACAGTATGCGCGTCCGTGAAGAACCCACTCGGATTCTCCTCGATCTGCTTCACCATGAAGCCAGTACCTGTGTCTGTGCCATTGGCGAGGATGCCAGTAGTGAAAGGACCTCTTTGGCACCCGACGCTGATCTTGTCGACTGAAGCGGTCGAGTTGGCGGGCTCGGGATTAGTGAGGGCGATTCGGGGAGGGCCGATGCGGCCTTTGACTGCTTGATGGATGCTGTGGAGTTCGTCAGTGTTGATGTCTTGGGACAAGACATACGGAGCGTATGCTTGAAGGGGTCCAGGAGAAAGAGCGACTTACTGTGTAGCAGTACGAGCGGGCGATTGGTAGGGGCCGGTGACGCCCTTCAGGGTGATGTACCAGCAGATCAGATCAAGCTCGCTGTTGATGCCGTAGTTGTAGTAACCGACGGCACCTGGCTCGCCTGGCGTCACGGTGTTGTTGGCATTGACTACCTGGTCGGGAGTGGCCGTAACTTGGTAGATGCTGGTGAACTTGAAAGGGAAGCCCTTTGGATAGTCCTTGAAGTCTTTCCACTCCTTGTCGCCCTTGCCGCCGCTGCCGCCGCCAAAGGGGAATGCAGAGGCGACGGATGTGAGGGCTACGAGGCCGGCGATGGTTGCTGTGACCTTCATTATGCTGATGAAGTGAGCTCTGGCGTTGTTGAGGTGTTGGCTGGTGGTTGATTGACGGCTGACAAGGGACGAGTAAGGTCTTGGGGGTACATCCAGCTACTTATGCTGCACGGGCATCTCAGAGGTCGCATACGTCAACAGCAACAGAAAGATGTCAATTCCTGAGGAAACATTGAAGCATATCACCCACACCCTTTGCTTCGCCTCCACACCTTGACCATCGCTAATATTAATGGTGCCTCAACGGCTTACCTTGGCCAGGCCTTGTAGTGCCTGGTTGAGACATTCATCCGCATTGAGCATCTTTGAGAGGAAGCCAAGGCTTTTCCTGGTAGTTGTGGCCAGCGAGGAGACAGCCAAAGCTTTGCTCGGGAACTTTTTGTCCAGGCTCTGGAGTATTGACCTTGCAGATGCGACAGATCCTCCAATCTACGTGGCCGTTTTCCTGGAACTGCCAACTCTCTACTGCAAGCTGAGCTATGAAAAGATGCCATAGGCCAAGAGTTGGGGAGCTTCGTGGGAGTGTAAATCTCACCTTGAGCTTCTTGTTCGGTCACTTGACGTTGCTGTAGAGCTCCCGTTGCAGTAAGGTCCCGGATTGGCCATCATCCGAACAGGTATGTCAGGTACGAACTATGCTTCATTTGAAAGTTCAGTGATGATGTTCTAGCCGGAAGCATCGAGGTCTGTCGATCTCCAGAGTCAATTTGGACGTTGAAGGAGGCGGAGCAATGCAGTTCTGTGGCTGCCAAGAACTTCTCCGTTCTTGAAAGCCTTGTCTTTTATTCCGCCGAGGAACTGATGGAATTGGCATAGGTCATAGTGTCTTTCGGATATTTGTCACTGTTGGCTGCAGTGCTTGGTATTGGTAATGTCGTGTCGATTGATGGGAGTCGACGTGGTCACATGAACACAGAGTGATGAACGTGATTTTGAGGCAGTCGCGACCAGTTCAGTGCCAAGACCACGAACCTCCATCTCTTGAGCTGACCAATCAACACGTAGATCGAACCTCCATCGACTTGACGATCCAAGACGTTGACGATGGCCCAGTAAAGAGGTACATTCACATTGCGCCGACATCGAAGAGGTGCGCTAGAGATGCCGCCGCACAGTAGAGGCGGCAAAGGCAAAAGACGGGATACGTCTCCCGTCGCGCAACCAGATAACGGACCACCAACTCTGCACCCGTACCTCGACACTCTACCATCACCAACAGAACTCATTCCAGATCAACCAACACCAAAGGTATTCGAGCCTACCGATCCAGTACCATCCACGTCTCCAACGATCGACAATGACTACGAAGATGGCGACTCCTCATCCATCGGCGAAGATGAAGAAGAATTCGCCTCGCACTACTCCCGCAACTCCCCTGCCTCCACAGACGTCTCTGATGACGCCGAGGACGACGAAGATGACACGACCACCTACTCAACCAACAACTTCGCCCTATCCCCAAACACCCGCCATGAACGCCTCCAGCGCGTCTCCTCGGTCCCGATGAACGCTCCTCAACGACCACCACTACCCACACTCCACTCATCCGCTTCACTGCGGCTCCCTCCTCCGCCACCACCGCCATTGTACCCGCCGTTCTACAATCGACCGCCGACACCACTACCGCCATCGCCATCACTCACATCCCTTCTACGACCACCTTCGATTCTGAACAGGAGCACAACATCCACCCGGCCCCCATCCCCGTCCAGCGCCTCCGATGTCGAAACTCCAGGTGGCGAGCTCTCCACCGCCTCGCAAATTCACCACTCCGCCCGGCGCGCGAACCCACTCCCGCCGACCTCCCCCAAAGTCCCCACTTATGAGTACTACGGCTTTGTGCTATACTTGGCCTCCACTTTGTCCTTCATCATATACCTACTGTGGAGCTACCTCCCCTCCCCCTTCCTCCACGCACTGGGCATCACATACTACCCGAACCGGTGGTGGAGTCTAGCGATTCCAAGCTGGATCGTGATGGGCCTCGTATGGATCTACGTCGCACTATCGAGCTACAACGTCGAGTATATGACCTTGAGCATGGACCGAGTGGAGTGCATGGTCGACGATGCCGCGAACGTCGCCATACTCGACCAAAAAGGCAGGCTACGGAAGGGCGGTAGCAGGGCTTATCAAAGGGAGGTTGAGGAGAGAAGGCGGATCGAAGACGCGCGGCGATCATCTATCGTCAAGGGGAAGCGGAAAGCGAGTGGCTATGCCAGCGGCAGCCAAGGGAGGTCCACCGCCATGAACAGCAGTGGTGGCGGTGGCAAGAAGCAGAAGCAGAAGCAAAAGCAAAAAGCTGAAGATCGAGAGCGTCGCCGGAAAGTCTCGGCTTCGTCGAACAACTCAACCAGAGCACCGTCCCTCCAGCGGAACAGTGCCATTGACCAGGGATCGGAGACTGACGAATACGACTACCTCTCCACCCTCCCCACATCATACCCAGCAGATGGAATCGATCTAAGCTACAAACAGATCTGGAACCAAGGCACGGATGCTGTGATGGATGTTCCGCTTGGTGGGGTTTGTTTGGTGCTTTATGGCGAGGACTGAGTGCTACGATTACCTCCTAGAGGGCGCTCCATGCCCAACAGAAGTGAAGACAAGCAGCGACTACTGCATCTCACCCTCCGCACTCCTATGCTTGCTTCTCTATAGGGAGCGCCTGCGGCGCGACCAGGATATCGCTCGCTAAGCTCGCCTGGGGCGGTGTGGAGGCGGTGGCCCTTCGGGGCCACCACCTCCCCACCGCCTCCCCCACCCACCGTCCCCAGACGAGAAGAGTTCCAGCTGAAGAACGACGCGGTCGAGGTCGATCGCAGTTTGGTATAAGAAGGAACAGACAGGAGAAAGGAACGAGGGGTCGGATCGTCTGCCTGACCCTCCTCTAGCTCGTCTTCAACTCGCTGTCTTCTACTAGATAGTGTCTGCAAGGAGAGGATAGGTCGGGCCTCCTCCAGGAAGCGTAGCTGACCTTCAATTTTTCGAGTTTGTTCAGAAAAAGTCGTTTCTTGAGTAATCAATACTACAATACATGGATTTTAGAAACCGTTCTAGCCACTCGGTTCCGTAGCGTAGCCCATCCCAATACAGATATTCCCCGACGCACGGCGCAGAGAAAGCAAAGACAGCCTTTTCCACTCATCTCAGGGAAAGCCGACCACGCCGTATCAGTAATGCCTCCTGCCGTGATCTGCCTCCACCATCATCAACCCAACCACCGACTGCACAATCGCCGTCCTTCCCACCGCTTCTGATCAGCCTACGACGGTTCCGAGGGTCGCAGAAAGCAGACCGGCCATAATTTCCCTCAGCCCAAGTCATCTCACCGCGCCTAAACGCCCCCATAGTCCCAGAAACTATCTTCGGGATCTCCTAGAATTCCATCTTCTTATACCCTTCGGCATCCTGATTAGGCGCCGCCAGCGAACTCTCGTCACCAGCGACACCGTCGTTACCGAACTCATATCCCGGTCGCCCCTTCCCGCCACCAACAACACCCCTAATAATTGCCAAACCTTCCTCTGGGCCCTTCAAACTCGCCATCCTAAACGCCCCCTCCATCTCCTGATACCGCTTCTTAAACGCCAACCTATCCAGGAACAATTGCTGTCGGGACTTTTCTAGGTCTCTGCGTTCGGCCTGCACGATCTCCTCCATTTCGGAGAATTGTTGTAGTTTGAGCTGCAGCTTGGAGAGGGTAAGGTTGACAGCGGCGCCAACTAGACGAGTGAGTTCGCGTTCCTCCAAGGAGGCGAGGGTTGTGGAGCGGGTTGAGGCGAGGGAGAGGGCTGTTGTTGCTAGGTCGGCGCTTGGTTCCGAGGGTTTGGATGTGTTGCCGTTGGCGTTTGTGTCGACGTCCATGGTGTCTTCGGCTGATGAGGTTTCGGGTTTGGGGTCCTTGACTGCACCGTCTGTCGCTGCATGCGCTGCGGTGTTGCCGCCCATACCTTTGTCCAGCTTGGACTTGTAGGTTGAGAGTGCCTCGGCGGCGCTTCGACCGGTTGCGGCCGTGAGAACTTTCGGGTCAGCCATCTGCGCTAGGAAGCTGACGACTGACATCACGGGGTTCTCGCTCTGACTGATGGGTTCTCGACCGCCGAGTGTGCGCAGGCTGGTATTGCTGGTCTGGCCGCCGTCTTCAAGGTACTGGTCTTGAATGTCGAGTTGGAGGAACTTCATGACGCATTCTTCTCGGGTGCGTGTGCCGACATGCTTGGCTACAGAGGCCCAGTCGCTGTCAAAGGTCTCGAGACCTTCGAGGAGAAGTAGGATTTCGGTGTCGGTCCAGGGTGCATCTTTGTCAGGGATAGTAGTGTGGTTGGGATCTTCCATCTTGACAAAGTCTGAGGATCGGTGGGTGCTAGGCATTCGCGACTGGAAGTAGCAGTTGGGGCAGAGATCGTATTTGAGCTCGTCTGGCTTGGTGGTGTTATTGCTTGCGGCGTCGGTCTTGGCGTAGTGAAAGCGGCTGCGGGTACAGTCGATGCCACATGAGTAGCAGTTGTGAGTCTTTTTAGGCTCGGCTGCCGCCTCGTCCATGGCTTTTGTGGCGGCTTCGGCAGATGCAGCGCCGTTTGTGGTCTCACCGTTGGCCTGTTTCTCGGAGTCTTCTTTCGATTTGAGCTCCTTTCCTTTCTCGTCGTACACATTCCGGCGCAGCTCAACGTTGAGTTCGGCCTTGGTGGCAGGTGTGGCGGACTTGGCTCGATCTGTGGAAGCATGTGGCTTTCCTGATGTGGTAAATGTGTTGGGACCGGGTTGGAAGGGCTGCAGACCGCGAGGAGTGTCGGCTGTGATGCGGAAGTGGCCAGTGAAAGGAGGACCGATGTTAGATGGACGGGTCTGAGGATCGACCTGATAATTGATCAAGCCCCATTGCTCGAGGAAGGCGTGTACTCTCATGACAGCGCATACATCTCCAGCCAGATTGCGCCGGCAGGCTGTGACTGTGAGATACTCGACCGGGTTCAGGCGATATGTGTTGATCATGAAGTCGCGATAGTCCTTGTAGACCGCCGCCGTCTTGCTTCGATTCCGGGCGTTGAAGAACTCCGGTAATGATTTCTTCTCGAGGGGATGGATCTGATGCATGTCGAACCAGGTGCTGTAACTGGGTAGAATGATCTGGTGTGTTTGTTGGACAAGATGTGAGTTTGCAGCGGCCGCCATCTCTTCTGACGTCTGAGTCTTCTCGGCGGCAGCGCCTGGTGCGGGCGTCGCTTGTGAGTCTTCCATAGCATCCTTCTCGCCCTCGACGTCCTCAGCTTTGGCATCGTCGTCGAGTCCACCCATCTCAGCGTCTTCATTCTCGCCATCTGGGTCATCGGCGGCAGCGGGCGGTGCATCAGTCGTTGTCGCATGCGCGCCGGGGGCATCAAGCACCGAGTCTGGTTCTGCTGGTTGCGATGCAGGGACTGCCACGTGTTAGTGGGATGAAGGGGGCCAGCTGAGGGAGGACATACCCTGATCTAGGGATGTGGTGGTGTCGACAGCGTTATCGCCGTCGGTGGTCGCGGCATCAAGGCCATTCTGAGCGGCGCCCGACGGCTCTGACTGTTCTCTCTTGAGGTCGGCGACGGGAGTCGTCTGCGCCTCATCCATGTTGGCGCGTTTACAGTAGGGTGAAGGTGAATGCGCAGGGGAGCCACGTCGCCCTTCCGCTTCTGCGCGCACACTAGGTCTAGAGGAGTTGTGCCACTTCACATAAAACAAAGCGTCGCCACAGTGTGTTAAGTGAAGATGCAATCAGGATGAATGGTGTTTCTCTCGATGATGGAAAAGTGTCGCGACTTCAACGCCGCAAATGCACGCGAATTCAGGTCGTTTTCGATTGACCTACCCTAACCCTAAAGCTGGTATCCATGTGATGTCTGCTGAGACCAGAGATGACTTGCTCAACCAATAGACATGTGCATCCTTGGGAGAGCAATTTATGGCGATACACCTGCTATAGAAGCCATGACCCGTGGCATCTGCTGGCTCGTCTATTCATCATATGCTATAAAGCAGAAGACCATCGTGCGTCTTCGAAGGCCTATCGAAGCTTCTGTCGGTTCATTGTTCAATTGATCATCGTAGTCGTAGCATTCATACACTCATACCCTAGACTCAGACCTCTCTGACACCAGTGCCCCTTGTCTGCTGCTGTTCACCATTATTCCCACCACTCGCCCCACGCATCCAACCGCCTACCCTGTCTCCAATGCCTAGTCCCTGCACCCCCTGCACCAAACGACTTCCCACCGCGTCAACCGCTCCCCGCGGCTGGCTCAATGTCGGGCCCTGCCTACCTTCTGCTTCCACAACAGCAAACAGCTTGACCATCGTCCCGTTCCAAACACCGACAGGACCGGCAGAGCCGCCTGTACCAGTCAAAGTATTGGCGGTAGTGGACGGTGGCGCAATATGCATTTCAGCCGTGTAGATCAGACTATATAGGATCGACATGTACCACCCCAAAGACATGGGCGACCATTCGAAGAGGTACTCGCGGATCGGTGAGGGGTGGTTGAGAATCGGCATGATGCGTGGGTGCGAAGCTGTCTGCGGGAGGGAGTGCAGGAAGTCAGTCAGGGACGATGGTGGTCGTTGAGGTGAAGACGTATTGGAGTCGGGCTGAAGTGAGGGGCGACGGGAAGAGGTTGTGCTGCTTGGCGTTGGTGGGAAGTCTCCTGAGCGGGACTCGGATGAGGTGCGGTGGGTGCTTTCGCGTCGGTTGCTGGACGAAGGAGGCAGGGAGGGGCTGAGTGCGTCGATAATCGTGAGCATGGTATTGAGTGGTAAGTCCGCAAGCCATGATTGAAGCCATTCTGGTGTAGGACGCCAGCCGCTGCCTGATCTAGAGGTGGTTGGACTGAGTAGCGAACCCATACTATTCTGACGCGAGAAGGTCTGTATGCCGGCTGGCATCTTGCCACGTGCCTTTTCCGAGAGGCCGCGAAGCTGGACGGGGACTTCGTCTTGAGACGCTATCGACGGTGTGCGCGAGTTGTTGGCGGTGGATTGTGATGGCGTGGGCTGTTGGTCTTCATGCTCTGAATCTGAGGAGTCGCCAATAGCGAAGGTCTCTTCATCGACGGCTGCGGGTACGCTACGCTGTGATGTCGTTGATGGTGTCGGACTCATTACTGCGCTACTCGAGACCACTGTGCCGTCTTTCTTGTTCCGCTCCGCATTCTCAAAGTCTTGCTGTCCACCATCGATGGTGAAGTTCCTTAAGGCTTCTATCCGTTTCCTTGCCCGGAGGACCGAGTAGATCAGATTTGGATTCTCGGCATACTGATGCTCAATGATCGTGTTGATCGCCTCGAGCAGCGACTGCAACAATGCATGATTGCTCTCGTTCGCGAGCAGAAAGCTCGGTGTCGACATGGATGTCAGTAACTGCATCAGCTTCGTGCAAGAAACCATCGACAGATGCTGAGCATATGCAGCCATGTTGCTGATGACTGCCAAAAGCGCCGGATATATTGCCTCCAGCTTTCCTTTGCTGCCCGTGATGAGGCTGTGTATCGAAATAATGAGGAAGTCCGCGTATGAGCTTCTGAAATTGGGTATGCGTATCGATTGTGGCAGCGTCTCTTGATTCTCGAACTTCTTGTTCAAATTCTTCCCGAACGCAGGCTCAACGCTCATGGTCTGCAACACGAAGATGCACATTCTGACCAGGCCCTGCTGGGAAGAGTCCGTCTTGTTCTCGATGGCATAGTATAGCATGAGTACCACAAAGTCGTGTGCTCTGTTGGACTGAAGAATGAAAGTCCGGAAGTGTTTGTTGCACTGTAACAGCTCCCAGAAAAGTATGATCATCTCTGGCGCCCATTTGACGTTCCTTTGTGATCCTGGTATGTATGATGTCGTGGTCTGCATCGGCTGGCTAAGCACTCGACCTATGCCCTCTGCTAAAAATTGGAAGTCTTCTGGACGATGTAATCGGCCCATGAAGTGTCGGTAGAAATTCCTTGGTGCTGCTCCTCTGCCATCTTCTGGGATTGGGTATAGCAGTAGAACGAGGAGGAATTGAATGCTGTAGACCACCAAAGCCTGTTTCGAGTCCTTCCAGACCACATGGTCGTAGGGTAACCGCCATGACGCTGCATTGTACTTGATAGTAGTATTGAGTAGCGAGCACAGCACTGACAAGACCACCTGCTTGTCCGGGCAGGTCGCGAGATATGTGATAGCCTTGACACCTTTGACGGGCAACTCTGTCGAGGGCACATACATCGACTTGCTCGTCAGGGTCAGGAGCAGCCTCAAGACCTCACATCGATTGCTCTCCAGCTCTTTATTGGAGCCAATCGATGTCTTGGATCCTACACCACTCTGCCATATTGCATACGTGACTTTGCTCTTCGCCTGCGGGATATGGGGGATTGTGAAGCCGACGGTGAACAGGAGGTCGAGTAAATTGTCGATCAGCTCTTCGGCGAGGGGCTTCGCGTCTTCGTAGTCGTCCTCAGATGGGATCTGAACATCATCTCCATCGTGAGACTCATCGAACAACACCTCGCCAGCCAGCTGGGCCTTCCTCGTCTTTCGTCTCCGACCAGTCCAGAAGAACCTCTCCTCCCACTCACTAAGCTGATCTGACTCGTATACATATGGCAGCACCCGCGTCAAGACGCGTATACAATTCAGCACATGCCGATCTGGTGCGAGTTCTGGGTCTGGAAACGAAGGGTGGTTCTTGAGCGCATTCAGCCGTGAGGTGACGGCGAGTAAGAGGGTTTCAAGGTTCGATATTGACGCATCACGCGTTCTACGTATGTCGGCGCCGGAGAAGAGACTGAAGACATCTTCTGCGGATTCAGGGAGTTCCCAGAACTGTATGTAGTGGTTAGCCTGGAATGATTCCGACGACAGAAATGACGTACGCCTGTCCAGTAAGGGTCGTTGGCTGCGATGTTTTGGTCCTCTGATAGGCGGAAGATGCCTTGCTTGAAGACCAGCTTGGACTCGGAGGCTCCCATGCTGGTCTGGGAATGGGAGGATGAACACTATGTGAGGTTCCTGGTTCGTTGTTCGCTGTCCATTGAAAGTCGGGGAACACAGGCGGGCTTTGGGGTTCATGTCATCCGGCTTGACTTGGGACCGTGGGACGTCTACCGGTCTGAGTTCAGACCACTTACACTACACCCTCCAGCTCAACTTGCTCCTTTTTGGTGAACATGCTGCAGCACTGCCTCAAATCAGTTCTGAGAAGTCAAGCTTGATTGTTTACTCGTTCGAAGTCTGATCACAACAAATCTGGAGGCTAAGGACAAGAGCAGCGAGAATTGATGCGAAATGCTTGACTCGGGATATAAACGTGGTGAATGTGTACTGTTTCACTACTACCATCCATACCAGAAGACTATACTCCCCAAGTCGATCTGGCGAGTTCCGATCTGTCAATAGCAGTGCGTGCCCGACTGAGTATTGAGGTCCCGGGTTAAGACGTCTGAGCATCTACGACAGCCTTTTCAGCGGGTAGAGACATGTGTACCGACGCTGCTTGTGAACCTACTTTGTCTATAAATCATGATGTGTATACCTGTAATACTACCCTAGCCATGTCGTCCATCTGCGTTCAGCAGCCCACCTCTGAGCCTGCACATGGTCGTCTCTATCAAGGCTGCCTGTAAAATAATCGCATCTCTGTCAGAACGCTTGCGCAACAATGAGGCAGTTCCCTTCCCACTCGTCAAGACGAGACTTCCCCGTCCGAGATCCTTCCGGCTTTCTCGATCGACTTCCTCGCTTTCTCCTCAGCCCTGCCCTCCACCATGGCGTGGAAGAACAGGCCAGGATGAACAAAACTCTGCAGCAACGTCGCAATAGTCATCATCGCCGTGTCGAGCCCAATGAACAGGCTCTCGTCTTGCATGATGCTGTTCCTCCACCCTCCAGCCATTTCCGCGATACGGTAGATACACCGGATAATGATCAGCAGGTAGATGAAGATCAGCGCCACAGCGAATATCCGATACTTGATATCGTAGAATGTCTGAGAGGCCTTTGCGGAGAGCGGGGCATTCGCTCGAACGCGACGAATGACGTAGTCGAGCACCAAACAGCCAAAGATTGCCAGAGTGACAACTTGCAGCGCGATGCCGGTAATCATGATATTATCGCCCGCATCAAGGAGGCTGTCGTCGTCATCGGCCGTGGCTGCGATGCCGCCGCCAGCGCCTTGCAACACAAGAGCGAAGATGTCCATGGAGATAAAGGTGTAGGTGTACCACCTCGGTGGAATCCTCGACCACTCCGCCCCAAACCTCAGCACAATATGCTTCAGCATCAAATAGATAGCAGCGGAGTTGAACGCCGGCGAGAAGTCAACAGAATAATCTGCAGCTCAAACGCCGAAGACCACGGGTTGTCGTGCATGGCGAGACGGCCGGCGTAGCCGCCGATGGAGGTCGCGCAGGCGAGGCCCATGGCGATGAGGTAGGTCCAGGTGCGGAAGCGGTAGCCGAGGGCGAGGTTGACGACCAGGCTGAGAGAAAAAACGGCGACGGCGTAGGCGTTCGCGCTGATGGTGGGGTAGTAGCCATAGACGGTGAGTTCGACGGGGCAGGCGGGAGTGATGTCCGTGCAGTTGGAGGTGTCGATGTGGTGGGCTGGCATGGTTGCGGTGTTTTGGGGGGGTGACAGCACGGCTGCTTGTTGTCGTCGATGCGCCGAGTTATTCTGAGGACTGAATGGACGATGTTGATGGACGACAAACCTGGTGGCTCGAGGTGGACTTACGAGCCTTATATCTTTTCGACAAGAACTTCATATCTGTTCGATTAGAAGAACCCGCCCGGTGCATTATGATGACCTCCACGTTCGTTGCGAGGCGCAGTTGCATGGCAGATATCACACAATATCCACTTCCTGTTATGTTGAGATTGCGAGCATTAGGGGTTCAGATATGAAAATGGATACAAACATCCGAAAAAGCCATCAGCAAAGCCGTTGGCTGGCACACGTTAGCGCGACTCGCTTGTTGCATATTTTGCACAACATCCCATCATCAGTACTGTGGCAGGAGGGAGTTGTCGTTCGTTGATTGTGGCCAAGAATAACATCGAGCGCAGGCACCAGTCGTTCGGGACCGCTGGTTTGTGATTAGTAGCTAGTAAAGCGCGTTTCATCGATCACACCCTCGGATGTCCACTCTGTATACATGAGTGTGCACGCCCGTCCGGGTTTTCCGGGACGCCTTGCCAAGGATCGCACAACTCACTAACCACAGGTGAGTATCGACCGCGAGGTACGGGTACTCAAGCGGAGCATGACAGCAGACTGAACGATGTAGGGTTGTTCCGTGCCCGGGCCCGAAGTGACATTGTTTGTAGCCGGGTCCACGAAGCCAAAGCGTTGCTCAGCGAGGTTGATGTTCTCCCCAGACATGAAATTGTGTCGTGTATAGCCGTGCTGAAAGTGCTTACGATGACTTCGGTGCGAAACGCAGCGGAGAGGATTCCAGGTACAGGCAGAATGTTGTCAACAGGGACCCGTGCGACCACTCGCGAGTGTTCGTATGGCATCTTCGGTATATTCGGCCCACAGCCGCAATGTCAAGTATGTTGTTATTCAGCGCCAGGCATCATTCAAAAGAGCTGGGCTGTCAGCAATATTGCGCACACATCTGCATCTGCATCTATTCTCAAGATGGCAGAATTGATAAGAGCGGCTGGACGTCATTGCCTTGACTGCGTACATCTCGGCGCCGACAGTAGGAGCGGTAGGAGCAACCGAAGTTGGATAATCAATCTTGCTGACGTTGCCTCTTCTCGGTCATGAACGCGAGGCAAATGTCCGAACTCTCTGGACTCGGTTCACTTGCCAGATACGATCAGCGTGTCTCTGTGGCTAGAGTCTGTGGCTTGTTAACTCTCGAGATGCGGCGCATGCAGTTTCCCTCGCCTGGCCTCGGAGCCCATGGCTGAACCGAGGTTGTCACTCAGTGCAGATCAACCGACGTACGTACGAAACGATGTGATTTTATGATTTCTCACCCTCCGCATTATATTCATATAGAAGGTCACAGCTGCTTTCGCAACCACTGACGTCCTCGACACCGACTACAATAGACTCGTGCTGTGAGGGCGGAACATAGCACAGCCATACCTCCGGAGTGCGGTCGTTCCAACGCCAGCTGATCAGTGCTTTGAATCACCAAAACAATGCCGTTCGACACAGCGCTCACCCGAGCACTCGGGATTGAGAGTGAGTTCCTTGACCATCACAAAGACCACGACAACTGACAGACAACCAGTCCCTGTGGTGCAAGGTGGTATGCAATGGGTTGGTTACGCTGAACTCGCATCCGCCGTCTCCAACGCAGGAGGGCTAGGCATAGTATGTATTACAGCATCCGATGTCACCGCACAACTAACCATGCTATAGCTCACAGCCCTGACCCAGCCCACACCCGAGGACCTCCGCAAAGAGATCCGCAAGACTAAAACCCTTACAACCAAGCCCTTCGGCGTAAACATCACCCTCCTCCCAACCATGAACGCCCCACCCTATCACGAATACGCCCAAGTAGTCATCGACGAAGGCATCAAAGTCGTCGAAACAGCCGGCAACAGCCCCGGCCCCGTCATCAACCTCCTCAAACAACACAACATCATCATCCTACACAAATGCACCACGATCCGCCACGCGCAGTCCGCCGTAAAACTCGGCGTCGACTTCCTCAGTATCGACGGCTTCGAATGCGCCGGCCACGTCGGCGAGCACGACATTACAAACTTCATCCTCCTCTCCAAAGCCCGCCAGACACTAGGCGTCCCCTTCATCGCCTCTGGCGGCTTCGCAGACGGGCAGGGCCTCGCCGCTGCGCTCGCCCTGGGAGCCGAAGGAGTCAACATGGGCACCCGCTTCATGTGCACAGTGGAAGCGCTATCCACTATAACATCAAGCAGGCCATCGTCGACGCGCAGGAGACAGATACCGAATTGGTACTCCGCCGCTGGAAGAACACGTCGAGGCTGTTCAAGAACAAGGTCACCGACGAAGCTGTGCGAATCGAGAAGACGAGCACGACGGGGAAGTTTGAGGAGGTCGGTCCCCTGGTGAGTGGGAAACGTGGCCGAGAAGTATTCATCAACGGCGATAAGGATTTTGGCGTGTGGACTGCTGGTCAAGTCATTGGACTGATCCATGATATTCCGACTTGTGAGGTGTTGGTCAGGCGGATTGAGAAGGAGGCGGTGGAGAGTCTGGAGAGGAGTCAGAAGTTGTTTAGGGGGAAGGTTGGGCAGCCGAAGTTATGATCACGAGTTGTATAGTCAGCAAGCAGATCCTATATGAATGGCATACACGAGTTGCTTCGTATAATTGCTGCCTTCTTGTCCCATACCTCAAGAATGCTCGTAGAAGGTGTCTGTCTCACCAGAACGCCATCGCTATGAAAGAACGCAACATGCCACGCCTCAACACGTGTGCCTTGATGACCTAGAAATGCATGCTCTGACTCGAACTCAATCCTCTGCCGCTGCCAACGGCGCCGATAGTGCTTCGCTTGAAGCCTCCGCCGGCAAGATTGTACTCCTGATCATACAGCCACTTGAAATTTACACCCTTCTTCGCCGCCGCCGCTGGTCCGCCCTTGACGCTCTGGCTCCTCCCCAGCCCACCACTACCACTGCTATCTCCAAATGAGCTTCTTCCAAGCCCCGAGACGTCGAAGTCACTTTGGCTCTGCCGTCGCTGCTGCCGCTCAATCGCCTTGTGGAACAAGGGACTGCCCCGATCCCCAGCAGGCGAGTACGAGTATGGGGCGCTCGCTTTTGGTTGTGTTTGTGCCGTTGTCGGACTTGGCGAGAAGCCTAGTGCGTGTCTGTTGCCCGAGCCCGGTGTGGATGCATAGTTGGCTGAAATGGATCGCCGGTCTGTGGAACTACCACTATTGTTTGATGAATTGCTATTATTGCTGCTCAGCCGCCGATGATACCGCGGCGGCGTGATATACCTGGTGACGGGGGCGCGAGAGGCGAGCCGGATCGTGATACAGCGGGTGACCCGGAGGCGGAGGCGGGAAGGCCCAGGAGGGCGCGTTGGGAGGGCGTGAGTGGGATGTCGTCTATGGTGTCGGTTTTGGAGATGTAGGGGATCGATTGGCGGAGGGAAAGGAGAATGTTGATGAAGAAGAGGATGCGGAGGGTCAGGAGTATTGTGGCGGCGGTGTCCCGGGCTGTTGGGGCGGAGAGAGGGGTGAGTTTAAGGAGGGTTGTTATTCTGGTGGGTGAGTTAGTTGGGTGGGTTTGGTGTGAGTGGAATGGGGATGGGAACGTACATAGTGCTCAGTATGCTTCTGAAGGCGATTGAGAGGACTAGGGCAGCGACGTTGATGGCGGCTGATCTGACGTTGCTTTGTGTGAGAAGTGTCTGGTTCTGTCTTCGTACGATTTCCGCTAGGCGAGGGTGTCTGAATGTGCCGGGTGATGGTCGTGCTTCGGCTGGCTGTGTTGTGGGTGTCGATGGTGCTGTCTGCATTGGTGTGGGCAGCGCTTTCGACGCGGCGGTGACTGCATTATTGGTTGTGGCTAGCGCATTGTTGAAGGCGGACCTTGCTGGTGTCGGGACCAGAGAGGTCGCTGTGGTGGACATGGTCGGTCGGAGAAAGCTGCGTTGTAGGTCAGTACGGCTTCAATCTCGTCTGGGATTGAGCTAAGACTTACCAGCGACACCAAACTTACCAGACTTACCTGTGTCGCGCGCCGCGCTCGATGCTGCGGCGGAAGAGCAGCAGAGATGTCGACAGCGTAGAATTCCACGAGACGTCGCTGTTTTGGTTTCAAAATAGGCAAAGTTGCAGAAAAGTACTACTGCTGCTTTAGGTAGTTGAAAAGACGCATTGACAGAGTTGCCCTATTCTTGACTTCACCTCACTTTGCCTTGCCTCGACAGAGTCTTGGTCTTGACTGTGAAAAGTGATGACACGGGCTCCTATCTCTACAGGACGTGCATTAGAGGACTTTCTCATGCGGCTCAGATCGAGCTGAAATTAGCTCTATTTCCTTGAACAGAGTCACGGAGCTTGCCTTTGCTTCCGCCTCTTCTGCAATTCCTTGTCAACGACTCCCGGAGCTCATAGCAATGTCCAGCATTGCTGACTTCGTCTTCTCGAGCACTTATGTAGTAGGGCCATGGACGCCACTGAGCCCTTGGATCGTGATGCTTTGTATCGAGCACGTACACCCTTTCTTTGTTCATGCCGGGCTCAGCACGAGCACAATGCTCGCGAGTGCGAACAGTGACAGAATTGCGTCATGCATAGGAGAGAGGCGTATGCTTCGGGAATGAATAGAAGGACGCCCCCCTCGAAAACCCTGTCGCCGAATCCTTGCCTCAGCTTCAATGCCTAACTAGACTACACCACAACCATGAAGCTCATAGCCGCGCTCCTGATTGCGGCAGCCGCCGTGCAAGCCATCGGAAACATTGACCCGCTCGAACTAGCAAAAGCAGTCATTCCAGGAACAGAGGAGCCTGCTGCTGTCATTGATGAGATGCCGCTGCCCGATGACACGAGCGAAACAGAGGACGAACTGCATACGAACGTCTCGTCGCCAGAGCTCGATCGACGGGGCAACCAAGCCGATGCCGACGCGGCGTATGCAGATCTCAAAAGGCTGCAGCCGTACCTACACTGCCCGCCACAGCCGAATCCGCATCCATGCGACGACAAGTTCTTGACATCAAACCAGTGTTTGCAGCTCTGCAATGAGAAGCCTCCAAGTGTGGGTGTGACTTGCAAGTGGTGGAACAATTGTAGGAAGAGTACTGTAGGTGGTTGCCGATGACGAGAGACTGTCGCGTCGTTGCTAACGCTCTGGAATAGGTCGAAAAGTACTGCAACTGTCTTTTCGGGAGCACCAACACTGACAGACCGTGGGCGGAAGGATGGGTGAAGACGCCTGCGAAGGCGGAGCCGAGGAAGTTATCTTGAAATCTGGGAGGGAGTATGCTTTCAGTACTGCGTCGTCGTGGTCAGTGATGCTGAATGGAGCATCGGGTATTAATTCATTTCGTTGTTACAGAGTTCCTCAAGGTCATCGCCGAAGTGAAGACAATCGATTCGAGTCTCAGCCCGAGCAACTAAGTGCCAAGACCCCTTCCACAACAATCAACGACAGGGAGGTCCTCAACCAAAAAAGCAAAAAGGAAATGAACAGAACAAAGGAGAAGAGTTGGTTGTTTGCAGGTTGCTAGGCTGCTGCAGGGTTGGTAAGGCCTGCGTGGTGAGATACCGCTTGCTTAACGGCCACAAGTTTTTGGGTGCGATTCGTGTGGTAACAGCCGTGATATGTGGGGAGGGAGGTTCGCAAGCTATGCACCCACCGGCTGCGAGTCCCATCTCACTGGGACTCTAAAGCTCCTGCAGATCATTTGTTTGTTTATTCTCGGCGGTCAGATCGTTCGAGAAGATAGGCCAAATGTCAGCCCACTGTGTGCAATGTGGGCTGATTTGGAGGCAATATCTGAAACTCGAAAATATATACTGCAAATTGGGATTTGGAGATTAGGGGGGTTGGCGCCTAGCGACGCGGTTGTTAGGGGAGGCAAGTGCGCTATGGTGGTCGAAAGTTTGGAAGTACTAGGTCTTTCGCAGGAGTGTCTGCCTCCATGCTTGCAATGGCACAGGAATCAGGTTCTACACGAGGCTTTCATTATACGATGTGCATGTTCGAGGAGGCCCTGAGTGCGTGGCCTTTGTTCAGACCGACAGGTAGGTACCGATACTATCTCTCTGGAGGTACTTCCGTCAAGGACAGTCGCGCCAAGCTTCAATATTGGGACATGGTGCGATCATATCTGGACACGATGACGGTACTGGTCAGCAGGACGTCAGCACAGTATGCGCTACTAGTCCTTGGATGCATAGAGTATCTCGACACACGCTGTTCAGGTGTGCTGCGCAGTCAACTGCCTAGGTATAAGAACGAGCATCGCGAGGCAACCAATTTTGGGTTTTAAGGCAACCTCGCAACTTCGACAGGGAAGAACCAAAATGACTATCTGGCATCGTGTCACACGTTGAGTCAGTACCAGCAGAGATGAAGGGCAGCCGAATTTGATGCAGAAGCAAGACGAGGCGAAGCGCCAGGAAAAGCATCAGCAGTGCAAATGTGATTGCCATCAAAATTTCATCTGACACAGCGGCCAGGCAATAACTCCTCACTGGAGACTCTAACGTCTCTCCTCTCGAAACAACGGAATGCCGCCATTGACCAGCTCGACTCCCATATTGAGGGGGACTTCAGCACGACGAAGCACATCCATGGCACTCCGGTCCCTTCCCACCATAATCATCACCCGTACCTTCAACTCCTCCATGCCAAATTCCGTCCCCTCCCGCAGCCACTTCGCCCACACCTTCTCGTCCACTTCCTTCAACACCCCATGTCCGCTGTCAGTGTACAGCTCAACCCACACGCCACGCCATATGTATGCTGCTTGCTTTGGGTATTTCCATACGATCTTGTGATCGTACTGCTCGCAGGCCTTGTCGCTCAATAGCTTGAGCATTTATTGGAGGGAGGCGCATTGGATGGTGTTGGTGGCGACGTGCTCGGTGATGTCGATTGCGCCGCGGGGCAGCTGGCCGCTGATGTTGATGGTGCCGTGTAGTTTGACCCCGGCCAGGGCGCGCAGCTCGACAATCTTGGCTTCTAATTCGCCAATTCTTGCATTCTGGGAGGCCTCTGTGGTCTTAAGCGCCACAATCTCGTTTGCTGCCTCGTCGTATTTGGCTTGCAGCTCTTTGAAGGCGGTGTCAGACACGGCGAAGACTTGCTTGAGGTGGTCGCAGAGACGGTTTACATCTTCCTGTGAGGCGGCCATGATTTCGAGTAGAGAGATGTTTGAGCGGGCGAGGAGAGGAGAGAGATTTCCGAGAGAGTCAAGTGTGAGGCTTGTGCAATTCGGAACGAAGCTTCGACAGCGAGATATTTCAGCTTGAAGTGCGCTCAAACAGAGAGTCATTCGAATCTTGGCACTTTCTGTCGTTGTCAGGTGAACGTCAGCGGAGGCTAACATGCTGTCTCCAGTACCAAATTACCTACGCCTTCTCGCTGCTGTTGCTAGAAGATCCAGGCCGGACCAGCACCCCTTCGTCCGACTCCATAGCCGCCTTCAGTGTGACGACCGGCAACTCTGCCTTCTCCAGCTTACCACTCTTCTTCTTCGCCAAGTTCTCATCCCTCCATGCCGAAACTTCTGCTACCGCCTTCCTCGGTCCCTTCTTACGTGTGAGCAGATAGCCTTGGATCTCAGCCGGACTGAATGTGCTGGCTGGCAATTCATCCGCAAATGCATTGGCTAGCTTCTCAAGAGCCATGTTGGATTTCGACGTAGCTACCACTGGAGTAGTAGGGTGCGAGCCTTCCATCTCGTTTCGACTGGACGACTTGCTGCGAATGCAGTTGCACCACTTGTGTTGACTACACAAGTTGTTTCGACCGCAATCCTTGTGTTGACTGCACGACCTGCCTCGATTGCACGACTTGCTTCGACGGAACGGACGAGGTGCTGCATGCTGCTCGACGTCAGCGTCTAGATCGCTCTCACCACCAACCATCCAGGCATCGAGATTGGCATTGGGCATGATCTCCGCAATCGTCTGTGGTTTGCGCTTCGAGTCGGCAGTATCGGCGGAATACATCCTCAAGAAGAGTTCCTTAATCTGCTGCTTGCTGGCCAGGTCGAAGCAGATCTTGAGATCGACCCGACCAGGGCGGACAAGCGCGTCATCGAGCTTCTCGGGGTAGTTGGTCGTCATGATAAGAACTCGGCCTTCCGCGGAAGCGACGCCGTCGATGGCATTGAGCAGACCGCTGATGGAGATCGCATTCACTAATTTCTTGGGTTGGTTAGGAGCCATGACCACGGTTGCGGCTGCCTTGGCGGTGCCCTTCTCGGCAGTGGCCTCTTTCTTGGAGTCACTTTTCTTCTCGCCATCGTCCTTTCCAGGAGGCTTGGGTCGCGACACGCCCGCAGAGTCGATGGCCTCAAGTAGAACGATACAACGACGAGGTAACGTGTTGAGTAGCACGATTAGATTCTCTTCCGTCAGAGTGATCTCGCTCAAAGAGAGGCAGTAGATGTTGAGGCCAAACACTCCTGCCAAGGCGAACGACATGCTGCTCTTGCCTGTGCCCGGCGGACCGTGGAAGAGATAGCCGCGTCGATACGGAATGCCGCGGTTGGAGTACCAGGTTGCTGTCTTCGGGTGTAAGAACTCGTTCATGTCCATCAGAATCTCAGCCTTAGGTTCATCGTCAAGCACGACGGTAGAAACGGGTCGGCTCGGTCGTACAGAAACGCAGTGCCACTCGTTGCCCTCAGACTGTTTATCGCGGCCTTGTGGGCGATAAATCCTGGTGTGGGTGGTTTGCTTGCCGATGTGCATCTCTCTGGCCTCATCGATGAGCATTTTGAGAGGCTGAGTGGTTCTCCAGAGGCATTGGATAAGCAGATATTCTTTTTCTCGTACCATCTCGGACCATTCATTCTGGACTCGCTTCTGGTCGCGTGAAATTCGAAAGAAGTAGCCTTTGTGCCAGAAAAAGCCGCTTGACGAGTGAGGTTCGTATTTCGGCGGTAGTCGGGCACTCCATTGACGGAAGTTGAAGATAGAGCCATTGCTGAGTGATGAAACGCTTTCTGAATCGCCTTGACCGACATCATCCTCTTCATAGTCGTAGAAACGACCACGAGACTCGGCGCGGATGGCTCGAAGGTCGGCCATAAGGGTGTGCTCTCTTACCCATTTCAGGACATGTTCGTAGATATCGTCGTACTCGTCCACAACGACGGTCGAACTGAGGCTTTTGAGCACGTGGTTCTTGAATGGAATGACTGTGTAGGTCCAAGCGGCATGCAAGGCGAAGGCGAAGGCGCAGAGAGAGACATAGTAGGACACATCGATGCCAGCGTATCTCAGGAACGTGTCGGCGAGTACCGAATACCCAGGAATGAGGGCATCGAGGATGGTGAGCTGTATCTGAGGCAGTCCAGACGGAGAAGACTGACCGAGTCCTGCCGATGTAGGCAAAGCTGTATGGTGAACGAATGTCGAAGCCATGGACGCCTGAGGTTGCGCTGCTTCCTTAGGTATGCTTGTTCGTATCTCTCGGAGGAGATGTTACACACAAGAAAGATGACATATTCCGGGCGCATTTATACTGTTCAAAAGTCAATCGCAAGGCAAACGCCGTCTAAGTCACGTTTGCTCCAATGGTCCGCACCATTGTGCAGCAAGTGAAAGTCAGCCACGACTTGGATTTACCTCACCTAGCCGCAAATTTGCTGATTGCTTTCGCTTGCAGCAAACTTGCCAGGCTACGAAAGTCCCAGCATATACTGTACAGTCAGATGTTGGCTAATGAGGACGCCGAGCTACGACGGCACGTCGCCTTACCCGGCCCAGGCTCAGCGGTTCCTCGCTTGCCGACCACAGAAGAGCAGGAAAGATGCTGCGTTGGCTGACGCAACAAGGGCGGAGCATGCAGTGAGCTAGCCCGCGTCGAACGCCAGCGCATGCTGCTGTGAAATATTACGCATGCAATCGATTGGGCAGGAGAGCCTCATGCGTGATGGTTCTTTCGCTGGGGCGTAGCAGTGGCAGCTTGAAGAGTCATACCAGCAGGCAACAAGGTGGAGCAGAAGGCGAGGAGCTCTTGCCTCCAGTCATGCGCAGTTCGAGCGGGAAGGTGCTGCTGGCGTTCGCCAGGTCGAGCCTCATGCTTCTATGATGATGGGGCTGTGCTGCCTGGAAGGATCTGGGTATGGCGTCCTGCATGATTGGCTGCTGGAGGCAACGCAGCTCCATACGAGCAGGCAGTGAAATGCCTGCTCAGAACTTTGGTGTTGCAATGGTCCTCACCGGTTCAAGTATACACATACGCATCGACTCCAGGTCACTGGCAAAGAGGTTGCAAAGCATCATCGCTGTGCGACGAGTCCTTCGTTTAACGACACGAACACATCCCTATCAGACAATGCTATGAATATAGATGCAAATGCTCAGGCTATTACCTCCCATGGCCACCACTCTTGGGACCACACTGAACGAAGATGAGAATGTCCGCCATGCTAATGAAATGATACGCATCAATGCCAAAAAGAAGTGCTCCAAATCATGTCCATCATATCCGTCGTTTTGCCCTGATACTTTTTATACTGTGATCTTCTCTCGGACGAGATATCTTCATCGGGCCTGGATCCCTCTTGCCTCATATAGATCAGCCACGCTATGGACACGGTGTCCCATACCCAGCGCTCTGAACAACGAGATTTTATCGAGCCCATACATAATGTCGGCTTCGGTCCCGAAAGGACTGTGCAAAGAATTCTGAAAGAAAAATCCTGGCTTGTGTCCAGCATTGCGTGCAATTTCGCCCTTCACCGCCATGAAGCGCCTGGTGATTGCATCGAGCTGTATTTTCGCAGTCTGCCAGTAGGTACCGTAGTCAGCCAAGACTTCGATGCCGCAGGTCAGGAGATCGGTGAGAGCTTTCTTCGAGCCGGTGCCCGTGCGTTGATGGCCGAGATCGTCTTCTGCTTCTTCACCGGTCAGGTACTCCATGGTGCTGGCAACCGATCCGGCTGCTGTTGTGATGTCAACGGCTAGCAGTAGCGCATAGCCAGCGAGAGGACATGCTGTGCCATCTTGACCACTGCTGCGGAGCTTCCATAGGACATTCAAATGTCTGAAGGCTTCACTGCGAGCGCTGTTGACAATGGCAACGACTTGCTCCGCCTCCATGCAATCGTATCGTACGTGACGATAGATAACCATCTTGATGAAGTGGTAGAGAATGAAAGCCTGGCGAGGTTCCTCCTTGTCGATGAGTAGCGTTTGCCCCAAGATCTCCTTAGCCGGTTTTTTCTGACGTGGAAAGACGTCACAAAGATCGTTATACAATCTTTGAGCGCGCTCAAGTAGTCTCTGTTGTACTCCGGCATGTGTGATCGTTGCGTCAGATTTCGGCATGGTCTTGATTGCCTCGATCCAATACATTGCCTCTCGCAGAATGGCCATGCCACTTACGTAGACTGCCAGGCGGCCCATCGAGTGGCATTCGGGAATGTTTTGGTATTCCGAACCCCGAAATGAGACCGATGGCTGCAAGGATACATTCCCATCGTCGTATAGCTCCTCTTTGCAAGGAATCCGGAGACTGCAGTGAAGGTCCGTTGTGCGATAATCATCGCCAAGGCAATAATGCATGGTGGTTTCCATGATGTACACAACCCAGAAAGTGCGTCTACGGCACTCGTCGAAGAGGCTGTCATCGAAACCGAAAGGGCACATCGGTCGTCCTTCGGGAGCAGGGTTTTGTCTTTCGTAGTTCAGCCGCATTTCGAGGCATACTCTCATGGCATACGCAATGGTATCGCCAGCACCAACAAGACCGCCCTTCGCAAACCTGCGGTAGCTGAAGAGCAGCAGGGTTTGAGCCAACTGAATGGACGGAGTGGACCTCTCGTGCTCAAGCGCAGCTTCAACAAGCTCGTCGAAAGTACGACCATGATCTTCTGATCTTGGCGAGTTGCGTCCTGCAAAGCTTGCTCCTAGAGACAAAATCGTATGCAAAAGCATGATATCAGTCGCGCTTTTCTGAGACCCGCCCGTGGCCCAACGGTAAAATTGGCCTTGAGGATATATCTGAAACAGGGCGTTGAAGTTTTGCATGAACGCGTCCAGATAGTACCGTGCCAGTGAAGCATCAACGTCGAAAGGATCCGTCCGGACAGAAAATACCCTTATTTCCCTGACTGGATCGATTACAGATACCTCTCCTTTGGTTGGATTTGGTGAGGTCGAGTACTTGCGCTTCTTGGGTGCGGGCGGCTCTGACATGGAGTCTTGTGCTGATCTTCTCGACGAGAGGAGACTATCGATGCCTATGGAGGACGCGGAGAAGCCGCGCTCGTGGTACGTTTCCACGGAGTCGCGTGAGCCGGGCCTATCATGCTGGATACTGCTTCGACGATCGGACGGTGGAGATGATGCTTCGACTGATATTCCGCAACCGCCGCGCTGGGATCCTCTGACACTGTGTCCGGTCAGCCGTGTCTACAACTAGCCGCCCTTCAGCTTTACTTACTTTGTTTCGAACTTGCATTCCCTCCCAAATTTCTGACACTGAGCACATTTTGGCAATTGAGGATCGCATCGGATCTTCTTCTCTCTGCAGGTGTTGCAAGCTTGACCGAGGCGCTTTCGTGGCTTTCCTGCTTTCGTAGTGCCCCACTTGGGGTTCACCGTGTCACCATTGATAAGCTTTGGGCAGGTTGTTCCATCACTATACACATAGCAGAGTCCTTTACCGTCAACAACCTTTTCCTGAACAACCACTTTGGCATGCGGCTGGAGATCAGGATGCGGCCGACTAGGCGAGAAGTGCTCAGCATATGCTGGCTGACTGGGACAGTTTGGAAGTGGTGGACGGTTTGGTTGTGGATAGTTCCATTGGGTTTGCGCGTACTGAGGTGTCCTGGGAGGATCTTGCGGCGGCGCGATAGGTTGAAGACGGTGATGCTCGAGACGCCGAGGGGAATACGGTATCTGACTATACGGCGGTGGATGCCTGGGACTTTGTGACACTGAATGTTTTGGATAGTCTGACGGTGACGTTGTTGGGGGGCGTACATCTCCTATGGCATCTGGGTCGGACTGCTTTACAAGATCACAGAAACTCTGGAACGATGGTAATGTAATCGGTGCCGGCACCTGCCCTGTGCGAATGTTGCCATTTGGGGGCGGTCTTGCCATCAACATGATCCAGGGTCCAAGATGTTCTGACCACTTCCAGCCCTTGAAGGGGCTTGAACGACAGTGCCGTCAACAGAATGTTTCTAGAACCAGGGAATGATTAGACCTTAACATTGCCGTCCAACTTACATGCGCTTGTGTGAAGGGTTCAAGCGCTCTCCGTGCCGCCGTCCCAATATCCTGCCTTCGAGACAATGCAGTGTCCGTCGTCGACAGCAATTGCCAGATTAAGAAAGGCTCCGCACAGCGTCTTCAGTGCTGCTGACCTTGATCCTCGGCGTATGTAGCTAAGTGCATATGACAGGAAGGCCTCAGCGTCGCACAAAGGGTTCCCGCATGGACCTTGAGATATTTACTGCCAACAGCAGCGTGATTGGCTCTGCTTGGAGTGGGACAAGAACAATAAGATGTTTAAGAAGTGGTAACGACAGTGTAGAGAGCCGAATGTAGCTGTCGCAGCACAGACCCGGCCTTCGCTACACCTCGCGAGTGACAGTGGGTATCGAGTAGACTTGTGGTGACGGCCAGACTGAGAGGCGTAGTATCTGGCTCAGACAACGGACTGCAAGTGCTGGAGTAGTTCTTGACCGAGCAGATAGGCGAAGGGTTCAGTTTAGTCCATCTGACCAGCCGAAGCAATCGTAGCGGATCGAATCAAGGCCGAAGACAAATGCTGATGATCAGTGGAAGATCGCTGGTGTGCTAAGGGATTGGTTCTGAATATCAGAAGACGGGTGGTTCGGAGACAGGAATGCAACAAACATCTGAGGTGGGGGTGGTGCCCGTACTGAAAGATGGAAGTTCTCGTAAACGATAGGTCGAGCTCGCGAAGTCTCCTTGAGATGTAGATCCTGAACAAGGTTTTGAACGCACGGAGTGGCATCCAAGATACGTCAAACCAGTGCAGTGTGATGAACAGTGTTACGGCAAGGCATTTGAGGGGCCCATCGCGCCATCATAGCTTGTAAGAAAGCCCCGGATAGCGGAGGGACTGGTGTGTCGAAGCGGCAAGGGCATCCCTGTCTATCGACAAGGATTGGCCCACTTGGGAACGGCGCATGGACGTTTTGGCGAGAACAGACGTCTGCTGCGCAAACGAACCAGGATGAACAGGAATTGAGATTCTTTATTTGGTGATGATGACTCAAGAAGCTTTGGATCAGAGGACATGTGCCCGCCCAGCTAAGAGGTTTGAAGGTGAATCATCGGGTATGAGAGTACGCTAGAGTATCGACCGATAGAACCCAATGTAAGTAATCTCCGGGGCGTTCACGATTCCTCAACAGGTAGTGGGCCACTTCTGCGCGACTGGTGCAGCTGTCAAAGGCTCAAATGCCGATAGTCTAGTATGGGAATACATTTCCATTGCCCTTCGATGATTCATGATCCACTTGAGAAAATCAGCTGCCTGGTAACTGCGCCCACCACGATGCCTTCGTCCCAAGGTGGTGGGTTGTTAAGATACCTAAATGCTGCATTCTTGAGGTGACCTTTTGCTTCGCCGAAACCGTTTCGTACGGATAGCATGGCCGATCAGAATCCACCGTCAACAGCTGAGCCCAGGGTCCCATGCCTAGCGCAGCACCGATCATGGGGGGTTCCTCGCTTGTCTGTCGTGCCCGGGATGGTCAGCAGTATTTGATGCGTATGGGCGTGAGCCTCGACCCCTCCATTCTCATTGCCCGCATCGAACCAGGATCCGATCATTCGAAAGAGCTACGCTGCATGACAGGCCTCTTGGCTCAGCTAACATGTGTGGTCCTAGTGCTCTGGGACGGCGCGATCTGGATCATTCGGCTTAAGCCGATAGCGTGGCCGTGCTTCGAGATCATGTCGGGTCCAGGCGGCATGTTTCTCGTTTGCCTCGCTCAGAAATACCAAGTCAAGTGCTAGGAATGTGCGTCTACGTTCTGGAGCCATCGAAGTCTCTTTACAAGTTCGCCAGATTAACAGCGCACAGACTTCGCCTGGGGCCGTGGTTGAAATAGGGGACGCATCGCCTAAACAATTGCCGGAACCTTTTTCTAACCGCCGGATAGCTCGTAGACAGTAATTCGGTATTCTGGATCCTCCGCATGCCGTAGAACAATTTATCATCTCATCTTCCGATACAATATCGATGCTCGATGAACCATCTCTAAATTTCAGCGCAGGTGCTGCAACACTGGTCCAGCCACGAGAAGTGCCTACGGCTTAGCGTTGCTCTCCCGTGCTAGGAATCATTCCTGACACGATGTACCGAGATACCCCAGCAAGTGTACATCTCCAGAGTGGGCAATGCAACATGCACGACTACTGAGCGTGGAGACATCTGATGGCGTGCATTAGATCGTAACCCACGCTTGCTGTGTGCTCAGGGGCTCAATAGAATTGCAATCGACTAGACTGATGATCTGTTTGTGCAAGTAGCAGGATAGCAGTGACCTGAGTGGTAAAGCAACACATGCGCAGTCCACGGGTAGCGTGCACCAGCACGTCGCACATGTATCACCATGGAACGGCAATCTGAGTGAGCACTGACGATGTTCCTGCATCGCTTCGATCAACAACCCCGGAAGCCGGCTAGGAGCTGTCATTTCGAATGTCTAGGTGCAAGAGGCATTGGCAATCGATATTGTGATGCCTCGACAATACAGTGGCGTTGTAGCTTGGCGTTGGTCCTTGAAGTTGTCTTGTCTTGCTATTCGTCAACGCACATGTCCAGTGACCGAGAGACTCGCCAAACTATTGCTATTTGTGTGTCAAAGTAAGCATGGACCGAACGCCTGACAGCTGCTACTAGCGAGCAAGGGCGAATAGGCTACGCAAACACTCGCGAGATCATCACAGCATGGCTGTTCTGCGCAGGGCAAGCACGATCAATGATAGATGCTGCTGCCCAACTTTACACATCTGCCTTGGGTGACCGGTAATACCGTGAAGCTCGCAAGAACTGCTTCTTCGACAACGGTATATCTGCGCCGAATCGAATACGCAATTGACACCTCAGCGAACAGGGCAATTATGGTGGTTCGAGACATCCCGGGATACTGATCAACAACGTTGAAGCCAACACGAACACGCAGAGTAAGCATGGTGGACATCTCACCTACCGTGATTTAGGCGAGAGCTGAACCTTCCTTGGCTTTCGCTCGCGCCATGCCGCGATGCCGGCACATCAGGATTCAGGAATTGGTCTGCATTAGATCAACCAACTCTACTGAAACCCGCAAGCTTGTTTTCAGTCAGCAAATCGCTTACCACATCAATCGCAGTCGCCAACCGCAACCTCCAACCAAAAGCTGCTGTCGCCGGGCGCTCTGGGCTGTCTTCGTGTTGTGGTATCGTCATGCACCCGACAGAGTGGTTCAATAGCTGCACGCGCGAGAGCGCGTGACCTGCATTCGTACATACAGACTGCATTGCAGGTTGAGTCTCATGAAGTCTGCTGTATGGATTTAGCGCTTGCTCTCAAGTCGAACCTTGTGACGCGGGCGGCGAGGATGCTTTCAGGCGGGACCGCACGGGAAGTCAATCGCCGGCAAACTAAGCGATCGGAGTCGACGGACTGCCCGGCACTTCCCAAACAATTGCACATTCTGGGTTTCATGACCCCTCTTGGATCTTCACCCCAGACGAGCCGCTGCCGCAGCGCAAGAAGATCGTGCCAAACACGACTTTATGTCTGTCAGTGCCACTAGATGCGGAAGCGCCTCGTATAAGCCAACCCAATGTGCCGGTTGCCGCTCGAGATCTTCATGATTGAAACTCTACAAGCCCACCCAATGATCAGTTCCTGGATGTTCAGCCCATGACTGTCGTCTGATCATGCAGTCAAGACTCATGATCACCGCAGCCAAGGCCAGCTACCGGAAGCTATGACCTGACTGCTACGCCTTAGCAGCGTCCGTCCCCTCTGTCATACCGGACGCCTCGCGACACCGCAGTGAAAGCGAAGCTCGGCCAAGGTTTCCAAATGTACCTTATTTGGTGGACGGGCTACATTATTATGAAGCCAAGAAACCACTACATACCTGGGCGGCCTCGCTGGCAGCTACTATGTACTTGCTACACCGAGTTTCATGCGCCGACTCCAAGGCAGTATAGCACTTTTTTGAACCTCCCAGAGGAGTACATATCCGGCGGCTAAGTTTATGGCGCTCCAAGCCATGAACATACGGGATTGACTTAGCGAGACTGTATGTTGAGTACGGCGAGTATCTACAAGTGTGCGATCATTCCAACGAGTCGTCCGGCCGAGCTACTCGCCGAAGATAACATGGCTGTTACGTTGGGCAAGCTTGGGCATGAAACGGTACGCATGGCATGGACCGTGCCTACTACCGTCCTACGAGTTCCCGCGATTGTGGCAGTCTGGGCAAACTCAAATACGCTCTGACGTGTATCGACCATTCTTCGTCGGCAGACTTCACCACAAAGTCAACGTCAGGGATGGTCGCAGGTAATATCCGCCATCTGCTTGATGAATGCTTCACTTCTCATCGATCTAGTGGTTGATATGCACCCATACCAATGGTGTCGAAACCAGCAAACTCTCTCCTGCAGTGTTTCGGCAGTTGACCGGCCCTTGAGAATGCACTTTGCGAAAACCTTGTCTCCTTGCCTTTTGCGTTGCAGCACAAGGTACTTCGACGGTATTGAAATAGGATAGCGTTGACGACCAAAGTGAAGAATGTGGATCACTTCGGTAATCACGACACATGAGCCTCGCCTGCCTATCCATTGCGAGTGGCTGGAATGTGGACAGATACGAGCACAACGTGCCGTACATAGGACCAAACTCTATGCTGCAAGGAGATAGATCCATACAGTCGGGCTTTGCCGTACGACTCAAGTCTCCAGCATCTGCGCAAGGAGAGGTGAGAACCTGCGACAAAGTGGCAAGCCACATGAGAAGTGGCAGACCAGCGAGGCATACCTAATTTAGCAGCCTCCTTGACTACCGCAACTTCTTAGCGCTCACTTCGACTTCTCCAGAGCCTCCATGTACTCCATGTACTCCACGTCGTGCAAAGGCGACGAACTTCGACCGAGCATCTGATAGCGTTGGAAAAGGCTAACGTCCACTATGTAAGGTCGTCCATTCGTCATTCGTCGCGCCAGGGCACGGCAAGCGAGGACAAGCGATTGCTTCAGAGCCGATATCGTCGCTAGGAGGCCACATATTGCTTACTAACGATCCTGGGACACAGCAGGGTGGCATCATACACCTCTCGGCTTTGCGTGATGCAGACAGCATGCACTGCTGGCACTACGACTAGGTCCCTCAGTCATGAATTTGAGGCGCGGTGTCTCGATCGCCAAGTCACCTGCATGGGATTGCACATATCCACGACGTAGGGAACTAGTACTTGTCCCCTATCAGCACAATCCCAAACCAACTGCACTTGTCAATGGCTGATGGCTTGGCACCGGCCCGGCAGCGATAGACATGCCCATCTGGACCTCCAGGTGCTTGGCTTGGCAGCAGCAGAGCAGATCCTGGACGTATTGCTATCCGCGAGCTTCGACGTGATGCGATATCGTCAAATGCGCACGCCATAGTTTGATCACAAAAGAACACCTCCATGTCTGCCCTATGCTCAGACTTTTCTCGCCGGTTTCGCTGTCTGGTTTTGCACCGGCTCGCTACCGATCCATCGCCGAGATGTCGAACACATCGTTGCACTGGAAAAGTTCGCAAGCATACGTTGTCTTTACAATGTGTGCATGAAATGGTCACACCGCGAACGACCGCATCTCTTGCGACACATTCAAGCTGCGAAGCAACACACCGTACACTCACCTATGATGGCGTAGATTGGGGCTAAGGCAACCAGGAAGTCCGTCTTGAACAGACAACAAGGTAAGGTCATGGTGCCACAGTAAGACACTGTGCATCCTGCAACGCGTGTTCCAACATCCACAGATGGATTCAGGCTTCGAGACATATACGTTTCTTGCCATTCTGGACCATTTGTGATAACGACAACGAGAAATATCAACTATAGCCCTACCCTTTCTGCGCGGCTGCCAGGCTCTACTACTCCCACCACCTCTGCCTTGCCCTAGCTCTTCTTTGTCACCCGGCGGCAAGCCTTCCCCCTCGAGCCCGGCACTACGAACTTAGACAATCAAGTATAGCTCGTCCCCTTCGCAATCAAGTTCTCGAACAGCTCCTTGTCGTGGCCCGGCACAACAACGCCACGAGTCGTGCGCTCGAGCTGCTTGAGGCGTTGTGTTGAGCGGAACCAGGCTGGGTGGTCGCGGGCCAGCCAACCTTGTGGGATGCCATCTCGCCACTGGAATCATGTTAGCTTCTGTATCGGAGGGAAGACCTATGAGGAGGCCCTTGTCCGGAGCGAACTTGTCATGGAAAGGACAAGGACTTACATTCTCGATGACGTGGCAGTGATCTGAGATGAACAGGTAAGTGCCTGAGTCAGGCATATTGATTTGCATGCCGATGAGACCTACGAAGTTCAGAAGTCAGTACTCGGTTCTCTCAATGTCTGGGACACGAGGACTGGGTTGTTAGGTATCATTTGCCGCCAGCAGTCCCTTTGGGCACGACATAGCTGCGCTGCCTCGACCGGGATCCAACAGTCTCAGTCGCCATAAAAACGAAGGGAATTTGACTTACCATCAGTATGCCCCGGCAAATGATGCAGCGTGATCCCCTGGCAGAAATCAAACGTCTGATCGTCAAACGTCTTCCAGTTCAAGCCCAACTTCAAATAATGCTCGAGATACACCCCCTTGTCCGCACCAGTAGCCACACTCCAGAACGCACTCCTCAACTCCCGATCATGGACCCAGATCTCCACATCCGGCCGATCTATGAACTCATCCAGCCCACCCGCATGATCCAGATGCAAGTGACCAATGATGATCTTCTTAATGTTTTCTATCTTATTGCCCGTGGCCTCCACCTGAGCACGCAGCTCATGGCGGGGCTCGTACCTGACGCGAGCGAACACATCGGACAGCGCGGGTCCCCATACTTCGGGGTAGTCCTTGCCGCAGCCGGTCTCCCAGAGGATAAGGCCCTCGTGGGGGTGCTCGATCAGGATGCAGTAGCAGGGGAGCTCGCGGCGTTTGTTGACGAAGGACTTGTCTTTGGTGGATAAGGTCGAGGTGTTGCCGCCGCGAACGACGAAGGCATCGTCACATTCGAGCCAGCCGACTTCGAGGACGTGGAATTTGGTGCCTTTGGGGCAGACGTTGGAGATGTGGTTTGGGACAGCGCCGCGGTCGAGTTGGGATTGGATTCCTGCCATGTTTGGGGATAGCTCGGTTTCTAGTGTTGAGGTCTCTGGGATCAAGACTGCTAGCTGTTCTTGTGTATAGTCAGATGCTCACCACGTGGAGTGGTCCAACGGCTTGAGTGTGTGTGAGCAGTAGGTAGGCACGAAGTGGGAGAGAGCAAGGAGGAAGAACTCTGGAGCTGTTCAGCTACAGTGATACCCGAGGATGAGTGGCCAACACGATGATGGCAGTACGGGAAGGAGGGGTTGATCGAGGGCCACACACGTCTGGCCATCTCGAGCTCTGCAGTGACTTCCCTATCGAGCAGTCACTGGGACAAACCTGGGGTACGCGGCGCTCGACCGACGTCAACAGCTTTTGTCAGTCTTTGGATGAGGGGTTGCTTCGAGGTACCTTTCCGCATCCCCGCATCGTGGTGGGCAGCTCCAACAATGATGTCGTGATTTGAGTATTGTGTGGACATCGTTGGCCAGAGCTGGCGCTGCAAGATTGCATTGATGAATGGTCAAATAATATGTGCCGCAGGAGGATACTGCTCTTTGCGATGAAAGGGCGAGTAAGAATGGTGAGTGACGCTCAAGCCCCGGATTTTCAATCCCGAGGCTGCATTAGCGCCATCTCGACGGTCTGGACTTGTGGGGTTGGCTTCGAATTTGGGATGTCGTCGGGGCATTGTCGCTGGGATCGACGTGGCCAGGCGAAGTCAGAGCCTCCGGCGAGAAAGACGAAGGCCGTGTGCGATGGGGTCATGTATGATGAAGTACGATGGGCCTTGTCGGATCAATCGAACCGGTGAAAGAGGAGGCAGCTACCTGCTTGAGTGCCTCAAGTCATTACTGCGAGTTGTGGTTGCCGCTGCGAAACATGGGCCGTGGCAGCGACCCAGACATATCTCTAGCTTGGCATATCTATACGAGAGTGCAATTCCAGCTCAACGACACCTGGCGTTCTGCTTGCATTCGCTCAACTGTGAAGTACTTTGGCTGTTACTCAGTCTGCAGAGCTGCGAGTATGGGGCACATTGGACTCATATGCGAGCAGCAGCTCGTTCTAGAACTTGACCGTCTAGTTAGCTGTGGCCAGCTCGACGTGAGTTCATGCCTGAATTACTTGCCAGTGCGGGTGCCGTGCCAGGCATGAGCCACAATAGCTCTGATAACCCGATGCTTGACGCGCCTCATGCTTCCAATACGCCATGAACAATGCTTTTTGGTATGCCCTTCTCCTTCGCTGATCATGAATGCTGTAGTGTAAAGACAGTCGTGTGAACGCCATGCCAAACGAGACCATGCCTGTCCCCTCATTAGGAGCTCAATCCCTTCTCTATCATCCAGTCCTTGCCGTTTGCCTCCTCTTCTACCGGAAATACCTCTCTAGCGTACTCCTCAATGCCTCTGTACCCTTCCCACAGCTCTCTCGCCTCGCTGGTGAGCTTCAACGGCTTGTCTGACTTGGTGCTAACCTCGGACCCTCTGCGATGTCTGTCGCCGCTGCCACTGCCGCTGCCTCGTTGTCGCGGATACTGAAACTCGGGACCGGGAAAGTATGGTGCGTTGTATTTGCCGAACAGCACTTCGATGCCAGCCAGCTGTTCTCGATAGCCAGCTGGAATGGGAACTTTGACTTCGATGTGTTGGTCGTAGACATATCTGCATGGCCGGGAGAGCGCACGGCCAAAGGCGGCGCATACTTGCTTTGGTGTGAGGTTTTCGAATGCTAATGCTATTCTGGTCACACAGTCAGTGTCTCATCTTAATGTAGATAAGACCTTGGAGCTCACCTATGCCCGTTCCATTGCTTGGGGCCCTGTTTGAAGATCTGCAATACCGCTGGACCCATGTCGTGCTCAGCATCTAGCCATGGTAGCTTTGTGTCGGGATGAAAGGGTGCTCGCCACTCCAGAGTATCGTCATCCTTGAAGTCCATGCAGAATAGAGGGTAGGGCAGGCTGGTGAAATTATTGTTGTATATTCCGGTATATGTGAATGTTGCAGGAAGTCCAAGCTGACGAATGTAGTTCTCGACCATGAACTTGGGAGCCCACATGGGTAGAGCTGGCCAGGAAGGATTGTGTATCGAATGATCTGGCATCGAGCTGTATATATAGTGCTGAATACGGTGCTTCTTCGCTGCATTGGCAAGAGCCTTGCCTATCCGTACTTCGTCGCCAGCGTTGGGAAATGTGTTGATGAAAGCCAATTGAGCACCTTCGAAGACTGTGTCGATGAGTACAGGGTTGTCGAGGAGACTACCCTCAAACAGAGTCACACCTGGTAAGTCGGCCAGTTCCTCAGAGACGAGACCCTCCAGTGAGTATACTTGAGCTCTGACCGACCATCCTATCGAGGTGACAGCCTTATCACCGACGCAGCCTGCCTTCCTGAGCCATTGACGATGGCTACCGTCTTCTTTGCGTCTGGCATACGCATCAAACTGGTTTACACCGCCAGAGCCAAGACGCTTCTTACCGAAAATGCCAGAGGCGTGACTTTCCGATATAGGACCTTCCTGATGATTTGACGGCAAATCAACCTTGTATTTGCTGCTTTGATCGTATTGTTGTAGGCAAGGATGGCAGAGTCGACAGGCACAATATGTCAGGTACTGTCGATGAGTCTGTCGGATCTGGTTATAGAACGTGGCGTACAAAGTATAATGTTTTTGTCGGTAGCAGAACCAGATGGCTCGCTTCCGCAGCGTATACCGTCACTCCGGGACAGCGCTTGGCTCTGAAAATTCTGCTGTACTGACCTTATGTAGGTTTGTGGTGAAAAGACTCATCGAACCTTTCCTTTACGTAACGTAAGAGACGGCAGTGGAGGCCAGGGCGTACAGTCAGGAAGGTATGAGCAAATATGTGGCTCGGGCCGGCTACCAAACATACTGGTGTTGGGACTGGTCCTGATGGCCGAAAAGAGCGTCGGATTCGCTTTATGGCGTCCATCATGCCGCAGTATACGGAGGTTGACGAGTTGAGCAATGCCCATGTGGTTATGTGTGTGGATCGCATTCGCCCACTGTGGGCGAATCACGGGCAAGACCAAGGCCAACCATGCTTGGGTGTGCAGACCGCCCGCAAATACTAGGCGAGTGCAGGGATAGAAATCCCCAGAATCCAAGCACTGTCGAACTAAGTGGTCCTCAACCGCAGAAGACCGGGCGGTATCGCACACGTTGCAGAGGTGATGTCGCAACCATCAGAGCCAAGATCACGTATGGAAGTGGACTGACCGAATGTTCTGCGGGGTAGAGAGGGATGAAGGTGGGCAGTAGAACAGCTGGCATATCCGCTCCCTAGGGTAGGGGTGCAGACCCCGCCTGGAAATTCGATTCGAGGCTCTGTTCGTAGGGTCTTCTGCTGCAGCGATACCATCATGGGGCTGATCGATGTCGTGATCTGCTCGTCATGGGTACGCGGAAGGTGCAATGATACTCAGCTGTACCTAGTTCGACCTTCCGACATCTCCGCGGGCACCTTTATTACTAGCGATTATAGATGTTGATCTTTGTGTCACTGCAGGAAATTCGCTTCTAGAGCACCTTCGTGATGAATGCTCTACTTGGGCATGTTATGTGCCAAGATCAAGAAGGAAGGTACAACGTTACTCTGAGGGCATCGGTCAACTCCGTTCGTAAACCCAGGTTGAATGGACGCACAAAGAGTCGGTGTAAGCTTCGCTTGTGTTGCGACAGCATCATGAGTCAATGCTCACAGTCAGGTCATCTAAGCTGTCCGTAATCCGTAGCGAAGATTCAACATGCCGTGGTACTGCTATGGCATGGTCGTATGAGTACGCGGCTTGCACGAAGTCGAGCTCATGGAAACATGCGCTTAATTGTCCAATGGACGTTTGATTTATTTAGTGCTGCACCGCCGCATCTCATCTTGCATCGTGGACCAGCCCATTGGGAAGCGGAGATGGCAAAGCATTGCTCAAACCAGCTGCGGCCCAAGCATCCGGTCGTTGGCTTGCATGAAGTCGTGCTGTATCGAGTTCTTCTGCGTGGAGGTGCGCACCCACTTTTCGCAGAAGCAATGCGTGGGATGTCATCCCAGCATTGGCTGCTAGAAAGAGAGCTGTTCGCCCAGAACCTGTGTTGTTTCTCATATGAACAGATGCTCCTTGTTGTAGCAGCCATTTCAATATGCTTGTATTTGGAGCATCAGCAGCCAAGTGCAAAGGAGTATTGCCCGAGTGGTCAGGGTGATTGAGCAAAGCAGGGTTACTTCGCAGCATATCTTTGACCTTCTCGAGATCGCCAGCTTTGATCGCGTACGCGATGGCCGTGATGTGGGTAGCATGGTCAGTCAACGTGCCGAGAGGATGCTCGAACACAGTCCTCACGCTCTCGGTCAACTCGCCCCTGATCGACCTGGCCATATCTCGTGCCACGCTCTCGGGAGTTGCTCCTGGCAAGGCCAGAAGGTAAGACAGCTTCGCCAGAGCTGCTTCAGTGGTCATATCACATCCAGCAATGACGCCAGCTTGACTCAGAACCATTCCTGCCGCATACACTGGGTTCACACTGCCCGTCAGACACTGTGTCACATTGACGATGACAATGCCTCGGTCAACGGCATTGGCAATGACTTTCAACATAGCACCATCATGGCCGCTCGGCGCATTGCCCGCGCCAAACGTTTCGAGCACCAGCCTTTAAGCTTCTCGGTATGAAGCACGCCGTCCAGCATCTTCGGCGTTATACCTGGAAATATTCGGAGACAGGCGACGTGATGTATGGCTAGATTGGTCTGAATACTGAATGGCTGCAGTTCTGTTGATCTGCGGACGACCTTCCAGTCGACATCGGTTCCCTCCGCTGTAATCGATGCCAAAGGCGGCATGTTGGGTGATCCAAACGCATCGAACGCGTTCGCTGAGATTTTGGTCGTCCGGTTTCCCCGAAAAAGCTTCGAATTGAAGTACAGGCATACCTCAGGTATCATAAAATGGCCAGCAATGTCTAACGAGTCCAGCAGATTGCCAAGGGCATCGTTCTTCCGCTCCGAGAACGGGACCTGAGAACCAGTGAATATGACTGGTTTGCCTAGGTTCTGTAGCATGAAGCTCAATGCTGAGCAAGTGTACGCAAGGCTGTCAGTACCGTGTAGGATAACGAAGCCGTCAAATAAGGTGTAATTGCGATGAATTGTTTCAGCAATTTGGATCCAGCCAGTGCTATCGATGGAAGATGAATCGAGCAGCTCTTCGAATTCTAGCACAGCATACCTATCCAAGTCCGAATTAGCCACCCAACATTGCCGGACAATACTCGCTGCATGGAAATAAAGCATCGCCACGACCTGGATTGAGAATACTCACCGAACACGCTTGCCATATCTACTTTCAGGGGTGCGCAAACAACGCAGCCTTTTGGACACGGTGTGCCCATCGACCTCGATTCTGACTTCGATGTCTTCTTGTTCTGAACCGTCGTTGAACTCTGGACGAGGCGCCATACATCGCTCGAGAAAGTTGCGTGCTGGAACCAAGCCAAATGCCGATTTTTCCATGCAGATTGTGCCACCTGTCATCACAACAAGCACCCTGGCTTCCGGTTTGATGATGCTGGGTGCACGCTCCAGCTCTGGTGAGTCTACAGGATACAGTCAATACATGGACCGACCTAGAAGGACTCTTACGGTCCTCGAGTCTCAGCTCGCTTACCTGGAATTGTGAAGGCTGACATGTCGTCGTTCAACATCCCGTTGGCCATTATGGAGTGCCAATACGTCCGCTGCGCTACATGCAAATGAACGAGCTCTCGATTTGTGCTTCTCAACGCGCACGGAGACGCGGTTGATGAATTGCGAATTTGTTCGATTGCGATTCTTCCAGTATTCTGTCGAATTAGAGAACCTCAAAACTTTTCTGAAGCGAGGCGGTAAAGGCGCGATTCCTGGCAAAATTTCGAAAGGGTATACCTGCTTCAACTCGTGCCGTAAGTGGACCGCCTACTCGCACTGAAATCCGCCATCAGCCTCTCGAACTTGCGACTGCCGGCGCCATCTCTCGTGCGCGGTCTCAACTCTCGCAGAACTGAACAACGCATCAGCCGGCATTGGTGATGTATGGATTTTGGAAGCGAGGTCTCGAAATCCCTGGGACGAATGCAAAGTTTGACTTTCCGTGTAGATAGCCCCGCTGCTGATTATCGTGGCCACTCGACTGCAGCTGCACACATATGATATTATCCGCAAACAGCCGCTCTGACTGTGATGGCCACGTTGTAGACAGGCACTTCTCATTCGAGGCGAATTCGCGGTGTAGTCTACGGTTCGCATGTGCAAAGGACGGTGTGGGTGCTTACGAGTCGTGGTCCATGGACTGCGGCCAGGGGACCCAGGCATGCCAGGTAGCACGCCTGTGATAAGGGGAGCCCAGCGTGATCCAATCAGGCGCCGGCGGCCCCTGAACATGCCGAGCACGGCCTCCAACCTAAAAAAGGTCGCACAAGGAGCTCGACCTCATCTTCCTTCTTCTCTGCATCCGTCACTCAAAACATATGCTGTGTTGTGCGGCATGTACGATCCATGCTTGCTCTTCGCTTCCACCGCCGTGGACCGGCAATGAATGGACGAAAGGCGGAGATTAGGCGACGGCAAAGAGACGGAAAGGTGCAGGAATGATGACAAAAGGTCATAGCGCACACGTGCAACGCGTTGCTTTCGAGATTCCCAGACATGGTGCCTGAAGGTGTTGGACGCTGATGCTGTTACAGCATGCAGGCGATGATGCACAGTGCAGCAATTGAGATTCCGCCCGATGTCCTTTACGACCATGGTGATTCGCGTTGCGAGGTGATTAGCCGGGAGTCGAAAGGGTTGTTCGCCTCGGAAAGTTGCAAACAGCGTCCGGTTGAGATGCCAATAGCATCACAAGCTGTGAGCATGAGGCAGCCAGGTGAAGCGAACATGGTCATCTGCGCGTTGTCCCCTCTCAGTTGTACTTCGCCTTCATCTCATACTCGTGCTGTGATCACCTACCACGCCAGGACCCAGACCGTGAGGATCGAAGTTGACGCGCTGAAATTGACCGTACAGCAATCAACGGCTATGCTGGCAAGCAGACCCAGGAGAGAGAAACATCCAGAAGAGCCGGTCGATCCTGCCTCAACGACAGTGTTTGCGATCCGGAGTGCCAACGAGGCAAGAGCGGTGAAAAGAAGTGCTTCTCACTTGCCTTCTGGGCCTCCTCTTGCCTCGTGTCTTGGCTTTCTCGACCGCCAAACTTTCGACTGACCTTCTTTCTGCTTGATATCTTCGACATCTCACCTATTCGTTCAACCATCCATCTGACACTGCGTTGAAAACTGTCGCTACATCCTTAGTCGCAACCTACAACCCCCAATCCGACCCTAGTCACTCCTTTGATCGAAAGTTCGCCTCCACGGGTACCTGCGGCAGACGAGGCAAACCACGCCCAGCGTCCATCTGCGACAGAGCGATCGGACAATCAGACACAACGAGCCCGGCTTGCTCAGAACAAAGAATCAGTCTGGCTCAGGACGTCAGCTAGTCTGCAACTTCAAGTGCCGTGGTAGCCCTCTTCAGCAAATCTTGGAAGTACATCCACCAAGAGATAAAGCTAGACCTCCCAGCGACCTCTTCATAACACACGAAAGAAGCACACTCCGGCAGTGTGTACGCTCTGTCATCGGTTCGTGTCTATCAATCGCCTCTTCTACCAGCCTGCAATCATCCAAGTGCCCTGCACCAGCTGTCCCGGCAACTCCTCTTGGCACCGTTGTCAGTCAGTCACAATCAGTCACGTGAGTAAGTCCTGCGACAGCGAGGTACAAACGCGCTAGACGCGCTAGAATTCTACACAATTTTGACAACCCACTTATTACGCGAGCGACTTCAAAAGCGACAAAGTATTACTAGTCGCCCTCAAAGCATCTTTCAGCGCATTCACAGGAGTGGTTACACCAGTGTGACTCTTGAGCACAAGGAGTGGCTACGGCCGGCACATCAGCAAGATGTTGTTCGAGCGCGTCCGGGCCGGGCTGGTGGTGATTGTATCACTGATGATCGCACTACATGCAGGCGACAGCGAAGCCTTCTTCCGCCACCTCTGCCACGGTGAGGTCGGAGTTGGTCGCATCGATCCTATCGTCACTCCCGGCAAGGCTTCGGCCCACTGTCATGGTATCCACGGCGCTCAGAGTAAGTTTCGTCCGCCAGTGTGCCATCGCGTTTGCTAACGAAACTCAGACATGGCTTTGGACGTCGACTACAACACCCTTCTTGCTTCCGACTGCACTAGTTGTTCGGTCCGTCAAGACAAGTCAGCTTATTGGTCTCCCTATCTGTACTTCAAACATGCCAACGGCACTCTTGAATTGGTCCCAAAATCCGGTGGTCTTACAGTGTACGTTTAAGCTACGCGCGCTATCTTGCGCTCCTCCGCTAACGATTCTAGCTACTACTTTACGGAGAGACCTGCTGACCGACCTGATGACGCCATCGTTGCCTTTCCGCCCGGCTTTCGCATGGTCGCCGGCAACAACATGAAGCGCGCATTCTACAACGGCACAGCAAACCAAGTCCAACCTCCTTACAAGGATACCTGGACGCAGCACGACATTGAACAGCAGGCTATCATGGAATATGCTCTCGGCTTCAACTGCCTCCATTACAATGCGGGATATAACGAGGATTCTCTTGCGCGCCACGGTCTACCAGCCAAGTCCCTTATCGACAACAACTGCACAGATGGAGTTCGTGCTGAGATCATGTTCCCGTCGTGCTGGAATGGTCGTGATCTCGACACTGAGAACCACGCTGACCACGTCGCATATCCTCCGATGCTTCGCAATGGTCCTTGCCCTTCAGGCTTCGATACGCGTCTGCCACCGCTGTTCTTCGAGACCATCTACTGGACTCCACTCTTCAAGGGCATGGAAGGCGAATACATCTTTGCTAACGGCGATCCGACTGGCTTTGGTTATCATGCCGACTTCATCAACGGCTGGGAGGACGGAGTCTTGCAGGCTGCTATTGACAACACCGAATGCACACACCCAAACAGCAGCGGAGAGCAGAGCGCTTGTCCTGTGCTGGACATCAAGCCAGATGAAGAAATCGTCAACTGCAAGATGAACATTCCAGAGGTTCTTCAGGCTGAGCAGGTCAACTACGTTGCTACCTTTCCAGGCGACGTGGGCATCTATCGTGGACCAGAATATGCGCCTGTGCCTGGCAAGCCAGTCGAGACCTCATCCATCGAGCCGACCGTCATCAGCAGTGGCCCCACGGCTTCACCAACTTCGACGGCTGATCCATCTCCAGTCAATGACACTACTATCTCCACGATAGCTCCGACCACTTCGGCGGATGTGAGCAGCACCGCTGGTTCCAGTACGCTTACACCTTGGACCTACTATCACGTCGATGGCAACAAGACTACTGAAGTTGTCGTTTTCCAGACGGTCGTCACCGTGACTGTCGGGCCCAGCTTGGTTGGGGAAGCGACGTCGACTGCGCCGTTCGCCAACAGCACAGAGCCTACCGGACCCGTCAAGCGACGTCGTCACGGTCATGGCCGAGTACACGTCTAGTCGAACTGATGACTCGTACTAAAGAGAAGACCAGTATACGTACTTGGCTTACGGATGTGTGTGTTGGTTAAGTGAGTGAATGACGGAAATGACTCAACGACGGGGGCCTTGCACAGCTGCAAGAGCTAGCCACACGAAGCGATATTCACTTCTATTCTACACCCATATGATGGTCGCATTGCGAGGAATGATCGAGGGAAGGTCGGACCAACATGCACTTTCGGGGGAAACTTTTGTCTTCTGAATTTTCAAGTGGGTGGCCATGTGCTTCACCAGAACGATTCTTTGTAGCTAGTTCATTCGCATCAAGCGATACTGCACAAATGGAAGAAATTTGACACGATTCGTGGCGACAACGTGAAAAGTAACGATCGTGCTCATGCTTGAGGCGTGGAAAGGGGATCTCGCGGCTGCAATTTGCCCTTACGGTAAGCAGTGTTCCAGACCTTCCGCTCGGATGTGTCTTATCCGTTGACACTTCAGCTTTCTTCGCACTGACATCAAAATTCTCCCGTTCGCCATCGTGCATTATCGAGTTAGAGACATGGCGACCAATACGATCCCACCAGTGCGAGGCTTAGAGGTGTATGGTGGCTACACTGGTTACAAGCAGAAGTCCGATGCTGCATCAGTCGCCGAACCGACCTTCTCCAATCTCTCGGCAGAAGACACTGGCCGAAAGGTGTGGTGTGAGACAATCTGGGCAAATCTATCGAAACAAGCCATAGACCATGACTTGCCTCGAATTCAATACTTTGACACGAAGACGATGCTGCTGTCGAAGGAAGTGAACAAGAAGCTATGGTCACAAGTTGTAGGTATATCTTGGCTGACAACAACCATCTGACAATCTCAACCAGAACCGCCTCTACAAAAGCCTTGGCCCAGATAGGGCTGTCTACGCAACACCAAAGATGCTCGATGGCGGCGAGGTGAAATGGTACTCGTTCGAGGGCATGAGTCGTGGCGAGGAAGGTACGTCTGATAATCGTCGCTAAGTGACTTTCCGGCCATTACACTTTCATCAAACATGGACTGAATCAAGGCACTACGCATCACAGCGGACATATTCAACCGATGATGAGCAAGAGTCAAGACAGCACGACCAGACAACGGGTACGTACCCCATTCGGACCGAGCTACCGGAAGGGAAGGTAGTCCGTCGTCATCAGCCGAAACTAGAAAGAGGCATGTGTACCACCACTGACGCGATATCAAAGAGTCAAGAGCAGGAAGAAAAGCTGCCACGATGACCAGAAGACTGCAAACCTCGAACCATATACAGAAGTCCTCGCCCGGAATGGGCTAGCCGGACGCACCATCTTTGAGCTCGATCATGTGCAAAAATACAGGCGCCAACATCGCTACTTACCTTCGTACCCCAAAGCAGAATGTCTGCAAAGAATGTATTGATGTTAAAGCACGAGTAGCAGATTATATTGAAAGGACTATTCATACCACTAGAGTTGAAGCAGGATGCCCGAAATTTGGCCTGAATATCGACCGTTTCCTTCCAGAAACGCCCCAAAAGCTAGATCACCCGTAGCTTGAACCCAAACTTCCGGGCCTGTCATTGGCACACCCACCCCAGAAAGTACCTACAAAAATAAGAGCCGGTGGATAGGTTCTTCTGAGGGTACACCCAGCGAGCCAGTGGCCATCCGTGGGTGGTATTACGTGATGACTACTGCGGCGCAGCAAAACGCACAAGCAAGCTGCAGCATGCCCAGGGAGGCAATGAACCTTCCAGGTCTCTGGAAAAGAAGACCCGGAGCAGCTGCGACCTGCATACTGCTGTCGACCAGGAGTGCGGTGGACAACAGGCTCGATGATGTCGTTGTCGAAATGATCTTGGTCCCGTGTGTGGAAACCTTCGCTGCGGGTGCCCTGGATTAGGCGGTCTGAGATGACTAGCTCCTCAAGTCGATCCCTTGAGACTTGTGCACTTGAAGATCGAGACGCTGGCACTGACACCACCGGGCAAGAATGACGAATAAGCGACCCGTGTTCACTCCCACGCGAGGTTCTTCATACGAGCCACGAATAATCCACGTACTCGGTCTATTAGATATCTGAGAACCTCGGACGATGGGCGCCGCGTTCGTGGTGTGATTCTTGTTGTGGCTGCATTTAGAGCAACCCTTGGCCTCCAGGACCCGAGTGGATTTGCTGGGGAATCCAAATCGTCTAGACTCACCCAGCAATGGTCTGTTCGTGCACCCACTTTCACAGCCAGGATTGTTGCCACGAAATCCGAATTTACGCTGGCTTGATCCTTAGAGGAAAGTTCAGCCAAGTTGCATCACACTAAAGGGAGGGCAGGGACGTGGACTCTCGTTCGTACTCGCTCCATGCATGAATGTATGTAAGCTGGACCGCCGCTCAGAAATTGCGACTACAGGAATCACACGTCGCGCAAAAGTAGTCCGTGTTGATTGTTATTCGACCGTTCCCCCGTTTCACAATCCTGGTTACCGCGGAATACTACAACAGTACTTTTGCTTCCTTTCTCGTGCGGGCGCAAAAGAACATCCTGTCAGCACCACTCGCGAACGGCCATCCCGAAAAGCTTTTTCCGGCAATCTTGGGTCGGTCGTAGATACTTCGAAGGTCAGCCAGCAACACCTCGGATCGTAACTCCTCCGACCATCAACATACCGACGACATCTTGGGAAATCGCAACGATCTATCGTCGCGAGACCTGGACGACATCGCGTTCGACACAGACGACCCCGCACTTTGCAGTAGTCGCCGTTCTCGAGTACCTAGGCGCCGAACTCCCGGGCTGTGCAAGAACCGGCAACAGCTGAAGTGTCAAGCCATTCGTGACTTCCAGCTGTGGACAGCAACCCTAAGCATCGAAAGGCAGTCTCGATCCGCACGGGTTTCATCACTTCAAAACTGTTCTTTCGACATTCGATTACCAGCAATTTGAACGGCATGACGTTTGTAACTTCATCACCTTAGCAGCTTAAGCGTTTGTTCATCGCAGCAGCATCGCATATCACTTCCGCGCAATATCATCGCATGGCAGATCCCTGCTGCTGGCTGCCATTAATATCACTCTCTGCGCGACTCGACGTCACAGACGAATCCACATTCTAGGCGTCATCCAGGTTGGAAGCAACGTCGAGGACGACTATACGTGACAAAGACGGCCCTCATCAGACCCAACATCCACATCTTTCATGATCACCAGAGAGGGCTCTCTTGACGCAGAAATTCATGGAAGACCGGCAATGGAAGATCTGCAGAATGAACAGGCCTCAGGCGACCCGAAGGGCAAATCCACCAAAAGGACAGCAAATTCGTATAGCACGGAGGAATGGAAAATTCACCGACCCACCATTACCAAAATGTACTTCGACGAGGGTCGGACGCTCAAGGAGGTCCGTGATTATCTCGAGAGGGAATATGGATTCACACCTAGGTGAGTTGAATTTCTTATGTGCGGGACTCCCGGATGGGAAGTGTAAATCTGGTCGAAGGTGTTCAGGTCGTGGTCAGCTATGTCGACTTGTAATCTATGCATCCCGACACATCAGAAGGGGCTGGAGGACGTTCTTAGAAATGCACTCACAACGTCGCTATGATTCGGACGCTTTAAAGCCAGATGCTCGAGGCTGGTCCTGACAAGCACAAGCTTCCGAACATTTTCGAGGTCCAAGATGATGTCTCTGGATGAAGACTTCCTGCTTGGATACCACCGAATCTCATGCCAGAGAGCTGCCACACCGGAGTGCCTTGAAGCATTCACCTCTGGATCGAGAGCCTTGATCGAAAGAGGCACCTCTGGGCGTGAATTGACGGCCACCACTTTGCATCATGTTGCCGTAATGAAAGTATACTTACACATTGTGTCGCAGTGAACGAATGTACAAAAGCCGACTGCACTCCTGGGGTCTCGACAAGAAGAAAAAAGAGCACGAAATGCTGGAGATAGTCCGCCAGGGCGAGCAAGAGGGCGCTTCTAAGACGAAGATCTACGAAATACGTGGTCGTGCCGTATCACTTGCAGATGCATGGCACTACTTCGCCCGGAAAGGCATCAAAGATCCGACGACGTTGCTGAAAGATGGATTGACTCGGATAAATACCAATGTGTCATCGCCCGATGAAGAGGATGTGAGGACGCCGCTGTCCGCAAATGGTGATTTCGGCGACTCCGCCACTGGATTTCGCTCTGATACTGGCTACGGGTTTCCGGGGTCCCATCAGCCTACAGCACTCTCACTCAAGCCGCCACCCCATATACCGATGTTTGCGAAGCCCACGGATTTTGCTGAGCATACACTGGTAGCGCTGATGGGTGCGCTCAACATCTCTGAACTCAAGCCTCTGCCAGCATTTCGGACACTGGACGTGGAGTCAGTTGTTCCTCCGCCGACGAAAGTGCCACGGGAAGCTTGGTACATACAGAATGTGGTAAAGGCCTTGCAACAGCACTACCGTGAACTCTTCGACGCGCGTGGTATGTCCGTCGCCAATCCATGGACGGCATCCTCAGAATCAGGGCTTGCAGACCAGTTCCACACCCACGTATATCATGGCTACTCGAATCTCTACAACGGTAGCCACGATCTTGCACACCAAGAGTTCCAAACAGCCTCGAAAATGGTGCCCGACTTAGTACAGGGCCATGAGGTGGGCTTTCTGATTCTACTCCTCGATCTCATCATGAGGTATGATGGCAACGGAAACGAACAATATCTCCTACAAATCTTGGGCTACATCGCCGAATGCGCACGTACCTTCTACAACTCAGAAGAGAAGCCAGTCTACAAAATTGCGACACTGTTCCGCAGTTGCGACACTGGCCGAGCTGATGTCGCAGAGGCCGCAACCCGGAAACTTCTCGATTTCTTCGAAGACAGCATCGGCTACTTCCACCAGGAAACCATCGCTGTCGTACAAATCTTCGGTAATGGACTCATCAACCGCAGTCGCTGGGCAGAAGCAGCCGTCCGCTTCCTGCAATTAGTCGACGCATTTGAGACTACCATCGGCAAATGCAACTACGAGGTTTGCTACGCGCTCCGAAGCACTTCCGAGGTCTACTTTCACAATGACCAGTACGTCGAGGCGGCACAAGCACTCAAGATGGCGCTCGAACGCGGCAGGGACCTGCCGATCCTTCAAGAGCGCGAGATCTACGTCCGGTGCCTGCGTGGCATGGCTGAGATCTGGCGGAAATTAGGTCGCCAACAAGAGGCTATCGAGACGATGCAGTACGGGCGCGATGCGACGGCCGAGGCTTTTGGGTCCGATCACCCCTTCACTGAGCGGGCTGAGATGCACTTGAAGTCGATCGTCAAGGGTGAGTCGACTAACAACGGGACGGTGCCCCTGCCAGTGTACAGGCTGGGTAGAGGTGGCGCGGCGGCGAATAATCTTTGGACGACAAGGACGAGTCCGACCCGGCTGGAGCCATGAAACACAAGACTTGGAGCGAGAAGTCGATGACAGACGCAAGGATGAGATCACGAAGCACACGACTGGACGATAAAATTGCGATTTTTCTGGCGTTTGCGCTTGGAACCACAATATGCCATCAATGTGGTTCGCTTGAAAGGCTTTGCGACCGGGCCGAGCGTGCGACGCGACAATTTTCGGGACACATGCACACCAAGCGCTTGCGAAGAATGCTAGGGACAGAGAATGATGGCACACTGCATGTTACTCGGTCGCTAAGGCACACTCCGGACATGTATCCTAAGGCGTTCGTCTCAGAGTATCCATCTCAGGATATCCATTTATTCTGTCACTGAAGGCTGCCACGCTGGGTCCAGCGGGCCGGAGGTGGGTGCAGCAGAAGGTCTCCACACGAGACAACATCGAGCATCGAGCGTATACTGCAAGCCACGGGACATCAGAATGGAAGCTCTCTTGCCCAGTTCGGGACTTGTATCCGTCGCGCAGAACGAAAGGCTTTCACAGCAAGGCTCTGGCTTCAGAATGAAAAAAGATGACCATCTCCCAATCAACGTCGCTGAACTCGAAATTCTGCGGCGGAGGAGGGTCACCTGCCAATAGGGACTTCTATCTGTTCATTGAAAGAGCATGCGCTGCTTTAGCCAGCAGTCTCGCTGCCCTGCAGGTGGAAAGGCGTATGAGTTTGTGGCTTCCAGATGAGTGCGCGGAATGCCGAGGAGTCGGGTGGCAAGCAGCCACTCAATTTGATGGCTGCAAGAGGAAGTCAAGCTGCCCGAAAGGGATATCTATCTGATGCGCAAGCAGGCGGCAGCCTAGTTGTGAGGGCGGCATGCAGGTGGTGGAGAGCGGCATCCTAGGAGATGCGACGTCGGCACGCTACTTGAAGGCAGGTCGGCATCCTGATACTCCGGCACAGGTGGCAGCTACGTGAGTGGTGAGTGGGCATGGCACTCTTTTCTGCCCCCTAAGAGAGAAGTCGGCCTGCCTGATCGAGACTTCAATCTGTGGTTACATGCTACTAGATGGGCGTGGCAGCCCAATGCTCGGAGAACAGGAGGTCCGGAAGGTGGTCAAAAGGCTGCCAGGCGAATGCAGGTGCCGCACCCTCGCATGGACTGGAAGGCGGAAGGCAAGTTCAGGGCTTGGGCCCTTCGGAAGACTCTCTTGTCGCAAGGGGCATATGGCTGCATCAGTCGTATAGATGAACGCATAGGTGACAAGGTGTGAAAGCCACGATATCTGCAGCACATGGAAAGGAGTGCCATCTATTGTGGCAGCTCATGTGCACCTTTCGAACACGTTCGTCTCTCACCAAGGAGGCTACAGCGTGACATGAGGCGAATCACAGCCTTCAAATTCAAGATTTTGGTCCATACTGCGCGGTTCTATCTACATCTTATATTCTTTCCAGTACTATGCTATGCACACCGTACTGTATTGTTCCGTTCTCCTGCTCTTCTTTTGGTCTCAGGACAGAATTCGGTCTCCTGTTTGAGCACTCCGAGCTCCGGCTCGATCGAGCTTGCTCTGATGTTCCGTCATGGCTGAGATCCGACACATTCGGACAGCCATAGGCGCTGATGATTCGAATCGCGGTAGCGCGGTATCGTCGTATCGCGCTCTTTCACATCATGCGCTTCCTCCCACTCCGAGCTCTCCCTCCTTCTCCCCACCCGATCAGTACTTCGGCTTAAAAGGCAGCGTCTTCATATGCTCCATAATATCCCTCTTCACCCCCAACAGCCCATAAATCCACTTCAGAATAATAAAAAAGCTATCCGGCTCCCCCATATGCTTCTTGCCCTTGACCATCCGCGCCAGCTTGGGCATCCCGTTCTCCAACGCTACAAACATGTCGTCTATTGGGAAGATCTCATCGTCGTTGCCGTTCACCAGCAGCATTTTCGTGCATGGCTTCGCCAGTGTTCCATCATTGAGGAGGGAGAATTTCGAGGACTCAGCGATGAAGGATTCCAGATCGGGATAGCCGAATTTGTAGGTCAGGGTGTTGGCGAGGTCGAAGGGGTATTCGAGCTTGTTGACTTGACGTAGCCAGGAGGCGTCGAACATGTGGTGGCAGCCCCCGCCTAGACTCACACTTGCCAGTAGCCTGTCGGCGTGGGTGTGCGCTACCCGCAACGCATAGTACCCGCCGGTAGAAAACCCCCAAACGACGACCTTCTTGCTATCCACCTCCTTTTGCGAGGCAACCCAGTCCAGCACGCTCGAATACTGGCGGTCAGGCGATGTCGGGTCGCGCGGGTCGGCGGGCGAGTCGCCTGTCCCCGGGATCTCAGCGATCAAGGTCGCGATGCCGGCGTCGAGGAAGCCGCGCTGCCAGACGGCGAGCTCGTGCGGTAGCCGGTCGAGTCCCGTGATGATGGAGAGTAGAGGCACCGGAGACTCGGCGGAGGCGGTGGGCGGGAGGAGGAAGTTTGCGGGGACGTGCTTGCCTTCGTTCTCGAGGCCGTGGGCGTGCGGGATGAGGACTTCGCGGATCGGGTACTCCATGAGGGCTGCGCCTTTGTAGAAGACCTTCTTCCCTTCCTGCCACGCAAACTTCTGCTGTTCGGACCGTGGGGCGGGGAAGCGGGAGATGCGCCACACTGCGCTGCTGCGGAGGTAGTATTCGCTGGCTTTCGCCTTCTCGCCGTTGGCTTCGGCCTCCTCGGCGATCTTGGCTAGTTCTCGTGCCCGGGGGAAGTACATTTGCGCGTACTCGTCCCAGTTGTATGGTTCTTTGAAGTTTTTGGAGATGAGGGCGTCGACGACGGGCTGGAAGTCGGAGGCGGTGCCGAACATGAAGGGGTAGACGCCCATGTTGGCCTGAGCGGGGTGTCAGTCATTGTGGTCTGTGAAGGAGGAAGTGTGCTGTTGGGTGGGCTTGGGCTCGTGGGTTTAGAGAGAGGACAGAGGAGGAGGAGGAGGAGGAGGAGGAGGAGGAGGAGGAGGAGGAGGAAGAAGACTGCCTCGAGGGCAGCAAGTGATGTGAGGCCGCTCGCTTTGGCCTTGGATGCAACGTACAGGGAACTTCCATTTGCTCTCCCATAAGTCCTTATACGAGTTGTGGTGGACTGCCGTCTTCTTGATGGCGTCGCGATATAGTACGTCTGGTCTGGGTTCTGCTCCGGCATGTTGGGCAATGTTCGAGGGTCAATTGCTTCAAGTGGGTGCTGTCTCTAGAATCAACGATAAAGAAAGATCAACGCTATGCAGAGGAGAGCAACGACGTAGTCGACGAGACGTCTCGGACAGGGACATGCATTAAATCATAGACTAGCGGTCTGCGATAAAAATAATTCCGATGTGTTTACTTGCACTCCGAATTGGAACTCCGAAGGACTGCTCGAAGTCGAAGCTTCCGGGAGCAGCCTACATCATTGGAGTGCCCCTGAATGCTCGTATTAGGGGCAGGTCTGGGGCGACAACACGGTGGGCTTAGGACGAGATACTGCATGGTGCAGCTGCTGTGATAGTGAGGTTGTTCACCCCCGCCCTCGGCCACGGCAATTGACAAAGACCGAGGAGGGGGAAAGTGCAGGGGTAGGCCGCAAGGTCCGTGCACTAGGAGCTCATTGCGCGACAAATAGAAATCTCGATCAGGCAGGTCAACTTCTTTATCTGTTGTCAAGAAACAGACATCAGCGAGCGTTTAGCGCCGCCTATGAGCTTTCTCAAGGCAGAAAGCATTTTATTGACCACGAGATCGTCAGGAGAACTAAGCAATGAGCTTTGTCAACCGGTCTCGTGGATTGGGAACTGAGTCACCCGGTCTCAGATGAATTCTGTCATCCGGCTTGAGTGAGATTCGTCATCCGGTCTCGGCTATGTCCTGTCGTCGACAGTTTACGGCACTCTACCCAGGTACACAGGCAATTACACGCGTAACACGATCACGCTCCTCGAGTTTGACTGAATGGTGGCATAGATAGCAGGTTTTCCCACCGTCTGTGGGGTTTCGAAACCCGTGTCGTCGGTTTCGTGGGCATCACCATGAGCGAGTGCAATTATATTCGAGATCGCCACGGAAATTTTGTCTAGCATTGCTCATTGTCCTAGGTACTGATTCACTCTCATCGTACGTCCATGGAATTTTCGAGGATCTTACGTACAGCAGGCCTCACGAGCTCAGAAAGGCTTGTAGATGAGAGGCATGCATGGCTTTTGTATGAGTGTAGAGAACTTCGATGCTCGTCAAAAGGTCATCATAGGTTCAGCTAGGTTCAAGTCCATGGTTGCAAATCGTATGAAACCTGTCAGTCGTGGCGGTCCACGGTAACCAGAACACTCCGCCGAAACTCGCTGAACATCCCCTGAGACGCCAATCGACCTGCTGCTGTATACCCTGGCGGCGGACCCTGCTGCTGTTGTGGTGGTGGAGCATGAGCAAGGGGTTGTTGTGCTGGGCTCGCAGCGCCAGTCTGGTGGCCGCTCATAACACCATTGAGCAGAAGGCTTAGCATGTCCGTGTCGTTCGCTGTATGGTCGACTCCTTGACTGGCATGTACCGCATCACCGATTTCATTTGGACCAGGCCTTCCACCTCCAATTCCGCCCTCACCGCTGACAATCCTGTCTAGCCATAGGAAAGGCGTCTCTAGCTCATTTTCCCGTTCTTCTTCAGGCAGGAAGTCGAGGAGGTGCCTGTTGGTATCCGTATCGACGACCTCAGACTCGATGCGACGGCGGAGCGGATCAAGTAGGAGGTCTTCCAGGGCAGGGATGAGACTGAGCACATCCTCCGAGAGCAAGTGTAGGGCGGGCTTATGGGACGTAGTAAGATCACCGGTTAATGTGGAGGGTGGGATCGCATCGACAGGCGAGCTGGACTGCTCGTCCTCCGCCCGTAGTTTGCCCTTCTCGATTTTCGAGGATGCATCGTCGACGTCACTGTAGACATGCTCTATCCTCTCGATACCTTTTGGTCCAATGAACATTTTTCCACCCACTGGTTTGGGCCCTTGCGCCACTGCTTCGTCGCGCACTTTTTGATCTTCGACAGACTCCTCAATTTTGATCAGGAACGTCTTTAGTGTCTCCAGTCTTTGGTTGTACGTGCCTTTCAAAACAGTAATCTGGCGAAGCTCTTCCAATCCGCCAAGAAGTGTAACCATAGCCAGTTGCTCAGATCCCGGCGGCTTGCGACTCCAGCCGCGGAGAGCTCTCTCGATCGTGCCAGTGTAGGAGGGTGCTCGAGATGACTGTTTGAGATGTATCGTCAGGAGGTGGTAGACGTGGAATATCGGCAGGAGCATGTTCTGCGGGTAGCTATTCACAAGCTCCATGATGGAGTCGCCGCACATCATGCACGGCCAGAATCTAGATCGCGCCGACTTTGAGATGTGAGCTGAGGCGTGAACAGAGAGTATCAGATGGCGGTAGTGTTCCAAGAAGTGGTTGATGAACCACAGCGTCGATGTGAATATTGTGGCCACTGGATGTTGCGCAAGATCGAGGACTGGATTATTCCGTTGCTGGTGGGTCCGGAGCATGTACATCTTCATGCGAACAAAGCTGACCAGCATGTCGGTTGTGTTCCTAATGACATGTTGTCGCCGGAGGACAGCAAGGAGGTGTGTGAGGTCGCTGTTCCCGGCTGGCTGTGGGTAGAGCCTAGGGACATGTGGAACGTCATGACGAGAAACGGTAGAGGCGACAACGCTTTTAGTGATGGACGAAGCACTGTCATTGAGGAGGTTGTTCATAGATCTCGAGGTCAAACGAAGAGCAAATATGTCCGCCGTGTCGAGTAGTGTTAGAATGAGAGTGTGGATGTCATGAGGCAACGACATGAATAGGTCACCGAGCTTGTTGCTGCTGTCAAACGAGGAAGTGGCGACGCTGGCAGTGGCTTGCGACTTCTTTGATCGTCCCAACCGTTTCGAAATTGTTGCCAGGCTTGGTCGGCGACTACTCTGAGCAGGCATCGTCGACGTTCGGCTTGCTAAAGCAGCTTCTGTACCAGGGTCATCGCCGCGGTCTGGCTGCGTACTGGCCCTTCTGAGTGATCTTTTGATCATCCTTGAGATTCGAGAAAGCTCTTCTCGGTTTCCGGAAGTGAGAAGTTGGTCGTGTGGTGCTTCCGTAAGATGTTCGACTCGGCTGTCTTGATTAGATATTGCGGTTTATCTATCAACCTTGGCTGACGGGGCAGCATCCGTAAAGCTACGAGAAAGGTACGAAGTATTCAGCCCGCCGAGATGTGGCCTGAGTAGTCGACAGAATGGACGAAGAGAAGCATACACCTCGAATTGAAGATCTTCGACACACGACCTTAGGTTGGCAATAACAGCCTAAGCTCGCCCGTGCATCTGGAGGCGAGAGCTTGTTTAATGTGAAACCATGCCTGTCGGAAGAGCATTGTAGCCAATAATATGCGGCCTCAAAGTCGATCTTAGAGCATTTCCGATGATGCTTTCCACGTATTCGAGTGGGGTAAGAAGGAGCGATCGAGCCGGTAGTGGGAGCGACCGCGGCGGGCTGGCGGATGAAGTACCATGCTTGAACATTCCGACTTGGGCCAGACAGGTCACGGTAAGCTCCTTCTGGAAGAGTACACGCGCAGCCATGGCCATACAGGCGACAAGAAGAGCTCGGGAGCGGAGGACGCGCTCGAGCAATCGGACTAGTTACATAGAAAGATTTCGAGGGAGAAAATGATGTGACCAGACTTTTGCCATTCCCAAAGTGCAGGCGCGGCGGCCTCTACAAGTCTTTCCGATGATCTCGTCTACATCTGTTAACGAAAACAGCCTCGCTGAGCCGCTCATTCGATCTTAAAGCTATCCACTGTGCATCTCAAGGCCTTCTCGAAATTCATGTCTTCACCCTCCTCGACCAGAGTAGCACTCTTGACGTCTACCTCGATATATGGTCTGCTCAACTCGAACTTGACGGTCATAGGGAAGAACTCGCCTTCGTCGCCGCCAGGACCGACCTGTGCTTCGAATTCGAAGCTGCCGGACGCATTGCTGTCGTCGATGGCTCCGATGTTCCATTCCAGACTGTCGCCAGTAACCTCGTACATGCTGTCAAAGGTTTTGACCTCGGGCTCTGCTGTTGAGTATGGCAGAGTAACCACGACATCACGTAGTGGTGCGTGCTCAGGTGAGGTGAGTTCGTACTCGATTGTGATGGTGTAGCTGTCGTCATTGCGATTAACCCAGACGGTGAAAGTGATAGGCAGGACGTCAGGCGTGTCGGCTGGAGCAGTGGCTCGCCAACGTAGCACGCCAATGCTGTTGTTATGAGGAAATCGCTTGGTAGTGTCTTTGAGCTGAATCGTCTTTGAGGTATTGAAGAGATTTTTGTCGACGTTTGGATGTGTTCGGAATTGTGCTCTCAATGGTCCTTCATCGGCGAGTAGTGATAATGATAGCTTGGTCAATGCGGGATCCGAAATCTTGAGCTGCAAATCTCCTTTGACCTCGAATGACTTCAGTGCGCCATCACGAGACAGCGTCGTTGACAGCTGTTCGGCGATCAGGACGTGGATCGGATTGGATGCCTCTATCGATGTTCTTGCAGGCGCAGCGGCTGCGGGTGCTGCGGCCGGCACAGGAGCAGGCTCCTCCATTTCAGGCATATCAGCCTTAACCTTGTCGTAGATATCTGTGGTCTTGCTCTTCTTGCCCAACTGCATGCCCTTGCTTCGCGAGGCCAGTGGTCTGTTGAACGTCTTGTTCTTCTCAGCCTCGTAGGCATCGTATGTACTCGTGATCGACGGCTGCGAGGGTGGTGTGTACGTCGGATACTGAGGTATCTTCGGAGCCACACCACGACCATATGCTTGCGCCGATCGAGCAGCCTCTTTTCGTTGCATTTCGAGTTGTTTGGCTTTCCTTTTGCGCTCTTCTGACGCCTCAAGCTCCTTGTTACGGGCGATGATTTCTTGTATTCTCTCTTCATGTGACTCCATCTCCAGGAAGGTCTTGATCTGACTCATAGTCAAGTTTTCTCGGTATCCCATTGTCACCAACTCGTCGAAGGCAGACAGCAGTTCGAAGGCATTGCGGAGGATCTCGCGTTCTTCGAGTTTCTTGCAGATGCTTTGCACGACTTGGGCAAACATGTGCAGGCTGTCGATGTCCTGGAGGATGTTGGATTGCCGATTCGTGATGAGCACCATGTATAGTTCGTCGAGGGGCTGGTAGACAAAGCGCACATTGTCTTGTTCCACCGTTGTGTGCTGTGTACCTGCGTCCGCGAGTTTGGGGAACGATGCCAGCAGACCTTCGACGCGGGCTCTGTTCATCTCACGGAATTGCCTCGACAAGACGACCTTTCCTCCCCGGGTCACCACTGCTGCCGCAATCACCACCTGGAACAGGGTCAGCGGTCACACATGGTATACGGCGTGGGCATAGAATTACCATGATTGCGGGTGTTTGCTGAACGATTCAAAAGAGGATACCAAGGTGTGGTTAGCAGAGAGCGAGAATTCGTGTCGCCTTCTTGTCGCTATTGTGATTATGCCATGGAAGTCTCCAGGGACATTTCCCTACGCACCCTTCCAATCGAGGGACACCGTGTTCAGTGCCCGCAAGGCAGCCCCCTCTGCTGCTGGGGATGAATTGCTTGGCGAACGCCGCGATTCACGTGACCAGTATTGACATTGCGCGCTAGTTCCGCTCCATGAGGGCTCCTTCTGCCCTTCAATCTCATCGTAAGCCTGTCAAAACAACTAGAAAGCTCATGTGAGGTCCGTAGCCATGCGAGCACTGGCGACCACTTGCTACAATGAGCTCGGTATGCCTTACTGAAGCCCGACGTACCGGGTAGAAGCGAAGTCCCCGGGCTATGCAGTGATGCAGCAAGAGGGGTAGGCACGGCAGTATACAATCGAAACCTTCGCCCTTCAATGATCGACCTATGCTTCGTATTTCATGAAACAACTTCTTACTGTCTCACTTCCGTAATCTCTGCACACTCAGTATCCCTCCCAATACCATCCACATACACCAGCCTGCAGACCAACCATACCATATCCGAGGCAGTGATCATGATCTCCAGAACTACCGACGACATTCCTCCTTTCCCGGAAGATGTTCCGACGGCTCCAATCGGTACCATTTCACTTGCAAAGATAGTCGATGGCGACAGAACAGAGTCCGCACAAGCTGTAGAGGCCTGCAGGACCCACGGCTTCTTCTACCTCGACCTGACCACGACACCACTCGGCCAAGACCTAGTGAACGATGCCGAAGAACTTCAGGATTTGTCGAAGCAGCTATTCGATCAGCCACTGAAGGACAAAATGGCATATCAGCATACCCCAGGCAATCTGTTCGGCTACAAGTAAGTCCTCTTCTGCGTCGAGGACTCGTCGTTGACCACTTTTGTCTAGGGAAGCAGGAACAGTAAAGCAGACAGACGTCACCTTACGACCAGACTCAACAGAGTTCTTCAACATCGCCAAAGACCACATGCATGGTGTCGCCGAGAGCCGAACATATCCCCAAGAAGTCCTCGACAACAAAGTCCTGTTCCAGTCGTTCCAGAAGAAGGCGCATGAAGTGTGCATGACCATTCTCGCGGCCCTCGCTACGCAACTGGATCTCCCTCCGAAGTCTTTCATGGACAAGAACATCTTCACCGAACCGAGCGGCGACCACTGTCGTCTGACTCACAAGATCCCGCACGTCACTGACAAGAATGCCATCGGTCTTCCGTCGCATACCGACTTCGGTAGTATCACTCTTCTGTTCAACTGGCTTGGAGGTCTTCAGATTCAATCGAGAGATCTAGAGAAGGCCGGCGAGTGGGAGTTCGTGAAACCGGTGCCTGGCCATGCTATCATCAACTTGGGAGATGCCATGGTCACATTCACCAATGGCTACCTCAAGAGTGCCAAACACCGTGTCGTACCGGCACCCGGAGAGCAAGCGGAGATATCGCGCTATTCGGTAGTGTACTTCGTCCGACCTCACAATGCTGTCGTAATGGAGCCACTCGAGAAGTTCAGAGATCTGGCACCGGAAATGAAGGTTGCTGGCAAATTCAAGCCCGAGGGCGACAAGGTGCTTACCGCAGGCGAATGGATGACCCAGCGTACTAAGCAGATGGGGCAGTGAATGATGAAAAGACTCAGGAGTGAGCCAGACTCTTGCGAAGGAGCACTTTGCCTCCACCGAGTTCCTCAACCTGTTTCCAACCAGTCTTGAGGAGAATTCTGTACATGGTTCCGAACTTTGCTGGAAACGTGCAAACACTGAGCTTTGAGATGCTATGCTGTTTGGCGTGCTTTTCGAGCTCGCTCATCATGCCTTGAAAGATACCGCCGCCTCTGCTTGCCGGCGATATGCCAGCAAGCCAGATGTGTAGCGAGTCTGCTTCTTCTGTTGAGTTGACGTGTCTGGGATGAGCGAAGATGAAGCCGACAGGAGATCCTGTAGCTTCAGCGACCTCTCTACAGTTCGACGCGTATACGATGACTGAATTCTTTTCAGACAGTCTGCTCTGCCATTCCTTTAGCGATCCGTGATGCGTACGGTCGGCCCCTTCAGTGCTGAAGACAGCATTAGACAGGTCCAAAATCGGCTGTATGTCTGATGCATCTGCATCTGCTTGTAGCCTAAAATATGCTACCATCGTTGACTGTAGCAAAACCCGTTCGTGATGGGAAGGTCAACCAAAGATTCGAGAGGATGCCTGACAGATTTACCAAGCAGATTTTGGACCTCTTGGCAGGATGCGAACATCAGCGCCAGGCTCCTTCTCTTTTGCTCTCCTTCCTGAACATCACATCCCTCAACCACACAAATACAACAACGGCGATCGTCCTTGTGGATCACGGCTGGTCTGGCACCTGAAATACTGCATGATGCACCGTAAGGTTGAGAACTACGCTCTCAGCAGGTGAGTGTGGAAGCGTCAGCATGAATGCAGCCCGGCATAAACGACGCACCAGAGAAAAATGGCTGCGCAGTCCAACGAAGCGGACTTCAATGCTGCGAAGCAATTTCTGGACGTGCTTACAGTCCTACGTCCACCGGTTCAGACTTGCTCGACCTCCTGGAAGCTCCTTGGTATTCTTTCTGGTCCCACGTCAATCGCCTTCCTCTTCTACCGCCTCTCGCAAACCTGGCCAGACAAGTTGTTCAAGGGGCAGTCGCTCCTGGACTGGGCAGAAGCATACTTAGCCCTCGGAGAACGCTACACGTCCACACCAAGGCCAAAGAATTCCCAGACCTACCACGGTACAATAAACTGCGGTACAATGAACGAATACTACAGCCAACTTGCCCTTCGCTCCCTCATCTACGACGACGACAGCCTTGCTCGAGCGCTCGCCGACGAGTCAAGCGCGGTCAATGCTGACGACCACTCTTCCGAAATTTGCACCAATTGGTCCATAGGCCGAATAGGCTACATCTATCTTCTTCGATTCGTTGCTTTTCACAAATTTCGAGCTCCAGAAAGTGACAAAGGTGAACTAGTTCGAAAACTCCTGGATGCGATCACCAAGACCGAGGAAGCCATTAAGAAGAAAGTGCCGGACTACACCAAGCGCACTATGCTAAGCGATCTCAGTGAGCACTATGACAGGGTCGTCCTGAACCACCTCGACTGGGAGGTCTTTGGCTTCCGGGAAAGAGTCACAGATCAGATGCTGTGCTGCGGACCATCTGACGAGGACATTTCATCGCTGTACTTCCAGTTCGAGAGTAGTTGTCTGCGTTTAGTTCAAGAGGCCTCTGGTATGTAAATAAAAGATCGGGTCGACAGCAAAATGTCATGGAAAAGAATGGTCATTGCTTTCTTGCAGAGTTCGTACATTTCGTATCACAAGGCAGTACCCAGAGGACAAGACTTTGTTTCTGTTCTGAACACAACGTCGCCAGGCACGACTACCCTGAAGCGTCTGCTCAGACTGGTGCACTCCACGTCCAGTGCATACCCAATCCTTTCGGCTTTCCTATCCAGAACTCCATGCCTCTCTACGACCGGAGAATGACAGCTTCAGAAGCTCTCATACCTCAACACCACCCCTCGATGATCTTACTCTAGGCCTGCCCTCGTTCCCTGACGTGGCCTTCCTCTCCTTCCCAGCATCCTCCTTTCTCCTGCCAGCATCGGCGCTAGCGAGCTTCAACTTCTCGCCGACTCCTTTCCAAGCAGCCCACTCTTCTTCGCCTTTGCTCAGCCGCATCGCCGCCATGACCACAAACACTCCGGCGCGGAATTTGTTCTTGGGTGTCAGTTTGCGTTCGTACTTCTCCCGGCTGGGGACCTTAACGCCCATCTCGCGGAGGATCTTGAGGTCGATTTCGTTGCTGAAACACAATCCGTCAGTCAAAGGACACAAACATGAAAGAGAAAGGAATATTAGCTTACCATCGTCTCCGAACCTCCCCTTCCCGAACACACCACTCCTTCGCCCACCCGGCATCCTTCCTCAGCCGCTCCGCCCGCTTACACCTTGCCTTCAGGAACTGTATCTCCTGAATCAATCCGCGCATCTCCTTCTCGCGGACCTCGTCCCTGCTGTGCTTTCCAGAGGAGAGTCTTTCGAGCATACCCTCGTACCGTGCTTGGAGAGCCTCGAGTTCGGTTTCTATCGACTCGGCACGCTGATTGGCGTGCTGGCGTTCGGCGCGGATGCGTGTGAGGGCGCGTTTGGTTGACTGGAGTTCGTGGGAGCGGTGGGCTAGGTCTGCTGTGACGATTGACACATCTTCGTCCGTAACAGCGGCGTGGTTGGTCTTGGAGTTGGGTCGGTTCCCGAGGCGTTGGAGCTGCGCTTCTAGGGATTTAATATCACGCTCGCGTGATCGCAGGGTCTGGGCGACGTTCTGGGTCTGCTGCTGCTGGTCCTGGAGGTCCTTGATCTCGAGGCGGAGGTCTGAAACTAGAGACTGTTGTTCGGCGATCTTCTCGTTCAGACGATGCACTTCCGACGTGCTGCTTGAGGGTTGTCTTGATGAGCGCTCGAGATCTCTGATGCGGTGGCGGGCTTCTTGCAGGTCAGACTGGGCTGAGGTGAGTTCTTGACGCAGCCTTGCCAGCTCTTTGGAGTTCGACGGAGGTGGCGAGACCGAGGGCGATTTCAGTTGTGCCAGACGAGCATCGTGGAGTTCGCGCTCAAGGTCGTTGAGCTGCATTCTCAAGTCGCGATTCGTCGACTTCAGCTCGCTCTCGCGCTTCGCGGTGGCGGTCTCCTTCTTCCGGGCGTCTGCAAGATCGTGCTTCAGCCCGGAGATGTCGACACCCGGGAAAGTGACTTGTTTTGACTGGTTGTCGAGAAGGTCTTCTAGCTCTTTCACCCGCGACTCGAGTCTGGTGACTTTGGCCTTGGCTGACTTGAGGTCTCGGTCTCGCGAGTCAGTGCTCGTGAGTTGCTGCAGGCGCAGCTGATCGAGCTCCTTCGTCAATCGCTCTTCTTCCGCGGCAGCACGATCCATCTCGGCATTGATCTCGTCTTCTAAGGCTTGATTGCTGGCCACCAGGCTGTCCTTCTCCGTTGTCAGGCGCTGGACTTCTGTCTCAAGCTTCTGCTTTGCTCTCTTCAAGTCTCGCTTCTCTGTATCGACGTTGAATGTGTCGTTAGGCGTACCCGACGACTTCTGCACTTTAGACTCCAGTTCTTCATAGTCAGCATGAGCGGCACTGAGCTCTCTTCGGACGTTGCTGAGGTCGATCTGCACATTTGCTAGGCTGTCTTGAAGTGTCTGTTTCTCTTTCTTCAGCTTCAAGACCTGCGCATCAACGCTCTCGTGTGACTTTTGCTGGAACTGCTCGAGAAGTTGATGTTCCTGGTCCATGTCCGCTTGCAGCACCTCGATCTCTTCCTCGAGTTCAGAGATCTTCTCTTTCAGGACAGCTTGCTCACGTATTGAGATCCGCAGCTCTTCTTTGGCATTGTTGACTTCCGTACGATTGTTCTCGGCGGCCTGTCGCTTCATAGCCAGGTCTTCGTTCAGCTCATCGATCTGCTTGGTGAGAACCTTCTCTTCCTGCACATGGCGCTGCTTCTCGCTCTCTAGCGCTTCCTGCAGCTTCATCTCCTTGCCGGACAGAGTGCCCTGGCATCGTTGAGCTTGTCGACCGTTCGCTGCAACCCCGCTGCTCGTTCTTCGGCCTTCGCACTGGCAGACTCGAGGGATTTGCGCTTAGCCTCCCACTCTTCGAGATCTGCGGCGTGGTCATTCTCTTTGGCGTTGACTTCACGATGGAGCTTGTCGACTTGGTCGTTGAGCAGATCGACATCTTGCTGGTGCTGAGCGCGTAGAATATTGTCTTGTTGGGCGGAACGTCGGCGCTCGTCTGAGACCGCATTTTCGAGTTCCGAGATCGATTTGCGTGCTTGGGCGAGATCTTTCTGCAGTTGGGAGGATTCGGTGGTAAGAGCGTCGTGGCGCGATTGAAGGAGGTTCTTCTCGTCGCTGAGCGTCTGCAGCTCTTTCTCGAGGTCTTCGGCGTGTTTGGACATGTTGGTCAATTTGCGTTCGAATGTGTCTCGCTGCTGTTTGGCGAGCTCAAGATCTTGCTGCAGGTGCCGTGAACCAGATGCACCTTCCTTCTCGATCTCACGCAGCTTCTCCTGCAACCCACGCTCGGCTTGCGACTTCTCACTCAGCTCGGTTTGTGCTTGCTCAAGCTTTTGCTGCAGCGTATCAACTTCGTCCTCCAAATTGGACATCTTCTCCTCCAGCTGGCGGCTCAGGCCTTTTGTGGTGAAAGATTTGTTTGCCATTTCGTCCTGCAACTCCTCAAGGTCGCCCTCAGCCTTTCTCTTCTCAATCATGGCGTCTTCACGGTCCTCCTTCGCCTCTTTAGCTTCTTGTTGAGCGGCTTCGAGATCGCGCTGGAGGTCTACAAGCTGCTCTTTTGCTGATTCGAGCTCGTCTTCAACTTCTGCTGAAGCACTTGATTCCTTGTTCGCGTTGATCTTGAGCGCATCGATCTGATCGTCCTTCTCGTCGAGCTCTCGTTCTTTCTGGCGGAGTTCCATCTGAGCGTCCTCCAGATCTTCACGTAGTCTCTTCAGCTCAGCGGTTTCACGTGCCTGCTGTGCCTCGGATTTGTCCTCGAACTTCTCAAGCAGCTCGTCCTTCTTCTGGATCTCCTTGATCAATCGATCCATCTCAGCTCTGGTCGACTCATCTGCTTGTCTACGCTTGATCTGTTGTCGGTATTCCTCGAGTTTCAAACGGTAAGCCTCGGCATCCTGCTCGGCCTGTGCGATGTTTTTCTTGAACTTGTGAAGCTCCCTCTGCATGGTGATCTTGGTGACCTTCAAATCGGTGTTTTCTCTTAAAGCAGCCTGGTTAAACTCGCCGCCCCGCTTTGACATGGCATCTTCCAAGAAGTGAATCTTCATCTTCAGCCCGAAGTTCTCCTTCTCGATCTTGTCTATTATGCCTTCTTGCTCACGTAGAGTCATCATGTTGCCGTCATTGACAACGCCGCCACCGCCATTCCGAGGTGGCAGTTGCGCCAAAGGTGTGCTTTGGGCGCTGCTGCTGAGGTCTTGGGGATGCGGAGTGAATTGACTGCTGTTGATCGCGGCACTCGAATCGTTTCCGGGTAGGTGGGAGTTCTCGTCGGATCCTGGTAGGGGCGTTCCGCTGTCGCCATAGCCAGCTTTGAGCCCGGCCGGGGTCTCGGCGACGCCGTTTTTCCTTGCTGACATGCGTTTGGCAATGTTATTCTTCGCAACGCTTTTCATCAGAGGTGTAAATTCGCTCTTTGCGTTTCTGCCGTTGGGAAGAAGTTGCAAAGGATCTCTCGTGCCCGGTCGTGGTGTTCGGAGTCCTCTGCCATCGTTGCGCGCACTTCGCATCTGAGCGATCAGATCCTGCTTGCCCGCCGGTGCAAAGAACGACTTCTCGGGCGACAAGTCACCGAGTCTACCGGCGCCATTGGTAAGGTATGTCGCGTCGTTATTCGTCTGTGGCGTGTCTATGTATGGGGCAGGCATGTTGTCGCCAGAATGTTCCGAGCCGAAATTCAGCCCAATCCTACCATGCAAGTGCTGCTGCCGCGCAAGAATAGATGTATGAACAGAGCGCGCATCTGTCGAGGATACATGGGTCATCGACTCGGGTTTGTTGATGTTCTCAAAAGGGCATAGTGTAGACGGCCCACTCGCGGCCACTGCCGCTTAGCGTCGATCAGAGAGCTTGGCCTAGTTGCCTTCGACGTTTTCCATCACTCTGAACTCTCATCAGAGTCGTCGTCGATCCTTCTTGATATATGGTATAGTGCGAATGGTTCGAGTAAATTGATGTCTACGAAATGGCGAACACGGAGGATGACCTGGCATGGCTCAAGTCGACCTTCCATCCGGTTCCCAAAGCCGCACTGCCGGATGACTGCATCGAGTACACCATCTATGCTATATCTTCTTCACTAGATCCAACCAATGATTCAGAAACACGCCTACGACTGAAAGCATTCCAGGAACACGTGGCAGATTTGCAAAAGAAGTGGTTGAAGGACTACATTTGGCAGCGACAAGGCTTCAGCCTGGCTCTTGAGAAAGATGATGGTGAGGTTCGTGACCAGAAGTCGCTGGGACATGCGAAAGACCTAACGTGTTTCGCAGGTGTGAGCTATCTGCAGGGTCGTACTGAGTACGGAGATTCCATCGAAGATGAATGGGTCATTGTCTGGCTACTACGAGAGATCAGCAAGCAATTCGACGACGCCTGGATCAAGGTGACTGATAATGACGGCGAGTTCCTGCTGATTGAAGCGTCCGGATCCCTACCTGCCTGGCTCGAGCCTGACGTGGCGGAGAATCGTGTCTGGATCAATGACGGAAAGCTCAAGATCATCAAGCCTGCTTCCGGCAAGCAATCAGCCAAGCGAACAGACGAGAAGCTGTCGATCAAAGATGCTCATCAAGTGATCCTGGGAGAACGTAAGCGCTTGATGCATTCCACGCTCATGGAAGAAGAGGCTTTTTATCGCCTGCGAAATTATCCAGCACAGATCGCCGATAACGTCCATCACGCTTTAGCAGTGGTGCCACGAACAGTCGCGTTCCTTCTACACCAGAATCCGGCCTACATTGCCCCAGCCATTGAGGCCTTCTATCTCAGGGATCCAATCTCTCTGAAGAAGCTCAACGCGGACAAGACAGACTTGGACCTGCCCATACAACCTCATGACCTGGTCACAGTCAGTGTTCGCTTTCCAAAGGTAGCCTATGCGCAACTGAAATCGCAGGACTTTCCCGCTCCCAAAGCATTGCAAAATATGCTGTCAGAAAGTGTCAAGACAACTGATACTAGCCCTGCGTTTGCTGAAACAGGAATGAAGATCACTTGTGGCTTCGAGATGCTCTTGTCAGATACTCAGTATCAAGACAAGCCTGCAGTGCGTGAGATGAAGCTCCTTCTGGAAGACATTGAATCGGGAGAAGAGCCTCTTCCCACGGATGGCGTCATCCAGACCTGGCCTAAGAAAGAGGACGGTGAGAAATGGCTAGATATCAACTTCTCCGATCTGGAGCAGGAGCTGGCCGGTAGCAAATCGAAACCTGCTGAGGACGGCAAGAAGCGGGAATTTGGTGATAAGTCTGCACAGGAAAACCTGCAGAGAATCGTGAAGCAGTTCGAGGCATTCATGAATGATGAAAAGGCCGGCGTGGACGGCGCTGGTACGTTTGACGAAGACGAAGACCTTGATTCTGATGACAGTGACGAGGACGACCCCTTCGAAGACAAATCAGCGAGCTTTGGCGATGACGACTTCACGAAACTGATGCAAGAAATGATGGGCATGCCTCCAGAAGTCATGTCCGAGTTGATGAAAGGCAAGCTGGCACCTGATGCAGCTGTCTCTGAGGCAGGCAGATTCGCCGCTGAGAGAACGAAGGCGCAGAATGTCACTGAGAACAAGGGCGGGGAGAAAGAGCAGGAGAAGCAAGCGGTAGCTGAAGACGAAGAGGACTCGGATCCGGAGTTCGCTGCGCACATGGCTCAACTTGAGACAGAACTTCGATCCAGTGGTGCTCTGAACCTGTCCGGCCGCAGCAAGAAGAAGATTACGGATCGCGCTTTGAAAGGTGCAGAAGGAGACCGCGACTCAGACCTCTCATCAGATGACGACCTCGGCGAGAACGACATCGATGTCAACTTCGCGAAAAATCTGCTGGAATCATTCAAGGCACAAGGAGGCACGGCTGGACCGATGGGAAACCTGATGGGATTGATGGGCGCCGGGCTCCCTCGAGACGATCGTGACGAAGGCTCTAGCTCTCGAGCTGGACCCAGCTCTTCCAAGTGAGTACGCCGTAGCATTCTACAAAGCCAATATCTTCCATCCAAGCATATGCGCTCCGGCGCGCGTTGACTTCAGAAGAAAGGAATACAATCATCATACATCGAAGCACCCTTCCCCGTAAACGCGCCACCCGTCTTCAACGGCTTCAACGTATTCGGACCCTTCGCAATGCAGATCCTAAACATCACCTCCAGACACTCAGAGCCCTCCTCGATGCAACGAAGTACCCATCGCGACCATGCCTCCTCGTCCGCCGAAGAAAGAATTGTGAAATTGCCGTCTTTAGTGTACAGCTCGATCCACACAGCCCGCCAGAAATTTGCGTGAGTGCGCGGGTATTGCTGCGCGATGGCGATATGGTATTCATCTTTGGCGAGATTGTTCAGCAGCTTCAGCATCTGCTGGGGCTTGGTGCAGTCGACAGTGGTGGTCTCGACAGTATGGCTGATGTCAGGATCGCCACGGTCGAGTTGGCCATTGATGCGGATTTGGCCACGGAGCTTGATGCCGGTCACTAGTTTTCGAATGACGGCTGATTGCTCGTCGACTGTTTGCTTCAAAGTATCGATTGTGCGCTGCATGGTGTCGATCTTCGTGTCCTGGGAGGCCGCTGCGGTTTCGAGAGCCGCTGTTCTGCTGCTTGCTTCGTTGCGTATCTGATCGAACATCACCTTTGCATCGCTGACGACCTTTTCGAGGCGCTCCCGAAGGGCATTCAATTCTTGCTGTGAGGCCGCCATGGTGTTCTGATGAAAGATATCTGAAAGCGCGGAGAGAGTGCAGAGAGACGAGTCCGAAGTTTGTGCAAGTCGCAGAAGAATTTCGACAGCGAGATACCACAGCTTGAAGTGCGCTCAAACGAAGACATTGGGAGTCTTGGCATTTGAAGCCGTTGTCAGGTTTGGTTGAAGTCACTTAGTGGTTGGTAAGTGAACTGGCCCGCGGCTTGCCTTGGGCGACCACTTGCCAAGCCTTCTTCTTCCACTACGACGACCTCACCTGGAAAGCGGCCTCGGCAAAAAAGCAAAAAGGAAAACATGAACAAAGGAAAAGTGCAGGTAGCCATGCTGCAAGAGAGAGGTGGTGAGGAACCCCGGCAAGGGCCACCCGGTAGTTAGAACAGTCGACTACTGGAGGATTGAGGTTTGTAAGCTGTGCACTCCGCGACTGCAAGCCCTCCCCACGGGACTTTGGAAAGCGATCAATTTTGTTGTTTATACTCGGCGGAAAGACGTTCGAGTAGACGATAGGCCAGTCAGCCCACTGTGTGCAATGTGGGCTGATTTGAAAACAGTTTTCATCAACTCGAATATATAATCATCAAAACGTCGGACTTAGGGGTTTGGGTTATTAGGCACTTGCCAACGCTGTTCCGCGACGAGTCTACTAAGCAATGGAGGAAGAGACTAAGCACGATAGCCACACCTGCCGGGTACAGGGCTCCTACTGTAGGAGCCTTGGGCGCATGAGGTTTGTCTGCACACACAACATGCTCTAAGAAGCGTAGAGGGGCTCAGCATATCTCACATCGTAGGAGCACGTGCTTGAGACTGCTTGCGATGTCGAGACGGTCGATGCTTGGCAAGGCAACCATGGAGCTTTGGTAGAGTTTAAGGCAAATAAAACGCTGGACAGCAAACCGAGGTCAAGTCTGTACATGACCTACTGACCTACGGTCGCGAAGGCCTCTTTGCCATTCCAATGGATGGCATGAAAGCTCTAGTGAGCATTTAGGACGAAAAGTAGTCGAGGCTCGGTCGACTTCCAAAGAGCTCCTTGAGGAAAGTCTACCTACTCAGCACTCACTACGCCAACAAGCCGCAATGCTCTCGCGCATGAAGTTGGAAACTAGCGAAAGCAAATTTAGTCAGCACCGTCCACGGTTCTCGACGAACGCGGAATAAATGAGCGCGCAGATCGTCCAGTCGAGATTCCTGAAACACGGCGCTTCTGGCCTTACGACGCTTGCGCCCACACAAAGTCTCGCGCCACTGTTTCAGCGTTTCGTCTTGGCAGGACCGAAGCATTCAGACACATTGATTTGGACTATTCCTGCATTATTTTCGCAGCCGAGGATGGCGCTTGTCGCACATCTGGTGGTTGTGTGCTTGTTACATATGGTGAGCTAAGTGCTTTTGCGCGTTACAATACTTTTAATACTCACAAACCAGCCGATGGATGGTTATCAGTCCTCTCACGGGACTGCTCCGAGCTTTTCTTAAGGCTCAACCAGGACTGGCTGGCAATGACTGCTATGGCATATCAGTCATTGAACGCAGGAAGCGGACGATTGATCCAGGAGAAACAACACACGACAGATCCAAAAGCACAATATTATCCAGTGGAACGGATATCTTCACGGCATGCCTCTGAAGAAACACTGACACACGACACGTCAATAACCACTGCTCGGAAGGGTGTCAAAACTCGACGGTGTACCACATCTATCGTTGATACATGGACGCTGGAGATCGTGCTGTCGATACTCGCCCTAGGGTGTCTGGCGGCGATCACAGCGGTGCTCCTGACCTACCGTGGCAAAGCCGCACCCTCGTTACCCTTCAACATGACACTCAACACACTCATTTCCATCATCGCCACTGGAGCGAAGTCTTCCACCATCGCCGTCGTGGCATCTTCACTCGGACAAGCCAAATGGATCCATTTTCGCAGCGGCACTCGCCCACTAAGCCAGGTACAACTCTTCGACGATGCAAGCTCTGGGCCACTAGGCTCGATGTGGCTATTTTTCGGCAAGGCTGCATTGTCGTTACCGGCGATTGGAGCGCTACTCATCATCGTAGCTCTCCCTTACGACCCATTCATCCAGCAGCTCATCACATTCTCCCAACCTGAGTCCACCGGTGTGCTTACCAGTAAAGCCAACGCCTTCTTCATGACCGAGAGTGCCTTCCGCACTCAAGCCATCTCCAACGCGATTTATGGCAACATCGACGACTTCGGCCGCCGGCCCAGTTGCCCTTCCGGAAACTGCACTTGGGCGCCCTTCGACTCGCTCGGCTGGTGCAGCAAGTGCGAAGACATGACCTCAGAGGTCAACACCGATGACTGCACTTGGTCCTTCTCCTCCCTTTCCGACCTCGACCCCAGCGTTGGCGAATACACCGGCGCATGCAATATCTCCTTTGGTAAAGGCAACTCACTACCACTCCAATGGTCCGTCTCCCTCACCAACGCCACTCGTCCCACTACCGGCAGCACCAGCGTCTGGACATTCAACATCGACAACGAAGCGATCTGGACTATCGCCCAGTCGACCGATTTCGCCCGTCCGTCCCCGAACGCCACCTATCTTTCCGTGTCCTGGCCCCAACTTGTCCTCGGCTACCTGCGCATGGACTTCGCCGACCCTTCCGCCCCAGAAAAGGGTGCCACGTTGTCGAAAGCTACTCAGTGCGTCTTATCCTATTGCACCACCACCGATACTGTCCGCGTCGCCGGCAGCGGCGTCCACCAGCAGAACCGCAGCGAGCCCAACTTTGGCACCGTGTTCCTCAACCCTGACGGGCGGCCCTGTTGGACTGCGGACCCCGGAGCGGCGGTCAATGAAGGGGCAGCGAATGATTACACGAACATCACAGTGTACGCCCGCTCCCGCTCCCTCCTTCAAGGAGTCGAAAGCACGTACTCCATCGACCCGGCGCACTTCACCTTCTGCTACGATGATCCGGGGTCCGTCAATCTCACGCAAGCGCCCGGTGCATGGGGCGCTGAACTCGCGCGTGCGGTCACAGGAACTCTCGTTACTGTCGGTAAATTCGGACCAGGCGCGGCAGAGTCCATGGACTCGGATTTGAGGGCTGCGGGTGACGATATCGGGGATGGGTTCAGCTATATCGTTAACTTCGACCGAGACATTGCAGGCGTGGCGGAGAGGATGGCCGCCGCGTATACAGATTTGGGGTATGACAGGAATAAGAGCGTGAACACGACGGAGGATATGAAGGGGCTGATGTTCTCGAACGAGCGGCTGATGCAATTGAGGTGGTGGTGGGGAGCTTTGCCGGTGGGCATTTGGGTAGTGAGCGTTCTGTTCTTGGTCTTCGTGGCGGTGAAGAGCAGGAGTCTGGGGCTGGAGGTGTGGAAGGGAGGCACGCTGGTGTATCTATTCAGTGGTATTGGAGAGCAGCATTGTAGGGCTGGAATGGCGAGCACTGTGGCTGCTTTTCCTGGTCCTGCTACTGCTTCTGGGTATAGCCGCAGCGGCCTCCCGAGCGTAGGGAAGCTGAGCGAAATGGAGAGCATCGCGCGTAGAACAGGCATCAGGCTGAGCGGCAGCAAAAGCGAGCAGAAGCGGATCGTCATCGAGTCGCGATCGATGGGTGACGATGCTGGAGTAAAGTATTCTGGGTGAGTCGGGGACAATCACGACGCTGCCGCAAATTCAGTTGGGAACTCGCCGAATTCGAGAACGCGTGGTGAAGGTATAAATCAGGTGTAGACGACCTGGAGAAGTGGAATCAGGTGCGCGATGTGGTGGCAAACACGAGGCGCTCCCGGGAGGGCTTGCTTGACGATCCCGCATCGCATTTCGGGTCAGTCGTGCCGCCAACGGATTGTGATTACTGGTGTGCAGTCACTGACATGACGTGGCTGGTGCGTAGTCAATAGAGTGTGGTCAATATCCTCGGTGACTTGCTTGGTCAGAAAACAATCTTTCCGTTCCTCACGCTCCTCCCGAGACTCGTGCTGCATCTTGAGTTACTGCGAAGAAAGTCTGTAGTATGTCGAACAAGTGTTGTTGTGCCACGGAATATTCGACGGCGTTGTTCTGCAAAGGTTATACCATGTGCATGCAACAACGGGGGAATCTGATGATGTCCCGGGAGAGTGCTTCGACAGACCGGATGACAGCCTCAAACGCGAGTACTCATCTCAAACCGGTGGACGAATCAGCGAAGCGTGAATGTGCATTCAGCGGCCAAGAGAACATCAACGCATGCCGCTGAGTGCCGTCGGTGGCAGGGTGTCTTGCTCACGATAGATCATTGACGACGACTGCATGACCTGTAAGGCAGATCGTGCCGGCCAAGTTTTAAAGCGAGGTAGCAACATCCAGCTAAAACGAGTAGAAAAGGCCTTAAGGCGCCTACTGGATTTATATCTGGAGTATCTTGGGCAAACCGGTTGACCAATGGTCCAACAATTGATGGGAGTAAACTCGTGCCCAACCACCAAGCATTAATGAACAGTGCTAGTTTGTCAAATGATTGAATCGCTATCGGTATGTATTGGGTATTGAGAAAAGCAATCGGCTTCGAGCATCCCACTCGCTCCTCTATCCACCAGTGAAGACACCTCAAGTCTCGCTCGCCAATCTATTCTTTCCCATCAAGCAGTAGTGATTGTTTCCCCTTTATTCAATCATGGGCTTCAAGCAGATCTCTCTTTTCCGGCCGCATCAATCTTATCCACGCTATCGCTCCGGCTGGACGAAGTCTCCGCCGTAGTGTGACCCTTGTCCGCAATAGCGCTTCCACCTGCCACAGCAGTAGGATTAGGCACCGTGTCAGCAGGAAGGCCGTTGACGTCAACGACTTCGTCATCGACCTCCTCTGGAATGAAGAGGTTGAGGAAGAGTGCCAGGAAGGCAGTGACGGCAAAGCCGGTCTCCATGACGAGGGTGATGGCGTTCATGAAGCCAATGAGCGCCCTGTTTCCGCCATCGTAGGTGAAGACGTAGTTGAACTGTAGAGCTTGTTAGCTAGGAGACCACAGGAGATGAGAACTGTGAGGGACTGGACTTACCCAGGTAGGAACCAACGTAGCGCCGTAACCGACAGCAAGGGCTGCAGTCAGGATGAAGCGATTGCGGCGCGTGAAAGGAATGGTCGAGATGATGCGAATACCCGATACTGCGACAGCGGAGAACAGGAATGTTGTCATGCCACCAAGCACAGGCGACGGGATCGCAACCAGAGCAGCCGCGAACTTAGCGAAGACGCCCATGATGATCAGGAAGAGACAGCAGCAGTATCCTGCCTTGCGATTGGCGCAGCGCGTCAAAGCGATGACACCGTTATTCTGCGCGAATGTGGAAACGGGAGTGATGGTCGCGAGGCAGGCAAACATGCCATTGAGGCCGTCGGCGAGGACACCGCCCTGGATGCGGGAGTTGAAGGTCTTGCCCTCGACTTCCAGACGTGACACATCGCAAGTGGCGGTAATGTCACCAATGGCTTCCATCATGAGGACGAGGTATACTGCTAAGAATGGTAACACCATCGGCCCGTAAACGGACAGAGGGAAGGTCTCAACCCAGAGGAAGTTGGCAACGGGAGCTGCGGTGATACCGGTGTCCGAGAAGTAGCCACACGCTGCTGCGACGATGCAGCCGACCAGGAGGCCGACGACGACAGCGCAGGACTTCATGATGGGTGAGCCGTAGCGTTCGGTGAGGATGATGGTCAGGAAGACGCAGAAACCAAGGCCAATGAATTGTGCTGATCCCCACGGAGCGGCCATCGGTGCAGTGTTGGACGGGCAAAGTTGGAAGTTGCCGGTAGTTGGGCGTGACGCACAGGTTCCAGAGCCACCAGCCCAGTTCTGAAAGCCGGATGCGATCAGCTTCACGCCGATCAGCATGACTGTTGGCCCAGTGACAAGTGGTGGGAAGACACGCTTCAGTACCTTCGCGGGAGCGAATGACAGGGCAATCTCAAGTAGCGAGCAGACGGCCGCTGTACCGAGAATGGCGCCGTAGCCACGCGGGCATGGTAGCTTCGTGCCATCAGCGTTTGATGGGCAATACCCGGAGGCGTACATCTGAGCAAGCGCGCCGGTGGCAACGGGTATAGTCGCAAAAGATGTACCGACGACGGAAATGAGGCCAGTGCCAATGAAGTAGGGCGTTTTGTAGATGTGGAAGCGGGTGATCTGGACCGCAGAGCCGATGCCGCAGTAGATGAGTGAAGCAGAAACAAGGTACCGAGACTGTGTGCCAGTGAGGTTGGCGCCGCCGGAGCCAGCGAGAATGATGGGAGGAGTGATTAGACCAGCCAACATAGCAAGAGCATGCTGAAATCCCAGCAGAAGGGCAAGGAAGACTGGCATCTTGTCGTTCAGGCCAAAGAAGGGCGCTGCTTGCTTCGGCTTCTTCATGAACGGCAGGCGCGGCTTGAAGAGGAAGGCATAGTCGTAGTCGCCAATGAGGCCATCGCGGGTTGTGACGGCTCGTACTATCCTCTGCCCTCTCTGCTTGATCCTGTCACCGAGAGGTGCCTTCACAGTCGTATCTGGACCGATGCGATCTGGTTCCATTGTTGCTGAAATATCTTAGAGAAATGTGTTGAGTGTTGTTGGTAGCTGGCTTTTGAGGTCTTGTGAGCTTAGTCTCTGAATACTTAAATCGTTAATCGAGGTTCGTTGTGTGTGACTGCTTCTGCGGCGATGATCAAGTATCGCTTATCGGTGAATGCTGCTCCTCTCCTACTTTGGTGGACACGATCTCCAATGATGCCTCTCATTGCTGCTCTGGGAGCGCGAGCTCTCATTTAATATGCTTGGACTTCAAAATGTTCATGTGCTGCCGACGCGGTAACCGCCTATGAGCGTTCACGGCGTGCATAGTTTGATAAGGCTACCAAGCCTGATTGAGTCTGGACTATGCGAAGCCTCTGTCGCGCCAAGCCGCCAGATGGCATGTGGTTGGCTGCAGGGCACAGACATTGAAGGCTGTCGGCGATGCCCCGCGCCAGATCACGAGCCGCCCAGGTCCAGATTGTGAGATTCGCGCCTGTGTAAGTGGGAGCATTAACGCAAAAGCTCTTGTCGAGATAGCGGAATTAGGCCCATGCAATTTTTTCCGAGGCATAGATAAGGGTGCAGTTTCCGACGAACCACATTTCCCGCCAAGCTCTCAGACAAGCGAAGATTCAAGCCATTCCGCGTCGAAATTTTGACAGGTCTCTCGGCAGAGTCCGAGCGGCACAACGACGCAATTGGTGCGATTCCAGAGCTGCAGTATGACTCGTAGCCTTTACTCATCAGAAGGACTTCGCCTGTCAACAAATGGCTCGGCTCTTGACCACCGCCGCGGGCGAAACGGCGCGCGCGCGAAGTGAGCAAGAGTGCGGCCACTCGTGCCGGGAGAAGCGTCCTGCGTACTCCAGCATGGTCATGTTTCCTGCTTATTTGATGAAGAAATGTTTACCACGCTCAAGTATTTGGACAGGATCTCCAACCCTGTTCTCGATCACTTTGTCCGTTGCTGGTACCATCTGAAGACCGAGACAACCTTTCTGCGGAGCACCTTCATCCACATCACGGTTCTTCCGGAGGTACTACGAGAATCAGCACAAGTTCATTCCAGTCGAGGAATATCACTCACCTGCTCGGGCTGGCTGTTATGTCGTTCAGCCGTGTCAGGATCTACGCAAGGCAATTTGCATCTTGTTGTATGACATGAGCAAATAATCTCATTGTCTCCAACCTTGATCCGTTGCCAGTCGTCTTCGTCGAATGCACTGCCGCCGGTCACGACCAGATTAGGTCGAAATCGACGAACAGAGAGATGCGGGATGTCTTCTTTCACCTTGTCGGCAACATCCCGTATTGACGCCAGATTCTGTATGCTGAGCGGGAAAGAGTCTGCAGCTGCTGCAACTGGTTGATAACCGATCTCGCTCGGCTTCGGCGCATTTCCGTGTACTTCTCGATACGAAGCAGGATCGACTCGAAATAAGGTGACGGGATTCTTCGCACCGAAGACTGTCTGCAGGCTGGAGGGAACGTGTCTTTGGTAATTTAGCCAGGTAGGTGCGTCGCTAAAGATCTCCATTACCTCCCTGGGGTAGTCGTGATCCTTCGGAGGTGTAAATGGAACCTGGAAAGATGTCTCATTAGGCAATAACTTGATCCGGATTAACAGTCGCCGCAGAGGCGCGAAAGCACCGGTTGGTATTAGAGGGTATCGGACAACAAGCAGACCATCAGTATCCGAGCCCTTCTTGAGCCAGACTTCCGGCTTCACTAGGGCAAGCTTGTTATATCCTGGCTGTCGCAGGGTCCGGAACTTCCATCCATGCTTCTTCTGCTCGCCGGGCTTCGATTTCAGCTCCGACCATTCTGCTATGGCAAATTGACGATCCCAAAAGATGCCAGCTCGATCGATCTTGGCCGAATCTAGCTCGAATCCATGACAAGACTTGATGGGATGGCAAAGGATGGCCTTCAACCGCCAATCTTGCGACTTGCTAGTACTTGGGGGTTTTGTGTACTCGAGGTTTTCCTCGTCCGAGAGATTTGGTGTTCCCTTCTGGCCCAACCTCTCGTAGACGTAAGGGTTGGGAGCCGACTGCGATTTTCGGACGAGAAGAAAGAAAGCTGGGATCAGTAATGATGGTACAAGTATGATGAACAGCTCTTGGAACGTCCTGCCTGGTGGCAGGCCTGTGTCGGAAGCCATCTGCGTGGGTTGTGATGTATTTGAGCTTGCTCTGTACAGTGTATGAGTTTGTCACGTCGTCGGGATTAGTTGCATAGAAATGGTGCTTAGTCAATAGGTCTGAGCTGATGTAGATGGAATGCGAGCTTGAATTGCCTGGGTCCAAGCTCACGTGGCCAAGATCGAGTCCCTAGTAGTTGCTTTGAAAGCACAGCCAAGCGTTATCTGTGCATCAGTCAATGCAGTAGTAGACTCAGTAAAGTAGCAGTCTGTCTGAGTTTTGTGTGTACTCGGCCACGCCTTTTAAATCGAGCTACTCACGTTTAGGCTGCCAGTAAGGACCGTGATGACCACAGGAAATGGTTTTCGAGGATAGCGGAAAGTCGAGGCGGGCTCGGCTCCACCTGCTCATTCAGGCATATGACGATTTGGAAGTCGCGTCACCGAAACGCGTCGAGCACCTGAGATTTCTCGAGTCACTGGTACTTCTGGCGACTGGCGGCGAAGTCGACGATTATTGTGTTGTCCCGGGCGACCTACGAACACATGAGCTGCACACAGTGTTTGCTCGTTTGGGCTTGTCAATGATGCTGTTTTCGGGCGTCAATTCATCAACATGCCAACATCAGGCTCGTATAGAGGATGCCTCAAGACGAGCCTGACATAACGAACTTCTCGACATCGTCGCCGCAAAAGCTCCCAGCTATCAACGGTGCACAAGCTTTGCAAGATGACTTACGTCGAGCACGAGGCATTTCAACAGGCATACCTAGCCTTGACAAGCAACTCGGCGTTTCGAGTCCCCTAGCGACCAACAGTGGCATTCGACGAGGACATGTGACCGAGATCTTTGGTCCGCCAGGATGTGGCAAGTCGACAATGGGCATGCAGATCGCAGTGAAGGCAATGCAGAGCTCGATGCTGGTACTAAAGTTGTCTGGCTGGCCACCAGCTCTCCGCTGATGCACTCCCGTTTTGACGACATAGCAGCGCAGATGGCAGAGTCAGTGGACGATGGCATACCTTCGTCGCCCCCACGCGCTGGCGCGGCTCTTTGCGATCTAAGCAATCGATTCATCTACCGAGAAGTCCAGGTACTGGCCCATTTGCTTGTCATGCTCATGCATCCGACTGCTGTCTTTCCTCCACCGAATACGTCCGTTCTCGTGATCGACGGACTCCCGAACTTTCTACTTGGCGCTTTGCCCAAGCAGCCTCACTCGAAGGACCCGAAAGGCAATGTACTGGCAGATCAGGCTGCCAAACGAGCCAACAGTAAGCGCTTCCAAGTCATCGACAACCTCGCTTCTGCACTGGCACGCCTGGCCACGTCACGGCATATCGCCGTTGTCGTGCTCACAAATGCTACGACTGCGATCAGGAATGGACAAAAGGCTATTCTCAAGCCGGCCTTGAGTCGACAGGGATGGGACATTGCAATCAACACTAGAATTGCTCTATACCGAGATCTATATCCTCCGCAATACCGCGAGAACCTGACCGTCGAGGAGAAGCGATTCTATCGGCTGGCGGAGGTGACTCGACTGAACGCTAAGGATGTCTTTCGAGACCCTGTACCGTTTGTGATAGAGACAGAAGGGCTGAGAGAATTGGATACTTACAGCTTGCCCATATCAAGTGCTAGACCACCGAGAACAACTCCCCAGAGAGCGCCAGAAGCATTGGTGCCCCTCGAGATTCGCACCAGCCAGCTTTCGTCCCAAAATGGGAGCCACACAGCGTTTCCGACTGCATCGCAAGTGCTTAGACAAGAGTACACAGTCCTAGATCAAGGTCCGGTATCCCCTCAGATGCCAGTCGGTAGCAGTCAGCCACTAGAGCCAATCGAGGAAGCAGCATCGCACGTAAGTGAGGGCGGTCTGTTAGTCGAGGAAAATCATTACGCGGGTCACCCGTCACGAGCAACGAAACGAAAAGCGATTGAGATCGCGGACAGTGAAGACGAGGACGACCCTGAAGAGCTCGACCTGGATCTGCCAGACCCAAGCCTTCCACCACCTCAACCTCATGGAGGTGCCACAAGTACGGATATGGAACCTGAAGAAATGCTCTTCGATCGAGCTGAATACCGATAGTGTGTTGCTTTTTTGTCGATAGATTGCTAAGGCAGTGTAAATCAGGATAGACGTCTCGGAAGGCTTGAACGCCTAGAGTAGACCGAGCCAATGTGTTGAGGCTGCGGTTGCGCTTGCACGAATTGATCTCCTGGAATAAATTCCTTGCCATCGTGCCTGCTTTTCCTCCATCGACTGAGGCTTAGTCCGGCGCAGGTACATTCGAGTGTTGCAGTCATCCGGTCTCGTGGCCAGCCCAGTCGGTCAAGCCTCCTGGTTGATCGCTCCCGTGCACATTTATATGCGCACTTCCGCGGAACGGTTTCTGATCAGCCGGCGTGCCAACAGCCTGCCGTCCCACGATTTTCTGTTACTTTGCTTGCTTACTTAGTATTTTGTACACATTTACATCCACTTCTTCTATCTGATTCGGCCAACACCAGCATCTCACTGGCATAATCTGGAATATCTCTTATCGTACCTCCCCAACATCATGCTTGACCGGATGAAACAGCATACTCCTCAAACACATCCTTCCTCCCCAAGCGCCCCACTCGGCATCCTCACCACCTACGCCCTCCCCCTTCTCCGCCTCCCAACTCTCCATCTCCCTCTCTTTATACCCCAGCCACCTCCTCCACAGCAAGCCTGCCCAGAAGCTATCGTAGTAGTAGCTACTCTCCTTCAATCCATCCTCGAACCCATGTGGGCCCTCCCCAAACACACTGTCCTCAAACCCACCCGACCACTTTCCCGGTCCTCCACCATTCAACACACCTTCCGTAAACTCAGCCGGCCAGTCCCGTTCCATATACACCGGATGCGGCGCAAAGACAGCTTTCAAGCCATGATGCAGCGCGACCGACACCGGAAACATTTCAGAGCCCATGCTGTGGCGCTGGACCCAAGTCTCGTTGTGCATGATGAGCAGTAACCGGCGGGAGAAGCGGGCGGCGACGACGATGGAGCTCCGCCGTTCCGGGATCGGCTGATCCGTTGACCAGCCTGAGACGTCGTTACGTCTGTTCCAGAGTGTGCCTTCCGGGTCAAAGATCGGATTCAAGGATATGTAGTCCGCTTCCTGATCATCGCTGTGGCCTGCCGTCCCATCAGCGTCAGGCGACCGCCTGTCCGCATCCTCAACCATCTTCCCGTAATCATCTTCCCACAGCGCCGGCACGTAAAATCTTGCACTCCTGTCCCACAGCAATCGGTTGCGTCCACCACCGCCACTCCGTTGCTTCCGTGCGAACTCCACCACGCCCTCCAGCAACTCATACCAATGCCCCACGTACCTAATATCCATCTCCCAATTCCAAAAGTACTCATACTCCCGTCTCTGCACCATAAACCACTGCAGCGCGAAATGCATACTCCTCATCGCCGGATACATGCTCCCATGCTCCGCGAAATGCGGCTCAAACGGTCCCGGATACACCAAACGCATCAGATCCTGACTCCACAGCGTCGCCATGGAGCGGAACTCTTGAGGCACGAATTCTGCAAGGGCAGCATCGTAGGCTTCGCGGGAGGTGAAGATCGGGTAGTTCTTCGTATCTTTGACTTCGATGAGGAGGTGCACGTCGTACTCGCCGGAGCTGTAGAGGGAGAGCTCGGTGACGAGGGAGCGGAGGTAGAGGCGGAGGGCGGGAGTGTATTCCATCCCAGCCCAGGCGCGGAGGACAAGGGCGGTGCGAGGGATATGGGACGGATTCGTCGTTGGTGAGGAAGGCTGCTCGTCGGGGAGATCAACTAGTGAGCCGACGTGGCGGTCTTGCTGTTCTCCTGTGGACGGTGCGAACCGCTCCTGGTTCCGTTCTACGCAGCGTTGCTGAGCTACACCGAGGTCCACCTCGCGCCAGTCAATGTATCCCGAGCCAGTTGCCCAGATCGCTTGCGTTTGATTACGGTCGCCGTGCATGCCTAACCCGGTACCGCCATGAGACGTCTCGTAGCCGAGACCATAGTGCGCATATCGGCCGTAGCGTTCGAAGCAGATGTCATCCCGTAGACCGATTGCCTTGTAAGAGCCATACAGAGGATTTGCGGCGTGTTGTGGGACGCCTTCGAGAGGCATAGATAGACGGAGTCGGTACGTTGTTCGCTTCCTCTGCCTCTTGCTTCAGGAAGCATTGCCGCCTGCGTGGGATACCTGCTTCCTTTGCTGCAGCAGGATCTTCCTTCAGCTGAGGGCGGTATGGACGCAGCTCAAGTGGCAGACCACGTTCACGCTTGTCTTCGGGTGCGTTGTTGTCTTTGCTATCGCTTGTTGCACTACCGATAAAAGGATTTTCAGGCACGAAGTCATTCGCGCCAACCAGATTTCCAATGCCCTGATAGAAGCCTTGCAACTTGTTGAACTCCTTCCATGGTCTCGTCTTCAAAGATGGTGGCGCCGGCTCATTCGGCTTGTTCTCTTCCTCTGGGGGTTTCTCATGCCTGAATACCACCGTACTGCCCACTAGTAAAATCAACACGACAGCAAACACCCAAGTCTTCGCTCTCACATTTCGCAGATATGTCGATGACCGCTCATATGCCGTCGCTTCCCCATAGCGGCGCGTCGCTACCGCATAGCCTGACATGCCGTCATTGTGTCCGCCATTGAGGAGCTCATGCCCCGCTTCGTCCTCCCCGACGGGCTTCCAGGCTTGTGGAAAACGATGTTTCGGAGTTGAGAGCCAAGCCGGGAGTGTCAGTCTGAGCATCTAGATATCAGACGGTAGGACAGGACCAGAACCAGATTGGGCACACCAGTGTGCGCCCTGTCGCAGAAGCCGTGCGACGTTGTACAGATCGTGGACATTCACAGACTAGATGATAGGTCGGATGGCGAATAACGCCATCATCATAGATGCACAAGTTGTGACGCAGCAATATACACAGGATCAAGACAGCGAGTATAGAACAAGTGAAGAACAAATGATCACGCGAAGAACAACAATGAGGACGATGAGATGTCGTCGCTGACCCCCAACTTCCGCTATCAGAAGCGAAGTTGCATCGGCGACCCGGTTGGGACAACCGCCTTGGCGATGAACAGCGCTTGGCGTCATTGTCCCCGAGAACCCCTGAAGCACTCCGTGTCTTCTCGTTTATTACTACACGTGTCAGCATAGAACGATGATATTGGACTGGGAAGAGCGTGCCTTATGGCACGAGATCTACGGCTAGATGTCGTTCATCATATGGGAGGTGACGCGGTCGCCGCACTCAGATCGACTTTTGCAAGTCATGGACAGCTTCGACTCGGTAGTCTAACAAGGTGCCAAAGCCAAAGGCCGCGGTGAGTACCGCCGACATGCGTTCACATTTTGATACAGGTTCTATGGTCAGGAGAGTGGACGGTTCGAGGCATTCTCTCATCGTACGTGTCCCAGCGGAAGCGTCAACGGTTGCTATACTTAAGCAAGGAACACTACACCACTAAGATGCGATGCCATCGGCGACTGTGCACTGCGCCAGGATCGCGGCGACGCGGTCAATTGTTTGTTGCTGTTTCTTGCTGGCTTTTGCGTTGTTTGACTTGTCGCAAACACATCACCGCGATGACTGGACGTGAACAATGGGTGTTATTACGCTTCCTTTCTGACAAGCATCGCTATTGCCATGATCTTGTTTGTGACAACAACAACCACTACTCAGAGCGCCATAAAAGCCTCTCACTATGCTGATCAGACTCTGCTTATTCTCATTTCGCAGCCAGAGACCAATATCATCATTGTTGGAGACCACGATTACCACCTTCAGAGATCAACGTCACTATTGCCAGAGCTTAAGGTCACTGTCATTCAAAGTTAACGTCACTAGCTTTGGAGACAATGTCCGAGCAAGAGCAAACTCTGTATGAACAATACAGTCGTCCTCCTATCGGACCAAAATTCAAGATCGGAGACACCGTTCATGTCCTCGACGAGGCAGTCAGGCAACCGCCAGCAGGCGTCACAAGCAAAGCTCCAGCAAGGGCCTCAACAGATCGTCCAACAAGAGTTCTCGGCGCGTTTCCAGCAACGTCCTCAACCGGAGGTCCGGCAAGAGTCTCAATTCCAGCTTCGACTAGTGTCGACGAGTACATCCGCGAGACAACCTGGGAAATTACCGCAATTAACAAAGTCACCGCTGAAGAACGCGGCGAGCGCGCCGAGCACACTTACCGCCTCGAGCCAAAGAAATTTGTGCAAGTCATCGTGCCGGAGTCTCGATTGCTACCTGTCAAGTGGCTCCCAGACGATATCGTCAAGGACAGTAGTGGATTCCTCTACAAGGTCGCAGAAGTCACGTTCCACAGACTTCCGGATGGCAGCGTCGGTAGGAAGTACGTCGTAAAGAGCGAGACAGGAGGTTGGCACGAGTTCGGTGATGGGGAAGCGGAAAATGCAGACTCGAGAGAGTGGTTTCCAATAGAGGAGTGAGCAGAAGCATGGAGACCGGCGCGCAGTTGAGGTCTGTGTTCGGATGGAAGAGCTATCAGTTCGTTAAGGATCCGTTGGAGTTGTTGCTGCTCGAGTGCAAGCCATGCCCATCGCCTATAATCAGCCATAAACAGCAGCTAGTAGCAGAGTATTGAGTAGGGAACACGAACAATGTCACGGAAACTCCCAACCTGACCACTATAGTTTGTTCGTGACGCATACGGACCACTGCGCTGCGACAACGGTCACGAAAATCCAAGGCGCAAACCCCTGGTCATGTGTATCAAAGCCAAGCTCCTCGTATGCACCTAAGGCTGGGGAGTGGGAGGAGCAAATCGATGGATACATCGGCCAAGAAGGGAGACATGCACGCAGCTCTAGGCATGCACGACCAACACTCATGCATACAGCCTGATATCTGAACCCGAGAGTTGTCCAATGACTTGGGAGCGACTTTTCGAGGCACTGTTGGTTGGCCAGATGATGAAAAGTAGAGATAAGGAGTGAGAATTACGCCTGATTTTGCAGAGACAGTGGTTCGCACGCTGGGCAAAGCAGATGGCAACATCGCATAAGCGTCATCTTTCGTCTTCGGAAACAGCCCTGGGCCCGCGGCTTACTGTAGACTCGCGATTAACAAGATCAGAAGCCACTAGTCGCTTGGAAAGCAGTGCTGAATTCACGCTTCGAGGCCTCCTTCGAAGTTCGACGTGGGGTGCATGGCGATCTTCAGCATAAGGTCGTGGTACTGTCTGGGGTCAGACCTCGTTGAAGGAGCGGCAATCGGCACTTTGACCTCGAAGGTGGCCCTGTTGCTCGTCTCGAGGTCTGCTGCAGTGCGGCTGAAGGCCTGGATGGTCTGCGAGCGTGTCTAGTCAAGGCGGCACGATTCAAAGGGGTGCTCTAGGTTCTGGAGAATATTGAGTTTGGAGGAAGCTGGAGAGCGTGCAGACTGTCACGGGGTGACGGTGGGAGGGCGGCAGGGAGGGCGATAGCAGTGTCAGTGCA